TCGGATCGACTACGCTCATCGATGATCGATTACCTGAAAGCCAAGGCTCCATCAAAAGATCCCGAGACAAGTACTGAGTTGTACTGGGGGGCCCGTCGAGTAAGTGACCTTTCATCTCAACTTGTTATGTGTGGTTTTTGCTGATCTTCAACAAAGTGCGATGTGCTTGTTGCTAGCTTTGATGCAACGGTCCTCCGTACAACAGGAGTTAAACTCATCGAAGAACTCTGGTCAAACAATATAAGTGCGGAGCTTGCAGTCGATGCCTCGTCCCTTGAAGAGCTTCTAGCAAAATACAAAGACTCCAATCACCGGTGGATTGTAATTGCTAAACAAGACAGCAAGGAGCGTGGATTTAAAGTTCGGAACCTGATGCGCAAGGAAGAATTCGATATCCGCGCGGCTGAACTTGTGCTGTGGCTTCGATCAGAAGTGCAGGCGCGCCAGCCTCGCGAGGGGACTGCTGACTCCCGGCAATCCCGTCAATTGAGCCAGCAGGATGCTCTCGCGTTCCAGGAGCGGGCAAATGATGTGCGCATCCTAATTCCCCAGCATCGAAGCAAGAAGACAAATCGAAGGAACATTGTTGAGTCAGGTATGTTTACGTTGCAAGTGAATCCGCTCACACTCCAGTCCATCCACTGACCAATTACGTCGTGTTCTAGCTTTACTTTCCTCTCGGGAAGTAGCCGAGAATGCCCGCAACGGCCCCGTCGCTGCCATCGACACCCGCGACGAAGTCCTCGATGCTATTCGGAACACGCGTCTATCCGACGCAGAGAGCTGGCGCAGTGTGATCCAGAACGCACCGCTGACAGAGCGGAAGTATCTCAGTCAAGTGCACGAGCTGCTCGCTGACTTGGCCATGGAAAATCGCACAAACGATACCACAGAAAGCTACACGAATGCTTTTATCTACAACTACCGTACAGGCTCCTGCGTGTACTATGACCTGGGACCCTAGTGAGGAATGATTTTACGACTGGTTGATTTTCAGGGGGAGGGGGAAAGGATGACGGACTGGAGTTGAGTTCACAGCATAAGTCTCAGATCAATGGGACTGGAGGTGTTTGCTTTTGTTTTATGGGTGGGTGTATCTCGTTTTGTTTAACACTCTCAATGCTATGTTTTAGCGAGTGCCCGGGATGATACCATACATGTATTTATGAATGACGCGACGCCCCAAAATCATATTTACGGATATTGTGTATGGAGATGCAGGGAGAGAAATAAACATTTTGACAGAGGTATCGCTGCTGTTGTACATGCAAAAAACTTCGCAATCATGATGGATTTATGTGCCGCAAAAAAATGCACGTAAATCAGTCACTCTCATCGTCGCTGCCATAGGCGACCAACGGCCCGCCAGTAGCCTTTGGTGCCTGTGTCGTTACTACTCCAGCATTAAGACCCCGTAGTGCGGCAACAGCAGAGCTCGAGAAGATGCTATTACTTTGTGGCTGTTCCTCCTGTGCCGGAACCGGAGCAGACTCAATCATCATCGGTTGTTCGGGCGCCTCTAGCTGAGCGGCCCGGCTCGCATCCTCCAATTGCCGGGTTCTGGCTTGCCACACATCATCTGGAACGTTATAGCCCTGTAGCCCGAATGTTCCCTCGATCTTTTTCCGCTTCTTGGCCTCTGGGTCTCGACCTTCGATCTCTGCTACAAAAGCTGCGGGAAGAGCCCGGCGCACAGCCTCGGCAGCTTGCTCTTCTAAGCGGCGTGCCTCGCGCTTCTGTGCCATTGGGTTTGGGTCGACTGTTGCCCATCGTACGTTGAGAATTTCCTACTTTTTGTCAGTATCTTTATCATATATCGCATCTTGCTGGTTGAAATGTTGAACTTACCTCATGGTCCAGGCTTTGGTTTTGCATCGCAACTAGACTGTAGCCATGTGTTAGTTCTGTACAAATATAGTGCTTGGGTAGAGGTATCTTACGCAAACTGCGCGTTACTTTCTGACGAGTAGGTCACAAAAGCCACGCCTCGTCCGGTAAGGACTCTGGTTCTTTCGATTTGACCCCATTCCGCAAAATGCCTTGAGCACACTTCCTCAATGTCATCACTAGATATTTATTAGCAAGAAGATGGGGTATAATGTTTTTGAGGTACTCACGTAACCGTAATCCGACCCACGTAGATGGTCCTATTTTGGCGCGTGAACGAGCCTACTCCGGACATATCCTATTTCAAATATTAGCCATATTTTCATACTGAAGTGGCAGCTTCCATTCAAAAAGACAGGATACTCACTTCCTTGTAATCGCTGTGCTTGTCTCTCCCTGTAGTCTGGAGTCAGTGGCCAGTCTTCAATTGTCAAAAGCAAGGTTGTGAGCAATTCTAACCAAAGCAGTCCATATTCGGATTGAACCTATAGATAACTTGATTAGCTGGATTGTTTTGTATTCGATAAGTCTAACAAAGCGGAAGAAACTTGGAGTCGTGTATGGCATGGGAATCACACTCACATATCATGAATCGTCGGGAGACGATGGAGGTATTCACAGTCTTGACCTTTTACGCAAACACCTCGCGCAAAATGTATGCTAGATGGAAAATGATCAGCAAGATGGCCACGAAAGCCTTGAAAGCCATCAAAGATGGATTTCCTTACCAGAAAAATGAGCCTGGAATGCGATCAGCGCGAGTGTATCCCGAGTCACGCGCAATATTGCAGCGACTAGGCGCAGGCTGGCTGAGGCCATATTTGTCGTCGTTGTCGCCACTTTTGTTGTACCAAATGTTATAGTCAAGTCCAGGCTGCTGCGCGGGCTCAGCTTTGACAGTTGACGGGTCAACTTGTATTCTCGCAGGGCGTTTCTTTCTGCGAATAATTTTGGTTTTTTTGACCGATTGGAGCTGTTGATCTCCTTGCGGAGTGTCGACCACGGCGTCGGTTGTTGCCACAATCATCTCTTCAGTGTTGGCGTCACGGGTTTCGGGGGTGGTAGAAATGGGAGCTGGTGGCTCGGCAACCGACGTATCTGCCATGATCGCGTTTGTGTTGAAGAGGTTGAGTTGTAAGGCTGAGCTTGAGCTTCAAAAAAGGTCGACGTCTTGGGCCGTCGATTGATGTGCTTACATAAGGCTTGGCAAGCTCCCACGTCGGCGGGATTTGGCATTTCCCTCTCGGAGGCACAAGCATCAGAGAAAATATTTAGTGATTTTGCAGGCGACGAGCCTCAAAAACCGACAAAATGGTGAACATCACGGAGAAGATCAAGGAGTGAGTTTCTTGCTCATTGTTGGTGTCTCAATTTGCTGATCTTTTACAGGATCGAGGATGAGATGCGTCGGACGCAGAGTAAGTGTTATCCTCAGACCTAAATTGATATCACCCCGCTAATGACCTACAGAGAACAAGGCCACAGGTAAGACGCTCTTTCGATTAAAGAAAGACCTAATCTAATTTCCAAATTCTCAAAGAATACCATTTGGGTCTATTGAAAGGGTATAGTCTTAATCCCCTGACTTTATTTCAAACATAGACTGACAGCATTTCCAGAAAGCTTGCCAGGCTGAGAGCCCAGCTTCTGGAGCCAGTGGGAGGTGCTGGCTCTGGCGGCGGTGCGGGATTCGATGTCAGCAAGAGCGGCGATGCCCGAGTGGCTCTTGTTGGCTTTCCCTCTGTCGGAAAGTCCACATTTCTGTCTAAAATCACCAAAACCAAGAGTGAGGCTGCAGCCTACTCTTTCACCACTTTGACAGCTATTCCCGGAGTGCTGGAGTATGGTGGTGCTGAGATTCAAATCTTGGATTTGCCGGGTATTATTGAAGGTGCCTCCGAGGGCAAAGGTCGTGGTCGCCAGGTCATTTCGGCCGCAAAGGTGAGCGAGCTAACTTGTTTGATGGAACAATGAACTAAAAATAAGCCATACTCATAGACAAGTGATTTGATCTTGATGGTTTTGGACGCCACAAAGCGTGCCGAACAGCGAGCCTTGCTGGAGGCCGAGCTGGATGCTGTGGGCATTCGGTTGAACAAGGAGCCCCCGTATGTCTTAACTTGTCCGAGTTTTGTATGCACTCAGATACTGACACAATCACAGTAATATCTACCTGAAAATCAAGAAGGCCGGTGGCATGAAGATCTCTTTTGCCACGCCCCCAAAGAATCTGGATGAAAAGATGGTTTACAATGTGCTCCGTGATTACAAGATCCTTAACTGCGAAGTACTCGTTCGAGATGAGAATGGTTTGTGGTGCTTGATACAACAAGAAGGCCAAATTACTGATTGCAACCCCGTTATAGCTACGATCGACGACTTTATCGATGTGATTATGAAGGACCACCGGAAGTACATCCGCTGGTAAGATCGACACTTGATATCCAACTGGCGAATGCTAATTCTTCTTCCTCCCTGCTAGCCTTTACGTCTACAACAAGGTCGACGCCATCGGCCTCGAATTCCTTGATGCCCTTGCCCGCGAGCCTTACACAGCCGTCATGAGTTGTGAACTTGACCTCGGCGTGCAAGATGTTGTCGAACGCATCTGGAAAGAACTGCAACTAATGCGACTTTACACAAAACGGTATGATATATCCATCACTTTGACTTTCATTAGCATATCTCATAATGTCCGTATCTATAGAAAGGGAGAGGAACCCAAGTTCGATGAGGCGCTCATCGTACGCAAGGACTCCACCATTGAGGATGTTTGTGACCAGATTCATCGTACAATCAAGGACACTTTCAAGTATGCGATGGTGTGGGGAGCGAGCGCGAGACATGTTCCGCAGCGGGTAGGATTGTCGCATATGGTTGCCGACGAGGATGTGGTATCCATAGTGGCCAAGTAGAATCTAGGGGCTGAGAGCGATGATGAAAATATTGACACGACTACAAAGACCTTGAATATGAAATTATTGTTTTAATGCTGTTGATTTCATATACCATGCATGAAACTATGAACGAAATACACGAAGAAGATATTCACCCAAACAACCAATTGAACCTCCAAAAACCATAACTCCTGTAACTACTGACGGTTGATATACTTAAGCAGCAGCGGCAAGGGCAGCAGCGGCAATCACGTTCTGCTGGCCGATGGTGGGTTGGACACCCACACGCTCCTTGGCGAGCAGGTCAACCAACATAGGGCTGGGACGGCTGTCCCGCTCGGGGAAAAGGCCAGCCTGGTTGTTCTTGTACTTGAGCACAGAGTCCAAGTAGATGTCGAAGAGGTAGGATGAGTCGAGAGGACCTCCCTTGGCCTCAGGGTGGAACTGGGTACTGAAGATAGGGCGAGACTTGTGGATCATGCCTTCGTTGCTCTGGTCGTTCAGATTGATGAAGTAAGGCTTCCAGTCCGAGGGAAGGGTCGAAGCATCAACGGCGTAACCGTGGTTCTGGCTAGTGATGTGGCAGCGACCGGTGCTAAGGTCAAGAGCGGGAATGTTGTGAGCCCGGTTTCCGTACTTCAGCTTGATGGTGCTGGCACCAGCAGCCAGAGCCAGGAGCTGGTGACCCAGACAGATACCGAAGATAGGAATCTGAGAGGTCTCCATCAAACGCTTGAGGTGGTAGACAGTGTCCTGGCAGTGAGTTGGGTCACCGGGGCCGTTGGAGATGAAGACACCATCAAAGTGGTGGGCGACCTTGTGGATGGGGTAGTCGAAGGGGAAGACAGTGATGCTGGAACCACGGCCGACCAAGCTGCGGAGAATGTTCTCCTTCACACCACAGTCGATGACAGCAACGTGGGAGTTAGGATCAGCAGCAGCAATGTGGAAGGGCTGCTTGGTGCTGACCTGGCGCACCAAGTGGATTTGCTCAGGGTCAGTGAAAGCCTCATCCTCGTTGGCGTCGTACTCTTCGCCAACAGTGATACGGGCGAGAGAAGAGCCTTGCTCACGCAAATAGGTGACAATAGCACGAGTATCGACACCAGAGATGGCAGGAACACCTTCACGAGCACACCACTCGCCCAGGCTCTGGACAGCGGTCCAGTGACTGTATTGTTCGGCGACATCGGCGACAACAACACCAGCTGCCTGGAGATTGGGGGACTCGAAGTACTTCAAAAGTCCATTGGGATCTTTCTCAGCGGAAGGAACACCGTAGTTGCCGATCAGAGGCTGGGTGAAAACCAGGATCTGGCCACGGTATGAAGGATCGGTCAAGGATTCGGGGTATCCAACCAGGGAGGTAGTGAAGACAGCCTCGCCAGAAATGTTGGAGCGGGCACCGAAAGACTTGCCAGAGAACATTGGACCATCACGGATGGTGAAGGTAGCAGGTTCCATAGCGGCACGCTGACGCACAGTGGCCATGAAGCGAGCCTGAACAGGTCGCTTCATGGAGGCGAAGGCGGCCCGAGGAGGCATCGCTTTGAAGAGGTTGGAGATCATTTTTTCTTATATGTGACAATTGTAATTTGAAAGCTTTATGCTATTCAGTTAATGTTGGCTTTCCAAAGGTGGTCCGAGATATAGTCCTGGGAGGTGAAGATCGAGGGTGCCAAACACATAAGCGCGACTGAGCAGTGGGCAGTCAGGGTATGGTAGAGAAAGATGGAGGGTCGCTATTTAGCGGAACATGGGGAAATTTTGGGTTTTGGGTTTTGGAGTAGTGAAGGAAAATGGAGAAGAAGGGGAAACAAGAAGTTTTTCATGTCCGACTCCGTGGGCACGTGCTCTCACCGACTTTGCCGTACTCAGCCAATCGGAGCGCGTCAATATTCCGCTATCGGTTTGGGAAATATCTGACTCATCCAATTGCCGCCTTCCCGAGGTCGGCCCGGACAATGATATCAATCAGGCACATAGAATTCTTTACCAGTTTCAATGGGATCATCTCATCTATAGAACATCGAATTGAAAGATAGGCAGAATCATCTCGAGGATATTTGACTGGGATTCTGTCGACTGTACAACATACACCGTACTATTGCCCCACCAAATGGCACATTGAGTTGTCCTGCAGGTTGAACGCCATTGGCCACTAGGAGGTGCTCAATTATCGATAGGTCTCCTGTGTGGCAAACTCGCCGTTCAATTGGAAAATCTCGGTAGGTTGGATTTGTGTCACATATGGGGTCCCTTTAGGGTCAGGGTGGCAGCGCAGTGCTCAAAGGAAGCAACGTTGGCGTCCAAGGGCAACACCGCGGCACATTATCGAGAAATGGAATTTTGGTAGCAGCAGGTATAAAAACCAAATACAGCCAAAACAATCAGGGCAAGTATCCTCTTGTGTTCTTATTACAGAAATTAAACAATGATTCTATCTCAATATATATCCTATGCTCTACTGGCATTTCTTCTGCCCTCGGCGACTTTTGGACACTCCGTTCTTTCGACCTTTGAAGACGGGACCCAGGGTCCACTCCTGAAGTCAGGATGTGATGATGGCACTGGAATTGTTGACCCAGATGGAAAATGTAATGGCACTGGAGTTGTAGATGACCCAATACCTCATGACCGAGAAGGGTTTAGGTTCGAGAACCCATCTACAGATTGCAAATATGCGTCCCAATACTATATCTGGGACTCCTTCAAACACCTCGAGAAAGACATGAGCAAGCTGTTCACGCTGATCCACAAAAATGTCAGCTTCACCGTTGTCGGGCATCACCCGATCGCCGGCCGCTACCACGACCTAATGCATTTCTATGTAAATGCTCTGCGTCGAGTCAGTATGTTGTTTTTTGACCATGCAGATCTGTTTGAGATCCACCCCCAGGGAATCTATGGCGGATGTAATGCTGAATGGTCGGTGGAGGAGATTCAGTTCAAAGGCGTGATGAATTCCGGTGAGTAAGAAGGTGTTCCTATCTTCAGCGTTGCTGACCCACTACAGGCGACAATTTTGACATCATCAATGTCTGGTTCACACGCTGGGATCGTGGTCAGATGGTGGAGATCCGCACGTACATCGACGCACCGATGATCATGGATGCGCTGCACAAGAATGAAATATGGTGGAATGGCACAACCCTCCGGGATAATCTTCAGTATATGCCAGGGCCGGCGGGAATGCCAGATCTGAAAGAAATTGAGGGAATGATGAGATATCCGGATGGAAGCAAATACAATGATTGAGCCGAGATATGAATGGCGAAGAGAGGAAAACAGCAAGTGTATCTCGTACATCGATGTTGTAGTTGAAATTGGAAAGGGGAGATGTCTAATTTGCTTGGCACCAAATACCCCATCCAACCCCTCGCGATGCTCCTAGTTTTCCAGATATGTCTGAGTCAACGCCTCGCAAGCGCTCGCGTTTAGCCTGCAATTCGTGTCAGTCTCGCAAGCGCAAATGTTCAGGTGAACAGCCTTGTAGCACCTGCGCCCAAACTGGTGCGGAATGCCAATACAGTGCGCGTAAGAAACGCGCCAGATCCCATAGTCTGTATACGAGTCTGCTTGATGAACGACCTACAAATGGCTGGTCCAATACAGCCCCCAAAAATATTAATGCCGCAGCTAGCCCTACGGTACAGACTTCTGCCCACCGTACGAGCAGTTCAGAGGGCGTTACCCATTCCCTACAGGCCAATTCTGGCGCTGCCTTTGTTCGCAAGCTTGGGCTGAAAATCGACCCAGCGCATGCACCAAGATTGCAATTGTTTGCCTGGAATGTTGGCGAGAGGCGGACATCGCCAACAGTATCTTCGGCACTTCCTTCGATTCCTGTCACAGCCCCGACGCCGACGACTATCACAAAAATCATCTCACAGGAAGAGATGCGGCGACTAGCAGCGATTTACTTCGAGAAGGTCGATTCATGTTATACATTCTTGGACCGTAAAATGATTTTCACTCGAATCGCAAAGCGCTGGGAATCTTCGCCTCCTATTGATTCCGCAGAACAACCTTATGACGCTGTACTATGTGGCGTGGCTGCCTTCGGGTATCTATTTTCGCGGCGCGAGATCATAGCAATGGAGCTTAGACTCATTGAGACTGCACGCATTCTACTAGATAAGTGTATACTCGCAGCGGAGATACCCTCGGTCGACATGGTGACAGGCTGGGTGTTGCGTGCTGCATATCTACGCATGACAGCTTCACCACATGCCGCATGGATGGCTAGCTGTACCCTGATGCATCTCATCGAGGCTGCAGGATTGCACCTTGAAACATCTGATCCAGAAGCAGCAGGCCTGCTTCAATCACTGCCCGAGACACACGGCAGCCAAAATGGCGATCTAGGAAGCCAGGGCACCAGCGATCCCGAAACCCGGCAAAGGCTCTTTGGCATGGCTCGTCACCTTAACACATGGATATCCTTTGACCTTGGCCGCTCCCGGGTTATTCTTCACGGCGCCACAGCCCTGTCCCCTACAAAGACGCCCGAATCCCACAAACCACCACACCATGCACCAATACGAGGCCCACGCGCCGACCTCTTCCACCTCCTGCCACTTTCCGAAAACCTCGATCCAACAGGATCATCACCACAGGATCTACCGGAACTCGAAACAGCCCTCACCTCCGTCCTGGACCTCCTCTACTCCGAACCGTCCCTAATCTTAGTCCAATGCAATCTGATGCTCTGCATCTTTCGTCGTCTCCGCGCTCTCAATCCACACGGTCCGTTATCCTCTAATCTCCTTGAGCGTGTCCTTGCACTGGCTAGCCGTGGACTCCGCGCAGCACGAGGAATGGTTGCCTCGACCTGTCCCTGGCACCAAGTTGCCAACGTCCCTTTTCAGGTCGTTTGCTCGCTCTTAGCGATCGACAATCGGGCTGCGTTAGCGCTGCTTGCCGACGCGATGCAGACTCTGCGTGAAGTTCTCACTGCGTACGATACATCTTCTATGCGTGAGGCATATTCAACAGCATACCTACTTATTGCGTTGCATCAACGAAGAAAGGAAGATGATACCCGTGCTCTTGCCGAGGTTTTGCGGGTCAATGCTGCTGCGGCGCCCGCCGATGACCAGACCGATAGGCAGATTGCACAGAGCGTGTTATCCGATCAGAGTCAAAGGCATGAGCAAACTGCGCCAGATGTGTCGGTAACAGACGCAGAGTTCTCGTGGCTGGGTGACTTGATGATTGACATGCCTAGTCTGCAGAACTTTGATCTGGATCAATTTTTAATGACGGATGTTCCATGGCCTTTACCGGAGATGGGGATTTGAAGTCTGACTATACACCCTTCTACCTAGGTACTCCCACAAATTCGTAGTTGCCCTTGCCTTCGGGGAGTACCGAGACCTCCTTCCTAATCGGGACATACCAAAAACCATACCGTTTATTCTCGCTCCTTGTTCCTCACTTTGGGTTCCATCCTCATCGTATTCCGGTTATGACACAGAGCAATATGAAATGTGGAGCGATAACGTGGGATAAATTGAGGAGAATAGATAGACACGGGTATCTCCAAATGTCTAGTTGCTACACCAACAAGGTGGAATTGTAGATATATACATAGAATGCAAAGTGATGTTGAGAGTGATAATACAAAATAAGCCTCTAAATACCGCAGATTCACCTAGGCAGAGGGGGGTTATATATCGAAGCTTCTCGAAACTTCCAAAGTCGCACACGTCAAGACTTAATCCCTGACGTCACACACCTGGAGACTGGATCACTGACATTTGACATTCAAGTACACTCGGGCTGGCCTTTTACTCCGTTTTCTTCTCTTCACATAAACCTGTGTGTTTCCAGGTTCTTTTATTCCCTAATCCCTCCACTTTTCAGTCTCAACTTTTCTACATCACTTGCGACCATCAAATCACACCGACTCTCTCTTCTCAAGATTCCGCTTCCATCAGGAATCACCGTTCAGAAGTGTGCATCTCCAGTTTGTTAACGACCTTTTGTGAACCGCATTTTCTTTTTGCTCTTTCCACATAAGACTCAGCTTTACCCCGCACTATGGTTGCCGAGACCAAGCTCTACGATGCCTTGAGCGTCAAGCCCGATGCCACACAAGATCAGATTAAGAAAGCATATCACAAGGCAGCTTTGAAGCACCACCCAGACAAGAACAAGGACAATCCCAATGCTGCTGATAAATTCAAAGGTATGTTACCCCGCACAGTTTCGGGTTGCCACACATGACTAACAATCCCTTAACAGAAGTATCGCAAGCCTATGAGGTCCTATCCGATCCCGAAAAGCGCAAGGTTTACGACCAGTTCGGACTCGAGTACCTGATGCGCGGCGGGCCCCCTCCGCCACCGCCAGGGGGAGGCGGAGGCGGAGCCGGCGGCATGCCCGGAGGATTCAACTTCGGCGGCATGGGTGGTGGCATGCCCGGAGGCGGAAGCAGAAAGTTCCATTTCTCAACTGGCCCCGGCGGCGGCGGTGGGTTCAGTTTCAGCAATGCAGACGACATCTTCCGCAACTTTGCCAAGGCTGGCGGGGGCGGGGGCGGGGGCGGCGGCATGGGTGGTATGGACATGGACGATGAAGATCTTATCTCGATGCTTGGAGGAGGACTGGGCGGCGGTGGCGGCGGCGCAGGCTTCCGTAGTGCCCGTCCTGGATACGCGAAACCCAAGCGCGCACCTACACCTGAGCCGACTATAATCGAAAAAGACCTGCCCCTAACTTTGGAGGAAATCTTCACCGGTACCTCTAAGAAGGTCAAGACAAAGAGCAAAGCCTTCGACAAGATGGGCAAGCTCACTACCAAGGAGGTGACTTTGGAAGCCAATATCAAACCTGGCCTGCGCGCTGGCTCGAAAATCAAGTACAGAAATATTGGCGATCAGGAAGAAGGGGGCCGGCAGGATGTTCATCTGATCGTGAAAGAGGTATGAGCTCGCTCCTGGCTACAGTGATAAGCATATTTGATGAACTAAAACTAACACCTCCTTACAGATCGATCATCCTACTTTCAAGCGCTCTGGTGACAATCTTATCACTACGGTCGACCTCAGCCTGAAGGAAGCACTGACCGGTTGGGATCGCATTGTTCGCACCATTGATGGAAAGTCAATTCGCGTGTCTAAGCCCGGTCCAACCCAGCCCGGCCGTGAAGAGCGTTATCCCGGTCTAGGTATGGTGAGCTCTAAGAACCCCAAGGAGCGCGGCGACCTGGTTGTTCGGGCCAACGTCACCTTCCCCACTAGCTTGAGTGCCTCCCAAAAAGACATTCTCCGGGATGTGCTGCCTTGAAATGGTTTAATCTAATTGCATATACTTGGCGTTTGGGGTGAGACGGGTTGGCGTATCTAATGACAATGACATGAACCTTTGTAAAAGGTACTTCAATAATCTCCTGTTGAGTTGGTCGAGTTAGCGAGCTAGTCTTAACATCTTACTGTAGTATGAATTACACTGTCGACCTCACGGGCAGATCGACCAAATAACGTAATCTACATAAGTTGCAGTCTAACCTAATTGAGCGAATGCGGAGGAACACTTTGGAGAAATCAATTCAGTTCTATTCTTCTTTCACTCCATATCCCTTGATTTGTTTACCATGAAACGAAGAATCACCTTTATCCAGCGGGTTGATGCCGACTTCGACCCGGAGCAAGCTGTGTTAAGCGCGTCATCCCTCTCCGTCCGTAACCTGGATGCCGCGCGGGAGGATCGCATTACGGTCGGACTGGATGAGCTTCCAAAGGAGGTGAGAAGGCATTATTGGTTGAAGAGTATTTTGAAACTAGAGCAACACTAACCTGTTTATTTGGCATGTTTAGTTGCGTACTGTCCTCGAGCAATCTCATGAGCTCCACCTCCGCTGGGCCTCCGAACGGCCTTTTGATGCTGTCGCGCCATTCAGTAGCCGGGTTTCACCTGGACTGCATGTGAATTATACACCGCTAAAGCCGGAGTCATCTTCGTGAGCTCATGTTTACATCTTGAGTTTGGGAGAAGCGCGATTGACTGATTTGGTTATCGATAGGGAGGCACTGTGCACGCTGCTCCGCACGGTAGTCGCGCCCAAAAGTGACGCTCAATACAAGGGTTGTTTGGAACAAGAGGTATTTCACGATTGTCCCTTTCCCTTTGGGGATATTCCTTGACCTTGTTTTGCATGTGTCTGACCTGACCCGAATCTGCTATACAGGATTCGTTCATTACGCCCCCGCTTCTCTCCACACGATTCGCTTCCTCGGCCTCTTTACAATACTACACCCACCTTCCTTCCATCCAGTCTCTGGTGGAATTTATTCAAAGCACTTTCTGTGCCCAGAGTCGTGCAGATGGCGCCGAGTGCCACACTTGGGCCAATGCTCTCCTCTCTGCAGACTCGGTCGATATCGACTATGATAGCATTTCGCACGCATCGACTGTATCCGGGCTCTGGACCAGTCCACCAACGGGCGGTTGGACGGAAGACTTCCAAAAGCCAGCATCCGATGCCGACCAAGTCGAGTTCGGTCTCTTGGGCGCCGAGGGGGGCTCGAGCCGGAGGTGATCAAGATGGGTGGGCTGTTGGCGGTTGTCGGACAGGATAATAAGCTAAGTATGTAGCCTCGGCGGCTCTCATATCGTCTTCCTTTTCTCTATTTCCAATCGCCTGGAATGACTTGACTAACCCTTATGCAGAACCAACAATGTTCTCATTCCCCTCCCGCCACCAACCTCTTACTGAGCCATCGAGTTACACCGTTTCCTTCGCTTCCCCTACTGGTCTACACCCAACAATGTCCATATCCATGCCACGATCATCCCTCAAACGACCCATAGCACCCATCGACGCAACCTGCGCTCTTCACACATACCTCACCCTCCCCTCCGTCATCTTCGGAGATCAATACCAGCTTGCAACAACAGATCCACTCTTCCTCGAGTCACACAATCTAGTAGCCCTGCGTGCCTTAGCAGGCGAAATGGACCTTGAAGCCCCAGACTGGGTGGTTCAGCGCTGGGGCTCCACCTGGCTTCTTGAACTAGCAACTCCACCAGAAGCCGAAGACGCGGCTAGCACACCAGACCCCTCAAACTGGACCACCACTATTCCTCTACATCTGCGCTACCTCCCACCTTCCGAGACAGGATACCGCACTGCCCATGTCCCTTGGCCCGTCGTCTTCTGGGCCTGTACTACCGAAGATGGGACGAAGATGGGTGTGAACCCCTTCGACCGCACAAATCTCGGCTGGGACGGCTTGTTCGGTCCGCGAACCATGTTCTACCAGCTTCAGCCTGCGGGTAATCGTTTGGTTGAGGAGATCGACGTGCCGGTACTACGAATCGAGGGTGGGGATAGCTACTTCCAAGGTAAATATATCGAGTTTGGTACCTGTGTGGCTATCTCACTTGGATTCATGTGGGTGCTTTGGCAGCTTGTTCGTGTTGCTTGGTCATCTGGCGTTGGAAATAAACGTGCTGATGCTGCCCATGATAAGAGAGAATGATTTGTTATGTGATACTGGATGGTTTATTCACTAGCGTTGACCTTTTGTTCATCTTTTTTACTTTAATACTCTTGATTTCGGAGTACTCATCGTACCAGTTCCTTGCTGACGATCTCTAAAGCATGGAAATTTTAGCAAATTTGACTCACAATCATGATTCAACCTCGTTAATGTTCGAACACAGAGTCTGGAATGTAGCCCGCAAGAAAGCACCCTGATCCACCAAGCTAGGACTGTCTATGTATTAGTCTGATGTACAAAACGCCAGTTTTCCAGTGGTCTACGCAGCAAGCTTGAGTCCAAGCAACTTCCCTGCTAGCTAGGTAGGTCATCGGCATTTGATTAAAATGATGCAACATTTTAATGAAGCAAGATATGATTGGGATTCTGCGAAAATGAGAGGCAAATGCTCTTGATCTCAGGGGCATTTAAGATACATCACCGGGGGGGCCGAATGGAAAAGACATTCACATCAGCCCCCGATGAAGTAACCGACAAATGTACCTTGCCCCCAGAAGATTGCTCTGCAACCCAGCCAGGGAATGTAAAGTCTGGAACCAGGGTGACCCCATCTGTACATAAGGGTGCTTTGTGGCCTCAGGGTGGTAGAAGTTGCACCGTCATGTCATTTCGTCTCATTCGCCTTGAAACTAGTATGTTCAGTCACTATTTAGCAAGAAGATCGAGTTAAGTTCGCATGAATACTTTGAAGGACATGTCGGGTGTTGATTGCAGTCATGGCTAGGGTCGAGACTGGGTTCGGCTATTTCCCGTTTCTCGTTTCTCGGGTAGTCAGAGGAGGACTGAGTGGGTGTTGCAGGCTGACCATGGCTTGATTGTGGTAGAAACAAGTTAGCAAGTGTCAGTAGTAGGCAATGGGTATGGTATTAACCCACGTTCCACACAAAACCATGCACTAGCGTGACGCATCATCGCTCTCCTGAAAGAGCTGTTCTCCATCTTTGGTATGATCTTGAAGACCCCATGTGGATTGGTATCCACACATAAAATCCAGTTCAAAGCACCAACGCAGCTGGTCGAACAGTGGGCACTGCATCTCGGAAGTGATGTTGTATGTCACCAACCGGCCTGTCGCGCTTGGACACAGTCGAGGCTGCCGAAGAGTAGCAAATGGCGACGGCTTTGAGAGCCAGTAGAGCCGGTGTGGAAATGCCATTGTAGTGGTTGAAATTTTGAAATTTGCTAGGGACATGGAGGCTTGTTGTCTACCATATGAAATGTTAGCAGTTTTCAGATGCAGATGCTTATCGTGGTGTCACGTTTGTAGAAGCCCGTGTGTGGTTGAATAGGGCACTGGCGAATGTCTCTGCACACTTACTGTAATGCCAGATAAGTTTGGTCTTTGTGATGTGTGTCAGTTTCTCGTGACAACAGACAGTTGATGAGACAAGTGCAAGGAAAGGAACCTGAGATAAAAGCTAGGAGGACATGAGCCTTTCTGTTGAGGCCATGCAGCAAGACTTGGCCTAACACAGACCTTCAAGTGCAACTAGGTACCGTCAAAAGACTTGTATCTATCCTAGGTTAAGGTTGTTTATACATCTAACAGCTGGTAGGTTACTACAGAGACATCTACAAGATACGTGGATCTAGCGAAGCACCTGACCAATAACATGTTCTATTGTAGTTCTAGATACTAAGGACTTGCTTGGTTTCACCATAAAGGCTACTTATCCTGAACACCACGTAAAGGTGCAAGTCTTGTTCAGGGCGTTGCACACAGGACCCGTGCAACTGGGGGGGCAAGAGAAGGGAACAAAACAAACGAACAACACAAAAAGGAACAAGAGAAAGAAGAAACAGACAGAAACAGAACAAGATCAAAACAGGAAACAGACGTGAGAAGGAACAACCAGAAACAGGACAAGATCAAAACAAGAAGCAAACGTGAGAAGGAACAAGCAAGCAGAAGGGGCCTACGGACTACGAAACTCCCGATGGTCGATGGAGAACCCAAGAAAGTACGGTCAGTATCCGCAGAGGTTGCAGGGGCTAGCCACAACATACTTCGTGCCTTTAGACGGGACCGAAGTCCTACCTAGTGTCAGCCTAACCTGGGCCGCGGCAAAGATCCATATGGGGAGTTGAAGAAGGAAAAAAAGAAAAGAGAAAGAAAGTGGGAGGGGGCAGGTATTTATACCCTCCCCAGTGACTGAAGGCAGCGAGGGAACTGGGGTAGGTGACGATGTTCCCAAATAGGAAGGCACCTGTGATTGGGATTGTATGGTACCTTCCCTTTATGGAATTCTTTGTATGAAATGAAAATTTTGCTGCACACCGTGTTAGCATGGCTTTTTTTTTTTTTTTTTTTGATAAAAAGGATCATATCCGACACTCGTGCTAACAATAAGACGTTACAGCCTAAGAAACTACTTGGCAGAAACCCGAGACCCGGTTTTCAGAGCCGCCATCTGTCGAATCCGGGCTCCACAACGGCTCGGGCCGCACCCACACGACGCGAACCTTCATGCGATGCATTCGTTGTCACCGCTCGTGAAACCTCCGGATTGTTCTATCATGTTCAACACACGAAACACCCAACTTATGCGCCATTCATGATTGAATTAGCCGAGTTATCACCAAGTCATCTGGCCAGGTACATCTCGAGAGACTTGCCTTGACTGCAGGTGAAGAGCGTATTGGGTACCAAATGTGCGAGGACATGGTCACACAAGAGGTTACTTACAGAGGAGCCTACGTTCATAAATTTCACCTTATGAAGGTGCCAATGGGATACATATTGAACAATGATGGACATAAAACTTGCGTCAATTCTACTTCTAGCTTTCATCTACAACAATATAATCACGAATAACAGCGGTGCCATTGACCACACTTGCAATCTGGTCATCGGTGCATGTAGACTCCAGGGCAAGGATATAACAGACCGGATCCGGACTCTCTGGAACGTTGTTCTTGATATGCCAAGTAGACGCAGGCCCCTGTGTGGTATATGAGCCATTACGTGCAGTGTTGATCTTGCCTGTGGCTAGATCACGGTTGAAGAGTGCACGATAAAAGATCTCATATGCAGTCTGTGGCTGATAGGCTGGGACTTCATGACCAGCATCATAGACACGGGTGAAAGAAAAGTTGCCATGCTGCCGGACCTGGCCCCCAACATACGAGGAGTTCGTGCGTAGAGGTGTGTACCCAGCAGACCGGAAACCAGAAGCACCAGCATGGTCGACCAGCAAGCTAACGTCTTCGCCTCCGATCCAGTTGCAAGCGTAGTCGCTGTCGCCGTAGACAAGAGCAACCTTGATACCAGAGTCGAGCACGTACGCCAGGTCTTCGAGGTAGCCATGCACGTCAGAACGCGGATAGTCTCCGACAGAGTTGAAAGCTTTATAAGCACCGTCGCTTGACTCAGTAAAATTAATCGGGACACCCAGAGCGCCTTGCACCCAGTGCTGGTTCAGCCAGCCTAAGTAGTAGGACGGCGGGAAAGGATCTGGTTCCTTGTGGGTAATGTCGTAGTAACTGCGGCCTGCAAATTCTACATATGGACCTTCGACGTTGTTTCTGCAGAGCTTGTCGGCATTGCGGCAAGCTTTGTTGACGGTTTCATTGTTGCCGTACATTTGTGGGTCGCCCTCTGCGGCCAGCGTGCGACAGTGTGTGATCAGGTCCTTGCATCCGCCAGGGCGACTCCATGCTTCCATGGCATTATCATATACGGTCTTATTGATGGTTTGGAGGTCATAAGTATTGTTGTATGCCATGACTGGATATGTTGGCGCCTGTACCAGGAGATCGATACAGCCGTTGATGATGCCTAGTGTATCCAGGTGAATGTAGTGTGATGCACCGGGGGTATCGATGCTGCCATTTTCTATTTTCTTGTTTTGCTCCTGAAAGAAGGCAGTAAAAGATGGGCCGTAGCGACCGCCGTATGACTCAGTCCAGATGCTGACTCGGTCATCATGGGGCTTGTAATGTGGAAACTCGGTGAACCAAGTCTGGGCAAAGTGCCACAGTGACCGCGCAGAGTTCGCAGTACTATTAGCCACTGTCGACTTATCTTGGCTAGCTGTCGTGCCGACATAGAAAGTGTTATTCTGCTCGGGCACCCCGGCCCACTCCGACAAGTTCCAGGCACCTTGGACTTGATCAAAAGTACCATTGGTCGGGACATCATAACTGAAACCCACCTGATTGGGCTGGTCAATGTACAGCATATTGACATAGTTATTCCAGGACCAAGGATTGAGCTCCGTGGAATTGGAATCCTCGTTGACAATACAGGGTCCATTTTCCTGCATGAGGCCAATCATAGAGGAGCTTCCTGGACCTCCATTCATCCATATGGACAGCGGTGCATTTTTGGGGTTATGGCGAGACTCGAAAAACCAGAAGAAAGTATTGATGGGGTAGTCTTGATCAACATTTACATCGTCTAGAGAGCCTGGGGGTAGATGCACGTAACCCGAATATGATCTCACCCCTGGAGTTGTTTCACAGATCCCAGGCTATGTGGTTGATCAGTATGAGATCATATGGTATAGCCGGCCCTATAATGCTTGCATAGAAGCTTGAGAGGAAGAACCGCACCTGTTTGTATGAAATCTTGACTCCCTTTTGATGCTGCGATTCAACTACCTTCAACCCATCTGGTATGGGCGGGAAGTACTGCGCCGCAGCAGTTGCTGCCAGAGCAGCGGTCCACAAATTAAGCATGACCTGGACAACACCCAGGGATAATATAAGAAGAAATGAAGAGAAGAGCTACAAGGAAATGTACAGCTATGAATCGTAGGTAGCAAGTGTATGCGGTGTGAGGGGTCCCCGGGAAGCAAGGAGGTTGGAAGTGCCAAGACAAACCCACCTGATATTCAATGCCCTAGCTTTCTTTCACCCATACAGATTTAGAGAAATTCATTTACTACCCGGCATCTATGATGTATCAAATAGAGAATGTTTAGTATTGTATGGCACTAAATACTTTCAAACTTGAAGATCTCAACTGTCTGCAGTTCCCAAATCAAACTCCTTAGATATCTTCGCCCTAAAGTCCTTGACGGTTCAAACAATTTTGACATGGAACAGATACCGTTGACGAATCTGTGCTGGGCTGTTTGCGACATACTCAGAGTGGTAAAAACTCCGGGCATGGCTTGCAGTCACTGTCCCCGCGTGAACATCTGGCACCTTGGACCCCTTGAAATCTGGGTGAATGTATTCAGCATCGCGCCATGCTTTGTGAACAGTGCCACCAATAACGTGTCGAGAGAGGGCTGCAGATTTGCCCAGTTCGACTTCACATAGCAACATCAAGGCTTCCCCTTTCAGTCGGCAATATCCTGCCGACTTTGTGGATATGTCGGCAAAGAACACCCCAGAAACGAAGTGCTTCCCATCGGTACTGACAATTCCATCGCCACGCAGCCCTTGGGTCAAGATCCCTGCAAAATTACTAGACATTGAGCCATGCCACAGAAGCCGTCGGTCTCCGATATCAGCAAGGTTTGCCTTTTCCCACTGAGCGAAGCGCTCTGCTTCCCCGGGACGTTCGAGACGGAACACACCGATGAGCTCCTAGGAAGGTGAGAGCATTAGCCTAAGCTTTTCACAGTGTGATCTGAATGAAGCTTGCCTGGAATTGACACGGATGGTTTGGACTTGAACTCTTTTCAAGATACTCCTGGAGCATCTTGAACTCTGTCGAATCTCTATTCACTACCAACAAGGTTAGCTTCATGCTTTGGTAGTTTGCAAAACATTCAAAAAGTTAGATCAGTAAGACCTAAACGGAGATATACCTGGGAGCATTTTTGCCAGACCAAGTGCTTGGCATATCTGGCTCATGGCCAATGAGACAGACCGGGATTCTCTTTCCAGAATCTCACTGGCATCGTACAACTTGAGTAAAAGCTCAAGGGATTCCAGTTCCTGTCTGACGGTATCATTGGTGCCAGAAAGAGGCAGATTTGTGAGAATCAGGCTTTCGTAGATATGGCACAATCTTCTCTTTATTATGGAATGTTTGTCAAGCGCCATCCCGGGGTTTGTGAGTTCCATCAGCTTGCCCAAAATTGCAATACTTATCAGGAGTTTCTTCTTATCCACTTTGTTTGTGAGCGCGATGCTACGCCCATGATGGTTTAGCAATCCGAGGTAGGTTTTGAAAGTTCCTGTTGTGAATATGATGCTCAAAACATTTTCAACGCTTGCAGGTAATGTGGTAATCTCGCTGGTGAAGATGGGAGCCTCCCTATGATGCAATTCAAGGAAAATCCAGCCTTTTGACGTAGGAACATGATGTCTGTCTTCCCAGGCTAGACCACTCAACAGCTTGAACTTCTCTTCGAATGTATCCTTGGCCGACTCGAAGGTCCCCACATCTCCAATTGATTTTGATTCCTTAGATGATCCAAATCGGCACTGCAAGTCCCATGTGTGGAATATTTCTAACTTTCGATCAACGAGAAGTTGGATGCGCACAACTTCGACTGATTTTCTCTTATAGGCTCTGACCAACGTGGCATCCCATATCAGCCCTGTATCGTCCTGCCAGACGGAAAGCGTAGCACCTAATATTAACCGAGTGTTAGATATCCAGGTCGTGAGAATATTACATCACAGCACTAACTCCGGTCTGGGTATTTCTCGTCAACCAGTTCGATCAGATTCTCCAGGTTGATCTGTTCTTCATCCTTGGTTTTCTTTGCAGAAGTGCCTTCGTCGTCCCCGAGCGAAGGACCTCGCTCACGCTTTTTGCCTTTGGCCTTGATGTCTTCATGTTTCTCCTTAAGTATCTCCTTTTGAACACTTTCCGGAACATGCTCTTTGATCTTTGTGAGCAGCCAATCCATGTCCACAATTTGGCAATCCTGTAATTGCTGGGCCCGATTGACTGGAATGAAATCATCCTATTAGTCGATGCTTAGATGAGATGGGGCGAAACTTGATGACACCAACTCTTTTTCGACTTTCTCTTGAGACAATTTTCTGTTGTCACCAGATGGGTACATTCGCTAATGTTCAACGCGGCGAACTTCGCACCACATCTTTCGACCAGCCGCTTGATTTGGCCTAGATAACGGAGTGTCACTCGCCAAACAATATCTTGGAACTACATATTCTCTCTCTCTCTCTTCTTGGTCTTTCATGAAGGAAACTTACCATGTTGATAGCCAGGGATTGTCCCACTGGCACCGATGACCAGCCCCTTCAGGATGCCGGTCAGATTGTCTATTGATTCGTTGGAAGCCATCTTCTCCGATAAACCAACTGGCACTCGTGCTACTCTATGAGAATATTCAAAAGAGTATCAAAGATGAAGGAAAGGGCGCGTGAAATTAAATCCAGAATATGGTTGCAGAAGAAGCCGGCTGCCCTTTTAAACTATTGATGCCCTGTGATAATGGCCTTGTCCAGCAAACAACCAACAAAGACAACCCCAGGTTCTCCTTTCAAGCTCACGGAATATTCCAGTGGAGCCTGAGGCTGTAGATTGCAAAGCCTATATCCAAAACCATCTGGCAAATTTCCAGATCAAGTGGCTTATCAAGAACTCCCCTGCATATTTGATAGTCAAATACCAGAAGTTCAAGAATGTGTACTTGGATGTTTACAGAAAATCAGTGTATGCTGAGTTTGGAATTTGTTGATTATTGTTTAAGCAAAGCAAAGCAACGTCCATTGGATGGCAATGAGTGAGACTAGGCCGTCCCACTGGATTTGAAAATGAAGATAAATCACCGAAAGAACTGCCAGACCGTACTGTCCGCGCTCCATCAAGATACGAGGCCAATTAATGTCGATAAAACGCATCTAGTTGCAGGTAAAATAGTTGAAAGCCACAGGAGGACCAAGTTCGATCTCCTCTGCCCAAGCATCAAGGTCGTACCGTATGCGATTCAACATGCTAATATTGTTTCCACCAGCAGGTGCATAGGCCGTGAAATTCAGTCGTTCCGGCTGTTCGTACAGGAAAAAGAGGTACCGGTGAGGCGCGCTGATAGGAGGGGGAGCAGGGCTGAGGTAATCGGCGACGAAGGGTTGATCAAACTTGAGTGTCGCGTCGCTGGTGACCTTGACATCGGACTGGATCCAGTGAAGTATGGGGCTCAGGATTGCGAAAGCGGGGAAAGGTGCGTCAATATCCAAGCTCACAATCAGGTAAGTGGTGGTTGGGCTAGCCCCGGCAAAAGAAAGCTTCGGGAGCTCCTGGGCTTCTACAGCTTTTGTCAGTAGATAGTCCAATTGCCCACCACATGACTTGGATAGAGAAAAGGAGAAGAGATCAAGAAATGGGCTGGTCCGTAAAATTGCGGGCAATCTGAGTTCCTGGTTGCACGTTCTCATGGATGCCAATCGTCAAGCCAAGGATCTTTGTCTTATCCTCGATGAGAGAAAAGGCCGCTCTGATGTGGTTATCCGAAGGTATTTTGGAGGGGAGAATGTGATGATAGCTAATGACGAAAGGATAGGATCTACCTAGGTAGGATGTTTTGGACAAGGGCACCCTGCAGGGTCTTGAAACTATGGCACGAGCTTTCGGACTCAACACGGAGATGACCATGTGACATCCACGGATCTTTTCTTTTTCGGTGCTCATAGGCTTTTGTGCGATGTCGAATGTTCAAAAATCTCCCTTGGATTGTCATAATCAAAGCATTTTATATTTTGACACTAGATCTTGTTCATCTTCGGCATCCTTGTTGCAGTTGGAACGAATGAATTGTGGACCTGGTGATGGCTCACTCCTCGATCACCTTAGTGACCATAACTCGCACGCGGGCACTGCCCTGATCGGGGTACGGGGTCCCAAAATCACGCGCAAAAGCAATGTCTTTTTCGCTGGTCTCAAACAATTCCATGTCAAAACGACGAACGAAAGCCGCCAGTACAAGAAACAGTTCCGCATAGGCCAGGCTGCAACATCACGTCAATTAGAGATTGGGAACAGGGGAGAAGGGTCCGAATAACATACTTCATTCCCAAACATATCCGACTGCCTTTGGAAAAATTGACCATATATTTATCCAGACGCTCCCCTTTCGCAGCGGCACGTAGCCATCGATCTGGGTCGAAGGTATGCGGATCGGGGAAAATTTCGGGGTCAGTAAGAACGAAATAGTTGGTCTCACTAACTGGAGTCTATATTTCCTTGTCAATGTACATTCTGAGTTAGGAGCTAGTAAGGATGACTTCACATACTCCGGCAGGAATACTATGATTCTTGTAGACCAGTGTTTCATCAGGTGCGACACGAGGCGATCGACTTGCAATTCCAGTAGACACACGTAATGTCTCCCAAACAAGTGCAGACTAGGATTTGAAGACAATCAGTCATTAAATCTATGACAGGGCCATAGACAGATGTATTATCACGTCATGGCAAAGAGACCTTACCAAATATGGCAACTGTTCAAGCTGCCTCCATGTTGGTCGAGACTCGGGAGTGGGCATCACCGTCCGCAGTTCCTCTCGCAACTTCGTCTTGATTGATTTATTCTGCAAGAGGTAAAAGGCCGCAATAGATAGTGATCGGGCAGTTGTCTCGGTGCCACCGATGATCAATGAAAACCCCTCATTGCTGAGACGAACAACGTCGCGCATATCCTGCGGCATACTGGGGCCACACATAACTTCCATGACGGAGGGGGTTGTCGATTTTGACGGCTCGCTTTGCAGGAATTTCTCTGTCCGACGAAGAAGGTCTAACTTCTGGCTCACTAATGCATACGCAAATGGGTTAAATTTTTCGAGCAGCCACAACGGAAACGAGTTGATGATGGTTTGAAGGACCGGGAAAAAGAATATGACGTGGCTGATCTTGAACAGTGCGTTGATTCCATCTCTCACACTGGAGTTGAAGTCATCATGGTCAAGATTCCCACTGTTGAAACCAAAGGCATATTTGTGAATGACATCGGAAGTTAGTCCAGCAAAGCCAGCATCGAGGTTGATGACTTTATGGAATTCCAAGGCGCGCTTGAAATGATTGTCCAGTTTGTCAATATTTTCATAGATCAAATACTCTATATTGCAGACAGCCTGCTTGGAGAAGTGTTTCTCAATATGTGCACGACGCCTCCGGTGGTCTTCTTGAGAGATACTGGCAAATGCAGTATCCTTGAGATCGAATCGAGCGACCAAGTCAGCGGCCTTTTCGCGTCTGAACTTGGTCGAGGTGTATATCTCATCGTAATAGCTGGAGTCCTTGATATGTACCTCAAGAGGGGTAATTCGTATAATGGGCCCTCAAGAACAGTTAGACTGATGATACTGCATATGCCTTGTTTAATTCACCATATATTTCATGTAAACGCTCCAACTCCCATATGAACATTCCTCCCTTGATCACATTGAAATAAAATTCATATCCGCTTGTGATAGCGGCGAGTTTTGGCCCGGGAATCTTGCTGAGAGGGTGGAAATATAACCGATAGATGCTTTTGACAGCGACATATATCACCAATCCACCTATTCCCAGTGCTATGAGACTAGCCATGTTCCAAAATCGTCCAGAGAGTACTAGAATCAAGCAGAGTAAACATTTACAAAAGGATGGCCGGAAATCAGGGGACCGAAAGAATTGGGGTGGGCTCGCACACGGGAATAATGGCGTCGGGCTAGTTAGAAGGGGGTACTTGGCAACGCCAAGAGAACGAAGACCAGCATATATCAATGGCTAGCTTTATAGCCCTAACCCACATTGGATCCTCGACCGCTGCAATATCGCAATAAATGCCTAGATTGTGATAGTCCATGCCTCTGTGCCGCTTTGTCTTTGGTGTTGATTTTCATGTCGAGACTGGCCAAAGGTACTAACCACTTATACGGGGTGATTGTGAGACAATCTACGGTCTCACTAAATCCTAAATCAAGAACCTGCATATGTCAATATAATTACTGATTTTGATCCCTGCTTAGCGGGTCATCTTTTTGGCGCTTTCTAAAAACAGACTATCCGAAGTTTGATATTGTTGGCCAAACGCAGATCAAGATTGAGAAGAATTGAAAACTAAGCCTACCTTATAGGTTAACTGAAAATAGATAAAGTGAAAAACATACACCAAGATGAACTGCCACACGCTCAGCTCTCCATCATCAGCTCTCTCTATAGGTGTAACGAAGGTGTGTATGGTCTGAATAGCAGATTCTTGTGCACAAGTGAGTCAAAGCGGTCGGCTAGATTGACTGCCATTTTCTAAAGAATGAAAAAAAAAAAAAAAAAAAAAAGATAAAAACGTGGTCCATTGGCTACTTCACTACCCTGCTAGGATAGAGTCCATTCATCACAAAGTTGGAAGATGAGAGAAGCTGGAAAAGACACTGCCACACTGAATACCTCGAGGCCCACCTAAAGCTTTTCCTTGGAGCGCTTTCGCTTCAAGTTTTTCATCTCCATTGCGGGTTTCACGTAATAGTCGAATGGTCTGATGCGCTTATAAACAGGCGCTCGGTTCTTGATGAGACCTTGCGCAACCGAACATAGAAATGCCTTTGTGAAGTTCCCAGAGAGACATCCTCCTGTCGCGCCTCTCACATACATATCCACAAACAGCTTGCGAATTCCAGCAGACTCAGTCGTCTTGTAGTATGCAAGGTTGATCGTGTCGTAACAGGGAAGATAGTGCGTCCCACTTCTTGCACCACTTTCATAGCGCTTTTCGACAATTGCATCGAGCACAGAATTCTGAAACTTGATGTCGAGCAATTTATCACCAAGCACATATGCATTGACGAGATCATGGTACACGCGGGAGGGTTTCTGTGCTTTTCCGTGACTTGCTGCATCTTTGGGAACCTCGGGAATTTTGGCAAAGTAAAGCCAGTGTGAGTACAAGGTAAAAATTCGGGGATCATCTTCTGGGAGCTCAAAGGTGCGCGCCTTGGATTCCTTCCATGGTCCCGACATAGCCTTTTCGAGAAAAGGAGACGAAGCGCAGATGATTGATTTATGGACATGAAAGGGTTCCTTAGATGCTCCCACCGCAATTGTCAGGGTTGGTCCTTGAATTCTAAGCCAGCTTAGTAGCCGCAAGCAAACAAATTCAGTTGGAATACTTACTTCTTGATGTCACATCCCATCTTTTGCGCAGAGCTTTGAGCCATTTTGTTTTCAGTTTGAACTCCAGAGAGCTTTAAAAATTGGCGTGAAGATTGCACTTGAGAAGCCTGTGACGGAGGAGTGTTCAAATTTCGTCTCAGGCCGTGATATGATATATCGTGTGAAAGTTTGTAACAGTCATGCAATCGACGGGTTAAATGCCACCTTGAGATCTTCGAGGTGGATAAGGAGAGATGAGCCAGATAGGTAGACGAATCCAATTCAAAGGGAGAAGAGTAAATTAGATAGCCTTGGAGCCAATCGTTAGCAAAAATATACCAGATATTTTCTTTGGCTACTGACCATTAGACCTCGGGTCTAGAATAGTAAAGTGTAAGTGATTGCAAGGAGGTTGAAATAATTTCATGTGCTAGATTGAGTCTATACTGAAGGAATAATAAGAAACAGTTCCTGGCAAAAGCGAGGTATTGTCCACCTAGAAACAGTATGATGAGAAAAGTAATCAGATAATCGTAAGAGAGGCATTCCAATCCAAGACCGCATAGTAAATACAACCGAGCTATCCAATGGTTATTCATGTAGTCTATGCACGCTGTTCCACAGAAAATATGTTCTTCATCTGAATTGCCTTTGTGATGAACCGAGGCGAGTTGCCTGTGGAAACCCAAACGTTTTTGAGTATGCCATCTGTTCATAGACCGCTATAAATATAGGGTACGGTGACGTTGTCACTATATTATAAGGATCTTTATCCGTTATATCTAGTCAGAACATCGATAGTACGTTAGGTTAGTATACAAAGCCCTCTGAACGGTAACCTACTATATACCAATATCACTACTCTCTATTTATATTCAAATTACTCAAAAATAGAGCCAAATTACTCAAATAATATAAGTCACGAGGTCAAGGGAATCTGCTGCCCAGCAACTGATGCGGTTGTATCATGTCCCATCAATTTCTCTGCTTTTCCTCCTTCCTCCCCGTCTGCCCCCTCTACGGGCGACTATTGCGACCAGCAATACTCCGTGCATAACCCTCTTATTGAGTAATATTGCCAGGCAGTATTCGGATTCACTCTCACATCACAGGAACTAATCATGTATTTATTAAATTGAAGCGTATCAAATTGAAGCGTATCAAATTGAAGCGTATCAAATTGAAGCGTATCAAATTGAAGCGTATCAAATTGAAGCGTATCAAATTGAAGCGTATCAAATTGAAGCGTACCAACTCGAAGGATATAGATTGAAACATAAATTGAAGTTTATAGAACAAAAGTATACTACTTATTTGAATTTCACGAGATCGAAGATCAAAATTCAAGTTTATCAAATTGAAGTATATCAGATCAGTGTAGACGGCCGCTTCTACGGCCCTATAATATCTGTCTTACAGGGCTTTTTAGTGGTCTTCTTAGCAGTCTTTTCAATAGCTATCTCGGTACGCTTCCCGGGTTTTCTAAGACATCCATTAAAATAGTTTCCCACTTTCCAATGTTATTGGGTAGACGGCAGAAAACGGGGGAAAAATTGCAATGGCAAGAATATGCCAGCAACAAGTCAGACTGGAAAGGTTGAAGTAATATTACATGGTACGATGTCTAGGTCACACATTCCCAGCACTCGCGAAAAGAAAGAGTTGAAGAGCCTACAGAGGACATGAAGGAGAGGCTAATCATTGGTATAAAAGAATTTAATTGACCAAAGCCAGCGATAAAAGCAGAAGATCAATGTCAAAAGGAGTGTATTCCAAGTCCAGAAAATAGGATATAATGCAACTCGAGCGAAAGCTCTTCAAATAAAGAGCAAGGAACCCGAAGACTCCCGACCTGACCCAGGAATAAAAAAGAGCAAAGCAAATACTCCCCACTCGCTAAAATGCAAACACGCTAAAATGAATGGCAGAAACTAACATAAACCCCTTTTCTCAGAGGTTAGAATGGTGGTAGGATGGATGTAGATCGGTAGAGCCTCCAGGAGCACCGCAACAAGTCAAATGTGTATACAACGCGCGAGGAAGCGTGCAAGGTGTGTGTCAAGAATGTGGGAACGAGAAGGCTGAGGCAAGCGCAGAGAGGAAGCAGAAAAACATTTAATCAAGTCCAAGCTCACTCAGCCCTGGCATGGGGCAAGGTGGTATCCGTTTTTGTTCCACCAGGAGACTCTTCGTGTTCTTCGCGATCAGCAACGACGTGCGAATATGACCGTTCAGACTTCTGGCCTTCGGGTTCGTCAATCTCAGCTCGAAGCTTGGCTTCAATCTTGTCGAGGGTCTCTTCGACCTCGGGCGTATCATCGATATTGGGTGCAAGGTGGGGCACATCGGGAGACTTTTCGAGTCGAGGAGATTGCTCGGGTACAAGTTGCTTCTCGTTTTCCTTCTCGTCTTCTTTTCCTGTCTTCTTCTCTTGTTCGGCAGCCCCGGTGGCAGTGTGGTCCTCGAGGGTGATGATGTTATCCTCGATTTCAGACTCGCCGTCGACAGAGTGGAACTCGTCCTTCTCGGTCGGTGGCTCCGATTTCGTATCAGTGAACTGATCATCGCTCGTGACAGGAATATTAGCAGAGCTCTTAGCTTTCTGCTGAGGAGGAAGCGCATGGGGAGTGTCATCCACATGTTCAATATTCTCTGCTGACTCGGTGACGTCTGTGCGTGAGGTATCACGGCTTGATCGTGAGAGAGCCGTAGGCGACGTTGAGGCACGGCTTGAGCCAGAGCCCCAGATGTGGCGTGGATGCCGTGGAGGCAAGGCAGGTGGGGTGCGGGCTGGGATAGTGACGAGACGAGCCCGGGTGAATGTCGGCGACGCAGGCTTGTTGTTGCCGTTTGTAGTCTGGTGCTCCACCTTCGTGGGGGAGGCTGGGACATTCTCCATTGGTGTGACCTTGGCATTGGTAACCTCGTGAACTTCAAAGTGCTCGTCGTCATCCTCAAGCTCAGGATCATCGTGCAAATCTTCGCAGGCGTTCGCTTTCGCTCTTCTATCCTCGGCCTCCTGACCCTCCAATTGCCGTATCTTCACCTGCTCTTCATTGCCGTGAATAGCAATCGTATCCCACTGAGCGGAGTCCTCGGTCTCATCCCAAATACTTTTCGATGGACGGCCGATGGGCGATTCCTTGGAGCTAGGAGAAGACGCACGGCTCACTGACGTGAGCTCAGTTAGCAGGGTGTCATCAGTCTGCGTGCCGCGCTCGGCACTAGCATAGCTTTTGGAGCTCTGCACGCTCGCGCGCCAGCTATTGCGTGGCGAACTATCCATGCTGCGACGCGAGAAAGTGCTATAGATGGGACTGTCCAGGTTGGGGCGAAATTCAAAAGTCTCATAGCTTGGTCTTGCTTTTGTGCCGGCCTCGCGGATAAAAAGTCCCTCCGCCTCCAGCGCCTTCACGCCATACGGATCGGGGTCGTCTATAGCCGGCACACCGAAGGCATGTTGACCGTCTTCTGTCAGCTCCATATCGCCAGGTGTTTCGCCCGGTGGCGGGACGAGACTCTCATCAACGTCAGAGTCGCCCTGTGCGGCCTTCAAAGTTGCCATGAGCGTATCGAGCTCGCGAGGTGGATGCCGGACTTTGCCGGAGAGAATCTGGTCGACGGATATGCGCTCGCCGTAGAAGCGTTCGTTCTCGTCCGTTCGCTCAATGATGACTGTGCCGTCGACCGCAACGCCTGCATACAGCCCTTTGCTCTTCATATATGTCCAAATTGGTGCCTGACGTTTGTGAACCTCGGATTCGAGGACACCACCGATACCTACAGGCCCCGCAGCTGCGCTGATCTCGCCACCAAGCGTGCATCTGAATTTCTTGAATGCATCCAGCGCGTCATAGGTGTTGATGATGACCACGCAGTCATAAATGTCAACGCCAGCGAGAAAACCTATACCGGCTGTGTGTAACATGATACCAGATGGTGGACTCCATTCGCCGGTGTCGGGGAGGCGACCGATCAGCACGCCACTGCCACCAGAGCCACTCACCCATAGACCTGTACGCATGGTCGTGAAGATAGCGATTCCCTTGGCGTTTTTGAGGACTTTTGTTGGGATCTTCTGGATAACGCGCTGCGGTTTGCCTTTAGGGCGATTAATTTTGCCATTCTCATCAATGCCGGTTGAAGTATCGGGAGCATAAAAGCCGTCTTTGCAAAAGCTACGCAGGATTCGTGCGGCTTTATCGGCTTCCTTGTCGATTGTCATGGGCCAAAAGGCTTCGGCGCCCAGCTTGTGCGATAAGCGGTTGACGGGGCCGCCGAGTTTGTCGACGGTATCCCATGCTTTGTCGAAGCCTTTTTTTGAGATGCTTTTAGTTTTCTCCCAACGATTTGGAGCCATAGCGAATAGTTGCCAGGCAGAAGAAACCTGGAAGTTATTATAGAGTATTTGAAGAAGCAAAATTTGGTGGCGCAAAGTGTGAGAAGCTGATCAAGGCGCACTCTATACACGGAACACTATGTCACGCCGTGAACAGCATGGGATCCCGACAGATTCTGGATGCGGGAATGCTAAGAGAAATTCCAGGAATGCGAGGAATGCAGATGCAGAGTGGATTAGAAAAGTTATAAAGAGGGATCTCGGCTGAGACGGAAGTATTTAAGAGGGCCTGGACAATCAATCTGCCTCCATCCATTTCCAAGGTTCGGAGAGGCAATGTCATCATCCATGGATTCAACTGTATTTTTGGGGTATTTTTCTTTTCTCTCTTTCTTTTTCTGGTAACTTTCAAAACTCTTGTAAATTATTATATATATACAATATAACAATATAACAATATATATACTTACTAGTAGAACTTATTGATATATTTCCATTTGAAATAGATTTCTCTACATCCGACTCTTAGAAATGACCAGTCCAGATACATACCTCCCCCCACTTGGAAAAATTAAAAACAAAAGCCCTGACCTTCAACGCATGTCAAGACAGTTCCTTTTACTGTATATCTATTCGGTGTTCAGTGCAAGAAAAATCCCCCTTCCATTCAGAACATGGAACTCATTGTCATCGTAGATTCCTTTCCTTGAACTTGCATCTTGAAGCAGTGGATCCCTTAGATGACAGCTCAGCCTAGGCTGATATCGGGGGCAGATCGACCACGCTATAGGCAATGTACGCATCCGTCGGCTTGGTTTTCCTGTACTCCCTTGTGATTTGAGATTCAACATCTTTTCAGCTGGGACGCCAGCGCATACTCTAGTCCCCGGTAATAATACAATCTGCCAGATCTTTTCGTGCTGATCCCATAGCGCTAATGTACTTGGGTTGATCGGGAAATTGCATAATCATGTACCATATCCTCGTTGATATGGTGCTCTGCAAAGGTAAGAAACTCCTTTTTTGAAAAAAAATAAAACCTATCTCATAACTGTGAGGCTCTCGGAACCTTTCATCACAGCCAATAGCGGGAAGTTAGGGACTGTGGCTGACAATGGGAGTATATTATTGCTTCGGGCTGAGATACAAGTTGGGTGCTGTATAGATCCGATTGGCTAGATTGACGAGCTATCAATAAAGATACCTACCTTCCGAGGTTAGGTCGGAAGAGTAATACATATGGCCACACATGTTCCGTATACTATTACTCCATAGTTCCTCAAGACCGCGAGATCTAGCCACTCTAGCGCGGCTGTGGCGAATGTGATCCACGATGCTGCAGTAGTGTGCCCCCGGTTCCTCCTGCGAACCATGACTATAAATCCTTAGCGAAAGGATGCCTAATTAAGCACAACGCCAATTGGGACTAGTGAACCCAGTGCAGGCTGTCAATTATAAAGAATATCTTGTCATTCATATGAAGATCTAGCATCCAACACATGCACACATGTCTCGCCCCAGGTCCATCAGAAACCGTGGGAGAAATGCGCAAGACGAATCCAAATCTAGTGGGTAACATTTAAAGGCGATGGTATAGAAACGCAGTGCAATCAAGAACAAGCCGAGCGCATTTACAACGCACCCAGCTCCTTAAGCTTGGAGACAAGGCCATCGACATCTTCGACCTTGCCACCACCCTTTCGTGGCGGGGGTTCTACAAAGCATTAGCTCAATCCCACGAAATAGAAGAGCCACCAAAAAGTACGTACCGGTAACCTTCAGAGTCTTCAACCGCCGGGTATCTTCCACACCAAGATCGGCAAGGGTCTTCTTCTCAAGGGGCTTCTTCTTGGCCTTCATAATGTTGGGCAAGCTAGCGTACCGCGGCTCGTTCAGGCGTAGATCCGTAGTGATGACCAGAGGCAGCTTGGCGCGGAGAGTCTCAACACCACCGTCGACCTCGTGGGTAATCTCAACGGTACCAGCTTCATCCTTAATATCAACCTTGCTGGCTTGTGTAGCCTGGGGCCACCCAAGTAGACCAGCAAGCATCTGACCAGTCTGACCCTGGTCGCCGTCAATCGCCTGCTTACCGAGCAGCACAAGGTTCACGTTCTGCTCCTTAACGACGGCCTGCAGCATCTTGGCGATGGTCAGCGGCTCTGGGCCGCCGTCGCCCTTATCCGGTACGTCGATGTGAAAGGCTCGGTCAGCGCCCATGGCCATGGCGGTGCGGAGGACGTCAGGGCATTTCGGGCCACCGGCGGACAGTGCGAGAATGTCTTCGACCTTAATGGGGCCCTTGCGCTCGCGAAGGCGGACGGCCTCTTCGATTGAGAGCTCGTCGAATGGGTTCAGGGAGTGCTTAACACCTGCGGTTTCGACACCAGTCTGGGCTTTGTTGATGCGGGGTTTGATCTGTTGCGTTCAGATGTGGGTGTCAGTCACAATATCCCAATCCCAGAGTGAGTGGTGGGGGCCATGGAGACCCTGTTGAGAGGTACAGCTCCGAGCATCGGTCGCCCGGAGCTGCACTTGGAGGGGCCATCGTTGAATGGGCACTTGACCTACCGCGTAGTCAATCACGCGCTTGACGGGCACCAATATCCTGAGGCCGCTCATTTTGTGTAGTCAGTAGTTGAGCAACAGCCAATTCCTGAGTTGATGTAAGGAAGGTTGGAGACTTGGAGGGAGAAAGCGTGCGGTGACGGAGCGCCAAGAAATCAAAAACGCCGACGCGGCCCGAGTTTAACCCTCCTCCCCAGAGTACTGTGGAGTTTTGCGGCCATACTAACAACAAGCGCTTGGGGTCGGAGCACCAATGCCGCGGAAATCTCACAGGTATTAAACATCTTTCCAAGGTTTAGAATGAGAAGGCCTGACTTTTCAGCACCGTTTCAATCTCTTTACCCTTGGCTAATAGTTACTCATGGAGACTTTCTTGTACAATTGTATCTAAAAGTATGCCATATAGCGGCACTTTGATAGACCAAAAGGAGTATGATTTCATGCGAAGATACCAGGGGGGCAGTCCAAAAGAAATCCTACTCAGTGTATACTCGTTAGCTCAATTTCATCATATACATACTACTAGTGAATACCTGGACAGTCTCTCCTCTCCGCATATAACCGTTTATACTACACCTCATTACATCCTTGCTCTCCTGCTAGATCTTGACGGTTAAGATTATTACTCCCGGAAGCTATAGGATCAAGACTTATAGCACTAAAATACTGATACAGATAAGCTACAGCTTGTAGCGTGCTCTTCATATATATATATATATCCATACTCCATACTATCTAAGCAGATACCCATTTTTGTTCATAATCAGATAGACCTTGAGAAAATTAACATGAAAATTTCAAGCAGCAAGAAAGATTGATTCAAAGACAATTAAAGGGAAAAGATACACGGACATTCACAATGCAAAAAATTAAGACTACAAATAGCCATGGAGTCGGTATGCGGTTGCCAATGGCCGCAATTCGTTGCCGTAGCCACATCACCGAACCTGCCGAGGTTAACCTTACAGCCTAAATATTGCACATGTTTGATACTTCCACTAGGGACAGTTCCTTAAGTCATAGATAAGAATATGGGCCTTGAAAAAAGAGGCGAAGATCTATATACATAGTAGGCAATGTTACCACAACACATGGTTGTGGACAGAGGTGCAATGGCTTTTCCTCATAATAAATTGAAGTTGAAGAGTTCATATTCATGTAAACCTTGGAGTTGTACTGCATCATAGATGATAATCTTCCTAGGTGCTCCAAATCTGCTGATATGTGCCCTCACAACCCTTCGATCAACGCATATACATGGATGGAAAATGTTCTATTCCACCGTGATGCAAACTAAGTCTGCACAACGATCACCAAGTTTCTTGTTTGTAGCGGCCACTTTGCTCCATGCCAGTGAGATAACCTTCAGCCTGGGAACGAGTGAAAGGCTGCCCCGGCAAAGGAGCTCCACCATGTTGAAACGCTTCGATGAGCGCCTCACGCACAGCTTGAGGCATGCGACCCGAGGAACCACAAATATAAACGGACCCCTGCATATCATGCAACAGACGGAAGAAGAGCGAAAAGTTCTCGCGCACGGTATCTTGCACATAGACTTTACGTTGCTGATCACGCGAAAAAGCAGTAAGTACCTGTAATGGAATAAGCTTGCTAAGCTCGGTCCACTCTTCCTCGAAGAAGAAATCGGATTCTCGGTTTCGGCCTCCGTATAGGAGAATGGTAGGGCCGATTGGTGGGCTGACGCCCGGATTTTGCTCGCGGTAAGCCTGCACAAGTGCCGCTTTCTCCCAAAGCATGGAGCGCAGGGGTGCAACTCCAGTGCCCGGCCCAATGAGCACGGTCGCTGCGGTCAGTTGCTGAATTGAAGACTTGAGACCGCCGGCCTGGAGCTGGACTTGAAGGGTGCTACCTGGACGGAGGACGGACAGATACTTGGTACAGACTCCCTCGCGGATTCTCTTGATCACAGTCTGGTATTTGACAATAGCAATGAGGAGTTCGAATCGTGTATTGCCATCAGCAGTTTGCTTGCGTGTTCCACCGCTGGCAATGCTAAATTGGCGGGCCCGCATGGCTGGGAGAACAGATATCGCGTGCTGCCAGGGAATTTTGACGGTATCGAACTCGTGCAGGACCTCCAGTATACTACGTCGTGGGCGTGTTGTGTAATCCCACAGCTCGTCGATATATTGGGGATTTGTAAATTCTAGTAACCGTTCTTTATGCATTTCATCATTGGTGTAGTGTGCAATTGTGGCGAAGAATGATCGGCGGGGTATCCCTTTAATGTCGAGATAGTCTGTGAGAAGGGCTCGGAGGGTGAGGTTGGGATAAGAGTCGAGGCCGAGAATGGGTGGTGGCGATGGAATATTTCCTGTTGGAACGAGTGAGACTCGTTGGTCTGCCTGATTGTTCCAGCCCATCAAGTCAATAAGGGTTTGAACATCAACAGAAGAACTCTTCGGTGTGATGGCGATCATGTCCCCGGGAACGTAAGAAACAGAGTCTGGGACGGTCAGGGTAATATGGCGCACATCTTGCCAATGCTTTCGTGGAGTAATGCGCCGATTTTCGGTCAACGTTGCAGAGAGCGAGTGTGGGATAGGTCGGGAGTCATGGTCCAGATGGTGTAGTCCCGGATGTTCATCTGCAGAAGCTTGGTGTTCCTTTGTGACGCCAGCTTGGAGTGTTGGGAGGGGATCGCTCTCCCCCACCAACTGTAATTTCCACTTTGGTGGGAGCTGCACATCCTCTGGGATCGGGTGTTGTCCAGCAGGGAGAGGATGTCTGCCCAGCAAATGTTTTCGAAAATCCGTCATCCATGGTAGAAAGGTTCCCTCGAGTCTGCGTATCAAGCCATGTAAGCTCTGAACCTATATCTAACCCGAGGATCAACATAATACTAACTCCTCTGGATGTTGCTGGTCTGCTTCGCCCGTAGGATAGATTTCGTTTGCGCCAAGCTGTAAGAGCCGTTTATAGAGCTTGCGTATCGCCCAATTGAATCTAGCACAATCAGCCATTGAAACCCATGATCGTGTAGCTTCCATACTTGGGATAAGAGCTATCACCCAGCCCAAAACAAGTGAAGTTTACACCATTCAAAAATGTCGCGGGTAGCTTCTTCAGCAAGAGCGACTTCCAAAAAGACCGCGCATTGGCTGGAAAATCGCCTTGTCCGGTTGTGGAGGTCACAAATATGACGAATGTGTATAAAGAAAGGGATTCCTACGTTCCCATAGGCATTAGCCACCTAGAAGATCATTACAGAAAAGTCCATACCGGCTTGCATAGATTCAACTCAGAAACATGTGTCACAAAATGGAGCCGCTCGGTCAAGGCGCCCAACTCCTCGGCCACTTCCTGTGCATTGCCAGTTTCGGAGCCATATAAAATAAGCACAGACCGTTCTAAGGGACGTGGACCCGTGGTGTCGCCCATTCTGTGCTCTGATGTCGAAGTGTCTGAACAATCCTTGCTTTGCCCCTCCAAAAAGTCGGCTGACGTCATCCAAAAACCAATCAATCTTATCAAATATCCACCGCCCTGTATACCGCCTACCCGACTCGATCTTTCTAAGGATAGGAGTCTAGGAGACATGTCCAACTTTTACTCTGGAACTGACTTCTTGTTGACTTGAAGCAAATAAATTCCCTTTTTTGCATATTGCCTACTAGGTGTTGAAGAGCTTAAGATTTTTCACTGCTTCTCTCGCCTGTAGTATGCCTAGTAACTGGCTATATACTACTCGAAGTGGTTAATATGCTTCAAAAAGCTTAATGGCTTAGGTTACTGGAGATTTATCTGCGCTGAAACATTGAACTATCCACTGTGGCATTGTATAGATACAAAGGACATGCCAAAGACGCATGGATCGGACCGCTGAAGAGCCATAATAAGGCTAAATTGAAAGAAAAAGGGTATCGTGAATCTGCTTTTCAGAAGTCATCGTCGCCGCCGCCGCCTCCACCGTCTTCATCACCCATATCATCTTCTCCATCGTCAAAGTATTGTTCGGCATTGTAATCGCCGCCCATTTCATCATCATCTTCAGAGAAGTCGTCATCCATAATTTCTTCTTCCTGTTCATCATCCCCATCAATCAATGCGCCTTCATCCGCATCTGCGTCACCGTCCTCATCGTCTTCACCGCCGGCCACACGCTTCGCAGGTCCAGCCTCGTCTTCTTCGTCTTCAAAACCGCGCTTCACTCCAGCGGCCGAAGACTGAGCCTGGTAGCCATCCAGGGACGCATCAGGTCGGAAGTTCGGCTGGAGGGTTTGCCATAGCTCGCGGGGAAAGAATTTCAAGACTGGATTAATCATGCGGGGTCAGTCGCCTGAAGTCGTAGAAAAGATGAGGCTCGTAGAGATGACTTACAATAAGTGCGTCCGGTGATCTTGGGAAGGGTACGCCGTTTCTTTTGATAACGGCCGGAATAAGTGGGCATGCCGTGGAAAGCGTCAAAGTTGACGCGCGCAGCGCTGCCTTTTTTGGCGCTGGAGGATGACGCATCGAGAACCGAGTAAAACGGGCCCTCGTGGAAGCTTTCGCGCAACTTGCGATAGTAATCTACTTGGGTTTGTTCTGCGGGGCTCAACTTCCGAGCAAAGGGGATAGTATATTTCTGCGAATCGATTAGGTTAGGCTTTGTAGATTTTGACATGATGGAAATTGGCGCATGGCGAAAGGAGGATTTCCTGGCGAGCCAGGCCAAGGAGCAAACGTACAGGGTACAGCGGCGTTGGAGCTGTGTCGGGCTCGCCGCCAGGGTCGGCGTCCCAAGTGAACTCTGTGCCGGGGGGCTTTTTGCCCTTTGGCGCCCCACGACGTGACATGATTGTGATAATAAGGGGTCAATTAATACGAGTTAACGAATATGGATCACTTTTCACGATATAACTGCGGACAGATGATCATGACTCCAGAAAAATACATTTCTTCACCGCCCGCCCAAAACAGCACTAGGGCTGGCAGAATCTGTAAATGCTTCCCCGCGTGGGCGCTAAGATAACAAAGCGCAGATCTTTACTTTGCATTCCCGTCAACAACACACCATTGAACTTGAAATTGTTTCAATAGAGCAATCGAGACTACATAAGAAACACTCAACTGGTTCATTTATTCTTCAAATCTTTGCAACCTCATAGTCCGGCGGTCATTATCTGAGTACTGCCAGATTGCACAGGTCCCCAGGGGCCCTCGTTCACACGCTGTTGTAGTGTTCGCATGATATCTTCAAATCCTTCTACCTTACCATCGGTTTCTTGCAACCGACTGTGCAGTGCTACGAGAACATCATGCTTCGCAGTGGCAACTTTCCAAACAACGCTCTGGGAATCACCTGCACCACCCCCGACGAACTCTGCATAAGAACGAGGTGGTTTGAAAAGATATGGGAGAAGGGTAGTCAGAGCAGGTGGAGTGAGAACTGCCCATGCTCCTGAGGTAGGGAAAAATCCACTAGTAGCCGGGGACAGCTCACCCAGACCCTCTTCTGAGGGTAGCTGGAACCGTGATGATGTTGTATTGACAGGCGTTGAAGGTAAGGGCTTCCAGTTCGCTGTTGTAATAGCTCTCATGAAAGTGATGGCCGACAAAGCAATATCTTTCATAACTAGGACGTCGGCAGCACCCACAACATTGTCCCAGAAAGTGGGGTTTTTGTTGACATATGTGAAGTAGAGGATACGCGCTGCAGCTGCTTCGCGGTCCCAGTCAGTGGGAGTTGAGCCCGATGTGTTCAATTCCATTGAATCAGAGATCCCATTTCGCTGGGGTCCGTGGAAAATCCTCGCCAGAACATCCAGAGCTTCGCCATTTGGGGGGCCTGTGGGAATTGCGAGAACCGGGTTGGCGCCATGCCTGCCCGCTTCAATGAGAAGCACTCGGGGGAGTGAAGCTAAAATAGCCAGGTGCCCTGTGGGGACTTCACCGTGTGCCCATTGCGCGGTAGGAATGGCGAGAGATCTGTTAATGCGGGAGATAATCCCATCAAGTAGAGTAGAAGGATTCTGCAATAAGTGGTTGGGATACATCTCGGCATACCGAGCCACATATGCCATGATTGGGCCGGATAAGTAGAGAATATCCACCGAGTCCAACTTGGACTCATCGAGATAATAAGTCAGCACTTGGGAATGCAGCTTGTGTGCTACAAGGAAATCGAGGGCAGGGGATGAGAAAGTCGAAGTAGACTGCACAGAGCTTCGAGCAACGAGGCCCGGCCCATCGATCTCTAGTAGTTCACGGTAGAAGTTCAGTAGCGTCATATGCATCAAGACATCGCTCACTTGGACCATATGACAGGTTGCAAAATGCAGGAGACTACGGCTCTGGTATTTAGCCTCGATTTCCGGTACTTGGGATGTTGAGATGATGTCCCAGCGTAGTTTTCCGGCTTTCACCAGGAGTGTCATTAGCCTGCCCTGTGCGAGCGTTCTCTCACGTTTAGAAAGATCACCAGGGGCATCACTCTGGAGGCTACACAACCCAAACAGTAGACCATAGACATCCTTATCGGTGAACACTCTTCTCCACAAGAGTCCTTGTCCTGCATGACTTTCATCACGTGTATGTTCATATTCTCCATTTTCCAGATTATTGGCGACGTCAACCTCTAAAAGCGCCCATAATGTGTCGAGTGCAGCCTGGGCGACTTCGGCCGAAGATGTTGAAAGCCACAGCTCCACAAGTGAAGCCACCAAGTTTGAATCACCTGCAACTATGGCAGCTTCACTGTATTTTTGTCCAGCTTTAGCCAACAGCGAGAGCGCTAGAAGATTGATTGGTGGTGATGGGGCCTTGAAGCCAGCGACAAGATTAATCGGAGGATCGACAGATTGGAGATCGGAGAAGGTGAAGTAAACGGTAGCTCTAATTCCGAGGGTTGTAATGGGTGTAGGGTCTTCTTGCAAGATAGGAAGGAGCACAGAAATTTGCGATAGAAGAGTGGCAGGGACCACAGGATCGGTGGATTCGACTAGTTGCAACTTCAACTTATCGATGAGAGGAATGTCCAAGGCCGTGGAGGGGTTCTCCTGGACTTGAGCGAGGTGTGACCTCACTGCATCAAATGTTGATGGCACTGACATCGTGACTTCTTGGAATATCCTCAGTTCTTCCAATAACCAGTCACAGACTGAAAACCGAAATGGATACCTTTGTAACAGGTGAAGCTCGCCCTTTGCGCCGCCGCGGGGAAAGCTTTCATGTGCCTCAGGCACTAACACCAAACCGACCAAACATGACCGCATCAACCAAGCGCATCTACTACTCCGTCCCTCATCAGAAGTTCCTCTACATCCCAGGATTGCACCCTACAGTCATGGAGCCTCCGAAGTGTCTGGTATCTCAGAAATCATCTGATTCAGGTCTCCATATCCAACTACACCCACTCGTTCTCCTCACTATCTCCGACCAAATTACCCGACACGCTGCCCGACAGCAGCATGGGCCGATAATTGGCGCTCTCCTGGGCCAGCAGAATGGGCGAGAGATTACACTTGAGCATGCATTCGAGTGCCCCGTCACTTGCGGGCTGAACGATGAGATTATTCTGCCAGCGGCATGGTTTGATGAACGTCTTCAGCAGTGTAAGTGGAACACCTCACAAGATTGATTAGGGTTGCTTCTACTGAGTACTAACTGACGATTCTACAGTCAAGGATGTGCACAAGGAACCCCCTCTCGACCTTGTTGGATGGTGGTCTACCGCACCATCGACCGGGCCGAATGACGCCCATCTCCCCCTTCACCGACAGATCCTCCAGGACTACAACGAATCTGCGGTCTTCCTCGCCTTCCATCCCTCACAGCTCCAAGATTCGGATTCAGCTGGCGGCAAGCTTCCTCTAACCGTGTACGAGAGCGTTCATGAAGGCGAACCCGCTCACGATGCAAGCAAAGACATGCAGGTTGATAGCGAGGAGCCGGTGCCGAACATCAAATTCAGAGAGCTGCCATACTCAGTGGAGACAGGAGAATCCGAGATGATTGGTATCGATACTATTGTTCAAGCTTCAGGTACAGCATCTTTGAATGCGACACAGGAGCCGAGCAAGCGCGCGCTGCGCCCAGAACAGACAGAGTCAAATAAGAGGTCGCAACTTGAGCTCTCACAAGAGGAAGAGGAGTGTAAGTCTTCACAGTCTCAATATAGTCACTACTTGAATTACTGATACTGACTGGTTTGAAAAGTAATCGCAAATCTCAGCACTCGTCTCAATGCCGTTCGCACACTCGAATCCCGCGTCTCCCTGATCAAGTCCTACCTCTCCAGTCTCTCGGAGGCGGATTTTAGCTCAGATCGATCAAGTGACAATACATCTACGACTAAGCTGTCACACCCAATCCTCCGCAACATTAACTCTCTCCTCTCGCACCTGTCCATCCTCTCTCCGTCAGAACAAAGCACCTTCTCCACGGAGGTATTGTCGCAAAGCAATGACGTGCTGTTGATCTCGCTACTTGGTCAACTTGGCGACAACGTCAAGGCCATGCGCGAACTTGGCCGCAAATCTGCGGTCATCCAGGGTGCGCGTCACGTAGCCACCGCTCGCAAGGATCCCTCCATGCTTCAAAGGAGCTTCAATGAGGAGTTCTTTAGCCAAGGTGGGCGTGGAGGTCCCAACAGTGGGATGTATTCGTGATATTAGCCAGTTCTTGTCTGTTTCCACGATCAGTCCATGAAAATACCCCCACAAATGACAAGAGGCTGGATTTTAGGCCTATGCTTTTGCATGCTCTGCTTAGATGGTGTTCCTTTCTGGGCCCATTTCAAGGCCATTTAGACGAGATAACGAACTTTGATATGATTTTTCCTCATTTTTCCCTATTCCATTGGTGACACTATAGGCCTAATCCTGACAAACGATACTATACAAAAAAGTAAAACCACAGCAATGCTCAGATAATGTGCACCCGTGGGACCGATGGGGGTATGACAGACAAAGGCAAAAAGAATAAGACAAAACAACAAAACATACCGCTATGTAAACAGACGGGTATCCATACCTATCCAAACAACAACAAGACATAAAGAGAAAAGTAAAAGTGCAAAAATCTCAAAGTGCTCGCAGTGCTCGTGGGTAGCGTGAGGTCAGAAGAGTGATATGTATACAGCTCGATCACAGGGGAAAACATGCATAACAAAGCAAGCCATGCCAATATGAGATGTCTACACCCGAGCCGTAACTGAATCATAGATAAGACTCATGAATGATGATTGGTAGGATATGGAGGAGGAGGATGGTAAGGATCCGGCATGGGCATAGGGACTTGCTCGCGGAGAGGACCGTTGGATGGGTAAGGGTGGACCGGCGATTCCGAGTACAGATCGCCATGGCTTGGAAGCGAAGGATCCTCATAGGGTGAAGAGCTTCGCCCGTAGTACCCAGTTGGCTGGTTTTGGACATGGTCATCAAAGTCCGACGCATATGGCGAAGTACCCGTGAGCGCGATCTCGGGATTTGGTTGTGCGTGAGCGAGAAGCACATCGCCCTCTTCGTAGGGTGTTTCGCCATAACGGCGTGTTCTGCCTCCGGACATGGCTGTCCCGGCGCCATGGTAAGCCGTTCCATGTTGTGTGAGTTCACTGCCCTCTTGGGGTGGCTGGAGGCCGAGCGAATCGTCTGGTCTCTGATAGCTGGGGTCCAGCATACGACTTTTGCGGCCGACAAACAGCCAACGGGCACTTCGACCAATGGCTTTTAAGAGATCCAATGGATTCATGGCATCAATCAAGGCCCTTATGCCATAGCGTCCGCCTTGGTATGCAGCCTTGCCGTTGCCATAGAAATCAGTCACTTCACTTGATTGATTGGCAAGGGTGTAGGACTTCCATGAGAAGGCCCAGAGATGGAGTATAGCAAATATAGCCATCTCACAGTTAATCATCAGCTCCGGGAGACCGACTTTGAGGTCGTTCATGGCGATTTTATCAGTTGCTGATATAGCGCCTTTGGAGACTAGAAGACTAATGAGTGTCTAAAATGGGGAAATACGAGTTAACAAACCACTTTATCAGGAGATGATGCTAGAAAACTTACCGACTGCCAGAATGAAAGGAAAATGACAAGTTTGATTGACAGAATCTTCAAAAATGGTTGATGTTGCTTGATGTCTTGGCTGGTCTGGTGGTAGAATTGGATCAGACAGTACATGGCGATAGTGACTGAGACTGATTCAATGACAATAGTCTATCAATAAAGTGTCAGCGGATTCGCAGAGGATGAAGCCCGAGACTTGGTCATCACTTTAAACATACCCAGATATGCGCAAATGCGGGACTTAGTGATGCTTCACAGTACACCCCGAAGGCCTGCGCGACAACCGCAACGATGGTCATAAGAACACGCATGACACAATATTGAAAAACCCCGACCCAGACAATCTGTACGATGATCAGTACCCTGATATTCCTTGACATCAGCTCAAGTCCATCATCTTACATTGAACCATGTCAATCCGCTGCGCGGGGTCCGCCAAATGCGCTGGCCACCGCAGCATTTTTGAAGCCAGCTCAACGGCCAGAGCCATTCCTTTGGCTGAATTCCACGGAAGTAATCCTTCTGGCTGTGTAGATCCGGGGCGATATAATGGCACATGAGGGAGAAGAAGGCGGAGATACAGAACGCTTCGTAGCAGTCGCCGAGGACCTCAAAGTAGACGGAGTCACGATAGAAGAATATGCTGAGCCATGCGACGAGTGAATAGACGGGGACCATAAATAAGATACGAATAATACTGCGAGGCGGGGACCATGTCAGCTTTGCTTGTGTGACGCTTTAAGATAGAGAAGAGGGACTCACTGTCGCTGCTCGATCGGCTTGCTGTAATGTGTCGCATGTAGCATGATCAGGATTAATGAGACCACACAGGCGACGATGGCGCAAGCGCCGCCTACCAGGAGTGCTAGGGTATGAAATGTAACGCCGCCATCCCAGAGTGCGACCTCCTCAACTAATTTTCGATCAGTTCGCTGCAAAGTTCAAGGCGGGGGACAACACACTTGCTTCGGCCTCTGTAGTATTGCACACTGGCCAGCCCATGGTTGCTGGGGTGAAAAGGGCAGAGAGGACTTGTTGATGGTCCGAACCTTTTTTTCCCCCTTTATCTCTTATCCGGATCGACAGGGAAAAACGCCACCGAAGATCAAAGGAAAGATTGAAGAAACGAAAGTCTTTAGGAAGACAAGGATATGGCGTTGTGGCTTATGCACTTGTTGAAAATCCCCCGAATTCCTTAGGATCGTCGCAGCTCAAAGGCTTAGTCTTTGATCTATTTTTATTTTCTTGGCTTTACACTGGTGGATACTTTTCCATGAACATTCTTTGGATATTTGGACATTTGGATATTTGGATGCTTTGAGCAGTTTGCAGTCATTAAATTCCTATTGTACATGGCCAATATGGCCCAACTGCACGCATTTTGACCGAAAGTTTAAGAGCGCCATGAATCTCCACGCCGTCCACGTCCCCGCCCACGAGGTCCGGGACCAGATCGAGGTCCAGGTCCGAATCGCTCGGGGCCGATGTCCACAAATTTATCCTCATCTTCGAAAGTGATTCGCCGCATCTCATCACCACCACGGCGCGGAAATGTGCCCTTCTTGATCAGCTCATCGAATTGATCCAGACGTTTGTCGGCAACAGGACGTGGAACGGGAAGGTAGTACAGCTTGGGCTTTGTAGTGGTAGATTCGAACAATTCATCTAGAGGCTTGAACCCCTGCCCAGGTCGTGACGGAGGTGCGGGAGCGGGAGGTGCATTGGAAGGGCGACGGTCAAGCTGCTCAATATCACGGCGGGGGCCCAAGGGAGGAGTACGATTGAACCCCGATTCACGTCGTCCAGAGGGAGCGGAGCCCACCTCAGCGAGGGTAGCTGTGACTCCGTCATCAGAAGTCTCATATCGCACCTCCCAACGGGCAGCAGGGCCAGCGCGGTCTCGGGATTTCTCTTCTGTCTCGATCCATTCCTTGATCTTCTCTTCGGGGATAAAATCTGCTCGCAGATTCTTGCGATTGCGCTCGTTGGGCCACACAGTCCCATGGACAGCAGAACGAACCCGCGAGGCTGCTGCGAGACTGGTGAAACTCACAAAACAGTGAGTTTTGATAGCATCGAGATAGAAGTCGATAATGTCATCGGAATCTGTGGTTCCGGGGGCGGACGCGAGGCTGGCCAGGTGTTTGCGGAGTGCGGTCGGCTGGAGTGGGCGCATTAGGCCGTCGATATAGAGGGCAGAAGTTGCAGGGTGCAACGCGGGGGTGGTGTCCGCATCATGCATTGTGGTGTCTCTTGGGGGAGAGGCGGGTTGGGATGATGCACCGGCAGGTGCAAATAGGTTGCGAAACCGAGCGTCTTGCTTGGTGGGGGTTTTGTGCGAGTCTGTTTGAGTCTCAATGGGTTGTTTGTCTGCATGATCCTCCGCTGCATTTTGATATTCAACCTTTGGATCACTGATCCCTTCATCGCGAGGAACTGAGACCCCGTCGTCTTTCAGCAACACGCGCGGGGCTGTTTCCTTTGCACGAGCCTTCCTCTGCGCAATCTCTTCTAGAGTAGGGGCTGGGCTCTGGCTGCGGCGTTTCCGTTTGCGTGTATCCTCCAATGCTTCTTCGACTGGGAGAGGTGTCGATAGCTCGGTGTCAATCTCTGAGGTTTGGGCAGCAGCTGTGATCGATTTTTCTTGAGCCTTTATGGGCTCCTCGTCCTTCGCATCTTGGGCTGCTTCAGCTATTTGTGGCTGGGAAGGTGCAATTGCAGGAACTTCATTTTCAGGGGTAATTTTCTCTGTTTGTGCCTCTGAGGGTTTCATAACATCTTCGACTTTTTGCGATTCCACACCAGCTGCTGAAGTTGCCTCTCCTCGGGTCGATTCATCTGCCTGCATTTGTCCATCATGGGCTCGATTGGAAACCGACACAGGTGCTGCTTTTTCGTCGATTTGTGAGGTTGGTTCTTCCTTTGGTTGCTCAGGGTGTTCATTCTCTGATTCTTCGGGCTGCGACTTTGCTTGAGAATCAGCGTCTGGTGCAGATGACTGTGGTTCGGCGGATTCTTTGGCTGGATCTGCTGCTTCAGTCGTGTCCTGATTTGTTTGTGAGTCAAGCTCAATCAATTTGTCAATGAATTGTTGCTTGAGGCGGAGACCAGTCTGAGGGACGCCGCGCTTCTTGCACTCGGCCTTCAAATCAGCCACTTTCAACGACGAATAGTCAGTCATTATGGCAGACTCTCATCAACGGGTTCACAAGTTCAAGTTTGAATGAAAGAGAATCAATTGCTTATATCAGAAAAGATAAAACAATTGGTTGGAGCGCAGGGATTGGGGACGCGATGGAAATGCGCGCCGATGATGTAGGACGCTAACCGCATCCGGACTGGCGTCACTCTTGTCTGAACAATGTCCATGCAATTCGAGTACATGTGCTTCTCTCTTCACTAATTCAAATCAGAAGACAAGATCTATTTAAAAAAAAGTTCAAAAAAAACTTTAACTGGTTGGTCTTATCTAAGTACATCTGCAAGAATAGTTGACCGTCAGTTATGCGCCGCTGCCAAGCCCTTCCAGTGATATATATCCAGTTGTGCTGTCAGATGTCTTTCCAGATGGGTCCTCAGGTTTAATTGTGTTCTGAACATTTCTTTTTCTTATTGGCGCTATGGATAGCCAGAGCAACGAGGAGGATGAGCATAAATATCTTTGTTATCACCTAGAGAAAAAGGACATTGAGATCAAGCGGGAGTACCTGTCCACAAGTGGGAGAATGGGTTTGCCTCTGATCTTAACTTCAGTGTACTTCCGCTGGATGGAAAGGTTTTAGATGGTACATGTGAAATGAAATGCACATTGTTTGCTTCAGACAAGTCGTGATATCACTTCTAGCACTTTTATTTATCCGAAGTCATGCATAGAAGAGCCGTTCGCACAAAGTATTTTTTCTCCGTCTTCTTCTACAGTCTACCTAGGGATCTTGAAGATGTCTAAGAAGGATATCTAAGAAGAATATCTAAGAAACCCGCTGGAAAGACCGCTGGAAAGACATCATAAAGCCGCACAAGCGGTCATCTACACTTGTTCATATATTTAGAAGATTGTCATACTATGTAGTAGGTTGCTATAGTGAGGTTCCACAATTGGAGTCGCAGCCAACATCGTTAAAATGACAGTGATCTAGTCCTTCGACAGGATTGTTTCTAATCTACAATCCCTGCTGGCAGCAAAGCCACATAGTCCAACGGCGCCGGCTCAGTACCATCAGGCGTACCGACAATCTTTAAAGTGTCGCCCTTGCGAATCTTAACACCCCGGAACTTGATACGAATCGCTGAATGTCCATCCAAATATATTGAAGGCGTGTGAGTAAAGGTGTCCTCACTATTACCAACCCATTGGCCAATTTTGCGGTTATTCAGGTAGACTTTCCACTGTGACTGGCCACCGTAGACATCGTAGTAATTCACTGCAAGGTCGTAGGTCCCAGATGGAAAGTCTATCCTGGTTGAGGCAGTGCCGGCTGTACTGTTAGAGGCTGTAACAATTGCAACATAACCAGAGGCTGCCTCGAAAGGGCTGACGTTGTAAGTTTTGTAGCCCTCCAGCTTCATATTTTCCGCTTCGATGCGCCATGGGTGATGGTCGACACGCTTGGCCTCGTCGGGGATACCAGAAAGATTGTAATAGAAGTTATTGATCGCATCTCTCCACACAATTGAGTGACCGCTTTGATAGTCTAGGAAGTGCCGGACATGGTTGTATCGCTCAGTATCAATTTTGCCATGAAGTGATTCCCACTGCGTGAGGAAGCTCTGGGCAGTTTTGGCTCCGGTGTAGTGTTCGTCGTAGAAGTGCTGAATAACGGTCTTCCCAGAGTGCAGACGATGGGTGTATCTTACATGGTGGAACCATAGCAGAAGATCGTCTGGTGTGGTATTGATGTTCTCATACATGGCAGCAATTTCGTCCGGATACTGGCCCGAAAAGCCCGTGCCGTGTGCCACGGTCCGATCCATTCCAATGCTAGTTCGGTTTGCGCGGGTCCATTGGCCCCAGCCGTTGTTGTCTTGGGACGCAGGGTTGGGTCCATAGTGAGTGTATAGAATATCTGTTAAGGTCTGGATGCCCAAGTTCCCGCTGTATTGTTCGTAGGCAGGCCAGGATTCCATGGACATGCGAGTGATGGTGTCGATTACCTTGCGGTCCAGTCCAAATGTCAGTCTGATCCAGTCTTGCAGAATGTCTTGGGCATCATCTGCCGGGTTCCAAGCCAAGCGACCATAGGCATATAGGTTTGACATAGACAAGTGGCTACCGAGCCAGGTGGTGTTTGTGCCCACGTTAACAACGGCTGCTGAGCCGCCTAGTTTGCGATTGAACCGTTTACCAGTCACGATGTCGCGAACCAGTGATGGCTGGTTGTCGACGCGGAGGTCAGAGTCTAGGATTGTCTTCCAAAGAGGGGCAACATAGACCAAATGCGATTGTTGCCCAAGGTATTCTTGAGTAACCTGCAGTTCAATGGCCATGCTGGTTTTGAACAAATTTGCAAATAATGCCGATGGTGGCTCACGGACCTGGAAATCAATTGGCCCGTACTTGATTTGGATCACCACATTGTCGTCAAATTCACCATCTAGGTCCTTGAAAAAGTCTACAGCAGCATTTGCACGATCATGCGTCCAGACCGACTCGTCCAGGTGATGATCGTAGACAAACGCGCGATACATAACAATTCCACCGTAGGGCTGGACATCTTTGGCAAAAAGGTTTGCTGCATCTGCGAGGGTCCTATTATATGTCTGGGGGCCAGGCTCTCCCTCCGAGTCGGCCTTGATAAGGTAACCAGCCATGTCAGGAACTCGGTCATAGACCTGGGCCGTAATATCGGACCACCACTCGATGACAGATGCATCAAGGGGATCGAAAGTGTCAAGCCCTCCATAGGTTTTAGGGGATGCGAAATTGAGCGATAGACCAACTTGTATACCATAGGGGCGGAAGACATCGGCGATTCGAGCCACACCGTCGAGGTTTGTGGGCGTCAAGAGGGTAGCATTCGCATTGACATTGTTGATTACGACAGCATTGATTCTGATCGAGGCCAAGAGGCGGGCGTATTCAGCAACGCGGGTTAGGTCGTCGACAATTTGACCGTCCTTGAAGAAGATAGAGGGGCCACCATAGCCGCGTTCGATTCGTCCATCCATGTTGTCCCATTGATTCACCCAGCGAATAGGCGCAGAAGGATTGGATGCATAGGCGACCCTAGAGAAGTTTCCCTGTGCAAGCATCGACAGGTATTCATAGGTGCCATAGAGTGCACCCCTCTCGTTTTGTCCAAGGATTTGTATGTTTTCCCCCTTGGTGTCGAGCCAAAAGCCATCTTCTTCCAATTCAGGTACACCTTTCGCACTGCCACAGATATCCCGATATCCATCAATTGTGCCAACAATGACCGAGGCGGATGTCTTGCACTTGTTGTGCGTGACTTTAACATGCTTCCCATAGACGCCTTTGAGACCATTCTGCAACTCCGTCCCCGCAACGTATAGCGGACTCGTCTCAGTCGCATTGAGGGTGACAATACTCGAAGGAAGGCTGGAATGACATCGACCTGAACAAGGTAATGGTGCGTACCGTAGCCAGCCATTGAGACCGTTCTCAGCGGCTGCAAAGCCCAAGGAGGCCAAGAAGATGATTGTACGCATCGTAGCCAGGGTTTCTGGTCTAGGGGGCGTATACCTAATCCCTCATTGCAGATCAAGTCCTTTTAAATCAAATTTCCCGGGTACATCCCACCATCGGGAGACTCGCCGGTGGCACATCGTCGGAGAAACTTCAGGCTAAATGAATGATATGTCCAACTCAGCAGTAAGGAGTACAGGCTATGTAGTGATAGTACTTCCCCGCAAATATTGCGGAGTTACGTGGGGGTCTTGATTTGGCACGGACAGCAACGCTGAATTTCTTCATGCCTAATGTTAAAAAAGCCACCGAGAAAGGTTCCACAGGTATATCCATACCCTGGAGTAGCTTGTTGGTGAATGGATGAAGCGTATCAGTATAAACCCAGCACGAAATCAAGATCGACACCATGAGGTCCTGCAGGTGCTAGACAAGGCCCAGGGTGGACAGACCGTACAAACCCATGAGGCAATGCAGTTGGGTATTACGTTTAGGCTATTCTTCCCCTGAAGTGGCGGAGTGCGGAGACAAGCGCATGTAAAGTGAAGTATCTTGGCACGCTTGTCTAGAATATGCCTAGTTTGGAAGATACGTGATTTATGATTATTTGAGAAGATTTTTTTTGTTCAAGAATGGTTCAAGATTCTATTTTTATGGCTCGCAACAGGGCGACACGCTTAAGCCTCACGGCTAAGGATGTCGGAGTCACCGGCATCGAGGATAGCCATGGCGGAGCAGCGGAAGAGCTTACCGCAAGCGGTACCGAGCTCAATCTATAGCGCGAGTTAGTCCAATTCGCTCTCCGGGATGCCTTTCGGTATTCCCTTCGCTGAGCAACTTCACTCTCCGAAGCGGTAGTTTTGACCGACTTCTTCTCTGAGTAGTGTAGCTGACACCGAGGTGCGACAGCCAAATTTTCAGGCTGCCGACCCAAAGGAAAGGGGAATGAAACGTACGTTGTTGCCGTTGAAGTGGTGAACGGGGGTCTTGGCGAGCATGGCGTAGTACTCAAGCTCGGACTTGCGCAGAGGAGGGCAGTTTCCGGAGATGAGGACCAGCTTGGCCTTGCCAGAGCGGAGAGTCTTCATGGTGGACTTGGTACCCATGGTAACTGAGAAAAGTTGTTAGTGAATTACTCGTTTGTGCGATCGTAAAAAAACCCTGCTTACCCTTGCCAGACTTCATCACAAGCGCAAGGCGCGAGGAGAGGGTATCACCGGACTTCTTAGTCTTGACCATTTTGAATGTTTTGAGGGGTTGGCTCGTAAGAAGATTTGTTGGATGGTTGGCTACGGAAGAAGAAAATTCGCACAGATGAGAATTGATCAAGTGTGGAGCGAGCCCTAGCCACACGTGATCACACGTGATAGATCACCGCTCTATTTTCTGCCACCGGGACCGGAGTCGACTGCGGGGTCTTTTTGACTCACTCCATTTTATATTACTACAAGTACACCTGTTCTCAGTTCATTTCTCGTTTCCCTTTACTTTGCATTTGTCTTTTTTTCCCCCTTCTCTTCACAATGGCCGAAACTAGCAGTGCCCCTACTGCAAAATACCGTCAGTCTACCCCCTTTGATTTTTGTCTGATGAACCGCTACTAAATCCCGTAGAGAGAGTCGATTCGCAACCTGAAAACCCCTTTGCCCAGTTGATCGAAGATCAATCCATTGCGGTCGTTCCTTCATTCAAACTTGAGTCTGGTGTCACCCTTCACAATGTCCCGGTTGCATACACCACGCGAGGAACACTCGCTCCCAGTGGCGATAATGTGCTGGTGATCTGTCACGCTCTTAGTGGCAGTGCCGATGTCGCCGACTGGTGGGGCCCTCTTCTTGGTGGTCCTGGCCAAGCTTTTGATGTTTCTCGGTTCTTCGTCATCTGCCTGAACAGTCTGGGCAGTCCGTACGGAAGTGCAAGTGCTGTGACCTACAAGGATGGTAAGCCTGAAAATGGCTATTATGGACCTGAGTTCCCCTTAACGACTGTCCGTGATGATGTCAACATTCACAAGCTCATCCTGGACGATCTTGGTGTCAAGCAGATTGCCGCAGTTGTCGGTGGATCCATGGGTGGAATGCTCACCTTGGAATACGCCTTTTTCGGCAAAGACTATGTGCGAGCTATTGTGCCCATCGCGACTTCAGCACGCCATTCCGCATGGTGTATCAGTTGGGGCGAGGCACAACGGCAGAGCATCTACAGCGACCCGAAGTATGACGATGGCTACTATGCATTTAACGACCCGCCATCGACCGGCCTCGGTGCAGCTCGCATGTCAGCACTTCTCACTTACCGTAGCCGAAACTCATTCGAGTCCCGATTCGGTCGCAACGTACCAGATCCAACCAAGCCGCGAAACATCAACGGCACCGAGAAGCTCCCCACTCCCCCCGAACGAGCACTGGGCCATCCACAACGACGGGCACCGTGGCGGAACAACTTCTCGCTCGGAGAGCAGACAAGGCTCACCGGCTCCTGTGAACGAGGCTGACGTCCAGTTCATGGACCCGCAATTCTCTGGCACCAAAACATTTGCCCCAGAAGTCGACACAAAGCCCAAGTTGACTGCATCCGGTCGTCCTCGTCCACCGACCTACTTCTCTGCACAGTCGTATCTCCGTTACCAGGGCGAGAAATTTGTCAAACGATTTGATGCCAACTGCTATATTGCCATGACACGCAAACTCGATACGCACGACGTGTCCCGCCGCCGCGGCACTCCTAGCGCCGAGACCGAGGATACTGTGCTCGAGGCCCTCGGACGCGTCCAGCAGCCGGCTCTAGTCCTGGGCATCGAGTCCGATGGTCTTTTCACATTCGCTGAGCAACAAGAGGTTGCAGCCGGCATCCCCGACTCTCGCCTTAAGCGCATTGATAGCCCTGAAGGCCACGACGCATTCTTGCTCCAATTTGAGCAAGTCAACCGCCACATTGTGGAGTTCTTCCACGAAGTCCTGCCCGATATCATGGCCAAGTCAAGCGCCGATGGTGCCGCTGCTGTGGCCAGTGTCACTAAGCTGACAAAGAGCAGCACCTTCGGCGAGGCCGAGGTAGAGGATATCACCGCTTGGTAAAGCGTTGAATGCCAAAAAAGTATTGTCCGGCGCAGTTATTCTGCCGCCAATCCCATGCTCTAGTCTGGGTCCAGAATCCCGTAAAGGGATCCGCGACCGGATAGCTGTCATGGCGCATCAGGGGAAGTAGGTTGCCGTTCTTTTTTCCGTTCCGCCAGTCAGGGAGATGAGCATCCAACTGCCTCTCCCGTCCCTCACTTGGCCTTTGTCCTTGTCCGAGAAGACTGTCAAAGAAGCATCCAACTGCTCTCCATCAGACCCGCCCTCTGGGTCAATTTCTTCCGGGAGGATACTCCCTCCGCCGGGGGTGATGGGTCCGTTTTCTTTTCTGTCGATATTGATAGTTAATAGCTATTGACTATCCCTGCGACGTGTCGCATTTTTAAGTAGAACATAAATAGAAAATCACAGATCTAGACGTACAGATTTATACGCTCGTTTTATGGTACGGAGTAAAAGGGGCTACCATATGCAGGCCGTACGCCTCGGTTCACAGTTCAAAGACAACTTGGCCCGAGCTGAATGGTCAGCATGGCATATCCAGTGTTCACCTAATTTTGCCAAGTTGATGTGATATCCTGTTTTTGAATGCGTTTTCTGGTTAATGTTTCGAGGAGATCGTATGTTGTATGTACGGAGTAGAAATTGTTCAAATCCTGAGATAATAGCGAGTCTAGACGTCGCCCCCAATTTGAGTCACACGCTAATATCTCTCTGTCTTGGGTGCTCAGACCCTGTCTCCATTATCTTTCATACTACGGAGTAGACACGGAGGATCCAGCCCTATCTATTTTATGCAGACTAGCTCTAGTATCTTTTTTTTTATTTATTTTGATTTTTCTTCCTTATGAACCTGACATTCCCCCCGCATGCCAGTCAGTTGTGCCGACAACGCTTTTTCCCTTACATCACATAGTTCGGGAGATTACCTGGCTTGGATCTACAGGTGCATCACTGAATGAGAGGCTGTTCTCGTTTATCTGCCCTCGTTTCTCTAATAACTCTGATCTCTATTCAACCACTTGAGACCATCGGAGCAAAGCCAAAGACAAAATCACACCGAGATGGAACACAAGCTATCGGCTAAAGCAACCAAAATACGCCACCGTCTGACCTTTGCCAGAAGCAGCTCCGCACGAGGTCTAGCATTAACACTTGCTTCGCCCACGGAGACCAATCCATCAACCAGTCGTCCCCGGTCAGCGACAGATCCCGAGTCTCCTGCCCATGGCGAGCCAACATGGGACATTAAAGACCCTGATCACACCCAGGGCTACAGTTTTACAGATGAGCCGGGCTACTTCCGCCCTGTATCGCCGTTGATTGACCGACAAGAGATTGACGAAGATCTCGAAGATGATATCAAACACGCATGCGCTATGCTATCTCACAGCATTGATCGTGGCATTCCTACAGTTTTGTCCCATCGGAGTGTTGGGCCAATCTGGACAAATGCACAAAATCAGCCTAGTGTCGATGCAGCTCCTCTAACTTTAGAACAGCATGTTGTTCTTCTGTCGGCGCCCAACCCGATCAGCCTCGAAACAGAAAATACCGAGAAACATGATTCCGGCGTCGGTATGAGCTTCAATTCTGCCAGTCAATCAGGGAGACCGTACGAAAATAGCGTGTCGGGCAAAAATTCCTCAGCCCGGTTCTATAACAAGCAATCCTCCGCCTCACCACCACACAGCCCATCAGCAGGACCCTGCTCCCCGAGCCTGAGTCCAGCAACAACAGTCGAGGAGGATAGTCAAAGGAAGCGAGCCTACTCCTCCAGCCCGGTTCCCTTCCAATACAGTCCTCCACAACTCAACAGCGTGTGGAAATTCGAGCCAATGACGCTCGACAGTCCAATTAGCCCGCTGAGTGAAACCAACTCTCAGCATGAAGCTACTGAGTCTAGACTTGAGACAGAACCACGGACCGCAAGTGCCGACAGAAATGATAACAAACCCGAGACATTCGTTCCAGCCATATCCCCACATCTCGGCGGGGTGGACAGGACCTGGCTTCGGGGTACCGGAGACATTCAACGCCAATTCGAAGAAGAAGTGAAAACCCAGCCCAGGGAGACAAAGCCAGTGATCCGCTTCTACAGTTCCTACAACCAAACAACAGACGATTTCAATCCCCGTGAATGGCCGATGAAGAATTTCTGGGATCGAGACCCAAGTATACACAGCGACGGGTCATCAGCTTCCCCACTGAGTGCTGGAATGGGCACGGTGTCCAGACCAGAAACAGCTAACCCGAGATTGGGTACAACTTCGACGAATGAGGAGGCGTTACCTGGCAGATACCCGTACCACACATTTGCCGGGTCCAGCCGTGGGATGTCTTATTCGTCTTCTTGTCTGGGAAATGAGATTAAGAGCCAGGGACGTGTTTACTCTGTTGATGTGCCCGGTTTACCGCCTAAAAATAACCGGCGGAAGAAAGCTTCGCTTTTGTTTAGGAAGTTGGCTGGGCTGGGGATGAAGAAGAAGTGAAATGATGGGAATGAAGTCTGTTAATATGAAAATGCTGGGTTTGTGGGCGTTTGAATATGCATCACCGGGGTTTCGCAGTTCATTTTGTTTCTTTGTCCTAGGAGGCTATCCGTCTCTGTTGACATGAGTTTCTGTTCTTTTCTACGTATATACCCTTTTTCTTGGCCTTTTACCATTTATTATATCTAGTGCTTGGCTTTTGGAAACATTTAATGTATGTTATTACTATCTTTGAGGTTCATTCTGAAAAGCACCGTTTTTATACCAGTTCCACAGTGTATGACACCCTGGTCACAGTTCTAGAACACCCAAATTGCTTCACTGTGGCACTTGTGAGGAGGCACTTATAACAATTTCACAATAAATAAAAATGAAAATTTCCATTCGGAATATGGATCAAAAAATCTCGTAAAACCAATTGCCAAGCCAGCCTATCCGATCCACAGATAAAAATAACGTCACTCGTGAGACATGGTCTTATACAAAGACAACACACCAATATCACAGCCCTACAGACCAAGCCAGAACCGGGTCTTGCCAACATCGAACTCGCCATGCAGCTCCTCAGCCCCAGTACCCGTAACGAGAACCTTATACGTCCCCTTCTCAGAGATCCACTGCTCCCGTTCCTCATCCCACCAACTGGTAGCCAACTTCTTCTCAACAACTAACTGCACAGTCTTAGTCTCACCGGGCTGCAGGAAAACCTTCTGGAACGCCTTAAGCTCGCGCACAGGACGGCCGACATCAGTCTTTGGGGGCACGATCCAGAGCTGCACGATCTCGGCGCCAGCCACAGAGCCCGTATTGGAGACTGTCACTGACGCAGTGACAGGCTCACCGGACTCGGTGTACTTGCTCTGTTCGGGCACAGTCTCGAGGCTCAGATCAGAGCGCGCGAAACTGGTGTATGACAGACCATGTCCGAAAGCGAAGCCAGGTGCGACATCGCTCTTCTCGAAGTACCGGTAGCCAACGTAGATATCCTCGCCATAGAGGACGCGGCCGCGCTCGGACCGGAAGTTCAGGTAGGAGGGGTTATCTTGCAGGCGGCGGGGGAAGGTGATGGGCAGCTTGGCGGAGGGGTTGACGTCGCCGTAGAGGACGTCTGCGATGCCGTTACCGCACTCGTTGCCGCCGAACCAGGCGTGCACGAGGGCTTTGGTCTTGTCTGCCCATGGCATTGTGACCGGTGTGCCGGACTGGATGACGACGACTGCGTTCGGGTTCACCTCTAGCACACGGCTGATCAGCTCGTCGCTGCCAGGGGGTAGGTCCATGTGCTCGCGGTCGTGGCCTTCGGTCTCCCATTCCAGGGTGAGGCCGGCGAAGATGACGACTTGCTCGGCGGATTTGGCTTGCTCAACTGCGTTGGAGATCAGCTCTTCTTGACTCACTTGTCGGCTGGCGCCGAAACGGAAGCCGCCTGGGCCGAAGGCGACAATCCCACGGGTGTCGAGGTCTGAGGTTTGTGCGCTGCCAAATTGGAAGACAACCTTGTATGTCTGGCCGGCCTTGAGCTCTTTGCTGCCGATCTCTTCGATCGTAGCGGTGCCGAAGAAGGCGGAGCCTTGCTTCTGATTCTTGGTGTTGTCCACGACCACTTCGCCGTCGACCAGGAGTTGACCTGTGCCGACGACTGTCACGCCGAAGTCGTACACTCCGCTTTCCTCGGGGGTGAATAAGCCCTCCATATCGACGTAGTAGGTCATAGACTTGATCTTAGGATTGACGTAGTCCATCAGGAATCCGGAGGATTCGAGCAGATGTAACTCGTCCACGACCTGTCGGTTCTCACCAGCGCTGGGGTGTTCATTGTAGACCTTGAATGTGAAGCCAGGCTTGCCATCTGCAGTCTTCAGCAGTGGACCCAAAAGCGGCAGCTCTTTGTGGGAGTACACTCCCTGGCTGTACTTGACTTCGCCATTGGTCTTGGCAGAGACGCCGTCGAACGGAGTGACGGTGTAGTATGGAGCCAGAGAGGCCGAACCACCACCACAGTAAGCAGCAATCTTAGCGTTGGGTCCAATGACCAGCAGGGACCCATCCTTCTTAAGGGGAAGAATATCACCCTCATTCTTCATAAGCACGACAGACTCGGCAGCAGCGCGACGCATCAGGGCCTGATCTTCTGGCCGGTTGAGAGCCTTCTCAGGTGCCCCCTCGGGAATGCCTAAGGGCTCAACCCAGTTCACCAGGTTGAGAATATTGCGCACACGTTCATCAAGCTGGTACTGGGCCACCTTGTTTGACGAGACGGCGTGTGCAAGGGTCTCACCACGCCAGCGGGTCTTACCGGGCATCTCGATGTCGAGACCGGCGATGATGGCATCGGAGGTACTGTAGGTGCCAAACCTAAAGATGAAAACCAAACGTGAGCTTCCAAGTACACAAGACGGAACAGAATGAATCCATCACCGATGTACTCACCAATCACTCATAACAAGACCTTCCCATCCCCACTCCTTGCGCAAGATATCATCAATAATAGCCTTGTTCTCGCTAACGTGAGTTCCATTAACCTTATTATAAGCGGTCATAATGCACTGCGAGCGACAGATCCGCATAGCCAGCTGGAACGGCATCAAGTAAATTTCACGCAGAGCGCGGTTTGTGAGAATACTGCTAACAGCCAAACGCTCATGCTCCTGGTCATTGCAGACGAAGTGCTTAAGTGTAGCAGCAACACCCTTGTCCTGCATTGCCTTGCAGAAATGGCCGGCCAGCGTACCCGAGAGCACACCGTCCTCCGAGAAAGACTCGAAGCCGCGTCCACCTAGCGGTGAACGCTGGATGTTAATCGTTGGGCCCAACACGATATGTGTGCCTTTGGCGATCGCTTCTTCACCCATCAATGCACCAACCTTCGCTAGCAGCTCGGTATCCCAGGTTGCACCGAGAGCTGTTGCGCAGGGAAAGCATGCTGCTGGGATACCGTTGAAGAATCGAGTACCGCGGACGCCATTTGGGCCATCGGACATGCGTAGTGCGGGAATGTTTAGGCGTGGAATGGATTCTGTGTGCCAGAAATCACGACCTAGTGAGATGAGGTTAGTCTTAACTTGATCAATAGGAATGCACCTTTGGCAATGGAAGTTGAATTTACCAGCTGTGAGGGCCACCTTCTCGCCGAGGGTGAGCTCCTCGATGGCTTTCTCGACGTCAATTCGAGCCATAATGTAATATAGTGTTTTGTATGTTATGTATTTTTTTTTGGCTATTCAATTGCTCTCGGACAAGAGGGAAGCTGTTCAAGAGCCGTTTAACCAACAAAAATAGAGAATACGTAGCTCAAGAAAGAAAAAAGAACACCCTTTTTATAGTCAAAGGAGAGTAAGGTCTCTCTAATGTATGAAGCGTCAGGTGAAACCCCGTGTAGGCGGGGAAAGCTGCGTAGCACCCAATGGCAATTGGCTACATTCGATGCGAAGTTGGTCAAACAAATGAAATTCCAAGAGAGTCAACAAATAATCCACTTGCTCTCTCAAAGGGCCACGGAGGTAGTTGCGAGACCGAAGTTTAGCCGGCAGAGTAGGGCGGGGCAAGGGGGTCCGGATGTCGGACCGATCAGCCTGGAGTACGTCGATACACTTACACATACAGGCCATCAAGAAGGGTATTGAATCCTTGAATATTGCAGTTGTCATTGAGAGAAAAAAAAGTACATGTGAATAAGTGAAGTGGTTTTGTTCCCAAACACCAGGCAAAATGCAAAAGAGATAGGAAAGAGTTCAATGTAGGGAACCTGTTTGTAGCAGAAAATAAAAAGAAAGTACCATTCCTTTCAGGGTATCATGGTGAATGATCAAACTCATGCTCCTCGACGAGGACGCTTGTTATCATTTCCCATTCTCATGCCGCGTCCACCATCAGCACTATCGTCAGGACCTTGTCGACCACGTTTACGGTGCCCAGAGCCGCTGCCACCCTCGCGCTGGTGGTCCCGGTCACGTCGGTCGCCACGGCGCTCACGCTCGCGGTCCCGATTATCAGAACGGCTACCCCGGTCGCCAGAATTAAAACGACGCTCGTTTCCTTCAGGCATGGGCGGAGGTGGAGGAGGAGGGGGTGGTGGCGGCGCCTCCATGGAAGATGGGGGTCGCAAACGGCCTTCAGCCTCATGTGTCTCACTGCCACCAGGGGTTGGTCCAGTCATTTCCGACGGTCCATCCGGGCGGTCACGGCGATCTCGACGTCGCAACTCTTCGCGTGAGCTCTGAACCCGGCGCAAGCTCTCACGGGGCTCACCAGTGCCCTTCTCGTCGCGGCTTCCACCACCTACATCGCTTCGACGGCTGCGTTCGCGGTCATTTCGGCGGCCATCGCGTCGATTGCGACCATTGCTGCTACCATCACGACGCTCGGCCTCTTTCTCACGAGGCTCCGTTTCACGGCTGCGACTGCCAATTTGTCCAGAGCGACCTGCCTCAGGAACGACATCATCAAGCAGATCGCCACTTCGGCTGCCGCTGGGTCTGTTACGGGACAGATCTTCTTGGGGTCCTGCAGGGCCCATAGGTGGACGATTTGAAGACTGAGGCGATGGTGCCTCGACGGTGCTTGGGGGGGCGGTTGGAGCCTCTTCCGCGAACAGGCGGAGGATTACCACCCCGGTCACCACCGCCACCGCCAGACTGCTGAAGCATATTGTTGAGGCCTGCGAAACGTTTGTCGCCTCGACCACGCTCTCCACCGAAGCCCTGTCCAGGCGGCCCTGACTGCGCAGACTGCGCAGAGGGTCCTCGAGGTGCTTGCTGTAGGTTTAATCCGCGAGGGCCCGAGGGGGCAGCAGCGGGGGCTGCAGGTTCATTGACAAGATTCCTGAGGCGATCTGGATGAATCCCCGGGGCAGTACTCGAGCCTGCGGGTTGTGCTGGAGTAGCGGGTTGCTCGGGTGGCCCACGGCCGTTTTGTCGGCCAGGGCCTGTAGGTGCCTGGCGTTCCGTAGCGGGCAATGTAGCATTGCTTGAGCTGAGCACTGCAGGCACCTGTCCAGGAATGTTACGCCCACCGCGTCTTCCTCGAGGGCCAGCAGGAATCTCAGATACAGGTTCCGGCTGTCGAAGCCGACCATGAGTCATATCAGGACCTGGTGCAGTGTCCCTCGGATCAACTTGGCGATCGGTGCGAGGACCCCTGGGGAGATCATCAATACGGGAGGACGAAGGGAATCCAGCAGGTCTGCGATCGTCGGGTGGTGGGAATCGTTCGGGGCGGTTCGGTAGGTCGGCGGGTCTGGGCGGCGACAGAGGGCGCGACGGATAGGGCCTTCTGTCGTCTTTCTCTGGTCTAGGTATATCTCCACGTCGAGGGATATCGACTGAGCGGTCCATAGGATCGGGCATCAGCTCTCCCCGTACAGAGGGATCGCGTCCATGGAACGAATCATTTGGTCCGGGGCCACGCATGCGGCCAGGCCTATCCATAGGCCAACCATTCTCACGAGTAGAACGAGCATCGCGAGGTGGTCCACGCATGAGATCATCGGCTGGGGGTCTCATGGCGAATTCACGATCACGTTCACGTTCGTTGAGATGCTCATTGAGACGTCCTCGAACATCGTTCAGAGGACCATCAAAGGAGCGGTTATGATCAGGGCCGCCATGACGACCGCGAGGTCCGAAGTCGGGATGTCTCTCTCGTCGACCATCCAATCCTTCAGGGCGCGGAGGAAGTCTTCCATCGCTGTGTCGCGGTGGGGGACGAACGGGAGGATGGACTTGTTCGCGAATATCAGGTCTTTTAGGAATGTCAGGCTGACGGGACGAAGTGGGGGGACGAGAATGCGGTCGAGACCGCACAGGGGGTTGTTCGCCGGATATACCATCATGGCTGGTATCCCCAGTGACAATGGAGGGGGTGGTAGATCCGGCCTGCGAGGGTGTTCCGGTCGCCTTGGCTTCAACACCCTTCCCTGTGCCGACATCGGTCATTTTCGCATCCTCTATTTCACCATCCTCGACTTCAGTCTTACCAGACTGTTCCTGCTTGGCAATGCCATCGGAGCTGTTATTGGAAAGATTAGTCGTGGTGAGCGTATCGAGATGGTCAAGGATGTCACTTACATTGAGGTTCCAGTGGGGTTGAATTCTGGGGCTGAGGCATTTAAAGGTGTTGTAGCAGATTGCGGAGTCCCAGGCTTTCCAGATGCGTCGGCAGATGCTTGAGAACCAGGCTGGGCTGCCACAAAATAGAAAGCCTGTGGCAGCATCCACTTCTTCTCGCGCCGGTTAAGGTCACCGATCAGAGATGCGGCAGGGATCTTCACGTCGTCTCTCTCGTCATTCTTGCTCAGGTAGTCAACGCAGTTCAAGATGTCGCGACCAATCCAGTTCACAGCAGGGAAATGCTTTACAACAGCCTTGAGCACACTGATTGCGTTTCGAATATGCATGTATTCGCCGCTGTTGAGACAGCTTTTCAGCGCGTTAGAAAACAAACGGTGCCATTTGTACAGGAGACGGCGGAAGTCTTCGAATTCCAAAAACATCACCGGCACACCTTCAGGGTCGACATTTTTTGCGAAGCCAGGAAGGTCTCTCTTGGCACCAAATGCCTCTTTCTCGTAGACCGCCTTGTCGGCATGCCATCTAGTAAGATCACGCAAAATCTCATTCAAGAAACGACCAAGATTGTCCGCTTCTTTGGATGTGCACAGGAAGATAAGAGCAGTGAGTCTCTGCTCGCGGAAAAGCTGATCAAGGAGACCGACGGTCCGGAAATTGGGGGTTCCAGAGCTGTGCAAGAACTTCAACATCTTGAAGGAGAAAAAGGCATCGAGAGGGGACAGGAGAAGCCTAGGAATGAAGCATTGCTCCAGAAGGGCAACATTGAGAGAGTCATGCTTGAGACGCATGCCGGCGAACCACTTGTCTTTCTCTTTCTGCAACCGTGATCGTGTCTGCCCATATGCCTTCAAATGATTCTTATTCTCATCCAGAATCCGCTCCTGTAGCTGAGTAATCTGGCGCTTCTGATGCTCCTTTCGCGTCGTGCCCGCCACGCTAAGATCAGATCGGTCACTGTTGATAGAGACGACTCGCCGTTTGAGCCTGTCAATTTCATCTTCGTAGGATTTCTGCGGGATATGGACATCATAAAGGGCAAGCTGCCAGAATGTTGCATAGAAATGTGCGCCGACGGTCTCCCATGTCTCGGCAGGAAGAGCAGATTTGACATCGTTAATCAAATCTTGCATGACGGGGTTGGCTGCCAATGGCTCAGCATTGAGCGCAGGAACAACAATAGCGTCGTGTCCGTCGATCGGAATCGTAATTCCCGTTTCGTCCTTATCGTCTTTATCGACATCCATGGCATTGTCTGCCGGACTCTCCTCGGCCTTGGCAGGTGTTTCTTCATCCTCGGTAGTATCCATCCTGTTGTCGCCACTCGACTTCGATGCAGAGGCTAAACGTTCATTCTCTTGTCTTGATTCTTCAATGTCGGTTATTTTCCGAGCGATGCTGGGTCGCCGAATCCAGAAGGCGATTTCGGGCTGAATTCCAAACTCAGTGATGAGGGATGAAAAGTCCGGAACAAAGGAGTCGAAATCATCGACAGAGAGATTGCTGCGAAGTAAGTCAAGGTACTGGGTGAGAATTCGATGGATCTCGTCAAATATATTGCCGAGCAATTTGAGCTCCGAGGAAGTTTCATTGTAAACACATGTCCGTCGTTCTTGGGCAATGGCAACTAGCAGTTGACCGGCGAGTCTGGTGTGGGTTAATGACTTGAGTAACCGCTTGGAGGTGGTCTTCGACTCATGACGCTTATCCAGCAATTGCAAGATGGTCTGGGATTGGAGAACATCACCACCCGCCATGGCCTGAATTTGAGCGTCATTGAAGTCGTTGTCTGAGATGATGCCAGCCATGGAGCTGATCAATTGCTCTAGCACAATGAGATCGGTTGAGTTGTTGTGTCGCAGTTGTTCCACCACATACTGGAGGACTGGAGTAGGGTCCATCACCGAGTACCGTTTGTAAGTACGACCGGCGAATGTGGAGAGGGCATTCAACCATCGACTAGTCAACAATCCACCTTCCTGGACCCGACTTCGTCCTTTCTGGCCAAGCGAGTTGATGAGAGACCACGATAGAATGTCATAACCAAGGTAAGTAAAATAGCGTGCGCATTCAACCACAACTTCAATGAGGTTTTCATATGACTCAATCTGGCTCATGGCGACGTTGATGACGATTCCGGGATTGGCGTAAGCAATCTTGGCTAATGCGCGGGCCATGGGCCGAATGTTCGTCTTGCTGAGTCGCTTGAGGGTGTCCTTAGTTTCTGCTCTCGCCTGGTCGAAGGCCTCCTTAATGTCTGGCAGTCGAGACGTCTGTCCTGAATACCACTCAGCGTACATGTTGTATCGGACATCTCGGGGGAAGAAGCTAATGAGATCAAATACTTCATTGACCACACCAGGATTTGCTTTTGTCAGACTGACAGCAGGTAGGAGAAGACGCTTGCAAAGATCGCGCCAACGTGTTCTGTTCTCTTCAGATCCGTCTTGAATCAAACTTCCCTTGCCAATGCGTACAAGTTTCGCCAAGAGGCTGGCGTCTTGTCCAATCTTGTGACCAGAAAGGTTGAGGAAAGATGAGCAAAGAGCGAAAACATCGTCGATAGACTGACAAACGGGGATGTTATCAGCCCAATCATCCCAGTAGAATCGATAGTCGGTGCCATCGTTGGTGTCTTCTTTATCCAGTTGAGCCCATCGCAGAACTCGTCTCGCAGGTGGGGGTGTAAGTCCAATCTGACCCTTCGCGCTGTTCTGATCGGAGGTCACTATGTATTGAGCTCCAGGGAAATCATCGATAGATGACAATGGTCGGAACTGGACGTAAACTTTGTTCAAAGAGTGATGGAGTATGCGGTGGATAAACTCAGGCAGCTCAGGGTAAGCCTCCATCAACCAGGGGAACTTGCTGATGACGAAAAGGGATTCAGGAATGGCACCAATGGCGAGGAGACTCTTGAGGAGCAACACTTTCTGGTCTGATGGGTCCGGCAACTCATTCTCCGTTTTGGATGTGCTCTTGTCGGATTCTTGGTCTTTACTGGGGGTTGCCACACGCGGCTCATCGCGCAAGCGGGTGGGGGGGAATCGTGTCGTCCGACAAGGCACCGGCCATCATCAAAGCGTTCATTCCGCCACCTGGTCGGCCAGACCTCACTTTTTCGGCTTTCTCTGCCATCTTTTCGGTCTTCAAAGTCTCCATAGCCTCGTCGGATCGCCAGAGGTGAGCATAAAGGTCACGCAGAGAGATAAAGCCAACTTTGATGAGCAGGGCGGCAAGGTAAATGAGGTTATCGGGGAGAACGTCGGCCTTAGTTCGAGCCGAAGAAGAATAGAATCGCAACTTGAAACCAAGCAGCTGTGCTGCAACCCGATTGCCCTTTGGAGGTAGGGTGCCAGTCTCTTCCAGCCATGATCGTGTAGCATCTTCTTCGAAAGATGAACCATTATTTTCTGAAAGACTGCGTTGCATTTCTTCTCCCGAGATCGGTTTGCGGCCGATCTCGAAGAAGGCTTGAAGTCCAATTTCCCTCACTCGATCCCAGAATTGGCTATCGCGTTCTTCGTTCGCGCGCATGATACTGGATCGCTCCTCATCGGTTGTGATCCACCCAGTTGATCCAGGAAGTGCCCAGTTCGGAATACCAGAGTGGCGACAGCCAGGCTCTAGGCCGTGGAAGATGTCTTCTTTCGGCCACCAGGAGCTGGCTCGCAGAAGCTTCACGAAGAAACGATATTGCTTGACAAGAACCGCGGCAAACACATCCAGTGTGACATCTAGCACACGACCAACATCCATGTCGAATGCGCCAATCATAGCCTTGACTCTTTCAAATGTATCCTCGACCACTTCGCTCGACGGTGGCTCATTGTTGCTTGTGGTGAACAGCTCAGTGAGAAGTTTCGAGTATCCCTCAGATTCTTCCCGCAGGAGATTGTAATTGGATTGTCGGTAGAGCAGATTGGTCTGCTTTCGAATTCCCATTCGCGCAAAGGTTTCGCGAACCAATCCCAAGGCCTGCAACAATGGGGTTTCAAGCTGAAGACGCATCAAAGAAGGATCAATGCCTGTCGCAAATACAAATGGTTTGAGAGCCGCATTCGAGGTATCAGCGTCAGTCACGATGGAAAGGGTATCGAGGAACAAGGAGCGCGGGTCGATTCCTTGGGTCAAGGGCTTTCCGTTGTCTGTCTCCATATCCACATCCCGAGAAACAGATTCTTCTCCGATAATCTCTTTTACAGCAGTTCCCGCATTCAATGGTGACAGTCGACCGTAGTTTGCGGAGTGAATTAGCTCCTGGTAGACAGATGCAAGCCGAGACAGGTCCTGTTGCAGGCGAGCCGTAGTCCCTTCTTTGACTACACTTTGCTTGCCCGTCAGAGTCCACTCTTCAACAGCATTATCCGTCACATATTCATAGTCATAAGGTGGGGGTGGGAGAGAAGGTTGGCGGGTGATAGTCTCCGAGCCAGCTCGAGACGGTGGGTTAGGTTGTGGCTGTGAAGGAGTATTCGGCGCAGGAGAAGGGGTAGGTTGCGACGTGGCCGAGTCGCCATTGTGCGGCAAGGGTTCGGCAGGTTCCCTGGGCTGATTTATTGGGGGAGGAGACATAGCATTCGGTTCTCTATGCTGCGAGGTCGAAAAATTCTGGCCTTCATATGATCCACGACGGGAACCAGCCCGGCTACGATGCGATTGTCGGCGCGATCTGTCACGCGTGTCGTTTTGCTCCCGGGGAGTGGGGGACTGGTGTCCGGGATTGGTAGGGTGGTGTGCCATGTTGAGCGTTCCAGGGCGATGGGGTGAAGGTCGCAGGTCATTGCTCCCTGACTCGCCACCCCACGAGCGCTCATTGCGCTTCCGCTTGCCATGCCCATACCCAGGCGCCATGACGATAGCCGAGTTAGACGCGAGGGGTTATGACGGTGGAACGAGACGCTGAAAGGTTGCAATTCATGCAGTCGTTTCTGTAGGAACCCAGAGGAACGGATTAGTACTTGCGGCGAATAAAGGGTAGCAAAGTAATAAGGCAAAGGATACGCATAGCAAACGTACCAGTAAGGCTCGTTCGTTGGAAATAAGGTGGTGGAGAAGCCAAAGGCGTGTAGGTGAAGATGAAAGATGCTGAAGGTCAAAGCTTGGTTCCAATATGCTGCGGGTGCCTGAGGTGTCAATGATCTATTCATCAATTCGTGCTCATTGATTGACACAATCAAGTATAACTTCTATTGTCTCCTTACTGAACAGTGAGTTAGATTATTATAAAAGCGTGATAAAAATGTTCTACAATCGTTCAACACCGCTAGGCAATGTTCCATCCATATCATATGTTATACATGCATGAATAGAACTAACCACAGCAGTACTTTACTACAATATGACCAACCTACCCTTCTACTTAAAGATCCTCCTACATAAAAGCATCGAATGATGTGCCCACTGGTGAGTTTATTTGACAGTGTTCTTAACAACTAACAAGATACCTGACTCTTACAGCAGGCCAAGAGACTTAGCCTCGCCCTCAACAATCTCAGGGATAAGATCGATCAGCTTAGGCTTCTGGGGCGTCCAACCCAATAGTTTACGTGCACGGATTGAGTTTCCACGGGAGTTAGTACCCCAAGCATAGACTCCGGCAGAATTGATGTCAGTCGTCTGAGCGCGATCAAGAGACTCAACATCAGGGGAAGCAATAAGCTTCTTGTCAAAAGCAGACTGAGCAACGGCGCGCTGGATATCGCCCCACACAAAGGACCCATTCTCAGCAAGGTAATAGCCCTCGTCATTCCAGGTAGCCTTGCCACCTCCCGCTGATGCTGCTTCGCCCAGGGCCAGGTAGAGATTGCTCAAATCCTGGACATGAACCTGGTGCCAGATGTTTTCGCCCTTTCCAACCAGGAAACCTTGCTTGCGCTTCAGTACTGCAGCGCTGAGCCAGTAGGCTTGGACACTTTTTGTGTTACCAGGGCCACGGCCAGGACCGTAGATAGTAGGTGGGCAGACGATGGCAACCTTCACACTAGCCGGGTTCTGCTGACCCGCTCCGAGGATGATCTCATCCACATTACGGTGAAAGGCGTCTGCCGGAAGGTTAACTAGCTCGCTGACACCCTCCCAGTCGTTGTACTCCTTAGGGCGCTCAGAACCGTACGTGCCAGCACGCTGGTCCTCGACTGTCAATATACCAGTGCCAGCAGTATGGATCAGCCACAATGGACGTTCGGGCGTGTGGTGCTGAGCACCCTTAGCAATGGCCTTGGCTGCGGCAACATGATCGCAATCAGCGAAGTCTGTATATAAATCGTTAGCGGGGTGACATCTTGATCTATAAGCTTGAATATACATACTGAAGACAATATCTGCGTTCTTCACCTCTTCTTCAATCAGCTCGGATGAATCTAGATCACCGATCACTGTTCGAATCTGGGGGTATTTGCTGGTGACTTGGGCTGCCTTTTCCTTGCTACGAACTAGTGCTGAGTATTCCCAGTCGGGGTGGGCGCCAGCAAGTACAAACAAGCCGTCACCACCGATATAGCCAGTGGCACCAGTCCTATGAGAATCTATCAGATTGAATGTTCGATGTATACCGCAGAATAACTTACAGAAAAACCTTGGGAGCCATTTTGGAACAATGAAAAGAGATATTTTGAAAACGGTGAAGCCAGGAGTATGCTTTCAAAAGTCAATGGAGAAATTGAAATGCTTTGAAATCACCAGGTGGGGGGAGTACAGCTCTTATACCCGTGCAAGGTTGCCCAAGTGGAATTTGTATGAATTAATAATCGATGCGAGCTCACCTCCAGGTCTAGTCACATTCGAGAAAGAGCTTCCTGCCCCACATGATGTCAGAAGCATCTTCGAATCGCAATCCAGTTCCTGTATACAATTCTTGTATCTACAATGGCCTCCGGCAGCTGCGCTTGCCACTATATCAGTTACACGGCCTCCACTCCTCCAACATGTCTGGTCAATTGCCACTGCAAAACCTGCCGCAGACAAGCCGGCGCTCCCTATCAAACCTGGGCATTCTTCGCGACTAAAGATATCCAATGGCATATCAATCCCACCGAGCGGCAGTCAACGGACGCTGCTACGCGTAGCTTCTGCCCTCAATGCGGTTCGACTCTAAGTATGATCCAGCATCGTGATCCGAAGAGTATCGGGATCGCTGCGGGGACACTCGATGAGGGGAAGACGCAGATCCCGACGCCAAGCCATCATATCTTTCTCAGTGAGAAGGCTTCTTGGTTTGAATTACCCGAGAACGACGCGGCGAAGCGGTGGGATAAGTGGGGGAAATATGATAAGCTGTAGCATCAGTGTGACTGGATAGCATTGAAAAAGCTTTGTATTGCCCAGGTGGCGCAAGGAGGAGATGTGCTCATTTCGGTATCTTGGATGTCATAAAAGAGATAATTGCAACTATGATCACTTTGAAACTTTGAAATGGCCAGAGGAAGGCATACGGATTGTTCATAGGCTGAGATAACTTAACAAGAGGACACGAAAAAGGTTATAAGAGGAACAAAGGGGAATCACAAATTCGTGCCGGGGCTACATATACAGACTCGTTGTGTCCTGAAATCCGATCAGAACGTGCTGGTGGCCAGTCGGCTGGCCGCATTACGCGCATCAAGACGGTCATCGTCTTCCTCCGCAATCGACCCAACCTGACTGGAAGCTCGGTTGCGTCCTTTGCCAGAGCCCTGAGCATTAAGCTCATCATCGTCATCAGGGAGCGAGGGGGCAGCAAAGCTACCACTCATGCTGCGTCCAATGTTGTCATTGCGGCGAGGAACACCGCTCCACGAGTCACCCTTGGGACCCTGGCTCGAAGTCATGTTCGGCCGGCGCGTCGCTGGGTGAGATTCGCGACCCAGCCGGCTCAGACCACCGGAAGAATCAATGGCACGGATGTCGGGTCGAACACTCTCCAAGGTGGCCAGAGTACGACGCTCGGCTTCGATCTGGCGGAGAGTGTACTCACGCAGGCTAGACAGAAGATCCTGGGTGGTCCGATCAAACCAGCGGCGCTTCTCCTGAAGGAGGTTTGACGTGACACGCTGGGTCCGCTTGGTCAAGTAATCTTCATGGTTTTGAGCCTCCTCGAGAGCGTTGATCGCTTCATCGACCTTGTCCGGACGCACTGATGAGCTAACCTTCAAGCGGTCTGCCGCGGCACGTTTGCTCCGTGCAGTTTGTTGGGCCTGGAGTAAATCACGGAGGAGAATATGACGGTTGGTCAGGGTTTCCTTCACAATAAAGGCGTCTGAAGAGTGGTAACTCAACGGTTCGCCAAGGGTGGTAGCTTCCGCGGTTGCCTGAACAGCGTGGTAGTCGCCAACAGTTTGTACAATCTTGCCAAGTTTACGGTAAGCGGCACCCAAGCCGGGATGAGTCTCCTGTATGCTCATCTGGCCGAGCTTCACGCCAAAATCGGCCTCAGCCAGCCCAAGTCCTAAAACAGTCAGATTTGATCGGGACAAGATATAAGACGAAAACAGCATGGAGCTCCAATAACATACCACGACGGGCCTTGACCACTCGATCGACCTTGTGGCTCGAATCCATTGATCCCAAGTAGAACATCTTCGCAGTTGGACGAGCATCTTGCAACTCAGGTGTGTCATCTGGGGGTGGCGCGAACTGCTTCAACATTTTGCGTCGCACGCCTGTTGCGGGCTGCTTCATCCGCAGCACGGGGCTATAGCCAAAGTCGCTCTCCACGAACAGCACAACCTCGTCGTCTTGGATAAGGACCTCATTGCTCAGCACAACATTGAGCCATCGCTGCATTGCGGACTTGATGCGAACCTCATCCTCCTCGGTGCCTGCACCAGCCGGTGTCACTGGCGATGGCACAGCAGGGACCAGGGCTTCCGGGTTGGCGGAGATCAGGTGGTCTGCAAGCTTGACAAATTCGGAATGGGTCCGACGCACATCACGATACTGGGTGGTGCGGAACTTAGGAATATTGGTCTGGTTTCAAATCAAGCAGGAATTAGTTTTGGTAGAGGCGCCAAATGTTCGAAGGGGCAGACTAACGTGGACGTCAAAACGCAAGATTGGGTCTTTCTTCCCCGTCCGCTCCAAACCAGTAATTTTTGCTTGGATTCTATAGGTGGGGGCTGGGGGCCGCGGACCTTGTCGTGCTGGGGTCTGATATTGTGCGGAGATAGGAGATTGATGTTGCTGAATATTTGGAGATTGGTGCACACTGAATGGGGGATGCTCCTCGGGGTAGTCCGGGTCTCCTAATTGTGCGCTCTGCAGCTGGGCAGAGAGGTCTGGGGATTGAGGCTCCCCATTGCGACCCCTGCCCATGTCCTCGGCCGATTGCTCCTGGCCGGGTAAAGGGGAGGACGGGATGTCATTGTTGGAAGTGGGGAAGGTGCCTCGCTCAGCACGCGGTGAGGCCCAGGGTGAGGCACCAGTAGGATGATCTGGGTCGGTAGAGATGGTAGAGTAGTCCATCTTGGTGGAAGGTCGATGTAAGGATTATGTTTGCTGACAAGGGGGAGTGGCTGGTCATGGTAGGCGTCAGTGTTAAACGGCTGGACATCTGACCCCCACAGCAACGGCCAGCTAGCTTCAAAAGGTGCTCGAAGACCTACCTCGTACAGCTTCAAACCGAGAGGATAGCTTGAATTCGCCGAATTGGCATAACAAAAGGAGCAAAGAACTGGCAAGGGTATGAGCAAAAGGACCTGAGTAGCTGAAGAGAGGTAGGTGTCGGAGTCGGTTACGTATGGAGGGAATGCGTGCGCCAAGCCTCGCGATCCCCAGTCCACTTTGCGGTCCGATTTTCTTTGCTCTGGAGCGTTCAAGGTTGCTCCTCCCTTGTTCTTTTGTCCCATATCACATGAGCGTTTCCCCTTGGAATGGTCGTGGCTCCGTTGTTGCGCTTCCCCCCGGGGTGCGCTGTATGAGCTCCAATCTATATAGGACGAGCAATATTACGTGCAAAAATGCATGCTTTACCCTCAAAGGTCTTCGGTCCAAGTACAGACAACTTCAGCGCTTCTCCACGACATCTGCATGCCAAAATGAAGCTCTGGACCGGACTCGAAACATCGGCATTATTGCCCACATTGACGCAGGCAAGACTACCACTACGGAGCGCATGTTGTTCTACAGCGGCTTCACACGGCGCATTGGCGATGTGGACGAAGGCTCAACAGTGACTGATTTCCTTCCCGCCGAGCGCGCACGCGGCATTACTATCCAGTCAGCCGCCATCACCTTCCATTGGCCTCCTGGAGAGGTAAACGGAGCGACAGGCCCCCAGGCTGGGGCCCAGAATGAGCCAAATCCGCGGTCTGCTCACCCGCATACTATCAATTTGATCGACACCCCTGGCCATGCAGACTTTACATTTGAAGTTATGCGATCTTTGCGTATCCTCGACGGCGCTGTCTGTATATTAGATGGTGTTGCTGGGGTCGAAGCGCAGACGGAGAAGGTTTGGAACCAGGCGAGCACATATCGCATTCCACGAGTCATTTATGTGAACAAACTGGATCGTGACGGAGCCGCATTTGGTAGAACGGTGCGAGAAGTCAGTTCTCGCTTGGGTGTCTATCCAGCAGTCTGCCAGATACCGTGGTTCCAAGGAGGCAACGGCCATTTTATCGGGGTAGCAGATGCAATCCATCTCCAAGGACTACGATGGAAGGAAGGGGAGGATGGTCGCACTGTGAAAGCGGTTGACGTTCAGCAATTGGATGCAGAGGAGCCAGCCCTGGCTGCAGAGCTGCGGCGCGCACGAATTGCCTTGGTTGAGCTGCTTAGTGAGCATGACGAGGACATTGTTGAGAAATTTTTCGAACGTGAAGAAGACCATCTCGCTGTCTCGCCGGCTGATATTATTGAAAGCTTGCGCCGGTGCGTATTGGACCAGACGAGTCGGATTGTCCCTTTATTTGCAGGTGCCAGTTTCCGGAACATGGGAGTTCAGCCATTGCTGGATTCCATCGTGAATCTTCTCCCTAGTCCACCCGAAGCTCCCGACCCAGAGGTGAGCATTGGCGGTGTCAAAGGAGGTCTTCGGGACTTGCTGTCAGGAGACTTGATTGTGGAGCAGAGCGAGAAGGCGTCCTCACAATCTAAAGGGAAACAACCAAAGAAAAAGAATTTGGCCTTACAAAATAGCTCAAAAGATGCTATCAGCAAGCTTCAAAGCTGTGCACTGGCATTCAAAGTGGTCAACGACGCAAAGCGCGGAGTTTTAGTCTACGTACGAGTATATTCCGGCTCCTTGGATCGCAACAGCCTTCTCTATAACACAAACCTCCAGCTCTCTGAGCGCGCCCCACGTCTGCTGAAGATGTACGCCAACGATGCCGTGGAAGTGGATTCGATCCCTGCCGGCCACATCGGAGTCGTAGTCGGACTTAAGCAAACTCGGACAGGCGATACCCTCGTTTCTTACGCAGGGAACAAAACCACTCCCCCAGAGCCACTCACCAGTCTTCAACTCCGACCAATTGCTGTTCCACCACCAGTGTTTTTCACTAGCGTCGAGCCGCACAGCTTAAGCGAAGAGAAGCGCATGCATGAATCACTCGCACTCCTCCTCCGCGAAGACCCCAGTCTCCACGTCAATGTAGACGAAGAGTCCGGGCAGACGCTTCTAAGCGGCATGGGCGAACTGCATCTAGAGATTGCCCGTGATCGACTAATCAACGATCTCAAGGCTAAAGCCTCAATGGGCCGTATTGAGATCGGCTACCGAGAATCCGTACTTGGCGCCTCCAGCCCAATAACCAAAGTCTTCGACAAGGAGATCGCTGGGCGAAAGGGTAAAGCAGGCTGCACAGCAGTCGTAGAGCCACTGGACGAAGACCTCGAGTCTCAAGAGGTAGACCAAGACACGCTTCTTGTCGAAACCTACGACGGCAATCAGATCATTGTCCGTGCCCCCGGTCTACAAATTGATCGGTCCTCCCGTAACGAAGAGGAAACCAGCCCATTACTCCCGCCAGGTATGGAGCTCACCACGTTCCGCACAGCGCTGCAAAACGGAGCGATGGCAGCGTTTGCCCGCGGCCCTCAATTCACCTTCCCAATGCATAACACACGCGTCACACTAACTATCAACCCGGCCACTGATCTCTTCGGCAATGAAACGACCAGCTCGGCCCTTTCATCTGCCGCACGCCAAGCCACCGCCGCGGCGCTGCAAGATGTGCAATTTGGCGCGGGGACAGCGATGATGGAGCCAGTGATGAATGTGATTATCAGCGTCGACGAGGCGAGTCTCGGCTCCGTCGTACACGATATTTCCTCTTCACGGGGTGGACATATCATTTCACTCGACGAGGAGGTACCACTGTCAGGCACGGACGCGTCAGGGACTTCTACATCTGCACTTGAAGAAAATGCACCGCCGCCCATTGACCAAAGCCGTGTTTATGCGCCGCCGGACCCGTTCGAGACGCCTTCTGTTGGCGCGGAAATCCCTGTTGCTGTGACTCGGCCGCGCACGATTATCGCAAAGGTGCCGCTTAAGGAAATGGTCGGATATCTCAAGCATTTGCGGAGTTTGACTGCTGGTCGGGGCACTTTTGTCATGAGTGTTGATCGATTTGAGAAGATGTCTGGTCAAAGACAAAAGGTCGTGCTTGCGGAGCTGAGGGGCGGGTTTTAATTGCTGAGTCCTCGACGTCGAGTCATCAAACGTGAATCCAGCTAGGAAGTCTCTTGCATATCATCACTTCTTCTAGCATCCCATCAATGTACAATATTGTTCTACTTTTCGGTCCCCTATCACGCCTCCCCAGTTGCCACCAGGCCGAGTTAATATGAAGTAAATGGAGTATGCATCTGATCTTCCCCTTCCCTAAGAGGATAGAGGATGATCCTAACAAGGTATATATGTAGGACAGATAAAGGGCAGAATATGTAGACACAAAAAGACAGCTCGGGACACAGTCATGGCACTACACCGGCGGTCCACAAAAAAACAGATAGCATCGAGCAAACCAAGGTGCTTATATGCTACCAGTTGTCGTCCCATTCATCCTTGCCCTTAGTCGTCGTCGAGGTCGTGTTATTCTTACCTTCTGCGTCTGCACCAGACAGACCAGGTGTAGAGTTAGCCAGCGAGGAGGCGGCAGGGCCTTTGCGCATGGCAGCAGTCCCAACAACGTCAGACCGTTGAGACCGTTGTGATGCGCTACGACGGTGGCTAGATGTATCTTGGTCGCCCATTGACGAGAAGTCATCCCAAAACTCTCGTCGCTCAGGCTCGACGCGATTACGGCGTCCGCCGCCGGCTCCATCATCCCCTTCAACAAACTTATTGAATTGGTCAGCAGCGCCGCGAGCACTTGTCTGCAGGTTCTGGCCTAATGCTGAAGCATGGATACGGGCCTGAGCTGCGAAGTCGGATTCGGCCAGCTGGGTATTCATGTCAGTAATTGCACCAAAAGAGAGGAGACATTATATCACTTCTCCATCGAGGTCCTGCACATACCTGCTTAGCTGTTGGCTGTAGATAAGCATCATTAACCTGTTTTGCGCTCTTGCCAACCGTTGATGCGAACCACCCAAACCCTTTGGTGATAGTTCCCATTGGGTCTTTCTGAAGGTCTTCAAAGGGCTGTCCACCACCGCCACCACCCCAACCTCCAAATCCCCCAAAGGGTGAGGAGCGCCGCTCACTTGCAGAGGGCGCAGGCATACCACCCCCAAAACCAGTAAACTTTCCACCCTGTGAGGGCGGCAGGTTATCGACACGACCAGCATTATCTTTGCCCAACTTTGCAAAGTAGGCCTCGTTTTGCTCCTTCTTGCTGGGTATAGTACCCCGCTGGCTATCACCGGAGCGAATGGACGAGGCCGCAGGCGAACCAGCTCGCGCACCGGCGCCGGTAGCACCGCCTAGGCTCAAGGGTGTGCTCGATCGTGAGGGATTATTCTTCTTCTCCTGGCCCTGGACGTACTCGCGACCGTCGACTTTGCACGATAATCGCTCCTTCCATTCCTCGCCCGGGTCACTTTCATATCGTTCCTTGATAGTCGAGTCTTCGAACGTACGTCCTTCTGAGATAGTAACTGGGTGTTCGTCATAGAAGGACTTCCAGGTATCATTACCCCCCAGCTCCATACGTTGGATCTCGGCATTCTTGAAGGCGTCCATGGTGATCGAACGGACGAAAGAGATGTGCACACCTAGCCCGCGATGGGTGCCAGCACAGTTGAGACAGATGAATGTTCCGAACTTCGGGGAGGCCTGGTTAATGTGCCCATTGCAGGCAAAGGGTTAGCAGGGCATGCGGTTGGTGGGGTGTGGGTGTGGGTTGTTTAGGATAGGACGCCATGGTGATAATGCTTTGCGAAGAGAATATCAGGACGACAGGCGAGAGGGCAAAGGTGATGCATACCCATTGAGGCGATGGGGCACCGCAATCGCAGCACCTGTCATTTCCGTTCGTCTTGGAGATATGGAGGAGCTGTGGCACATGTCTGTGTCAGTGACCATGGCGCGTTGCGGGATTTGATCTGGTAGCACACCTTTGTCCTCGTTTCCGGGTCGACCTCCCACATGCGAGACATGACGAATGTACAAAGGCGACCGGCAGGACTTTAGAAGACGCAATCCAAATAACTGAGTGCGCTAGGATGTTGCAAGGTTGACGGACTCGGCACCGCGACGTTGGGTGATTTACCCCTTTTCTCCTCGTTTTGATATAGGTGCGGGAAGACTAAACACTGTTGAAAGAACAAAATCAATGCAATTGGCTCGATGATAGAATAAAATTCAATTGAAAAGATGCGAGACAATGTGAGTTCTATGTTTTGCCTCTGATCGGCAAGGGTCGGCTTTAGCGCCATCCCCAACCAAATCGGGCACAATCACTTGTATAGACAGGTCATTGTATAGGTGGAGGAACTACACTTAAATCCAATATGCCGGGTGGCAGATCGTCATCATTTAGTAAATGTGTGCTAAGGTACAATACAGAAGGCGAAGAAAAAAAAAGGAAAGTCGTTAAGGACAGAGAGCATATCAGCAAAGATAGCTCTCCTGCATGGTCAACTGATCCATGTTGTCCGATAAAAGTCATGAATCCAACCCCTCTCCCCTATTCCCCCGTAATCGTTGAGTAGCTAAGATATTCACAGTGATCTGTAGTTTGCAGAAGCACCATGATCATATCAATACGATTCTCCGTTGAGTCCTCCCCCTTCTGTTTCTCAACCCCAAAGCCACTTAGCAAGTACCCCATTCGGTCGAGTGGAAAGTCGTTTGACATTTAAGCCTTGGTGGTGACGGCGGGAGCAGCGTTCTCCTGGGCAGGGGCAGCAGGAGCAGGAGCAGAGGCAGGAGCAGCCGCAGCCGCAGGAGCAGGAGCAGCAGCCTGTTCGGTCTCGGTCGCAGCGTTAACATCTTCGTCTTCCTTACCAGGGCTGTCAATGGCAACCTTCACAGCGATGACACGACCATCAATATCCTTGCCGTTCATCTCGCTGACGGCCTTGGCCTGGAGCGCCTCAGAGGCAAGGTTGACGAAGCCAAAGCCGCGGGTCTTGCGGCGCTCGTTGCGAGCCTGCAACTTCTTGATCATAAAGCGGGGGATGGGACGCAGGGCAACCTTGGCAGAGACAGGCTCGTAGGCGGCAAAGATCTCCTTGAGCTAAAGGGTGAAAGGGTTGTCAGTCAATGTAACCTCAAACGGAGAAATGGCGGAAAAGATGTAACCCACCTTGTCCTCAGTCAAGTCGTACGGCAGATTGGCAACCATGACCTTGGTCTTAGAAGGAATTCCATCCTCGGGGGGACCGCGCTGCTTCTGGGGACGTGCGGCGCGGGCCTCGCTGGTCTTCGAGGCAGTATCCTTCTCGTTTGTGGTCTCGGCCAGGGGGTTTCGCCGACAACAGCCTCGGTGGTGGCTTCCTGGCCATCCTGGGCCTTGGGTAATGTCAGCATCCATTTCAGAGTGTCGATGTGTGCGGATTCAAGCAAGGAAAGAGATTTGGCACATACAGCACGGCTACGGCCGGTGCGGCCACCACGACCGCGGGCACGTCCACGGCCACGGCCGCGACCACCAGCACGCTTGCGGCCCTCGGTACCCTCACCGCCACTGGCAGCACCTTCCTTGGCCTCGGCGGGCTCGGGCTTGCGGGCAAGCTGCACGGATACCTTGCGCTGAAGAATCTCCTTGCCAGAGAGGGCCTCAATAGCGGCAGAAGCTTCAGCTGCAGTGGCAATGTCCACAAAAGCGTAGCCAACGGGACGGTTGGTACGGGGGTTCACCGGGATCGAGGTGGTCTCGCTAAGAGATGAGATGCGTCAGCAAATGGTCCCGTACATGATTTCACAGGCATGTTTGTTTGTTGAAGATAGGGTCGTTCGGATGTGATTCACAAAGTAGTTACTCACATGGTGTAGGCCTTGAAGAACTCCTTGAGCTCCTCCTCAGTGGTCGCGTATGCGAGGTTGCCGATGTAAAGACGGCGACCCTCATCTGCACTGGCAGCCGCGGCATCGGCAGCCTGAGTGGAAGGGGTAGCACCGTTGGTATCGGGCTTATCGGTCAGAGTGGTCGCAGCCACGGAGTCAGCAAGTGCGGCGACGTCAGACATCTTGAAGGTTGAGATGTTGAAGGATGAAAAGTGTCGGGGTGTTTATTTGCCTAAAGCTGAGAGAGACTTGACAGGAGGTGGAGCGAGGGAAGGAGCAGGGTAGCTTCGTGCCCTAGATACCAATTGAAAAGAGAAGATGGAATTGAAGTTTTTGATGCACTGGATCTTGAAGAGAGGGAGGAGGAGGATGGGAGAAGGAGATGGAAAGGGAAAGGAGAGGCGGTGTAGGACTAGCCCAGTGAGAGCTCGAAGGAAGTGCGATCGAGGGTACTTTCCTCGATCGCCCCATTGGGGGCAAGTCCCCTCCCTGACCAACCCCCCAATTAGCCCCTAATTCCCCCCAATTGACCACCATCTGCCCTACCTTTAGGCTCCCACCCCCCGAATGCTCCCGAGAGTCCCTTTCCTGAAACACCTTTCCCCAGCCCCGCCTTACCTGAAATCCTGACTCATAACAGCTGGCCTGATGTCATTCTGGAGACCTTTTGGACCAATGATCTATTACCACTTCCCTTGAGTAGTACCTGGGTATGTATGTACTTTCAATATAATTTCACATTCTATGTGATTCAGTTTTCTTCATATCTCCTGTGCACATCTGCATATCATCCAGACTCTGTACATGTGCATGATAATTGTGTGACATATTCTATAAATAATGAAGATGTTCCACACTTATCTCCACATCATATCTCCGTCATTCTATGCGCCTTGACAGTACACGACTTGAGATTCTTAGGTTCTGTATGATACTTATGGAGCGCAGTCATACTTGGTGCTGAATCTTGATTTACAGCAATGATACTCATCTTGAAAATTTGGTTCAAGGCTATACAGGTGATACAGTGGTCTTACAAGAAATCCCTGTTCAATTTGCGCTCGGATTCTAAAGCTCAAGTATCTTTCCGATAATTACTTCGTCTACCTGGCTTGCAACACTAGAGCACAGTCATATTTTGAAAACATTGACCAGCTCAAGAAATGCTTCAAAGCCCGATTTGAGGTCTACTATCAATATTCGCTTTTCTGAGATTTGCAGAGTTAGCTAGCAATTACTTGCCCTATTGTGAGTTTTTAAAAATATATATTTGATAGGAACCTCCACGATTGGACTGAACCGGGCTTCCAGTGTACAATGTATAACCGCCACTGTCCCCATGATACGTTGAAATAATTCAACTCTAGGATGACCATGGAATGATTTCACCTTAGACAGTTTTCCGTTAAGGATAAATTTAAGATTAGGTCCTTTCCATATAGGTATGTGAAAAGAAAGGCACAAATGTTTTCGCAATTAACAACTGCCATTTACCTTCACTTTCGAATCACCTAGGCAGTTAGCTAAGTAGTAGATAAGAGTACTATGGCTAATCTAATGGCATTACTATTCTGGCACTCGGATCAATTCTAAATGGTAACAAAGTGGAAGAAGATATTCATCAAAACACACTACAACATATGGACAAAGATCATACGTACTCCGTCGAACTTCAATTGGTAAACGTTTGGTGCCTATTGTATAAGATATATCCATATCATAAGTACGTGATCGTGAAGATTATCATTGACTAGCGCACCAAGGGAATGTGTTAGGCGATGTAGATCTGTATTTTGATGACGTGCCATCACCGTATACCCAACCAACCAACGTGACTACCTAGATAGGCTATCTAGACACCTGGATTCTCGGGCATTAACTATTTGAAAGCTTGGTACATACCGTCCAATTTAGGCAGTTTATTGGCCTACAAAAACCAGGACTTGCCACTGTGTATTAATGAACCTCTGACTTTCGACCTTGAAAAAGAACTGCTTATCAGGACAAGAGAGCAAAATAGAAAGCTTGAAATGTAAAAAAAAGCACATGAAGATCGACAGTTTAGCGCGATATTGACGGACGTTCCCAGGTGTGAACTCCACTCCCTCGTCACTGCGGAAAAGAAAAAAAAAAACAAGATTCGGGAAGAGCTGAGTCATCCTTGGATTCAAACACCCCAAGAGATCCAGAACGTTCAGGGTCTGTTCTCCATGTGGATCAAAAAGGGGAGTTCAGGTTCTTGGTTTACTTGAATTTTACTTTTGGTCTTCGGGCCTACTTGTATTGTATGTTCTTATCCTGCCGGAACTCGTCGCTCCAACAATATGGATCGCATCGACCCGGTCGAGGACAACGCCCCTAATGGGAACCCTCAAGGGCCCCAACCCACAGGGCAACCCACAGAGTCTGGCCCCGTCAGGCCAGCAGGCCCTGCCCCGTTGCGCAGTCAAGGAGACTCACGGGCCCGACGACCGAGTATTCGCCTGTCTCGCTTCCCATCTGTCCCTTCACTAGACAACGTTCATCAACTATCTCAACCCCAGGATCAAGGTCAACCGCCGTTCGAACCGCAGCCTATCCGATCCCCCCCCCCAAACGAAGAGGACGAAGCATGGTTAGCAGGTCGACGGCGCAGCAGCTCGGAGCCAAATCCGGTGAGATGGTCATCTCCTCCTGATGTTCTCTCACCAGTGGCGACTCCCATGCGAATGAAGCCTGTGGCCGAGGAGTCCTCACACCAAAGTCCGACACCAAGCTCTCAAGCGGCAATATTGTCCGGTCGAGAGATTCATTCCGACTCTGAGCAACTTGGTCCGGAGCAAGTTGAGCCCCCTCCCGCAGTAGCGCGACCGGTGGGTCGGCTTCGGCGAACTAGTCAAGCTGCCTTAAATCGCTTTACTCGAAACCGCGCAAGCACAGTGACAGGAGCTCCACCGACTCTAAGTACACCGGAGGAGCAACGACAAAACGAGTATGGATCTCACGTCGTCGACGTGCTGGACGTGATCGGTAAGCACGGGTACCAAGAGTGATACAAAAACAATGATTTTGACTTACCCGCATCTAGATCCTGAGGTATCTGCGCTTTCCACTCTCACCAATGTCCAGAATTCTCTTTTCGTGCCGAACCTCGGTGGGTTCATCAATCGCATGCCCACCTATACGATTACCCGACCACAATACTCTTCAGATGAGGAACAGGGAACTACAACGGACGAGGGTGAACCCTCCAAGGGCGACGGGAGCAAGAATCGGCCGAATCTAGCAAAACTCCACTCATTTACGAGTATGTCTTCGGTCTTGCGTGGCCCCAAGTATGCTGTTCTCCCAGAAGGGCATGGACTTGAAGGATGGACCAGAGAAGACTATGCCGAACTCAATGATCATGTTCGACACATGCTTCACTCTCGGCGATCAAAGTTCAAAAGGTCCATGAAAGGATTTAGGCAGTACGTGCGGAAGCGTGAGTGACACTCCCCGCCAACACATAATCACTAGAAACTAATCTTGCCTAGCCCTCGGCTTTCTTGTAACTCTCTACGCAACTTTGATCACCCTATTCGGTTTGGCCTGGGTTCTTTTCTTGATTGGTAAGATGTCTTGACCTGATGCTTTTTGATTAGCGTACTGACAGTCACGTCAGGTTGGATCAATGTTGGTGGAAAACAAAGTTATGTTGTCAACGTTATAGATAACATTTTGGTTGCCCTCTTCGCCATCATGGGTGATGGACTGGCTCCTTTCCGGGCTGTCGATACATATCACATGAGTTTCATTGCCCATTATACGTTCTTGTCCTGGAAGGTTCGTCGGAAGCGAGCCCTGCCAGGCCTCAAGGACAAGAATGATCTTCCGTCGGTGCCGGAGAAGGATGTTGATGTTGAATTTGGTGACACACCCAAAGAAGATGAACACGAATTTTCCGTTCTCGATGCTCGCCAACAGTTGCGATTGATGCATCACCAGAATAAATTTGCAAAGTCGCACACTTTTTATAAACCGCACGAAACCATGACCCACCACGCCTTCCCTCTACGCTTGCTCATCGCTATTGTCGTCATTCTTGACTGTCACTCGTTGCTCCAGATGGCTCTTGGTGCTTGCACCTGGAGTATGGAGGACTACAATAAGCGTCCATTCGCTCTGACGACGGTTATCCTTTGCTGTTCCATCACCTGTAATATCACAGGCGGTGTGTTGATCATGATCGGTGATCGACGAACTCGAAAGAAGGATGTTGTCGAACGGCTCTTCCGCCAAGAGCTGACCGAAGAAGCCATGAGGAAGATGGAAAAGAAGAAGATCAAAGAGGAGCGCCGCAGTGCTCAGATCGAGCGGTCCAGCGCCCAAATCGAGCGGCCTAGTGCGCAGATTGAGCGGCCTAGTGCGCAAATTGACCGCCCAATGCCGTATGGTGGCACCTGATCACAGCAATTTCCATCTCACTTACGAACGTCATGACATGGGCATTATGAACGCTGGTCCAACTGGATCAGAACGTTCCTTTCATTTGTCCCACCTGTACAGATTGCCAATTGATAATAATGCTGCTATTGGTCGTTGGTTTTATATATGTTAGCAACGGAGTTTCATTCGATCCCATATGGGGATGACATCTGCTTTCTATGATTTTGTTCTCTGGCCTACGGTGGCGTTTTGCATTTAGCTGCATCGTCTGTGATTTTGAAATACAAGGGACGTAGATATGGACAATCTGAACCTCTATCTCGCACAACAAAATATGTACGAATCCTATGAAATTAAACAAAGACCAGCCACTCAAGTAGTGATAGTAACTTTCTCCCCAACCCATTTCCCTCCACCCTTTACAATCTCCTCAAAAATCCACTCACCAACCAGAGCCCGTGAAATCGTATACCCAATAGCAGGATCCCTCTCCGTACCAGCCCTCACTTGCTCCAGTCCCACCACTTTGCCCCCTTCCCCTTCCTCGCGAACAGGAACTCGATGGTCCCCCGTCAAAAGGCTGGGTCTCACAACAACAACTCCACCCGCAAGCACCCCGGCATTTCCCAACTCAACATCCTCATCAAGCAATCTCTCCATCTGCAACTTATCCGCATGCGGGATCGGCAGGAGGATCGAGTACATCGGCCTAAACCAGAACGGTACATCTTTATTACCAGGCACATTGCCCGTCGTTGATATCACAGTGACCATTGGTGCAACAGCACGATATGCCTCAGGCGAATTGAACCTCTCAGAAGCAATCTGCGTCAGTGCCGCTAGTAGTGCTTGTGTCGTCTGTCCTGTGATGTGCGGGTTCGAGAGCTCAATGTGCGGCAACGCAGGCATGCGAATCTGGGTATTGGTCCATTTCGTTTCTTTGGTGAAGGACATTGTCGGTGTGCCGCCTATGCCGGAAATTATGCTTGTTACGAGAGTACAGGCACCATTGGATGCGCTATTGGAGTTGGTGATGAGTGTGTTCGTGACACTCTCTACATCTGTTGCGTCGCCTTCTATTATTTCGAGCTGGCGAGAGATGATCTCCTCTGTTATCCCATGTTGTGAGAGGAGCAGCGTCCTGAGTTTTGAGGGGGTACGGACTAGGGCTCTGGCGTTGTAGCCGTTGAGAAGGGTGTGGGTCAGGCAGGCGTTGGCGCAGCCACCGGTTGCTCCGAAAAAGGCGATGGTTGCCATTTAATGGACTGGCTGGTGTGTATGATATAGGTAGAATCAAATTGTAGATTGGAGCTTGAGGTTTGTTTGTAGTAAGTGGATTGTGATAGTAGTGATATAACTTCATGGATTCAAGGATCCTTCATAATGGGCAGTGATCGGTACAATCCTTTCGGCGACTTTGACCCTTTGATATTGATCCGTCCCCGATTCAGCCTAACAGCAACGTGAGATATTAGTATAGGAAGTGTAGCCGTGTAGCCTAAGCCCAGTAGAAGTGGCGTAAGCTAGGCCGGAAGTGGCTTAGTAGCGGGCCAACAAACCGTCCGATGCGGGCGAACTGCTTCATTTCATATCACAGCCAAAGATCTATACTTATCGTCGAAACAAGCACTGCATTTGAATTCTTGAAGCATATATTATTTAGAGAATTGAAGGTGGGTGGAATACCATCTGTGTTTTGGCGTTTTGCCGATATATATCCATGACAACGTTCCAGCACACTCCTACATGAATATTGTAATCGTCTCAATTATTACCTTTTTCATTATTTGGTCATTGAGCGTGGTGTCAAGTGTAGACTTTTAGATATGTCTATAGAGAGTATTATCCTCCAATCTTCAAAAGATAGGAGAGAACCACGGATCTCATTGATCTGCTCTACCTTTTATGCATCCAGACATTGTAATGATCCAATAATCTCCATCCTTACAATGTGAAAAGATCATCGACAGATACCAAACAAGACTTCTAGGACAAGGAACGGTCATTTCATCAACCCTACGAGGTACTGGAAGGAGGGTATGATACAGGCGGGAAACGAAGTAAAAGATGGCGAGTATCAGTACTGGCATTGGGTATTTTGGGAAGGGAGTGGAATTTGCCATTGGGATTCCGTGAGGGACTTTGTTTGTAGCGGCATGGAGGAGGTGGAGGAGGTGGAGGAGATGATTGAGATGGGCATAGAAGATTGGGAATTAATGCTCGGATTTGGATTCCGGGCCAAGTTGATGGCGGCGTACGACAGTCTGTAACCGCCAGTGGGCCAGTTCATACTCTGTTCGCAGTACATTTAGTAATATGAGCATTGTATATATCTGGATCTGCGATGCGATGAAGTACACATAGGGATCTTATAGTAGAAAATAACCTTGTGATTGGTTCCAAGGTTGAGACTTGAGGCTCCTCTTCTCGGGACCCACTTACCGCCGGCCATCACATATTTGCTTCCCCATGACAACTTGGCCGCGACTGATGGAATCCGAGATGGACACGAACTTCATGGATCTAGGGCTTGGGATTGTGGTGCAACCACCAAAGAAAATGACACTCAAGGAGGCAGGAACTTGATAGAGGGCACAGAAGAAGCTAGGCAAGGAAGAAAAGAGAGCATGGCATGACGTGACCGAAGACTTACAGGGCAGACTTGATGTGATGAGGTCGGACCAGAAAGAGAGAAATTGATGCAGCAAGATTTGTCATTGCCCAAAATGGTGGATTCTCCTAGTTCACGGACTTGGCCATTGTTTATGTTGCTGTTGCATTACAGGTGCGTATGTATTGAGCAGGCTTGCATACCCGGAAAATCGAAAGTGCAGCTTGAGGTTCTTGCTATTTGCATAAGAAAATACCGCATAGCTTGAAGTCACAGCTTACCCATGCCACTGGGTTTCACAAACTTGCTTGACATCTATCCGATCCCATTTTGATTTGTCGGAAGACCATTTCCATTCCTGCGATGATTTGCCTCGCCAGACATTAGCTTGATAAGAGGCATCCAAGTTTGTTTAAAACCCACATCTCATGTCCTAATATCATTCGTATGCAAATACACAAATCACAGTACCTCAGCGATCAGCAGCGATCCGAGGATCTCCCTTACAGCGTCTAGGGTAAAAAAATCCCAGTTGCAAATGCAGCCACGGAGTACAATCGAGCACATCGCCCCTCTCAACGAGAATTTCCGCCGGATTGTGGCTGCCAATGCATGTTGAGTTCTGAACTGCATACAGAAAAAGAAAACATTAAGAACAGGCCTATCCGACTTTGAGGGGAATTGTCCGCTTCAACTTTCATCCTCCCGCCGTCGAATATACTTTCAAGTGAGCACGGTGTTTGAGCTATCTCGCTAATCATGACTTGGTCAAAGCCATTTTTGAAGCTTCGCGAAGAGCGACCGTGGCTATTGCCGCTGAGATCCTCGCAATCCTTCATAGTGACGACAATTTCTCTATCAATGTTCACGGTATCTTCCCCAGTCCCCTAATACCCAAATAACAAAAGCTCTAGCTAATTGAATTTTATATAGGATCTCTTTCTCTATGCTATGGTACCTATATTCTGATCAAGACCTTTGTTTCTTACCTGACCACAGTAGATTGTCCCCGTCATGCCTCAGGCATTAGTTTCACGAGCTGGAGTAGCATTCGAAGATAGTGAGAAAGCTTCACAAACATAGATGATATTAACTAATGATAGTCTCTTTCTGATAGGAGAGTATTGGAACAGCGTCCTCCTCATATCTGAAGCTGGCTCGGCACTTGCATGCTGTCCGATACTTGGATACCTGTTAGACGCATCTGGAACACGACAGGGCCCATATCTGTCTGGACTCGTGTTATTGCTTGCCTCTATGATCATTTTCACCGCTTCACACTCAGTAACATGGTATATCATCGCTAGAGGGCTCCAAGGCGCAGCAACGGCTATGGTTTCGGTGGCTGGTCTTTCAATTGTGACAGATGCAGTAGATAAAGCGAGTCTTGGACAAATGGTTGGATATCTTGGCACCGCCATGACACTGGGCTTTATGTCTGGACCACTACTGGGTGGAGTGGTCTACGAAATTGGAGGATTCTATGCCGTTTTCAGTATGGCCTTCGGGATCATCGCTCTTGATTTTCTTCTGAGACTCGCTGTTGTCGAGAAGAGGATCGCCGAACGCTGGTTGTGCCTCACTGATGGTGAGCGGCCGAGCCAGGAGAATGGCCATATCCCCGAACATCCGCCATACGGAGCTCTGGGGACTATAAATAGTAGCCCTCATACTATCACGGTAATATCTAAAAGTACTTTTGCGCTGGGCAAGCTTTTGAAGCAACCTCGGATTCTTATTAGCCTCTGGGCAGTCATAGTTGGGGCTCTTGTGGTCTCGGCATTTGATGCTGTAGGTGATGCAGTCTTTCAGCTTGATATTGCGCTGACAGCCATGTATAGACACTTCCAGTCTTCGTGGAGGATAAATTCCAGTGGAATGTTCTGGGCGCAGGTCTGATATTCTTGCCTGGTGCCTCAGTGGCCATTTTCCAACCATTTTTTGGTACCCAAGATCATATCTTTGAGCCCTATTGCATCATTCTGACCTGCTTTTCTAGGACTTCTATCTGACCGTCTCGGATCGAGGGTGATTGCATTCGCAAGCTTTGCCACTTTAGCCCCGAGTCTGATATGTCTTCGTTTTGTTGAGGAAAACTCACCATTTCAGATAGCCCTTCTTTGTGTGATTCTGGGTCTTGTTGGAATATGCATTGACTTGAGCGAGCCGGCCTTGATAGTGGAGATGCAGCGTGTCTTGGATGATATGGAAGCTGCAGACCCCGGGGTTTTGGGGGGTAGAGGTGCTGTGGCTCAAGCTTTCAGTCTAGAGAACATGGCACATTTTGGCGGTTTGGCATTAGGACCTATGGTAGGTGGGTTTGTGGAGTTCAAATACGGCTGGAAAGTTATGACCCTTGCTCTGGGAATTCTTTCTGCCGTTACTGCTATACCTATGTTATGGCTCAGTGGTCCTATGGAAGAAGTCTCCTGGACTGAATCTGCCGATGAAGAGATGGAACGTGAACCCTTGCTGATGGAGTAGCATGTGTCAGGATGTGTATAGTAGTACAAACGAGGATCTTTTCATCGCATCTATTCCGAGGCATGACTAGTTAGCTCCGGTAGTATTAGTATTCTTTCACTGCAGGTGAAGGTTAGCCATTCCATATTTCAGTATGTAGTATTGTTAAGACTTCCGGTGTACGTATTCGTCTTGAAACATCTCCCCGCCAGGTTTATTTCTGTATCAACCCGAGAACCATGTTATCTCTCGGTGATTCAATGGGGGGAATACCACCCTCCTCCCCAAGCCCACAACTTTACAATCATGAGTAACGTGGAAGTAGTCACAGTTACACCAGTAGATAATGCACGAGAATGAGGACGGTCAAGGCAGCCGTATTGCATCTTTAAGAAGGAGAGGAACTCCAGCTTGAAAGGAGAAGGGCGAAGGGTTCGGTGACCAACATGAAGCTTTTCGAGCGATTCCATAAATTGCTGTCGAGCCTCTATACCCCCACACGTACCCTGCTCCAATCCTCTTATAGCAGTGATATCAAAGTTCAATCGAGCAGCTATGTCTTCCCAGCAGAGTCAGAGCCCCATGAAGCCACAATGATGGGGTTACCATCTCGATGTTCTCTACCCCCCGATCAGTATGATACTGTGTGCAACGAATTAGCTCAGCTAGCGGCGACGGTCACCGAGTTCGAGCCAGTTCGGCTGTACGTGAGGCCCGAAGAGATCCAATTGGCCGAGTCCCTAGTCAAAACCTTTGTGAAAGACACTTCAAAGATATCTATTATTCCGTGTCCAATCAACCACTGCTGGGTACGCGACACAGGCCCAGTCTACGTGCGCGACACGACCGGAACATCTCCAAATCAACGGTTCGCAATCAACTTCCGATTCAATGAATGGGGTGGTAAGAAACCTGAAGACGATGGAATTTGCTGGGGTCAGCGCTGGCCCGTGCTGGATGAGAAGGCATTGCAGGAAAACGCTGATTTTGCGCGGTGGGTGATTGAGCACGACTGCGAACCCAGCCCCGTTACGCAGGTCGAGACTTCGATTCGCGCCGAGGGCGGTGGTCTCGTCACCGACGGCGAGGGAACCCTGCTTATTACGGAGAGTAGCATTGTATGTGATGTGCGCAACCCAGGGGTGTCCAAGGACGAGATCGAAGCGGAGCTGAAACGGCTGCTCGGGATTGAAAAAGTGATATGGTTCCCAGGACGACGCAATGTCGACATTACCGACGTGCATATGGACGCTGAGGCAAGATTCGTGCGCCCTGGTGTCATCGCTTACTCCAGACCACATGTCATTTCACCCAACTTGTGGAAGGAGCTCTCTACCGAGATCTTGGAGATTTTGGACCGTGAGACAGACGCCAAGGGTCGGCGTTTACAGATCCACACCATCGAAGAACCCGACCCACGAGGCTTGGTGAAATCAGATCATGATGAATTGTCGGCTAGTTATGTGAATTTTTATTTTGTCAATGGGGGTCTGATAATCCCTCAATTTGGTGATGGAGAAAGGGATCAAAAGGCCCTGGAACTGTTTCAGCAATTGCTCCCTGAGCGGGAGGTTCGTCAGGTGTATGTCAACGCCATTCCCCTTACTGGTGGAGTGCTTCACTGCGTGACCCAGCAGGTTCCTGCACTGCAATAATTCACCAATGAGAGGCATGCTGGAAGCACTGGCTTCCCAGTCGATTTAAAAATAAGATCAAAGCTTTGTCAGTGTGTATCCACATTTCGGTCTGAGAGCCAAATTCTTAGACATCGCACGGCATATCTTAAATATGGCAAACTGGTGGATATTTCATTTCGCGATTTGACTCTTCACTCGTCCGTACTCGGTGGAACTAATCTCTTCGGGAGCTTGAGGTGGATTTTGTTTGCAGGGAATAGCCTATCGATAGTTGACTCCCCCGTCACATCTTTCCAAAGCACTAGTAAATTCTATCCCTATAGAGCTTTCAAAGACATGTGTCCGATGTGTAACAATTTAATTGCCCGACCAAGTCGATCAAGTGAGGGTGGCTCTAGATCCCCGAAAATCACTCATACCTCAAATGGGCCCCAGATGGCTTAGGGCTTCAGCTACGCCTCAGATTGGCGCATCACAAGTGAAGTTCCTGCATGAACATTCAATTTCTATGACATAAAAGATATGCGCTTTAATGTTCATTTCAGACAGTATTCTGGAGTCGAATCTTGGATTTGGTCAAATACATCTTGGTCGCACTATTCCGTATATTGGTTATGGTCTTGATGTACTCCGTACATGTGTGACGATGTCCTCGGAGTTTCGCCAGACGCTACTCCGTATATCCAGCTCGACGCCACCATCTCCATAATAGCCACTAGCGAGCTGATCACATACGCTAGATGAAGTAGTCTGTACATCAAACCGTGCAGAATTAGATCCATCGGCCGATCTACCCAGTGTATGCGAGTGTTCATCCCATGCACATAGTTCATCCCCCCGTAAAGCCCTAAAGAGCACACGTCAATTCATCTCAATCAAAATATAATTGGCTCCTTTACAGCTTAACTGGAGAAGTGAGGCCTTTATCCCGTGTGACTTGTTGCTGATTTTTTTTCCCGTGAGATCCAACGTAATGCAGCGTTTCAATTGCGTGCAAGTTTGCTTTTTAATGGCGCTTCAGCTCGTTAGTTCGTCGATCGATGCTCCAAGTCTCTTTAAACGACCTGTTCGCACGGCGTTCGCCGAAGAGCACCAGGGCTTCTTCCTAAAAGGACACCCATTGACCCCGTACTTCAAGGCTTTTGTATTATGGTCCGACAGATGCTTTTGTAATGCTGTTTCAGTTACAGAACTCTCCATTTTCTCCGGTTCTCCTCAATCGACTACTCTCCACCATCATGGCTCTTCTCCCTGCTCCTCGCGAAGCCGTGACCATTGGCAAAGTCATACATGCCGCCGGATATCGAAATCTCCCACCAGATGAGCTAGTAGATCTGGCGATTGAGAGTCGGATCGCCCATATAGTCAAACGCTCTCGTGTTGGGGGCGATGAATCATTTTTCGTTGCCGATTTGGGCCAGATACTTCGACAACATCGTCGTTGGACTCAGAACATGCCCGGAATACGACCGTATTATGGTATAACAATCCCCATTCATTACTTTCATGATTCTTCGGGAGCCATCGTGCAAAAAAATCTAACATCCTTCCGCAGCGGTTAAATGCAATTGTGACCCAACCTTTCTCAAAGTTCTTGCAGAACTGGGGACGGGCTTCGATTGCGCTTCCATCGAAGAGATCCGTGCAGTTCTCAATCTCGGCGTGGACCCAGCCCGGATTCTGTTCGCCAATCCATGCAAGGCTCCCGCCGCGGTGGCTTTTGCACGCGAGGTTGGCGTCTTGCGAACAACATTTGATAATCTCGACGAATTGGATACCATCAAGGCCCACATGCCGGATGCTCAGTTGTTACTTCGTATCTATGCGAATGACGAGGGAGCTTTCATTTGTCTGGCCGAAAAGTTCGGTGCGCAGTTGGATACGACTGAGGCGTTACTGTCAAGAGCCTGGGAGCTTGGACTGAATGTGATTGGTGTTAGCTTTCATGTTGGTAAGTTCTTGTGTGCTTCGGGTTGGATGTAGCCGGTCATGTTTTATTGACGCTCGACGTCTTAGGGACGGGTGCGACCGACCCAGCATCCTTTTGCAAGGGCATCCAAGATGCACGTTTGGCATTTTCACAAGCTGAACGCCTGGGGTTCCACCCCAAAATTCTCGACATCGGCGGCGGATTTCAAGACGATTGCTTTGAGTCTATGGGCCCTATCATTCGAGAGGCAATTCGCTCAGAATTTCCAGCCGGTATCACAACGATCGCAGAACCTGGTCGGTTTTTCGCACGTAGTGTGTATACCCTGGTATGTCGAGTAATCTCACGTCGCCGGCAGCTGGGGAGTGCTGCTGTATCTGGTGTTCCAGACATGCTTTATCAAAATGATGGCATATATGGGAATTTTATGAACGTGATCATGGAGAAAGAGATCATGGTTCCCTCTTTGGTCAGCAGGAAGACCAGGGATTTCTTGCATAAACCAAAATCAGAGGAAAGTGAGAAGACAAACGATGCCGTCCAAGGAACAAGTCATCGGTACTCGATCTGGGGACCTACATGTGACAGCACCGACTGTGTTGTGCGTGAGGTGACGTTTGATTCTGAGGTCAAGATTGGAGATTGGTTTAAATATAAAAACATGGGAGGTGAGTATTGCCGCTTTATATTTGTTTCAACAGAACTGACTCATTTTCAGCATATACAAGTACCACTGCTACTCAGTTCAATGGCTTCAGCAGCACCTATGAAACGTTTTACGTCAACAGTGAAACGCTGCCTGACTATTAGCCGAAGTTCTGGTATTGCCTTTTGATTTTGCACGTTATAATTAGTTGTGCCCATGTAATTGACGGGGGCATCTTGACATGTCCGTCGGTACAGTCGGGAAACATGTGGTGAGCAGGATTTGGATCGCTACCAGGGCCTCCTGGTAACTTCAAGTGTAAATTGATGAATAGCCTGCATTCATTCAGCTTGAGCGCGCAGCCTATTGCGCATATCTATACCAAAAAACCATAATATCCGTAACTATACTAGTAGGATAACCGAGTCCATCCAAAATAAAGCAATAATCGCACGCTTGAAAACACAAACACCATAATTTCCAGTTTTTCCAAACACTCAAGATGGAATAAAGATAGCAGGAAGGATATCAATCATGAGAAAAAGAAGAGGCCTCAGACGAGGAAGAGATAAAGACATAAGAGAGATGCCCAGATAAGAGGCAAAAAGTGACAGAAATTGAAATATGTGAAAGATAGACGAGAGCAAGCTTTTGGACGAGGTCATACCTTCTCCATCCCGGACATCGGAACGTCATCCTGTATCGCGTTCTCTGGGAGAGACTGCTTGATATCCATGCCATACGGTTGAGCGTCGGAAGCAGATTCACCCTGCTTCTCTGACATGTCGGATGAAGCTCCGTTCTCGGGTCGTTTGCGGCCAAGTCGCTCGCACCAGTGCTCAGCACTGACCAGTGTGTCATTGACGACACCGCTGACTTGCGCCATCATATCAAGACCCTCTTGAGCCAGCACTAGGATGCGATGAGCACTGACTGTAGCATCGGAGGAGGCAGCTGGGGAGTCTGGTGCGGGCTGCGATGTAGATGCAACCTGAAAGCGGTGCGGCAGAGACGTGAGGTGTCGACGCACTAGGTGGCGGGCATTCTCTGGCAGGGCACCTCCTGCATACTTGGAGACCACATCCACGACTTGTTTCAAAGTCGATAGCACATCGGCCTTGACAGCTTGAATGCGCTGGGTAAGCAATGAGGCATTGTCTTGGCCACTGCCCCCTGCCTCCATATCCGATTGGGATTGCGATTTGTGGGCTTCCCACTCGTTGACAGCACTATGTAGTGCTACGATAGACTTGCCCAATCGACCGTTCGCCCATCGAAGCCAAGTCAGACAATATTGCAGGCTGCGCAGCGATTCATCGCTCATGGCGACTCCGAGTCCAGAAGTCGAAATAACCAGTCGGCTTTGCCATGTCGCCTCAGTACGTCTTCCTGGCTTTTCTTCGTAGTGAGGTGACCTTATTTCGTCGTACGGGGGGAGCGATTCGGCCATGGAGAGATCGGACGAGCTCCGTGTTCGCGGCGGATCAGCTGGACCATCTAGTCCCTTCTCTGCATTCATCGTCCTCGGTGACATATCCCCATCCATCTTTCGTCGCTTTTTGGTGTGTTTTGGATCTTCGCTTGAGGAATCTCGTCGCTGCAGCGCCCAACGGAGACCGCTCTCAACACCAGTCTTGCGGCCTACCGTGCCAACGGTGTTCGCGACAGGGGATCCTATATTGCGCTCGATGAACTCAGCCCCAGACTTGAATCGCGGCGAGTATGATTTCGATGTGGCGTAGGCAGAGACTGAGCCGTTGATAGCAGAGGAGATAAGGGGATGGGAAGAAGTCAGCAGAGACAATAGTGGCTCTGGCGGTGGTGGGTCCGGAGAGGTTATTGGAAGGGATTGTCGCGCTGTCCGAGGCGATTGTCCGAAATCTGGGAAGATTAGCCAAATGTCCGTCGCACAGCCATCCCAATCCAGTGGAAATCGCAGTTGCGACACTTTGAGTGGGCTATTTCATGATATCAGAGCCACCTACCGGAGCGAAGCCCCTCAAGGGCTTGCGCAGCTTCAATATCATCCATCGATAATACACTGGCAGCTCGACGAGATCGATCTTCTTTATCAAGATCCATCACAGATGGATGGGCATTATGATAAGGTGCCGTAGGTGATGGGGCAAGGTTACTTGTAAGCGCGGAGGGGAACGAATTGATCGAGGTCAGAGCTGTGGCGTTTACCCTTCCGGCAGGTGGTTTTAGCCTAGCGGATTTTGGAGGTTCCATGGCGGGTCACAGATCGTCCATAGAGAGAGAGTAATGAACCCCAAAGACGTCGGAGTTTCGCATCGTATCGTCTTTCACGTGAAAAAGTGCCAGGCCACTAGTCCCAATCAGGAAGGAAGTGAGTGAGGTAATCACATTCCCACGGTACTTGCTCGGCCATACATTCCGCTATGGCTACCCATGTACCTTTTCTCGTCACATGTCAATTACCTGTCCCTCGCCCCAACAGACTACATTCAGTCGCCCCTCTGCGTCGAGCTTACCGAAAATGATTATTTTGATTCAATACAATATATGCAAAAGTCTGAATCAATTGTGTCCTCCGTATAATCGAGCGCACTCGCCTGCCCGGGTCTTTCAATACATAGACAATCCCTACATCTGTACGGAGTATTCCGCCCAAGTTCAATGTATGCATACCCATCGCAACGTATACTCCATACGGAGAAGTTTCCCTGATCCCGGAAAAAGGCACCATGAACCCATCCTAGGTTAATCGCTCCCCTACGTTTCCATTTTTATCATTGCCAATGTAACTCGACTAGTACTCCGTACCTATGTTTGCACGTACCCCAACTTGCGCTAGGATGTGCTCGACGGGTCTAATAATACGAAAACGATTGTGATTGTTCTTGATCCCTGTCACCTTTTCCCCACGAGCCAGTGCAAGTCTAGTTAGCAGGGTGTTCGGTTCGCTACCTACAACATAGATCGGTTGCACCTTTTTTACTCCGTACGTTGTATGCTGTACGCATGCAATGTACTATGTAGGTTAACATTGTCCCGGAAGACCTTGCTCCGTCCTATCACATGTCTACATGTGTGGTGATTTATTCACCTTTGGCCTGCGACTCCCATTTGCCGCTCTGTCTACCGGGTACATGTGGTACCCACGAGCCTGATTTCTCTTCGCCAAGGGTACTAACGTATTTTAATACTTGGCACGGCACTCCGAATATATGTTGTAGTCTTTCAGGTCTTTCAATTTATAGGCCCAATCTTATATTTGTTGGGCCTATGCTTCCTGTTTCGGCCCATTGAGATCGGCATGTGACGTGGGGGTATTCTAGCAGTTGACATTCGGGGGCTAGGGTGGACTCTCCCTGCTTACAATAATATAGTGAGATTGCAGTCTACCGGTAGATAGTTTACAGTATTTAGGCAAAAGTCTGATATGAGATGTTGAATTTACCTGATTTCATGTTTAGTGACATGTGATGGAGAGCTATCTATCAACTCTGACATATACAAAAAAGGTATCTATATCATGATATCTTCAAAGTCATGGGCATGAATCATAAGAAAATATCGCTAAAAATCATCAGAATGAAAATTAAATGCACGGTCATTGTTGACGTCACTCGTATCTCGTTGATAAACCATCCGCTCTAAAATGATAGCATGGCTTCAATCGCTTCGTCGTCTTCATACTCTTCGAACTCATCTAAATCACCGACCTGATCCCCAGGCAATTCATTGGCCGTGAGATGTGCCACCATTGTCTGATTCACTCGGTAGCAGGCGAGCACCTCATTAGTGACAAGGCGGGATGGCGAAACAGAGGCCTTGATTTCACACAATGTCTCGCCAAAGGCATGGAGAATAAACCGAGACTTTGGACATCGACGGTAGGCATACGAAGCTATCAATCGTTGCCATTCATTGCGGCTGTTTTGCCAAGTATGGATGAGCGGATGTTTGCCCGCGTCGGGAGGAGAGAGTGCACCTGCATTCTCGGCAGCTTGACGTGATATGGCAGAGAATTCGTCCCCCGTAGCAGCAGAGTGTCCAACATTCCACTGCTTGTATAGTTCGTCTATCGATCTTCGAACTCCAGCGAGAGTGTCTTTTAATGCTTGAGTGTGTTCAGAATTGCTCTTCAATGCTTCTTCGGCTTCATTCCATGGACGAAGAAGGTCATCGTCGAGCAGATTCTGGATATCGTTCTCGGGGAATGCCTCGTTGAGACCTGAGAGAATCCTGCGGAGCTCCCGGCATGCGACCTCAAACTTGAGGAAGTCGACAATGTTCGACGGGTTGTACTTGCGGTCTGCGTTCCGGTGCGCAGGAAGCTCACGTTCCATAGGGCTGACGGTCTTGCGGTATTCTTTCCAAGCTTGCTCTGAAAGGTGAACTCCGCTTTTCCGACCATCCACAAGATGACCCAAGAGACATGCCAGCTCTTTCGCTTTCGGAGAGTCGACTGACTCATCGTATGCCAGTTTCTCATGCTCAGTGGTACATCGACCCAGACTTGAAAGATTGAGATTGAAAGCGAACGCACTTTCCAAAAAGTCTTCTGTCGAATTCAGTGAGGCCATCGGGACGGAGTGTTTTGTGAGCCCATAATGCTCCGCAGGATATTCATAGGCGGGCATTGGAGAATCCTGAAACTTCTCGACAATCATTGGATCCCAGCAGATCCATGGCGTATCACCATCGTAGTCTCCTCCAGATAGCATACCGGCTAGAGGAAAATTTCCTGTGGTGGGAAAGACAATCACGTCTTTAAAATGGCGCAGTTCAGTCTTCCATACTGCTTTGCGCCGTTGAATATCAGAAGGTAAATGGGCTGGAAGTCGGCCCACGAGAACATCCACCCCATCAAGGAGGTTGTCTTCAAACTGGCCCTGCGGATCCCGCCAATTATTAGAGAAGCCAAAGTGGACTTCGTCCGGTCTGAGAACCCCATATGGATCGGCAATGCAGTACGCGTAGGTTGAGAGAGGGACCTGGATCTTGAGCTTCTCGACATGTCGCTCAAGAAGCCATGTTAGATATTGGCGAATTTTCAAACGGAGGGGAAAAAAGTCGCGTGGTGCAAAGCCAGCCTCAGAGAAACGAATGATCGACTCAACATTACTGGTTACCCACTGCTCCATTCGTCGTGATTTCCCAGTTCCATCTTCACCGGAGGGTCTGAGCTTCTGGAGTAGGGCTCGGCAAACCACAGGGCTATTCGATCGAAGAACCTCAAGGAAATCGTCATAAAGACTCTGCATACCATCACGCGTGAGCTGGGCAAGATACTCTTTCATATTCCCTCCGTGTTCTAGAATTGCAAGAAGCTGGATATTAAGGCCAACGGGGTGCAATGGCTTAGCCCAGTTGACTACTTCGAACGTTAACTTTTCATCGTCGACCGGGCCAACCCACTCCTCTGGATGAGGGTATATTTTCAACTGCGAGTCTGAGATCTGAATCCAGACGTCATCGTCGTTCGTAGTAGTAATACTAGATCGGTGGCAATCGACCATCCAGAGGCCCTTTGCGCCTGCTATTCTGCCCTGGAAGCAACTCGGCGTGGCGGTGGTTATGCCTAGTTGATCACAAATTTGGTTCGCAAGAGTCCTCGATATCAAAGCACATCCGTCATTCATGACAGTCCGGGCTGGATCGTCTCTCAAACGAAGCACTTGTGCTGGCTTGAGCGTAACGGTCGCAAATGTCTTCGACAAGCCCAGAGAGATACGCTGGAAGAGCTTGCAGTTGCTTTGGTTCGCATTCGCAGTCTTTGGCATATGCCATTCCAGCAAAGCATCTACACTCATCGGAGTATAGTTGTTGCTTTGCTGTTGAGGAGGGGAGCGACCGCCGGTGGTAAGTGATAGCCATGATCGAAGTCGTTACCATCAATAGCGAAGAGCTCAACCCGAAATCGAGGCTCATCCTTACCTTTGTGCTTGGTCTTTACTTCTTCGGCAAAAAAAGCCCGCCACGTACGTCCGAGGCAATAATGATCATTCCGTGTGAGCCAGGAAGCGATACTCTCGCGAAGCACAGATGGATAGGAAGGTTGTTTCTGATGGGTGGGAGGTTGATCCGCGGCTGGAACAGTAAGAGTCAGGAATCTATCCGATCCAAATCGTCGGTGAAATCGACACGTCCGCTCTGGCTTGAGCGGGTTGAGTTTCAATTTCAAAATACCCGGCTCGGACTCGTCACACCAGTCCAGGTTTCCTGACAATACCACCACCTCTGAGTGCTTATCTGATTTAAAATCACCAACAGCAGCATCCCAAGCCCGACGTGGCGATTTCTCTGGCAACGGATGGCCATAACGTCGACCAAGTCCGCTGACCCATGACCAGAAATCATCTTGAGTGTTGAAGGTAACCCGGTCACCGACGAGGATTTTCTTGAAGGGGATTCCCCAAGCACGTCCAATTCGTTCCAACTCGTATCGGAATCGCAATGGAATTTTCGCCGAGAAGGATTCTTCTAGGGAAAAGGGCCCGTACGACAGGAGCTCACCAATAAACTCCTGTTTGAGAGAAGACTCCGTTTCAGCGGGGTCACAATTTACCATCATGGAGATCGTGGCAGCGTCCACGCTTCTTAGCATCTCCTCGCTAGCCATGTACCCAACGACCGAGTCTGCATACGTTGATTGGGTATCCATTGGCTCGGTCATATCTGTCATGACTGAATCAAATGATTGCCCAACGCTAGTATCGCGAGACGTCAAGACCGACGAAGTGAGGGTCGTCGGAAAGCTGGTATTGAATGACTGAGTCATATTATTGCGCTTCGACTCATTGGATGCCGCACTAAGCTTTTCAAACAAAGTAGGCTTCTTGAACTCAACATCTTCCTGAATAGGAGAGACTTCTTTGCCGGGGCTGTTGCCAAACCCAAATGATCGAAGATCCATCTGTTTCAGCGGCGATTGGGACGGTGATCTGACCGATTTGGGGGTTTTGGATGGAGATCGGACAGGTACGACGTTCCTCCCGGGTGATTGGGCAATGCCTGAAGTCTTCGCTGGCGACGAAGTGCTTGTCGAGCTCCTTGTTGGAGGGGGGATATTTCCTTGAGGCTGAGGTGGTGATCGAGCGACCGCTTTCCTAGAGAGCGATTGGTGGAACCCTTGGCCCTGTGCTGGTTGTACCTTCGTTGGCGGAGGAAATGTCGACGAATACTTCGCCGATGAACGGACACTCTCTTGGTTCTTTTCAGGCGGCTGAATGGGTCCGTGATTCCTTCCGGGTGATAGGTGCACTCGACCTTCTGCTGGCGACCTAGTTGCTATCGACTCCCGCGCAGGAGACTGAAGTGCTGAATGGCTATTGACTGGCAAGTTTGCAGCACCAGAACTCCTTTGAGGTCTTCGAAAGGCCGCCTGTACCATCTCGGGAAATTGTAAACCTCCATCTCCATTCTTCCCCAACGGCGACTGAGCTAACACAGATCCCTTGACTGGGGAATTTGGTGCGGTATGATAATTTTCGTTTGCGTCTTCATCATCATCAACCCTTTGTTTCTTCGGTGATAAGCCCTTGGCATCTCCAAAAGAATTAGCGGCTAACCTTTTCATATTTACGACACGACCATTCGCCAACAGATATTCCTCGTCATTCATGAGCTTCAGCAGATGGTTCATGCACATATCCTTCTCAGGGCCGGTGAGCAAGAGTGGGAGCGCGGGTTCCTCACTCTGGTGCCGTTGGGCTCGGCGATCTGCGTTGGTTCGATAAACAGGGTTCTGGGGTTGAAGCTGGCCGGCTAACGGCAGGTTCCCGCGGACCCATTCTTCGAGGTTGCCAATTAAACTTCTCTTGTCAACCTTGTTATTGAAGAACAGCGGGCGGATATGTTTGTAGATCTGACTAGGGAGACTGGTGTTTCTCTCTCGAGCCGAAGGGGACTCAATTCCAGGGAGGGGGATCTCGAGACCAAATCGAGTGTTCACTCTGGTGATAAAAGTGCGGAAATCCTCCTTTTGATGCTGTGGGGTAGTGGGATGCTCCATGTTCATATGTAGAGCCCAAGAGCTCCCATTGATTCAGGAAATGGAATTGATATTCTTGTGGAAAAAAAGGCTCGACTCAGTCTGGAGAGCCTTCGTTAGTCTCATGCGAAGGCATTGGTGGGGGTAAACAGACAGACCTCGGAATACATTGAGATTCCTTCGCCTTCTGAGGACTAAGGGAGAAAAATTGAGGAGAACGTGGTTCTTAAACCAGAATTCCTTCTTATAGTTGACCTGTCAACCTTGGGAATCCTCTACTTCCATATACGGAGTAGCTTCACGGGTTGTTGCAGTGCAAAAGTCCTGGAGAGAACTGTTTACCCGCGCCAACTTCGGGTAGATGCTATTAGCGTCCCCCACCTGACGTGTCACTGTGACAACTGTGCGATTTTGCATTAGTTTCTATGGTGCCTACTAAGAAGTGTGAGGTGTGTGCTGTCTAAAACATAGATGATTCGATGTTGGACTTGGAGTTGATACCTGAATGGAGGTACGGGATAGACAAAATTTGCGGTGGATGATAATTGCTTTCCCCCCGGGTTGGTCAACACACATAGTCAAACAATCCTTGATCCCACCAACTTTGGTTCCTATTCCTTCGTCGCCAATGACCAGGATGTGCCATAGACTAACGGCTGCCACCACTTTCTTAACTGTGTGGCCTCCCCTCATTGCTCAGATCAATCTTATCTGTCCATAGATCAGCCTCCTTGGGATCAACGCGCTTACTGTGGACAGCAAGCTTGTAGCCAACCATCAAGGCGATGTAGAGAGGGATGCTGATGTACGAAGCAATGAAAGATTTGACGTCAAATTTCCGAACGCCCGAATCAAAGTTGAAGGAGTCAAAGACAATGGCAACAGAGATGAACAAGCAGAGAACGAGAGCCAGGCATGTTCCAGCCAGACCAAAACGAGCTTTAAAAGCTAGAGCTTTGTCGGGAATACCTTGAGCGTTTCGTGCTCGCACAAAAGATATGTGGGTGACGAGAATCGAAATCCATGTGAGCAGCCCGAGCATTGTGACCATATCCACAAAGTATCCGAAGACAACAGTTGAATCTTGATGGACATTGAGATATGCCAATGTTGCGGTTGACGAGCACACAGCCAAAGCATAAATCGGGACGCCTCGCCGGGTAGTGCGTGATAGAAAAGCAGGAGCACGGTGCTTCACTGCCAGGTCACACATTGCCTTGGTTGCCAGATAGAGATCATAATTTGCGATTGACAAGACGAACAATAGTATGCAAGCATTCAGCAAGTCCGGGAGCACGGAGATACCAGCCAAATACAGAGCTGCGACAAATGCTGATGCGGCAGCTTCGTGAGAGGATGAAGTAGAAAATGCCACAGACGCCGAGCCCTGGGGGACGATCATCCCGAGAAGAGTGATTGCTAGGAGATGAAAAACCATGATTCGATAAAAGGTATTCTGTATAGCCCTCGAAGTAGCCTTTCGAACGTTCGGGAAGTGAGCCATGCCAGATCGCTCGCTTCCGATGTACGCAAACGTGGCAGATGACATCGTGGAGCAGGTTATGTAGAACTTTTCCAGCAACCCGTGGTCACGGTGGAGGTGAGCGCCAAAAGCGCCTGGGTACGACCAATATCGAAAGCCTTTTAAGTCTTGATCTGGTCCCCCTCCCAGAGCAATAACGGTAGAAAGTATCATGAGTCCAAGCATGACGACAAGCTTGAATGAAGAGATATAGAACTCAATTCTGCTCGGGAGGCGGTGATTGATGAAATTGAGAATCACAATGACCGAAAGGAAAACCGTGATCCAGATACCAGGATTGACTCGCTCAGCATCCACCCAATAAGAAACCACTAGCGCTGCAGCTGTGAGCTGATTCGGTGTGACAACAGCATATTTCAGCCAAAATCTGGGGGCGCGGTCAGGAAACAGAGAAAAGCGGATGCTCTCATCATGAAGAACTTACATCCAGCCCAAGCTAAAACCAAGTGCAGGATGACAAAATCGAACGGCTTGATCTGCAACGGTATACGGTTTGGGTAACCATGAACCCACCTCACCCAAGGCAGAGAGGACGAGATAAACTGCGAATCCGACGATGGTATAGGAGATTATTGTAGCTGCTGGCTATAACGGATCAATATATTCGCTCGTGAGCTTCCTAGATGATGACTTACGCCGCTCCTGGATTAGAGTCAACGCCGTTCAGCACCTGGTCATGGAAGAGATACGTATGGTACCAGGAAAGAATCTTACATGGACAATGCTCTTCCAGTACCAACCATCAAGCCCGTTCCAATCGCCGATCCAATGGCTGTAAGACTGTGTTAGAACGTAGGTCGCCGTACAAAGTGGAGGACACAGACTGATTATGCTGATTTGACGGGGTGTCAATGACCCGTATATATCGGTGAACCCCAAAGCATGTTCATTTTGATGAGTCTCGGGGGCAGTTTGTGGAGCCGGTGGTCCAGCGCTGATGGGCCCGAGTTCACAGGCAGAGGACCTCGATCCTGGCCGGCGTCGCGGAAACATCTCCTATGGTATATTTTCGAAAAGATCCGAGTCCCTGGCTGCCAGAGTCAGGTAAAGCAACTGAGTTAGGTACCAAAGATGTGAACAAAGATCAGAAATCGAGTGAAAGGCCCAGGGGACGGACCCGGGGTACTTATAAAGATGGTTATGCAAGTGCAAGTGTGGGAAAGAACGAGGCACAACTGGTGGGATCACAGATCATTGGGATATATTTTCTATATGCAGAAATCCCATCATGGGACAGTCGAGATAGAATGGCATAAATAAAATGAAATAGAAGCACTTCCCATGCCAGCTCTAAGGATTGCCACCAGGCCCGTCGAGGAGGCACCAAAAGTAGCCAGCGTCTATCAAAAGGCCACAAAATCACAAACGCCCAAACGTTCGACACCCCAAAAAAAGCACCAGTTGGTTGCATACTAAGTTCCATAGCCCCGTCAAATGGGGCCAGAGGGGGAGCAGAGAGATATCATAAGTCTTTGTCAAATATTCCCAAATGGCGGCGGTTCGGGACCGGTGTTGGTGCCGAACGGTCGCTCCCTGGGTGAAGCGGAGGGGTAACGCGAGATACGTAAAGAAGAGTTTCCTATTCATCAATTCATCGCGACATGAGCGAGTCGCTCGACTCCGTGCGAGGGAAGATACGCGTGTAGAGGGAATCGCTAGACTCGGTACGCGGGAAGTGTCGTTGGTGCTTCCGTGAGATCACACGATCGGTGTACACACCCTTAGCCGAGCCACGAATGACCGACTCAAGATATTCGCGGAAATCCGTGGGCTTGAAATCGGGGTACAGGTCCTGTGTGGTGTGGTAGCCGAGGTACTTGGCGTACTCGGGGTTGTTGTCGCCACGGATTCCCCAAGACAGCTGATATTCGGCCAGGTACCGTGGAATGAACTTGATTGGGTCGAAAGGATAGGTTTCACTGGCTTGTCGGGCGGCCACGACTCTGCTGCAGATGGTCTCTTCGGGAATCTGTGCTCCGGGGGAAAAAAAATCGGTTAACCACATTGACTCATTCCATGCCGAGAGCTTGGGCGACTTACATAGTTGCGATCGACCTTCTCCTCGCTAAGTTCTTCCATGAGCTCATAGATCTTGTTTTGCGTGGAGACCAAGTTGTAGGCGAGGATCTTCTTGTTCAGAGTGCGGGGGTCGGAAATGATCATAGCCATGTAGCGACCGATGTCTCGCAAGTCGGTCAGTGCGGTGGGCATGTTACCGTCGCCAATAATTTCATCGTTGCCGGACGTCATGGCGTAGTCAACGCGCCCGGATGGGAGGCGAGGATAGGCCAGCTGGTACCACCAGCCGACATCGACGATGGTGTAGGGAAGCCACAACTGACGGATCTGGTTGTAGACAACTTCTTTCTGTGTAGCAAAAGTCTGGTTAGTCTACCTGACCACAGTACTGTACCACATTCCTCATACCTCATCACGCAACCACATGATACCGCCCGGTGGGCAAACGGTAATGAAACCACATGGAATGAATCGCTTCACGCCGGTCTTCTTAGCTGCCTTGGCGAGGGGGATTTGATCCTGTTGTTCGGCAGGACCGACACAGCTGATAACCACATCAATTCCCGCCAACGCCTCGATGAGCTGCTCCTCTGGAGCCTTCAAGTCGCACTTCCGAATCTGGCATCCTCGATCCTCGAGGCGCGTGATAGCTGGTTTTTGAGCCGAGATAGGGCGAACAAGGGCGATGACCTCCTGTTGAGAGTGAAAACCAAACAATTAGTTCTGAGGGTCAATTGATGAAAGCTGGGCTGCATACAAAGTCACCGGTATCCAACAGTCCGTTGGCGATAGAGCCTCCGGTTTCACCCGCTGCTCCGACCAGCAAGACCTTGGTAGTCATGATTATTCAAGTTATTCAAAAGTAAGAGATAAAAAGGAAGGATTAGGGGGAAGATCAAAAAGGTGGGAGGAGGGAGAAGGGGATTGGGTAACAGGTTTAGGACCTGACGACGTTATAAATTCCCAAAGGCTCAACCCACTTTCTCATCCGCAGCAGTGGGTCAGTGGATGTTCGTTCCCCTCGTTTGAGGGGGAGGTTTTTTCCTTTCTTTTTTTTTTTGCCCCCCCTTGTCATTATTTCTACAATATACATTGGAATTTCTACTTGGATATCAAATTGCTGAGACTGTATGGAAACCCTTTTCTTTCACGGGCCGGTGATTCGGGAACCCCTTAGTCGGCGACGTTACGTCATATGTTACGGCTTCCCGGTCAAAAGAAAATGGGATAATAATGATGTGTGTCCAATATCTTCAGTCCAGCATCTGACTTTCTCTCAAGATCACGGACTGCCAGATTAGTCGGACCCGAACAGAGACTCTCGTTAGCCCCTATATGCCGTGCAGAATGACTACCCACGTCACAAATCCCGAGAGTCACTCTCCGAGTCAGGTTTCACCCATGACGAAATCGTAGGGATTAGTCAGAGTCCAGGGTTTCATTAGTGGCGCCTTTTGAAATAAAAAAAAATGGGGGGCTTTGCAAGGGCTTCAAGGCACCAATCATAGAGAATTCATGGGAATTTCCAAGGTTTCCAATATGCTGGATAATCAGCTAACCCATGGACCCCCGAGTCAATCATTGCTTGTGACCTAAGATCGAGCCTTAGGGGTTGATGAGAACCTTGTAACAGCCAAGGGCCAGCCACAACCGGGAGATCGGTACCTGGCGTATTCTGCCCCTCTTGTCTTTGAATTTAGAACTTCGCCTGAGAACACTTTTTTTTTTTTTTTGCGTATGGATTCATCTCGAGATTTGGTGGGGTACGGTTGCTCGCGTTTGCGGATTCTTCCCAACGAAGTAACCGTAGGGGAAGATCTCAGATCCCGTCAGGTCGTCGCGGGGAATGCAGCACGAGAGGGCCTAAGCATGTTCTGGGCCGAAACTCCTTCTAGCCAATGTCATCACGCCGAAGATTGATCGTCGTTATGGGCGGTTAGTGGGAAGAAATAGCGAAAATACTGGGGAACTTGAGATTTAGGTACATAAGGGCAACGAGCCTGTTAGTACAATTCTCTCATTCCTTCTTACCAAATCATATGCACGCATCATGTAGACCACTAATGCCTTTCAGCAGATCGACCCCAGCTTGGGTTCGGGCTGCTTTCATTTCAGCCGTTGCTAATCCAAACTAGGTACGGAGTACGCCTTGGTGTCTTCAATGCGACAAAGAGTATTTAATTACTGCGCGTGAGCATCCACAATATATATAGATTCACTTGGAGATGTCGGCATACTTTCTACGATAAGCCACTCTGACAGAATCTTCCTTGAGATGTCTATCATGGTACTCTAGTCACAAGGATCGGGAAGATTTGATGATTCTTGACTTCTTCCTATGAATCTTGGGGATCTACGCACACGGGCTTATTCTGCAGTTCTCCGTACGCTGACTCATACTAACAATTGGCCTCTCTTTCCTTTCGATGGGAATCTCATCGTCTCACTCTACAGCCATTCTGTTGGATTTGCAATTTCTTCTGTGGCACACATATCATTCTAACTATGAGAATCTCATTTATTACTCTCATCTGTTATAATCGCAGATTGCCACGATTGTAGATCTCGGGACATGTATATGCCGTGAGTCTTAGCTCAATTGACGATGACTAGTATTAGGTATAGCACAAAGCACACATAACCATCTCTCAGATCCCTACCTAGATATCTCTCTCTTGATTCTCTGCATAGTCTCCCCTCTCAATTTGGTTTCACTTCTCTCTTATCACATTCTCTCTCTCTGATATCTTACCTACGCAGATCATCAATCCCACACATGTATACTTCATCATATCTATAGTACTAACCATTTATCCAAGCTGGCAAGATCAGAAGTTTATCATATGGTGAAAGAGCTATAGGCCCTCGATAGCTTTTTCAATTAACCAAACAAACATTTCAATGGGTATATATTATGCACTTGATCGCTCGTCACATCTCCACCACATCGAACCAGGCTTCACAATTTGCGCCTTGTTTCTTCCCAATACGCATGATTTCCTTCTCTGTTAGACGCGGCTCACATGGCTCATACGTGTAAGTCCTGACATGTGTGCCCTTGAACGAAATTTTGACCGTCCGCATCCTCTGTTTTTGTCTCTCTTTCTTGATCTCTGCCCATCGGGCCTTCACTTCTGCGAGGTGTTTCTCTCGCTTTTTCTCACCCATCCGCCATGCTGCGATCTGGTGGCCGACAGAATTGCTCGGCTCATGCACCCAAGCCACACCCCAGTCGCGGAATTCTGCAAATGCCGTCTCATCTGAGATGGCCGTCTCCCCACTCCCAGTGCTTGAGCCCCCGAATATCATCCTTGGAGCGGCATAGATTCAGGATACTTCGGGGTGCGAGGTAGTGTTGGCGGATATGAAAGTCCACTTGGTAGTGGGCGAAAAGAACGGTGGCTTCATCTGCTGGCTTTCCTGACTCGGCCTCGGCCTTCTTGAGGATGGCGTCAATTTTCCCGTAGTAGTGTTGTTGTTGAGAAGGGGGTAATGTCGTCCCAGAATGTGACGTTGTGATGTTGGTCAGCCATGGAGGTTGTGTCAAAGGGAGAAATGCATTCATCTGGGATGCTCTTGCTGACGAAGAAAGGTGGGTATTCTGATGTGATGTACGAGCCCGCCGCAATATCTGCATTCATCATATATGGAATAATATGCAGGTCTCGGCATTGAGTGCATTCGAGAGCTTCCTGTAGAGCGGCGTTTTGCGGTGACTTGGTTTTATTAGCAAATGGGCCACATTGGAGCTCCTTGCCAGTGAAGAACTGTACAATCTTTTCCTTAGCAGCTTCTGTCCAGTTTTTCCTCGGCGCACATTTGCGCTTCGTAACGCGGTTTCGGTCCCGTGTCGGAATCCCCATATTGGATGGTTGCATGAGCACACACATATTCAGGTTGATTTGATGGTTGAAATAAGGTATATGCAAACGCTTTTGACCTGGTGGAGAGATCGGAACGATTTGAGTAAATGGGGATGCAGTCTGGTGCGCACTTATACAATGCATGAAAGGCCTTTGTGTCAACATTGTGGACAAAGGAAGCGAGAAGACAATAGAGTCCATGATTCAAATCTAATTCAGGATGAACAATAGATGCTGAGTTTCAGACCCATTGATTCGAGTTCAACAAAGAAAGTGGATCTGGCGAACAATGAATTAGAACGCTCACTGTACAATGATATGGTTGCATTTCCTATTTTTGAAACGTCCATGAAAGAATCATCAATCTAAATGGAATATCAAGATGGCTTCACTAAATATGACCCCTTTTGTTTATGACGCGCGGGCGTTAATGGTCATATGGGGAAGGTATAGTTTAAGCTAGGGGCGTGACCGGACACCGTGAATGAACATCGTGACTCTAGGGGATCATCGGGTCGAGCCCTGAATATTTGGGAAAACCGAAAACTACATATGAAGGTGTTCCCTATGATAAATGAGCAATCTACTTTGAGTCTATTGTATATACCAAAAGCTATACATTGTTGTTGAATACATTGATATCACTTTATATAGGTGAGTACTAGGCCTGTAGTGAGAATAGTCGACCTGTGCTGCTGAATGAGTCTATATATCTGTACAATGCTATCAAGGTACTGCTTATCGCTATACAATAGTCTCTCAATGTCGATTTGTGTTCCCCTTCGTGGTGCTTCTCCCTCTTTTTCTCCTCCCCAAATCAACAGATGCACCTTTAATCTTCAACATCATCCATTCACTTAGAGGAACTACCTCAAATCAACCAAGCCGTCATGCCAGAAGCTTCTCTTGCCTTCCCAGCAATCTGTCTGACCTTCTCATTCCTTTTCGTTGTTGCGGTTCACAATGGTTTGATTATGCAGCACCTCGGCACCTTCCATCATCACATCCTCCTTCCCTTGTACCAACAGATCCAGCGCATGCTCACCTACCATAACCCCATCAACCAAAGCATATCAAACCGCATGCCCGAGGCAAGGTACGAGCCAATCAGGCCCGGGACTAAAGATGCAGAAGAACAACCTCTGCATTCTGCGACTTCGTCCATGCCGCCACCTGACTACCATCGAGCTGATGAAAGCCCTGCTCTCGACACCGCCACTATGTTTTCAGAACGGGATCACCCAACCGAGATAAATAATATCAATATGACCGCTAGGTTTGCAGGAGGCCCGTACCGTCCACGACATCGGCCTACCTATGCGGATATCCCTGAGTTTGACACCTACAGCCCACCCCCAAGTCCTCCTGGAGACGGAACATCATCCGATGAGTACGACTCCGACTGGTCCAACTCTGCTGTCGACGAGGCGGTCTTTGAGCAACACCTCCCAGGCGATGATATCCCCGTCTGGGAATTTGAAGTCGAGCGTCCCATCTATGTCCTTGACCAGCGCGACCAGAGAGGACCTGCGGCTTGGTTGGACGAGGTTGTTGAGTGGACTGCGCAAGGAATTTTCGCTGTCGTTGCCCCCGAGATGGTCCGACAAAGGGGTTGAGCAGCGTAAGCTCCTAGGGAATAGAGAGAGCATTCATGGGCTTAGCAGACTGTTCGAGCATCTGATGAGCCGAGAGATGATACTACTGCAAGTTGTCTAGATCGTTATTCAAGTCGCAAAGAACGATCATATAAATGCTCCACCACCTCCTCGCTAGTGATAACTTCATGCTGCTGTTTGTCTCGTAGGTTGAGCTTCAGTCAAAGCGGGTCGACTCGATCACATCGGTATATGAGCCCTGTCATGCGGGAGTAGAGTGAATTCTAGATGTAATTGGTCGGGCTTGATAACGCTAAAGCACCACGTAAGGGATTGAGCCATTTTTACCTACAAGGATATCAGGGTCTGTAGATGCAAGTTCTACAAGGGTGGGAGGTCTGATCGAGTCATTCAGCGATCGCGCAGAAGCTAGAGTTTGGCCTGTGTGCCGACGGTGAGAAAATAATTTTGTCAGGTTCGTCATCGGGTGTTTCTTGGGCACCATTTTACCATGCAAGCCATTCTGGGCATATGCACTGAGCGGGGAATATGTTGCAAATATAATGTTTCCATTCAAAATCTACCCTCTAACCTGTTTTTCATCATTGCGTTCGTCTAATCTCACGTTCGGATCGAAAGGACTGACATCAGTCTGGCCAAAATTCACGCTCTAAACCATAGATACAATAATTTTATATATTATGAGGGAGAATTTATGGGGCGCAGTAGCCACCGTCGACAATGAGATCGGCACCGGTAGTGTAGGTGGAGGCATCGGAGGCAAGGTAAAGGTAGGCACCTTTTAGCTCGTGGACTTGGCCCTCACGGCCCATGGGGATCTTGTCGCGCCAGATATTCTTCGTTTCCTCGGACACAAAGCTGGAGATCTCAGTCGCAATGTAACCAGGTGACACGGTGTTGGCACGGGCGTAGCGGACCCATTCGACAGAAAGGGACTTGCCTGAGAAGGTGTTAGCAGGGCAATAGAGCTGGTTTATTCTAGGCGACAACTCACAAAGGTGAATCACGGCAACCTTGGCGGCGTTGTAGGCAGCCTGCATCTGGGGGAAATTGACAATGTGACCGCTCATAGAGGCAGTAGCAACGAAACTTCCATATGTAAAGTTGGTGAGCTTGTTGCCATTGGCATCGGTGCCCTCCTCCTTCTGACGGCGCCAGTGCTCAGCAGCAGCCTTGGCGCAGTAATAGGTACCGTCGAGATCGATGGCGACGACATCGCGGTAGTGGTCGAGAGGACCATCGACCATAGGGCCCTGGGTCCAGGGAACACCGGCGTTGGCAACAAATACATCGAGTCGGCCATTAAAGTCCTTGACGACCTCATTTACGGTCTTCTCAACAGCCTTTGCATCGGTGACCTCAACCTGATAAGCCTCGGCTGCAAAGGAGGTTAGAATGATGTGGAGCCAGTCACATTTCGTAGATTCCTTACGCACTCTGAACGCCATATTGTGCAGCAATCTCGGCAGCCCTATCGATACACTTGGTGTTGCTATTATACCACAATGCCACATTGGCACCAGCCTCTGCCAGACCTTGAGCAACGGCCAGACCAATACCGGCACCCGCACCGGTAACGATGGCAGTTTTCCCCTTGAGGGAGAACATTCTCATGAGGCTAGGATGTTCGGGAGCAGTCGTATTGTTGTGGACAAAGAGTCCATTTTTGGTAATAGGGTTAGCAGCCATTGCAACAAGAGGAGGGTAAAGAGAAAACTGGAGAAAGTGCAAGTTGCAGCGGGAAATCAGTTAAATATCGAGCCGAGGGGCAATTCTAGGAACCCAAGGTGATAGACGGTGAGTGATGCACTGGCGGCGAAATCGGACTAGACCATATAGCCTTTCCTTATGTATAGATAGACATTGGCGAGGAGCTCTCGCATTCCTTGATGGCATTGAATGACGTTGGGCGCCCCATGATTCAATAGGATTCATCGTAATTTTGTAGCAAATAAACATGTCCCAAAAGATCAGACGAAGAATTGAAAAAGAGGATATCACTAGAGAAAGCGAAAGAAAAAAAAACGCTATGTCCGGCCTCATACTGACTTGACCGCTCTTCTAGGAGGTGGCCAAGGATGCCAAAATTCCGGGGAGCTTGACCTCAAGAGGATGACGTCCACCTCGACTCCCTAACGCCAGAGAAAGTATATATGCTTGAACTAAAATTTAGTAACTGAGAATGACTAGAACTAGTAGAGAGTCAATGTCCCGCCATTAGTGACATTCAACTCAACTCGAGAACCGTGTGCTCAAGGGGTGATCGTCCTAGGCAATGCTCATCACGTTGCGATCCAACACAAACTCCGCGTCTGTGTATGAAGTAACTACTCTATATTGACGCATTAACAAAGCCAATCAGTCGGAATCAAAATGGATTACTGATCCGGACAAGAGTCGTGTTGGGAAAGGATGCGCACTGATCTTGTTAATCGCCGGAATATCATCAGAGGTGACCAGTGGAAAAGCGTCATTCATGATTGAACCACTTTCTTGAATTCGTGAGCCAATCTTCTGGCGGGTGGAAATATGTCCGAATGGTATCTCTAGGTCCCACCGAACGAAATTGTCAAAGAAGACGTGAAATAGGGCACTTGAGTGATGGCGTTGAGTGCCTTTCAAGTACAGACTGGGATCAATCAGGGCTATCAACACCCACTGCAACCGCCCCGAGGCTGGTCCTTAAATGTGCCGATTTTCCGCTCTCACAAATTTATTCAGCGAAGATGTCACAATTGAGATAGTATCGAAGGGGGTGGTGTGGACGCCAGCATTCTTTGCACCCGGGTGGTGATGAATGGGCATTCCTCGGCTAGGATCAATGTTCCCATAACAATCGACGGTCCCCTTGATGGAATGCTAGGAAATCTTGTTGTTCCTTGTTCCCGTGAGACTTTGTTGTGTTTCATGAGGATGAAATGCTAATTCTGTGAAGCCTCACCGTTGCCGTTTTGATGCAGCGAAAATCCGCAACTTCACATGTTCAAAATCGATCTGCTACTCACGGATGGGGAACTTGGAAGAACATCTCCGCGAATTGTCTCTATAAAGCCTCGGAATCAGCCCAGTGACGCGCCAGCGAGGCGACCATGCTGGGGCTGACCGCCGTCATTGCCATAGCCGCTTGTGGCGCGGCCATCTTTATTGCTGTCTCGGTGGTGAGCATTATTGTCTGGGTCAGGTATCGCAAGGAACGCCATGCAATAAGGCTGCTGGGCTTCACACAGCGACAGGGATGGCGCAATCGGGGGTTGCAATCATTCCCAGAGGACACTTTGACTGAACTGAGCCGGACAGAAGGGAGCATGCTGAGAGCGCATGGACACCTACCGTATGGTAAACCAACAGAATGGGGACAATTAACATCGAGAGAAAGTCTGCATCATCGGAAAAACGAGCCAGAATCATCTCCGTTCACCGAGAAAGCCCGATCTCTTCGCAATTCCCTTTCTCGATCTCGCTCCAAGCACTTATCACGATCATCCCACAAACGTATGAGCTCGTTAGCTACGTTGGGTGAATTGAGTGAATCAACCCATCTTCCTAGTCCGCCACCCAAGGCATCAATATCGATATCGAAAGCAGACGTCCCGCTTTCGGCTGTCGAGGGGATTTTGGAATTACCAGCAGAAAACACACCAAGACAAACACCGGATTTGAAAGAAGACGATGCTGGGTTCCATCTAGGTATGAAGCCCGTCTCACCTGCATGGCCCCTTCCAGTGTCAGAGCGATCAAGTCACCTTCCCGTTTCGGATGACCGTAACTCATCTGGCCCGTTTGATTCAACCATGACCTTGGAGGAGTCCCCGACTCGTCTTCGCGGGGGAAGCATTGCTAGTCAAACTGCTGGGGTGATGCCTGGTCACTCGCTACCTCCTCCTCCACCAACTGCATATCTCCCAGACCGATTTGACTACGCTAGGAATGACTCTGTGATGAGGCTTTCCTCTATGAGTCTGGATACTACCAATAGCTCAATTTTGGATGATGGTAGAAATGATAGTTCGGTCGATACTGATTTGACCTCACCTGTCTTCCCCGAAGGAACGTTTGTACCTTACAGTGCCGCCGACGTTGGAGTCAAGGATGGTCGCAGGAGTTTCATTGCAACCAATACCTCGATTCCGCCTATGCATAACTTCCCTGTCCGTTCCTCCTCGACCACTGAAAATCGGCACAAATCTGTACCCTTGTCACTTCGAAGAAGTTTGACGACTCACCACTCCGGTGCCTCTAGCGATCGCTTTACTGCTCCACCTCGATCTGACTCCATGGCTTCTTCTAATCCCCCTTCAAGACATGTCTCCCAATCTGGAAGTCCAGTGGGATATTTGGGATATCAAAATTTCGCTCCATCCAACTGGCGATCACCGGGCTTTGTGCCACATGTCAATCAATTCCAAAACCGTACGGCCTACCAGAATGACAATATGGAGAATGACCCCTTCTACGTTGGCTCGCCTGAGGGTGGGACTTTGTTTCACCAGGTGAGATCACCAGGTAAGGCAGCGAAAGCCGTCAACCCACGAAGCACAATGCATCGCGACAGTCTCTCTCTAAATGGCACCCTTCCTTCTGCACTCAAGGGTGGAAATTCAAAACGCAAGGGTCACCGACGTCAAAACTGTGTTCGTATTTCCATCCATCCACCAATGACGTTTGGGTCATCGACGTTCTCTCCTACCGTCGAAGAGGAACCGGAAGATTTCGACAAGATGGAAGAGGTGGATCTACGTGAAGTCTCAATCAACAACCCGGCAAAATCCTTGCCTTCGTTCCCACCAAGTACAACATCTCCTCTGTCCTCCTCAAGGCGCAGCAAGTATGGCAGTCGACATGGTAAACCCGGCCTAGGTCTAGGCTCTCTCGGGCCACTCGTCGAAGAGCCACAACCCCCAATGTATGACGACAGCCCCTGCAAGAAAAGAAACCGTGCTCCATCCGTCATGCCTGCAAATAAGCTTCCATTCGAAAACAAGCGTGCTCTCCCTGAATTGTTCACATCTCTCCCTTTGTCCCATGGCAGCTCTCTCACACCCACTCCCTCTCCCGAAAGGGTACCACCTGCATGGAAACTCTCTGAAACTCCATTTTCAACTCACGAGAACTCCCCTGGTAGCCCACGCCGCTCAGCGGTAAAAGGGCCCCGCAGCCAACCCGGAGTTTCTACAATTCGAAGTCAGTCGACTCGCGTCCCGTCAATCTCCGATCATGCACTAGATAGTCCTTTGCCTTCGCCTAGCCGCCTTCCTCTTGTCATGAGTATCACAGGAACAGAGGGTAGCGACTGGCGGAGATCCACAGAGTCGCTACAACGTACGAGAACAGATGCTTCCAATCGCTCAATCCGCCGAGCTCGTGACTCAATAACCAGCCTAGACAACGGGCTAGGTCCTATTGGCGGTGCTTCTGCACTCTATGGCAACCGCCGCTCCGCAATGCTCCAAGACCGCATCACTATCTTCGAGGATTCCAACCGAACCATCTCCCCTTCTAAACCCCGTGTGCTTCCCCCAACTGGGTCATTTCGCACGCCTGAATCCTCTCCCACCCGTGGCAAGAACAGCCGTCCCCGGTCCATGCCAAACAACCACCGATTACCTCCCCATATGTCGAGCCACCATGCACCCCCGACTCCTACTTCTCCCCGCCGAGGTATGGCTACTCCAACGGGTAAGGTGCTAGGAGTTGGAGTTGGAACTGCCACACCTGCTAGTCTTTACGACTGCGATGGGTTCCTACGGGAATAGAGTTAATCTTGCCATGTCTTTTGTGGACTGAAAGCGACAGTTTTCTTTTGTTTCATTTTGATTCCTTTCCATCCTACATTGTATCTGATACTGATGTTGGCGCAAACCCTTTGCTGTTCTTTTCTTCGACTTGTTTTTATTTGTTCTATTATTTCTTCTGTTGCCTGTCGCTTGGCGGTCCATCTTTTCCTTCTGTTTTCATGGTGGATGTGTCTTCTCGAACGTTGATATTCATTCAAGAGAAAATTCTCAGCATGAAATCTAATCTTCTACCTAGGTTTTCTTGAGCAACAGCCCCCCAGTAAAAGAATCCATTGGTAGTCTACCTCGTAACCACACAAGCATATTAAACGCCAATCCTACACCGTGTTTCATATTTTCCTTGAAAGCAGCCAAATCCCAATCAATCCGTCTTCCGCCACTTAGTCTCGTCCTCGTCTCCATTTTCTTCAACTCCATTCTCCCCCTCTCGAGCCCTAACAGTCCCAGCTCCAGGCCCGAGCGGGAAAGAAGGCGGCTCACCAGCAGCAATCCAGTTCCCATCCGCATCAAAGAACTGATCCATATTGTCCGCAGTAATCCACCCAGAGCTTCCAGCAACAGGCGGGGGAAGATCACCATTTCCAAGCTGGAAGACTCCATCGTGCTCCTCAGCCGAAATGAACTTAGGCCCGTCCTCCTCATCATCGCCCTGCTCAACAGGGTCAGGGTGTAAATTGGAGCACGCAGACACGGCATTGTAAAGCTGCTGCGTGGGTGTATCCGTTTCCGAGTCCACGGGCTCTTGTAGCGTGGCGTCGGCAGGCAACACCACTGTCATTGTGATGCATTCCTCCTCGTCGTCTTCGGTGGGTGCACCAGGAGTCGCGACCTGCATATACAGGCCCTGGACTTCGGCATCGGTGTCAGGGACGCGTAGACGTTGGAGTGCGTGTAGTGAGATCGAGGGGTAGGGGATTGACACGCCTGCTGAGGCCGTGGGGGAAAAGAGGAAGAACTTGCTGTTGATTGATGAATTTGATTAGTCGTGGCCTTGGGATCGAAGGGAGAATGGAGAGACTCACTCGGATGTCACCCAAGTATCCACGCCTGAGATTGCGACCTCCTTCTCGTCGCCGTCCTGCTGGTCTTGGCTTGCGGTGCTATTGTTCGCAGCATCCTCGCCGCGCAGAGCATTCAATGCTGGAGTTGCGAGTAGCTCGCGCTCAAGGATCACGATCTTGCAGCGCTGGCTGTGGTGGTACAATACTGGGGGTCCGGAGTAGAAAGAGCTTGGGGTGCGCGACTGGTGTTCGGCCAGCGGCACGAATGAGGAGGTTTCAGGGGAGCTGCGAAGCGCCTCCATGTTGTAGTATATGTGGGATTGGAAAGAAAAACGATGGGCTGCAGGGTATTATAAGGGTATTTGGAGTTGGGATGGAGAGAAAATGAGCTTCCGGCGCGGGGTGGAGCTTTTCCGTGAGCTTGGTAGGTCCGCAGTTGCAAGAAATATATATCGAATACATTATTTTTCTTCTATGCTACACATTTAGCAATTTTCAAGATAGTGATATTTACGAATTCGAATGCTTGTGATACTATCTTGTAGCAATAGTTTCCTGTGACAGTGTATAGTATAAACCATATGGGCAGCCATTCCAGGATTGCGAACTCATTCACCCCATTCATCCCAGCACGACCTTGAAACATGATCTTAGCGCTGGCAGCCAGAACACCACTACCCCGAGGGTAAAGCGAGTTGTGGCAGTCTCGGTAGATTACAGAACTGCTTTGACAAGGTCTCGGAAGTGCCTGGCGCTGGGAAGTCCGCCCGGAATGTAGGGTACCCCTCGGGAAACACCTTCCAGAAATTGATTTAACACGCCAAATTTTATTTGATTCCCAAGCACGCTCATGACGTAAAGAACAACGAGGGACTAACTCTCGTGCAAGACCATCTTTCATGATTTCAAACCTAGACCACCAAACGCTCTGTCCAACTCTTCCCCATCATCATGAGGCACCATAGTTGGCATCTGCGAAGAGCCCTGCTCAGGAGAAGAGCTATCCAGCAGACTTGGATGGGCGTTGCCCTGTGGATCAGGAGAGGTACCGGTCCGGCTAGGCTGAAGGAGCTTTTCCTCGCGGTCAAGCCACCCAGGAGCCAGGCGCCTCTTTTCGGCTAGCTCGCGTTGTTTTATCGACTCTTTCCATGCGTTGATCGCTTGTTCCGCGTTGCTACGAGTCTCCTTCAAATGTTGTTCGAGGGAGTGGCATGCGGCGAGGATGTCATCTGGGTGAGCTGCGTGCTCACCGCTTGGAGAAATGACATAGCGGGCCTTACCATCAGGGCTGTTTGGATCGACTGTCACTGAGTGGGGTAGAGATGAGGGAACGGATTTGTACGTGTAAGGTAATGTGACGGAGGTGGGGAGGTTGATGAAGGGTGAGACGGTCAGTGGGACCTGGGCGAGGAGAGGATGTGGACCTAAATCATTGTCAGTTATACGTATACGAGTATATGAACGTAGAAATACTGACGATAGGAGTCATACATGGTTGAGTTGTCGAAGATCCAACTGCGGAGTAGCGGAGTAACGGAGAAGTGGACATGACCGAGCCCTAAAGCGCAACATTCACAAATGACGCGCTACTACGTTGATGTACCAATCATCAGATAGCAGAGTATATCAACTTGTCAATCTTCGTTTTATTTCAAGTTAGTATTTTGTGAAATTGGTGAGTGTAGCAGGACGCATAGAAATTACTAGGACTATTATCTTGATCGAAAGTCCAAAATTCCAGGATTTCAGCTTCATCTCTCTCAGACACCATCAAAGACTAAAAGGCTTTGGATATTGACGCCATACCCACGCTGTCGCAACAGCTCCCGACCACGATGAATAGGAAACTCCCCGACGACCATGATGCTGACATCAGCAACGTCCACCTCGCCTAAAAGCTGTAACATCGCGCAAAGTGTCTTGCCCGTGGCAAGAACGTCATCAATCACTACTACCGATGCGCCTTTAGGAATCAAGTCCCGTTCTATCTCAATCCTCGTCTCATGTGAACCGGATGTCGAAGATATGTGAGATGAACACTTAAGGACAGACACGGTGGGCGGGGGCAGCTTCCCAGCTTCGCGAATCAACGCCAAGGGTATATCGACGCGCGAGGCTAATGCCGGCGCATAAATAAACCCGCCCGTCTCACAACATGCAATCGCGTCCACTGTCGTCCAGTCACCGGTGAAGTGAGTCTGCAGCAGAGAGGTGCACAGGGCTAGCCCACCCGGCTGCTGGGAGATGTTGAGGATATGCCGAAACTCAACGCCCGGCCGTGGAAAGTCGGGTACTGAACGCACCATGTTATCCAGGCGCTGAAGGTCCTCATCAAAGTAAGGAAGAAGGAAGGCTTCGGCAAACTCTTTCCCAGCCTTGTCTCCGGTCGCATCATTGTCGAAGATGAGACTAGGAGGATAGTCTGAGAGCTTCAGTTTTGACGTATCATCATCACCATCGTGACACCCTCGGCGAGTATGTCGCGTCTCTTTGCTAGCTTTTACGTGAACTTCAAGCAGTCTGCTACCTGGAACTAAAGGCGAGAATGCGGCGACTGGTGCCTCATCTCTCATTCCCGTGATTAGCAACACATCCACGTCTCCGGCGCCGTGTACCACACTCAAAAAATGATCCTCTGGTAATCGAGGACGATCCCGCACCTGATTCAGGAAGAATGTCGTTAACGCTGGCCGATGCTTTTCTTTGTACGCGCGGTCCTGCAGTAGGCGGTTCAGGTCGGCACCGGTGGCCGCCGCGTATTCTCGCTTAGTTGCATCGCTAATGCTGACTACGCGAGCTATGAGTCTCTTAAGGGTGTAGTTGAGGAACGCGGAGACCCAGATAGCGGCACAATAGTCCTTTCCGGCGCCGCTTGCGCCCGTGATGAGAATGATGAGCTTCTGTGCCCTCGGCATTTTCGGGAGTGGGCAGGCATAGGCCAGGACATCATTCGGGTCTAAGCTGTGCTTGAGGTGAGAAAGTCGAGCTAGATTCGGCCCAAAAGCCTTGACCGCCAGCACAGCGTCTCTTGGATCCGGCCCTAGGTCTGCGCCGTAAACTCCGCTACTCACAGGCAACAAGTCATTAGCGACGTCGTACACCCACTGCACGGCATCTCGCGACGATGCGTTTCCATATTGTTCGCGTGGCCATACACCTGTTATCACACAGGCAAAGTCCCAGTCTCGACAACCAAAAGCAGTTGCATTGGCTGCCACATTGCTGATAGCTCCGCCACCTTGCACCAGATGAAGATAGGACTCCGATGAGGGACGATTCCTAATGGCTGCCACCAGGATATCGGCGACCTTCGGTGCTCCGATGCATTTTAGGAATAGGCATCGTTTGAATGAGGATTTTTTGATGGAGCCGTGCCCGCCGTGCATTTCTGACATGTACATATCGGCTTCGAACAACATGACGCTGTCCATGACCTGGAAATTGTTTTCAGGCCCGAAAACCCTTGGCTCTGTCGTGGAAGCTTCGAACATGCTCACGCCGACATGCGGCCTCCCAGTGTCCCAGTACACATACGCGTCTGCAGAACAGTTCCGTGGGAGACTCCCGGTGACAAGGTCATCAAACCTACTAAGGGTGTGCCGCGCCTCAATATTGTCACTTAACGGGATACACCAGGTCCGAGTTGAGAAGGTCGGAACCACATAAGCTTTGAAAGTAAAACTGACTATGATGCCAAAGTTGGTGCCAGCGCCTCTCATTGCCCATAACAGATCTTCTTCGTTTTCTGGACGCACGGCACCGGCAGGCTGGTGTTGGCTTGGTACACGGCCGATGTAAAAAACCTGGCTAGATTCAACACTGACCATCACGGCACCGAGGATAGCATCACACGCAAGCCCGTACAACCTAGCTAGGTGGCCAATGCCACCTTGTAACCATAGCCCCGCGCCTACGCTTGGGCGGGCCCCTAAGGGGACTGTCACGCCTGCAGCCATGGTCTTCCGGATGATATCTCCCGTCTTGCAGCCGGCCCCAGCAACAATCAAGGGAACCGAATCTTGACCAGATTCTCGTTGACCATCCTCAGATTCGATAATGTGTAGTTGGTCGAATGCGCTCATGTCAACTGAAACGACATTGGAACGTTGGCAGTGGCCGCTATGCCCACCGCCGATGACGGCCAGGCCTAACCCGTGCTTCAGGGCCCATTGAATGCACTTTTGAATATGTTGGACCTCTGTCGGCCTAACAATCGCTGCAGGGTGGTGAAGACGAGCCTCCCAGTTCTTGACTGTTTTGTCCCCCTTCAACAATGACACCTGCGCCGTCAACTCTGGCAACGTGGTCGCATGTTGAGTGAAGGCCACCATGATGTTGGGCGATCTGAATAAAAGATGGTCTGGGTATGCGTCCTCCAGACGGCCCAGGGCTCGACATATCTCACGCCATTTGACTCGGATAGCCTTGTCCGTCTCCACATCCTGCATGATAAACCCCGCTATGAAAGGAGCGAAAGAGTCCAGTACCTCGTTCTCATTTGCCACCATGACAGCTCCGGTAGGGAAAGAAGCCGTTCGATGGCACACTAGTCTGTCGAGCCGCAGGGGCTTGTCGCGGTGGAAAACCACCACCATTCCCCCTTCGGACCCCCAACAAGCATTTCCAGCGCTCGCTCAACGAACCTGGCTTTGGACTTCAAGCCATACATGCTGTGACAGAATAGAATGACGTCGAACTTTTCCTTGCTCTCATGCGTGTCAGAACTTGTACCGCTAATATCATTGCTGGCTAAGTCGAATGAAACCCGACGGATATCAGGCGGACTTTCCAGACAGGGCAGCGGGGCTTCCGTCTCTGATGTCGAGCAAAACCATTTTTCCAACTTCGTAGCAATGAGTTCATTGGGCTCGAATGCTGCATATCTCCTGATTCTCCGTCTCAGATGACCTGGCAGACATCCAAATACGCTCCTCAAGCCGGGTCCGATTTCTAGCACCGAAATGTTGACATGCGAGTGGAAGAGAGGAGCTACGAGCCGAGAAAGCTGAGGGATGATAAAGTCTCGGTAAGTCATCGATCCTATGCCCTGCTGCAAGATGTCCAAACCATCGCTGTACTGTCTGTCAGACAATGACTGCTTCGGCAATGACCCCATCGCGGTGGATTCTTGCCTAAGAGCCCGCTTGAGGGTATCAAGAGTGGCCATGTCGGTTGAATAGTCAAAATGACGAGGTTGGTGGGTTTGGGCTTGACGATAATGTGTTTTTAGCTATGTGCAAACAGTTTGTTGCTGACGACAGCTGGCAGCTGTGCAAACTCACTTGTGGTTAGGTGCAGGTTGTTCCCAACCAGGTAAATTGCTATACTCCCAGTTTATTGATTGCCACCGACATGGTCTATCTCAAAGGCCTTTATGCCCCCGGTAGCAGGCACAAGGCTAGTCATGAATTGGTACCTATATAGAATGATTCCCAATAACGTTCTGCTTGAGACTATACGGGTTATCTGACTCTCTATTTGGCGTCTCTCTAGCAGCTATGGCTTGTGCAGCGTTTATTGCCAACACTTTACATCGGATATAGCTTGGCAATCGTGGCCGTAAGCAGTTGGGTAACTATGTACAAAGAACCTGCACTTTCTTGAGAATCTATAAAGCGAAATCAATAGCCAAGTCAAACAAAGGCTATAAAGCAATCAAGCTGGCTAGCACTTACGTGGTACAACAATGCTTTAATAACGGGATATATGTTGATTCAAGTCTATGATTCTCTATCCTTTGCTATGAAGCCATCACGAGCGCGATATACGAGATATCATAATGAGCCCTTTTCTATCTGAGTACTTCGCCGAGGTCAGATCTTTCGGAACAAGATGCTCATCTCCATTGGCAATGAGAGCTTCAACAAGCGTCGACTTTCCAGCGTGAATAAACCCAAGACGCCGGTACAATTCCACCGTGACATCATTTCCCGCCTTGACGATGAGCCGCACTTGAACTTGACGAGGAAATGACCGATATGATCGAAGATAATTGATAGCTTCCTGGCAGAGTTTGCTTCCAAGTCCATAGCCACGATACTCCGAAAGCGTAAACAAACTTAGCATCTGCCATCGCTCTTCCTCTTCATCAGATCTCTGGGGTGGCTGGCCCGCTTCCACGGGTAACTCGAAATCAGCCTTAAATGAAGGTCCTCGCAGAGTGACCTGGCCGATCCATTCAATACTGCCAGGGGATGACGGATCATCGGTAACTGGTGTTGCGGCACAAATGAAGAGCTCTCGATCGGGAAGTGTGAGACGATCTATCCATTCGGCATCGGTGAAAGCTGATTCGATCTCATAAGTAGATGAGAATGAATCGGGTGACGTCTTCAATGCTTTTAAGCGTAGGTCTCGATATTTTTGAGCGGAGCTCTCGACTTCATTTGTCTTCGAGACCCGGAAGAAAGAGTAGGTGTATTTGGATGCCATGGAGAGATTGTGAAAGCTATGTAGTGTATTCGATCGAAGAAGAGTCATCATTTATCTATATTTTTTTATGACTCAAAAGCAACCTACGGCTAACCTGAAATTGGCCGATATTGCTTACCGGGGCCTGATCCACTTTTCTACGGTAGAAAGCTACTAGACCACAGGCAAATTATTTGTCTATAAACCAATTTAAACTGCGTGGGTAGTTTTTGCTTGCAATTTGACTGGACAAGGTAGTGCTCTAGTCCCAGCTGTGTATAGTGATGGTGTCAATAATTGTTCAGTGGTATCACTTATAGAGTAAAAATGTAGTAATTTTAACAAGGATGAAATATGAATAGCTGGTTAATCAATTTACTGACTATTCGAAAGTTGAATAACAAGATGAAAGGATTGTATCTATCAGTCATGAAATCTGAACCGGGTACTTCCTTCCGGCTTATATTCCCACTGAGGCTTGGCAGCGTTGGGTTAATAAAGCTAAAACCGACTTCTGCTCATTCGGGTTCAGCTGTTATATCCTAGGAGATTGTGGTTAAGCGTCAGTATTATGAATTTGTTGTTTTTATCTTCTATCCATTGTGGAAAAAGGCTCTATCTATCTGTATATGACCCCATAGGAGTAAGAAGCAGTGCAACCCGAAGGCTAAAAGATGTACGAAGTATTCCGTACTGACCTGCTCAATTTAATTCCAAAGACTTTGAGTTTTAGTCTTGAGGTTGTACGAGTGTTCTGAAGCCTTTTTGTGAACACGTAGGAATCATTGATTGCGTGTATAAGAGACGATGGAAGAATATAAACGGGGGTCGAGGCGCTTTGGGGATCTGGAAGCTTACGAGCACTCCGTTCATAAAGGCACCTCTAGATTGTGAGTGTAGAATTGTACAAACTATATAGCACACCCATTTCGAATCTCCTTTAAAGCGAGGGAAAGTGCCCCAGCAATCTCCCTCGCCATATCTGACTTTTTACCCAGTAACCATAGCCCTTTGATACAATTTTCGGCCTGATCCATATTCTGCTCAAGTTCATGGCCATTGTGCCCGAGTGTAGTCCCAGAATAGTGAAAGGACTCATCTAATTCGCCTAGAAAGACCAAGCAAGCTTTGGCAAACGCCCTAATCAAAATCATCGTCCATGGTTCGGTCAGGAGCGTGCCCTCATTGACAGCGTGGTGAAACTCCGGCATCTGCGGTACAACCCTGCTATTACCATTATTGATAGGCATTGTACCAACCCTTGCCAGATGCGATAGCTCCCTGGCACTGTGGATTCTCATTTTCTTCGCCGCTTGACTGGTGAGACGAATATGAGTTGCATCCTCCATACCCAAGGAATTCTCGTCAATGAAATCTAGTAGATCGGCAAGCATTAGGGCAGCGAGGTGCCAGTGCGCAGAGATACACAGAAACCAGCCCTGTATGCGCTGCGGAACATCACGGTAGTTCTGCACTAGTTCACTGAAGAAAGCGCCGTGCGTTCTGTTCCAATATTCATATAGCAATGTTGTCATGTGCAGGATTTCTTCAATCTGGTCTTCGGAGGCGCTCTTGCGAATAGCATTTTGTATGTATGACAGGTGGCGAAAGAAAAGAACCTTGACCGGCGCTGATTTGATAATGTCTTCAGCGGCGGCCTCATAGGAGCAGGGCCAGTGCGTTTGACGCATCTCTTTGAAGTTTCCTTGCAAAAAAAGCTCGGGATTCCACCGAGTCCGTCCCGCGGGTGTGTCCATCAAACCAGCTTTCTGGATATCCTTTTGCCCTTCGTGGTCGCAATCCTGATCAAGTACCACAACAGGTCGTTCGTTCATGGATGAGGAGAGGGTGTCACTCATGATAGCCAACCAGTAGAGCAGGCCAATCGTCCCTCGATCATCAGAGCTCAGGGCCTCAATGCCTTGATTTCCCGTCTCGCGACTGCCATGCAGCTTGCTGAGGCCTTTCTTGAGCGTGTCGCTTCGATACTTCAGTGCGTGCATCTTTCGAGCTGCCCTCTCCATGTATATTGGTGGCCCTTCTTTATCCATTATTTGGTTTATCGTTGACAGGACCGCGTCTATGGCAAACTTGCGACCGTGATCTTGTGTCCTATCTCTAGGAGACCCATTACTGGTATTCCATGGCTGTTGGATCAAGCCGAAGATCAGTTCGGCACATGCCACTCTATATGACTCCAAATCGGAGACTTGTTGGAGTGCGCGGTGCGCCAGGTCCCACAAGTGGTGTTGAAGAATGCGGTCAAACTCTTCCGCGATGCCATGATCAGTATCTTCCTCTCCATCATCGAGAAGCCTGGCCGGATAGTTTTCACGGTGTCGACGACTGCCCTGTGCCCACTGTGTAGCAAATGCCATCATTGCAAGGTGTAAAGCCCTGGACGCGGCCTGATCCTCGGCGCGTGTTAGCTGCAGCAGCTTACAGGACTGTGCGACTCGATCGAGCCTAATTGTGCGCTGATATATCATATTTGACCGGGAGGAGCCCCATTCCGGCACGAGACGAGGGGTATCTCGGGACCCCGGCTCGTAGGGACAAGTCATGTCGTTTAACCAGCATGAGAGATTATGCTCTAGCACGTCATTGTAGATTTGAAGAAGGTTTGCTGAGGCCAGGCTGCAGTTGGATGTGTTGATCATTTGTTGATCGATGGAGAATGGGGAGAGGGACCTTTGCGAGCTGTTCCAGTGGGATGGTTGCTGATTGAGAGACGTCCAGGGAGAGTCATTTTGCCGTCGGGGGCTTTCGGATGGGACTGATCCGAGATTAGTGTACACGAGAGAGGTCTGGGGAGCCAGCCACATCTGATGATACATCGGATCGAGTTCGAAGTCTGAGAGTGACTGGGGAGAGGTATCTGAGGAATTAGGCAAGTATGGTGGCATGAGATCAGGGATAGACCCTGTGGATGTGGATTTACCAGGAATCTCTGCCTGGGGCTTCTTCTGGGAGTTCTCGGTATCGTTGAGCATGGAACTGAGCAGCATTGAATTATAATCAAGCAACGACCCAGCTACTGAGCCAGAGTCCCAGGTCATAGGCTCCTGTGTGTAATCCGTTTCGAGTAGATCGTTCCATATGCCAGATTCAGGTTCGACCTGGAATCCATTGGCTCTCCATGCAAAGATAGTATCTCGACTCCCACTTTCAGAATGAGGTTGCAGGTGAGGCGATTTCAGTGTCGACTGAGCCTGTGATCGGGCCCATTCCATAGTACAGTGTTTATTTGTTCTAGTACAGTAGGAGCATGATGATCGCTGACCATCAACATTGTGAACCAATGTGCGTCTAGTCAGACCCAGGTACAGTGCATCGCATGCTCTTTTAGATTTTCTGCACTGGTCACAAGAGCCATTCTGACGCCTGGGTCTAGACCCTCGTCCAAGGGCTGTACCTCGTTTCTGGGGAGGCATTATGCGTGTTTGGATTCTGCTGTGAGAATCGGAGTTGAAAAGCGATCTTGGAAAAGGCGGGGAACCAGTTGGCCCCGGAGATCTTTAGAGTTTGGGCTTTTTTTAGTTGGAACTTTCCCCCGCATTTCATTTGCCCCAGATCTCCCTTGGCCCGACTTCGATTTAAGGGGCTCCTACCTTTTATAGAAATATCTAGATTGTTGATCCGACGAGGAAACAGAAAGATTTATACTCGACTGGGTCTAGCTACATGCGATGTGGGCGCTTGACAAATAGGCTCATATATCCAGGCATCGAGGCATCAACGCACCAGCATCCATCCGAGAATTTCATTGAAGAGCATTGTATATCTCAGCCTCAATTGCTCCCCATAGTCCATTCACCTTTGCATCCGCAAACGGTAGAATCTGTATACAAAACATCCCTGCAACACCCTTCTCCCTATCCACCCACCACCACAGATTTGGCAGCCCAGCCCAGTGCCCGGTGCTGTTCGATCGCCCTGTCGGACCACCATTGCTCAGCATGAAACTCAGACCCCATCCCTGTGGTGGGTTTCCAGAAACTGGATAGAACTCAGGAACGGGGTTGGTCAGATCCGGCTTTGCATCTGGGATTCCTTGACGGCTGTAGTTGGGGAACTGAGGGATCTGGTTAGAGAACATTTCGTCGACGGTCTCCTTGCGAAGCAATTTGTTGCCAGTCTTAGGGCATGTGCCATCATTCAACAGCACAGCAAGGACCTCTGTGGAGATAAGTAAGTATATGGGTTCTTGACAGGATCTCGGCGCTACTCGCGACTCACTACAATATTCCTGCGGCTTGGCAAACATACCCGCACCGCCGCTGTTAAACACTCTGGCAATCTCAGTCTTGTTATTCAGGTCAACAATCAGGGGCGCTCGAAGAAGATGATCTCGGGATCTCAGGGTGCCATCTGGGCTTCGACTATTCATGTACGCCAGCCTTTGACGCATATCGTGGTTCGGGATCATGGACATATCTTTGATTCCGAGGGGCAGAAAGACATTCTTCTGCAGGTAGTCGTTGAGTGTCAAGCCGGTTGCGCGTTCGAGTGTAATTCCTGCCCAGTCCACACCGACCTGTACTCATTAACGATCGATTCCCCGACTCTGGATATCCGATACTCACACCATATTCCCAGCCCTCGCCGGGCTGGAATAGTAGAGGCATCTTCACATCCTCAATTCGTCCGGAGAACTCATCCATACCAACTGGGTATGACCATTGCCTCAATCTCTCATTGGTAAATGTATAGCCGAATCCGGAAGTATGGGTTAATAGCATACGGAGGGTGATTGCATGCTTCTTCTCCTCAAGACTACCATCTGGTTGCAAAACCTTGAGGGTCTTCAACTCAGGACAAAGACCCTCTGTCTGCTCTTCGTCATCCAGTCTCAGAATGCCCTGCTCAACTTGTTGCATGCAGGCAAAGCCAACGAGCATCTTAGTGCAAGCTGCAATCCAGAAGATGTTGTCCAAGGTCATGGGGTCTTTGGATCCCGTGCCTCGCTTACCCGCAGAGTGGGTGAATAATTCGTTGCCATCTTTACCAACTACCACGACCGTGGTCCCAGGAATACCGGATCTCTGGTCTTCGCAGGCTTTATCTATGATGCCACAGAGACGCGAATGCGCCTGCTCATTGAGAGTCATGGTGGTTTCTGTATAGGAAAGGAAAACTGTGGGTAAGTATCGAAAAATTGTCAGATTTACTAAAGTGAACCTCCACGGAGACTTCGACCTTGACTTTCAGAGTTTCAGAAAGTGGCATATAGCATTTGAACGAGGTTTCTTTCTACCGCAGTGTAGATGACGATGCACTCGGCGGAACCGCTGTGGATTGCGGAAGGTGGGGAAACCTCGGAAGGGTTCCAAGATCTCGTCGATTCCGGATCCGCAATAGCAGGCCAATCACAACTTGCTTACTTTGTGACGATTGCGTACATGCACAAACTCCATGTGACGTGTCGTACAGCAGCGGCTAGGGCTATCACAATGTAGCCTTTCTTTTTGAGAGACTGCCACTCCTGCTCTTCCAGATGCCGGGAACAGACGACTTGGAAATGCACCTAACACGAGAGATGATGACGGCACTGCTAACATCAGACTCCAAACCTTCGTCCATAAACCCCATGACTGGGCTTCTGGGCAAATAGCCACATCGTCGGGATCCCGCCAAAAGTCTGCTACACGTCTTGCATGAATGCGGGGTACCCTGCGGTTACCTGTATCATGGGCACTTGGTAATTGGATACTGTTGACAGCCCATGTTAACATCAGCAGTAAGAAGTGAGCGAGTGTATCTATAAGTAGGAGGAGGTGCCCGAAGGAGGACGCTGCATGACAGTTCAGTAGTCAATCTTCATATCCAGTTAGAACTGCAACACCTGATCCTTTCAATATATCGACATGGGGAGCATAGAAGAGACAGTCTTCAGGCCAAAGAAGTATAACACTGAGCTCACCGACTACTCCACACTTCACGATGACAAGACTGGGCCCTATGCCAAAAATCTTGAGGTCGATGCTTTGGTCGTCGGTGCCGGTTTTGGTAAGTCTGAGTTCTAGGGTTAATTCACCAGCTAACGGGATAGCCGGTATCTTTATGCTCAAGACCCTTCGTGATCGCGGCTTGAAGACGGTCATCTTCGAGGCCGGCAATGAAACTGGTGGCACCTGGCGATGGAACTGCTACCCCGGCGCCGGGGTCGATTCCGAAGTCCCGGAGTATGAGTTCTCTTGGCCCGAGGTATACAACACGTGGAACTGGTCCAGCAACTATCCGGACTACAAAGACCTGCGTGAGTACTTCGATCATGTCGATAAAGTAATCGGCATCAAGAAGGACTGCGCTTTCAATACAGTGGTGGTTGGAGCCCAGTTTGATACGAACGAGGGGAGATGGAATGTCAAAACTGCAGATGGTCGCACGATCAAGGCCAAGTATCTTGTCCTTGGAACTGGTTTTGTGAGTAATTACCCATCAAATGAAGATCAACAACTTACTGACAAACCCTAGGCCGCCAAGCGCTATATTCCTTCGTGGCCAGGCATGGATAAATTCAAGGGTATCGTGCACCATTCGTCTTTCTGGCCCGAGGAAGGAGTAGAAGTGCAAAATAAGCGCTGTGCAGTCATCGGCACCGGTGCCTCGGGCGTGCAAATAACGCAGGCATGGGGCCCTGTGGCTGGCGACCTGAAAGTCTTTCAACGAACCCCCAACCTCGCTATTCCCATGCGCAAGCGCGATCTCACTGTCGAGGAGCAGGAGCGCCTCAAGCCATACTACCCAGAGCTGTTCCGTTACCGCGAAGCCAACTTCGCCGGCTTCCTGTATGGTTGGTGCGAGCGTAACACGTTTGACGACACACCCGAGGAGCGCGAGGCCTTCTATGAGAGAGTCTGGAAAGAAGGTGGCTTCCGCTATTGGGTTGCTATATACAAGGATAACTTGATGAACGCCGAGGCCAACAAAGAGTCGTACAATTTCTGGGCGAAGAAGACCCGTGCTCGTATCGGTGACCCCAAAACAAGAGAGTTACTTGCGCCGCGGGAGATGCCGCACTATTTCGGAATCAAACGGCCATGTCTTGAAAAGACCTATTACGAGCAATTCAATCGCGAATCGGTGCACCTGGTGAACATCAAGAACAATCCGATCAAGGAGTTTACCGAGTCTGGTATCACCCTTGAGGACGGAACCCACCATGAACTCGACGTCGTTGCTGTTGCAACCGGATTTGTAAGTTTTGCTTGATATACCAGCAGAATAGAAAACAGAAAAGAAAAAGTGCTGATATTCACAGGATGTTGTCACTGGCGTCATGACCCAGCTCGGCTTGAAGAGCATCGACGGCGTCGAGCTCGAAAAAGAGTGGATCCCAGGCGCAAAGACCTACCTCGGTATGACCGTGAGCGGTTATCCCAACATGTTCCATATCTATGGCGCACATGGCCCGACTCTCTTGTGTAATGGCCCCACGGCGGTCGAGGTGCAGGGCCGGTGGATTTCCGACGCCATTGCCAAGATCGAGGCCAATAACATCAAGTACATCAATCCCAAAATTGAGGCTGCTGATAGCTGGAAGAACCATGTTTTGGAGCTTAATAACCAAACCTTGTTCCCCACGACGCACTCAACGTACATGGGTGGCAGCATCCCTGGCAAGGTCTATGAGCCAGTGTCCTACTCGGGTGGTGTTCCCGCTTATGCCAGCGAGGTTCGGCAAGCCCTAGATAACTGGGAGGAGGGATTTGACATTGTCAAGGCTTGAGTTGATTTTCATGCTGAGCCAAAGTGAGGATTTGCCTTACAAAGGGTAGTACAATGTGTCAGTCACTCTCTAGGCTAGCAATAGATTTCACATAGTTGATTCGTATGAACATATGATTTTTAAGTCAAAAATGACATCAAGGAATGTATGAAAACAAGATATATCGACCAGCTCGGCTCTTGCCACATCATCTCCGCGTGTTCATCGAGTGGAGGTTGTGGAATCTCCTAGAATTCCGGATATGACTGGCGACGCAATGGAATTTCAAACAAAATAAAAAGAGGACGGCAAGTGAAGTGTGTCAGATACTTTTTGGCGACATAAGTGACCTAGGATTAAGGGATTTAGTTGGCTTCTCTCCCCCATTCTTCAATCATAATTTCCGGCCTAGACATGCTGATACGTGTACTTAAGCATAGATCAGAATTACAATCATCGGCATCCAACCAAGATTGGACATCTATATCGAATTTTGCGTCCAATTTCGAGAACGCAACTTTGAAAGTCACCGACGGCGAGAATTGACCAGGCCCACCCCTTCATATTCCTAGCCATACTCAGCTCCTCTTTTTCTAACATATTCCTGACATCTGTGGGGGAATGTCTCTGGGGGGTATTGAACAACCCGACTAGTTTGGATATCATTTTTACTTTTTCACATATTCTTTGGGGTCTACTTTTAGGTAGCATGTTTTAGAAGGCCGGGAACCACCGGACAATTTCGAACATGTCAGGCAGCTGGCGGATACTATCGCCACGAGCGCCGTAGAAAAGCTCAAGGATGATGCCAAGAGGGAAGGAAAACCTCTGGATGAATATCGCGTCAACAGAATGTTGGACGCGCTTAAGACCTATGCCGATGCCCGGCGCTATGATCTGGCACTGCATATTGTTGCTGGTATTAGATTGAATTTGGGGGAAAGGGGTTCAGCATCGCGTACACTGATCCCATAGAGAGGCCGCCAGTGCCGGGTTACAGAAAGATTAACACAGATAAGACGATACTCGAGAACAAGGGCCGAGCGGGACTTGACGAGGTGGAGCAGGAGGTGAGAGACTTTGTCGCTGGGCTCGATACCACGATGCCATCATCATCAGGCCATTTCCAGGCTATATCAAATGCGGACCAAGTACATAAACATTTAGCTGAGACTTGCAAGGCATGATGGATTGTTTGCTTGTTCTCAAAAAAGGACTCAGCATTGGCATTAACTATTATTCATTAAATTGCGCCTTGGAAACTTTATGTAACACTCATTGGTACAATATCGCACCATGATCCGCAATCGCAGCTTGGGTGCGATCTGCCTAGCATGCTTCACCCACAGATGCTGTTCATTAGGCAAGTACTCATCCATTTGGATGTACTTTTGCTCCGACAGGTGAGGTACCCAAAGCGGAACCCGGGTCAGTCCCAAGAATGTCAAGTTTTCTGTCTCGAGCCGACTGCCACATGTACGCGAGAATAGTCCATTCGGCGTTATTTTTCCATATTTCCACGGCCTTTTTGAACACAGAACTGGTAAATGTCTCGAAGAGCGTCTGCACGACCGGTTCTTTTTCCAATGCGTGCTCCTGGTATAATGCATGGAACTCTCTCAACTGGCTCTCGTCGTCAACAGCGACCATCTGAACAGGTGCGTCACCCAGGAGCCCAAATAGGCCAGATCTCAGAGCAGCCTCTCTAGTAATATGCAGGGAAACCGCCGCCATAGCTATGTCTAGCCTGCTGCATTGGCCTTCCGCCCAAGGTAGGATATCAGCCATCTCGCGCACATCATCGGCTCCTTCTCCTCTGCAGTGGTAACGAATATTCGCGATGTCATATTTGCCGAAATGAAAAGGGTTATGGCTGCCAAGCGCATCAACATCCCCAGCACAATCCAACACTCCCTTCAAGCTGAAAGGGTGAATAAGGTCTGCTGCGACAGAAGGCCGCATTCCAAGGTCCTTTGCCTGCAATATAAACTCATCAACAGGGCCTGGAGCATCTGAATCAATTGCCAGGTCAGTAAAAGAGAATCGCGTCCAGCTCAGATGCAGCACATCTCGAAGCGGCTGCACCCATAGCGACTCGAGAAATACCACACGAGCTGGCTCCAAGATGCGCCCTTGCTCCAGTGCGACTTGCCGAGCTTCGCTGTTGACGTATGAAATTGCCGGTTTCTGAGCGTTTTGAAGTGTCACGGATAGGTTCCAGCAGACATGGTTGGATGTGTAGCCGTCGAAAAAGCTGTCAGGCGTGTCTTGTTCTGCTATGCGATACGGTAGGCAATGTTTCCAAATCATACGGCGTAGCTCTGCAGGCAGCTGCATAAAGTAGTGAAATGAGCCATTGTCCATCTTGTTCTTTTATTTGTTAGCCGCTGTCATATGTGGACGATCAAGAATTAGATAGAAGATAGATCACAATTATCACTAGCGTGTCACATGACACAAAAAATTACCAGGCAGCCTATTCCAGATGGGGACAGTCGTGAAGCCGTTTAGTTTCTTACTCTCCACACGATAACCTAAGGGCGAGCAGAGAGCACACACTCACCCGAGGCGACACCCACCCAATTATCAATCGCAAAAAAGTCTGGATATTGCCAAGGGGCGAAGAGTGTCCAATCGGGTGATTGTGAGTGATTTGTGTTTCAATTCCAGAAAACGAAGCGAGCGTGTAAGGTGAGCGAATCGTGAGGAAGCGCCTTTCGACCACATATACAATGGTCTAATAGCACGCATTAGTTGCCCTAAGATGAACCTATGTATAGACTCTGTTTCTCGCCTTTATCTACCTGTAATGTTTTGTCAGTATCATCTATATACTGTGAATTAAGGATGCAGTCATAAATATTTACGGATTGGGACATTGGTTCCACGGGTTCCGCCCGAAGGTTCGGCCCGTTCTCGGAGGATCTCCCGAGGTTAAAGAGCAAAACAAACAGGAAATTGCTCGACCTCCCAGCAAAAAGTCGCTTTCCTTCAAGCTCACCTACATAGGGCTCGCAAGCAAGTTTTTTCGTGTTCCCGTTGAACGTAACAGGCCTAGTCATTCCTCTGTCATTGAGTCTTAGCCCCTACCCAGATCGACATAACCATCAAATATTCATTTGTGGCGTTATGTTACTGCTAGTGAACTAAAGGCTTCAATTTTAGAGTCAATCTGGATAAATCTAAACTATACTCTTTGCCTCCTAAAGATCGATTTGATAGATCAACCTTATATCTCTTGGAATAGGGACACCTATGATTATCTTCTTCCTCAAACTTCGGCCTATCCCGCTCGACACCACACCCGCTGGAAACTTAAAGCACATCAACTGGATTAAAACGGCCCTTCTTATCACTCGGATTGAATTTCAGTATCCAAATGAGCTAGACGGGCTCCTTATACGCATGGCTGTCTTGGTAGACTCTCCTTTCAATGGTCTTGGGGGCCACGGTGCGTATCGTCCTTGGATCGTACGAAGCAAAGACTGCCAGTCCATTATTCCGCACCGCACTTTCCATACAAAGACCGGAAATATCACCTTGATAGGGGGGCTTTCTCCAATACCATGTGTTAGGTGTCTATCTGCAGTGCTTCCGAATTATATTTTACGTGATGCCCGGGCTGAGTGCACTGGGATCGATGACTTCAATCTTCCTCGATGAAATAAAACTCAATGGCAGGGAACTTAAGGGCCAGCGTTTGATACCAGCGTGGTGTCTCGGTAATAGGTGTCAATGTTACAACACCTGAAAGATAGGCTTCATACAAGCCGTTCTGCGCACGATAAGTACAAAACTATCGGTTGCAATGGCGTTTTGGAGGATATTGGCGCTCAAGTGTCGGGCGACTCATGCTTGCAAATCTTTGGACTGGGATAAGTAGAAACCGGCACACGCGACCCAATTCCGAGTCAAGTTGCAGCATGAGGGTAGAGATGAAGCGATCAATTAAACATGAACTAAATACACACCTCACGTTCAGTGCAGTGTTCTCAGGATGCACAATTATGAAGTCACAGAGACAATCACATCAAGCCTGAAGACCTATCAGCATTTTTGTCCAACATAGCTTCGTGGCCGCGATGTTCACTATAGAGAGAAATCCCACTGATAAAGCCAATCCTCTGACTAGTCCGGTAAATTCCTTAGGTCGTCGCCTGGCACCTCACGCATGTCAAAGCTTTCCAACCTCCGATCAGATGAGCGATTTATCACTATCAGATGATAATACCGTTTGCGATTTTGTGTTTTAGATCCTTCTTTTCTATCTAATGGATATTACCTTTCAACGGGGTTGCATGGAGGGAGCGGCGACCTAGATCTACACGGGTAGACCTAAAGACCCCAAAGTATAAGCTCAGGCTTGTATCGTTCGAGCGCGTGATCGAAAATTGGAACTCCATTTTGGAATATCCCAGCAAATGACCTATGATTAATTTGCAGGCAAATCCTAGGTAAGTCATCGAGTGTCAATATCTTGTACAGCGGTGCTAAGATTAGTTGACTTGGAGAAATCACATGTCAGTTGACTCGATTCTCAAAATTCTAAGCGTTAGCTTATATTGAGATTTTGCTTAAGCATTCGGAAAACGTTGCTTGAGCTATAGTGCGCAAATTGCTTCAGTGGGGTTATTGCAATCTATACGGAGTACTGTCAAATCATCTCTGATGAAGGATGAGATGGGAGTCGACGTCTGTTATATTGTATATTCCGTTGCAATTTTACATGTCAACTTCTAGCTGGTGATTGTGTCAAGTCATTTCCCAACAATATCTGTGATGCCAAAGCGCCCTTGGACCCTCAAAAATAGAACGCAGGATAAGTCACCCTCGGGTCGGTCCCCAGGTGCCAAGCTGAACAGGGCATGCCGCGCAGCGTCTTGATGTGGGATCATTGTGCTCATTCTATGAAGACTTAGGATATTCAAGAGCAATAGGTGTAGCTACGAAGAATTGTTCCATGCAAATCATAAATCCTGCATACCTCAAATGGAGCAGTCTAGGCAAATCGGGGCTGGCAATCGATGATCATCACAGCTTTGAAGGAAAAGTTGATGTCGAAGCCAAAATTGAACCAAAGATTATAAGAGCGTTGTTCCGATGAAATTGAAAATGTTGAAATATACGAAAATTTGAAATCGAATGAATCTGATAGCGTGGGGTAAAAAAGGGACCCTTGGCCGCCTTAGGCGTCACGTTATCACGTCGAGATGAGGCTGAACTTCCAAGGTTAATACGCATCTCTCATCATAATCCAGAAACTGCTCCTCTTCCCCCCAAAGGAAAAACAGAAGAAATCTCACAGTTACGATCAAAGTTGTTGTGAGACCCACCGATCTTACGGCCCGGCCGCTTATCCAATTTGTTTCTCTTTTTCCCAACTTCACATTTCCCCCATCACACTCATCTTCCCCAGCTTCGGTTTCTTCCCTTTGAGACCTTTGGTTCAATCAGGGCTTTGTCACTATTATACTACTTCTCGTCGTGGGAGCTCTATTCCGCCTTGACCTTAACCCCCGCCACACCTCCGCGCTCCTCTCCTCCATTCCCCCTCCCCCTTACTCCAAACTCAGAATCCAAAATACATTTCAGTTTCAGCCAAAATGGATCGGGCTATAGCGCGCGCAGTGACCGATAAGCAGCCGGTCCCGGAGATCGACTTTACATTGCACACGATGGAGGACAACACGCAGGTGTCTACAATGGAGAGAGTGGTCAAAGGTAATGCAGTGGTCTCGGTCGCTTTCGCAAGATGTAGTACTCTGGTCGCTAACGGTTTGTCGTGACAGAGGTCCAAGCGCCCGCTCTCAGCTATCCTCCGGATGATATGTTTTGGTCGCCTGAGGATCCCTCCAAGCCCAACCTCCAGTACCTCAAGCAACACCTCTATCGTGAAGGTCGTCTTTCAGAAGAACAGGCTCTATGGATCATCCACGCTGGTACACAGGTTTTGAAGGCCGAGCCAAATCTGCTCGAAATGGATGCGCCCATTACCGTGTGTGGCGATGTTCACGGCCAGTATTACGATTTGATGAAGCTATTCGAAGTCGGTGGTGACCCTTCAGAGACGAGATATCTGTTTTTGGGTGACTATGTGGACCGTGGTTATTTCAGTATTGAGGTGGGTGATCTGAGTCTCTGAATATTGAACTACCCTGACACTTTGTCTGTGCAGTGCGTCCTCTATCTCTGGGCATTGAAGATTTGGTATCCCGATTCACTCTGGCTGCTGCGGGGTAATCACGAATGTCGCCATTTGACAGACTACTTTACCTTCAAGTTGGAATGCAAGCACAAATATAGTGAACGGCTCTACGAGGCATGCCTGGAATCCTTCTGTGCGCTACCGCTCGCCGCGGTCATGAACAAACAGTTCCTTTGCATTCACGGTGGTCTCAGCCCCGAGCTGCATACCCTTGAAGACATCAAGGCTGTATGTATCTACCCTATCCGCATTTTAAATCATGGTATTAGCAGACAACTTACATATATAGATTGATCGATTCCGCGAACCCCCAACCCATGGGCTCATGTGCGACATTCTTTGGGCTGATCCTCTAGAGGAATTTGGTCAAGAAAAGACAGGTGATTTCTTCATTCACAATAGTGTCCGTGGTTGTTCCTACTTTTTCTCTTATCCTGCGGCATGCGCGTTTTTGGAGAAGAACAATTTGCTCTCCATCATTAGAGCACACGAGGCCCAGGATGCCGGGTATCGCATGTACAGAAAGACGCGAACCACTGGCTTCCCCAGTGTCATGACCATCTTCAGTGCGCCCAACTACCTGGATGTCTACAACAACAAGGCGGCTGTCCTGAAATACGAGAACAATGTGATGAACATCCGCCAATTCAATTGCACCCCGCACCCATATTGGCTGCCCAATTTCATGGATGTCTTCACTTGGTCTTTGCCGTTCGTTGGTGAGAAGATCACGGATATGCTCATCGCTATTCTCAACACCTGCTCGAAGGAAGAGTTGGAGGACGAGGCCCCCACACCTGTGTCTCCCGTTGAACAGAAGGATAAGGATCTAGTCTCACCTCCATCAATGGACCCCGAATCCAGCGAGTTCAAGAGACGCGCAATCAAAAACAAAATCCTTGCCATTGGCCGCCTCTCTCGTGTCTTCCAGGTTCTCCGCGAGCAGTCCGAGAGTGTCACTGAGCTGAAGACGGCCGCCGGTGGCCGTCTTCCTGCTGGAACCCTTATGCTAGGCGCGGAAGGTATCAAACAGGCGATTCACAACTTCGAGGATGCCCGGAAGGTTGATATTCAGAATGAGCATGTGCCTCCTAGCCAAGAAGAAGTTATCGCAAAGAGCGAGGAGAGCCGTCGTGTGGCCCTGGAGCGGGCTGAGCACGAGGCTGCCAACGATGCTGGACTTGCCACGGTTGCTCGGCGGATTAGCATGTAAGTGTTCACAGGAGCGAGTTTGCCACAATCATTTCACATACTTATAAACAATCCCCAGGTCTGCTGGCTCAGGTCGCCCCCGTTCTCGACAGAGGGATCCTCCTAAGGATGCCTGATCAAACTATGATTGGCCGAGTTGATATTATGACACGATCTATGCATTTCTCCTTCCTGTCCTCCAGCGCACACGCCTTTTGTCCCGACACGATCGATACGATACCCTATCTATCTGCTTGATCCTACCCCTCGCCTGGCGATTTAACCTGTGAATCCACAATTCTAGCGATAAATAGGACTGCTCATTTAAACTGTGTGCCTTTTTCACCCACGCTTCGTAGCCAAGTCTGCAACTATAGTAGAAAAACAGCTTTGTCGATCGTATATTGACATGATGATCAACATTGTTTTCCGTCAAGTTATCTGGTGGTTACGCATTTCCGTCTGAGAAGTTACTCCGTACATGCATGAACATTTAAAAGCCTGTGATGGATGCCAAGGCCGGTTCCCGCATCCACTTCCGCTCAACCAAGTTCATCCACCGTGCCATTGCGAGAACCGCCCTACAAAGCTCGCTTGACAGTGCCCCAATGGCTCCAAGATTGCGCAGTGCGCTCGCAAAGGGCTTGTCGCGTCCGCTTGATGGCAGCGCTGTCTTTTACTGCCCTTCGTGCGCGATCTGGCGACGAACCTTGTCCGCGCGCACCTACACCAGTCGCAGCATTGACAAATCCGCCCCATCCCAACGGACCGCCAGAAGCCAAAACATAATCGCAGCGTCGGCCCCCCGAGCGTTTACTACATCCTCCATCATCACTGCAAAGAGCGTGCCGCCGCGGTTCAAGGAGCTGCATGCCGCACTCGAGGAAGTGAAGGATGCCGCCCTGGAACAGGTGAACCTCAGTCGTTTGCAATTCGCACTGCGGGGATTGGAATCTGAAACGCCTCTTATTAGAGTAGCTGGTGAGTTTAGGCTTATACGATCAGGCTTCTGCTCTCTTCGGCACTGGGTCTTCCTCAAAGAAGGCGTGGCACTAATCTCTCTTCGATTCGGGCTCTAGTACTTGGATTGAACGATGCCATCTCTGCACGAAAGCTTGTTCGACTACTACTTGCCGACCCATTGGCACCCCGGGAAGGCTGGGAAGACATTCTCGACTCATACGATGCCGATTCATCCAGAGGACTGCTGATCAGGTATGGACAAACCATCTGTCTGCGGTGTCAGCCCTCCTCGACTAGTACTCATTTGAAGGATTTAATCTCTAGATATGGCGAAATCTCACAAACCATCCCCAACGACCTGCTACCAACGATATCAGTGCCATCGCCCATCCTGAGGAACGGCAACTTGGAGATCCTAGTCAGCACCCTAGGCTCTGAGCCTGATCACCCCGCCGCTACGTTACACGCCGACACTTTCCTCGTCCCGACAGTTACCATCCAGACTTCGCACTCCGGTCGGCATAATTTTGTTCGGTATCCAGTGCACCGCACGATCGTATGCGGGCGTGGGGTAGATGGCCTGCTATCGTATAGCACGATGATAGGTCGGGCAGACCTCAAGAACGAGGCCGCTTCGGTTCGCGGAGCTATTGAACTTGCAGTGGCAGACCAGAAATCCACAAATGAGCGACTGTCCCTGGTAGATGTCGACCGTGCCAGCACAGCACTGGATAAATTCCGGGAATCCGTCCACAATGCTTCCGACTACGAACGTGGGTGGAATGGGAGTGGCGTGCAACCTCTCATTGATTGGCTTGCAAGCTTCTCGGAACCATCTACTGCAAATGCATTGAATCCGGCATTGGTTCCTCTGGTGGAGTCTCTTGTTGACGCGGCCGACGCTAGTGTAATCGCCAGAGACGCCAAGGCGCTCCATGATCAAACTTCGGGCGTAGCCCCTGAAGAGGTTCGGTCCAACTTGGACCGGGCCGTGACTAGCTGGGCAGAGCGTGCTCACTCTGAGCTCCGTAGTTCCCTCGATGCAGGGCTGGCGAGTCCACGCTGGCGCGGTCTTTCATGGTGGAAACTTTTCTGGCGCGTTGATGATGTGAGCATGGTTACATCTGAGATCTTGGAAAGGAAGTTCCTTCGCCGGGCAGAGCAGGAGGTCATTTGGACCGTGGGAAAGTACCAGCAGGCCGGCCTGTTGGAAGAGTCTCCGTCTTCAATCGCTGACTCTCCAAATAACTCCGCTATGCCTCCATGGCCAACCCAGATCCCCGACCTTCGCACCAAACTCCTCACCAGCACGGTACCCTCCCTTCAAGCCCTCGCCCAGAGTCTGGTGCTTTTCAGCGTGTCCACTACGACTCTCACTTCGGCTCTTTCTGCCCTAACCTATGTGGCCATTCCATCAGCCGGGGTGTACGAGTCATGTACGCTTGCCGCCGTGGGTTTGATTTACTCTATGCGTCGCCAGCAGAAGAGGTGGGATGTCGCCCGTACTTTCTGGGAGGAGGAAGTCCGCGAGGAAGGTCGCACCTCGCTGCTGGAAACTGAAGTTGCTCTTCGTACTATTGTGCGGGAGGGCGGCAAGACTGTTGAGGAGCTACCTGACACTCGCGCACGCAACTCCGTCACAAGAGCAAGAAAGGCCTTGGAAAACGTGGTGTAATGTGCACCTCGTGCATTTCTGTATAACATGAAACGATGTATGGGGGTACTGTATATGTATTACCTTTTTAGGATAGAGCCCTAGAACTACAATGTCTGATATGTATGATAATCTTGAATCATGGCATTTACCGCGTTCCGAGGTTAGGATTCCCGTTTAGGAAATACATATGTGCATCAGACCCATGAATCTCCACCTTATTATTCAATACATTTGGTTCTCGCGAAATAGGTTTGGGTACTGAGTACTCCGGACAAGGAAATTGTATGCTTACGAAAATGGAAGATGGCCTTCTCTCATTCCTTCCCATATTTTAGGCTTGGTTACAATCCTCGAGGAACAATGCTCTTTTATAGTCTTGATATTTGCTCCACGGGTCTTGAAAATACATGATATTATGGATAATGCAGGTCTTTCAAATTTCATGTCGTATCGAGAATACTCAGGTGCCGATGATTACTCTGTAGATAAAACCTGGGAACTAAAAATCGTCGCGTGTTAGTAAAAATGTAAGATCCGAGACAAATATATATATAAAGTGTCGGGTCAGGGCATTGCAGAGGGAATACACAATATCTGTCTCCAAAAGGGCATTATCCGAGCTGGTCTGACTACAGTCCGCACCAAAACTTGACATATATATCTCATATCTTCTATATCATTTGATACGGAGCATACAAACGTTTCACCTTAGGCGCAGCCACACTTTCCCTATGCCGGTAATTACAGATTTCCCCATCGAATCCCAAATAGGGATATAATTTACGGACTGTTTCATGTTGCGCCGTTTAGACCAATCCACATGTCCAACGTGGGTCACCAACACGGGTCTAGGGGTTTAGACCAGGAACGCGTTCGTTTCGGCGTCTCAGATATCGACGGGAAGTGAGCACCTTTATCTTCTGACTCTCTCGTTTCTTCGCTAATTCTGGAATTCCCAGATACAGCCCCAGGGTGGTCTCATTTTAATTTGGGAATGAACATCCAATGATATGAAGGGATATATAGGCTCAAGTGTGCTAAGGGTAGCTCCCCAGCCTGCTTAATATAAGATTGTATCCAGAAGATCAAGGGATTGGCCAACTCATTAAACTCAGGCCCCTCTCCAAGCACTAAGGGGGGGATTGGCGCCTCATTATTGAAGGCCTCCATTTTTTTGGGGCCTTTTCTGACTTGAAGTACTTGATCCCCGTGGGCTGCTCCTTAATCTGTTCCCTTCCTTTCCCTGCCTCACTCTTTTGCCCTATCTCAGGGTCTGTCGTTCATTACCTTTTGTCGCTCATTTATTGTTCTTTCTATTGATTCTCTCAAAATTCAAGTGAGTCCTTCTTCTCGGGGGTTTTTCCTTTTGAAAATAGAGTTGAGGCTGATATAATGGCGCATCTTCAGGGATATTCAGCCATCTTTGTTTATTGACGTCAGGAGAACGCGTTAGATCGGTAAGTCGCATACCAATTTCTCAATATCCCTATGGGGGAAGTGCACAACCCTCCAAGCAAGGGGGTTCATTCCTCTACCCTTGGATCGGAAAGGAGCATCGATATAAGATTGTTTAGACGATCGATGGGACTCTGTGGAGTCTTTTCAATGCACCTGTAATGTCTTGACCGAACATCCAACTAATACATTTCTCAGTATCTACACTCTCTCGTACTCCTATTCTTCACGCCTAACCGGTTGATTCGGTACTCCTGGCGAGTCTCTCGTTTACAATTCCCTGAGATCATTCATTCTTTTTATCCGAGCCCGTCGACACGGCCCAACCGCCAAAATGCAGGACATTCGACTGACAGCCATTGCGATGGCCTGTCTTGCGCTATTCCCAAGCTATACAACTGCTTTCTGGCGTCTTCCTTGCCGTGGAAGATCTGGTCTCGCCCGGATCGACCCTATTGTCGAGCCGGGTAAGGCCTCATCTCACGCTCACGCAGTCCATGGAGCCGGAGGTAAGCGCGCATTGTCATAGTTCAGAAATTGGCATATGAGTGTGCTGACTTGTGTTTAGGCTTTGGCATGGGTTCCAGTCAGAGCGAGCTGCTCGAGTCTGATTGCACCTCGTGCGCAGTGACTGAAGACAAGTCTGCGTACTGGGCTCCCGCTTTGTACTTTATGCACACCAACGGCAGTGCCCAGGTGGTTGATGAAGTTGGAGGCATGCTTGCGTAAGTCTGATCTGGCTCTCGCGGGTGGGACTCGACTAACATCTCCCGACTAGCTACTACCTTCTGTATGGAAAGGATATCAAGGCTTTCCCAGATGACTTCCGTATGCTGGCAGGCGACCCCTTCCTGCGCAATTTCACCTGGCCAGTTCCCGACCCCCCCCAAGTCCGAGTGGACTGGTGATCAGGCCTCCCAGGCCGCTTTGCGCCAGAAGGCTATTGGCTTCAACTGCCTGAACTATGAGAAGACCCCAGAGGACTCCCTCCATCGCCACCACATGCCCGACAAGGAGTACCTTGACGAGCACTGCACCGATGGAATCCGATTCGAGCTGATGTTCCCATCTTGCTGGAACGGTAAGGACTCCGACTCCCATGATCACAAGTCCCATGTCGCATACCCGTCCCTCGTCATGGATGGTACCTGCCCCGAGGGCTTCGAAACTCGCCTGGTATCGCTCTTCTACGAGACTATTTGGGACACATACGCCTTCAAGGGCGTCGATGGATACTTCGCGCTTGCTAACGGTGATCCCACCGGATACGGCTACCATGGTGATTTCATGCACGGTTGGGAGGACGGTGTGCTGCAGGAGGCCATTGAAACCTGCACCAGCGAGTCCGGCGTTATCGAGGAGTGCGATGTTTTCACCATTCAGACGGAAGATGAACAGCGCCAGTGTCAGTTCTCCATTCCATCTGAGCTCAAGCAAGAAAATTGCCACATGCACGATGACGGATTGCCCGGCGGCATGTCTATCCAGTGGGGCCCAGAGCGTGCCGTCATGAAGGGCCACGCTACAACCACCGCCAATGTGATCTCGCTTCCCACCATTTCCATTGGTGATATTTCGATCGATCCCAACACTTGGTTTGACCACCATGCGACCAGCACTGCCGAAGCTACTACTTCGTTCACTTCCACTTCGACTCCCACGCCAACCCCGACCGCCGTCACATCTACTGTGGTCGATCCCATCACAGAAGAGATTATCTATCTCCAACGTGATGTCGTTGTCCTCTGTGATGAAAACGGCGACACTTTCTCAACTAGCACTGGCCCTCTCCGCACTGTCTCCTCTACCATTACCACCATCAAGGAAACCTCTACGGCCGTTTCCTACGTGAAGAAGGACACTGTTCCAGAACCGGTGCAGGCTGCTGGCCACGCCCGCAGACATCTTCACCACCGCCACGGTCACGGACACAACTTGGTTTAAAAACCTCGAATGTGAATGCTTGGAACCCAGTGCGCAAAGTACGGCGCGCGTCGCTCTCCTTTCTGTCACCTTGGCCGAAAGGATATACCCCATGCTTCTACCTCAAGTTGAACATTGAACTTGCTGGATTGTACCTCTGGGAGCTTTGATTCATGTAAATTTAATTTGTTCCGATTGTTGGACATCCTCCACTAGGGTGTGCATTGACCATATTGTCGTTCTCGAGATAAAATTTTAAATAGTCCTGGCCGGTACACAATTGAACTGCATTGGCTGTTAAAAATCGATGTAAAACATAAAACCTTGCAAGCTCCTTTAGTAGTCTAGATCTCATTGTTTTGCTTATCTTCAGTTTTCGTCATATAATATCATAGATGGGACAGCAGCAATGTACAACGTACGTCTCAAACTCCACCTCGCATATGTAATTGTTTTCCAATGTTTTATCTCAACTCAACCTCTCAGTAGGTGTCTCGGCAACTCCATGCAAGGGAAAAACTAGGCTACCTTAGGACAGTACGCAACGGCCATGCTGTACGTATTCCGTACAACAATCCGTGGGACAGATGGGACGTAAGGTGGCCTGACAACAGCGACAAGGCCATCAATTCCAAGACAAGAACACCAAAAATCGCAGGGTATGTGACAATGTATGAGCATGTTTGGGTTTATCTCTACCATTGAGGACTATCCAGATCCTTCAACTATAGACAAAGTCAAGTCAGCGTCGCAATGGACATTCATTGCTCTGTATCAGTGCACCTCCCCGAGCCACCTGTCCGTGTAGCACACTTAGATGGCACAACATGGAAAGTTATTATCTGCTCTAGCGCTGTCAGTTCAAGACCCTGTTATACGTGGTCAATCAAGTGATATCGATAACTACTCACACCATTGCTGAGAACGGGTTTGCCATGGACTTCCCGAATAAGAATATCTTGCTTGGTTGACGAGGGGTAAGCTTCTATTTTTATAGATCTATGCTGACCTAGGCTGATACAACTGGAAATTATATGCCCAGCCTAGTCGTCGCTATCTATGAAAAGGGTTGCACGCACTCCTTGCGCGAGGTAGCATGAGCTGAACTTCGCTGTCTCTGATGCTCCAGCGAATCTATCAGCCACTGCTACTTAACCATCGTAACTCTGGTTCTCTAATCAGCCAAGCTGGGCGAGTCCTAATTCTCGAGAAGAGCCCAAATTGGGCCGTTCCCAATGTTGGATATTTGCCAATATATAAGACAGGATCCAGCTCTGGGTCCCGGGAAAGTTATTTCCAGCCCACCGCACCAGCACATCGCCCTATCACAATTTCGATGTCAAGTTCGTTCATGCGTACCTAATAAAATTTGACACTGTCACAATGGGACTCCTCCACCGAGTGTATCTTTTTATTGCGCTCTTCCTCTCGGCCACAATGGCTATCCCTCAACAAACCGCCTCGATCACCACGGCTGCAGCGCCGGTGGTAATCACCCAAGGCCCCGAGCTGAGGTGCTCTCACGGTCAAACTGTTGTCTATACGACGGACTGTACGCTGGGAACCCCAGTTTCATACTGCTTCAGCCAGGAACCTCCCATCGAGTGCGCACAGGGATTCTTCCCGTCTGTTTGGCATCCGGATCATTGCATGGAGCAATCGAGCTGTTTTCCGCTCAGTGAGCCCTGGATTACTACCGAGTGCTCGAATGGAGCTATTCCATATTCGACGTCCACCATCTATCAGGGTACCTTGGTAGGAGGAGAATCGACTGTAATCAGAGGTAAGTTTGGCGTTTCCTTTTCGACACCATCGTCCCTATTTTCTATCCCATGAGACAAGGGTCAAGCCCTGAGGCTAATTTGGATCATTGTAGCTGTCTCCTGCTCCTGTGCTGCATACCAATGGTACAGCATGACCCTACTACCAGGCTCGTCGAACTATGACACCTTCTGTATGCCATATAGCTCCTGTCCACGGGATATGACAACCTCCGTGTCGATCAATGAGTACTGCGCCACCCAGTCGGCGGGCGTGTGCTCGGATATCCCTTTGGAGACTGAGTTTTGTCAATGTGCTCATGCGGGGCAGACTCCAGTCTATCCTGACTGGCCTGGCGCTAATCCCACTGGGTGTGAGTTTTGAAGTAATGGGATGTACTTTTGGTTTTGAGGTGTTGTCGCTGAAAAGGGAAATGGCGAAGGAATCAAGTAATGTGTAGTAATCAGGGCTGGAGAAAGGTGGATATCAACACAATTTATTGAAGTGATTCATATTGCGCCATTTGATTCCACCCGTTTCGAAGTAAAACAGCCCCCGTTTCTCCACGGAAGGTCCAGCCGTCGATGGCGACGCCGTTAAGTCCGGGCTTGTTCTAACCCCGCATCGGCCCGTCTTTATAAAGTCGGTCTTGTCGACTCTTGTCGACTGTTTCTTTTCTCACTTTCAATCTTGAATTTATCTTGCAAAATGGCTGACTCTCTTCCTGAAATGCAATACCGGTTCCTCGGTAGAACCGGTCTGAAAGTCTCGGTAATCTCGCTGGGTAGCTGGCTCACATATGGGGGACACGTCGGGAATGGTAGGATCATCTCTACATAGAATCGGGCGGAGCTAACAAATCACAGAAACCGCCCTTGAGTGCATGAAGGTTGCCTACGATGCCGGCGTCAACTTCTTTGATACCGCCGAGAAATACTCAGACGGACAGTCAGAGATCGTGCTCGGAGAGGCCATCAAGAAATTCGGCTGGAAGCAAAACGATCTCGTCATCTCCACCAAGGTAAGAAACCCAATTTTCCCTCTAGTCTGATTGTCCCCACTAACCCATCTTTCAGATTTACTGGGGCAGTGCCAACAGCGCAAACCCAGCCAGACCACTCAACAATAACGGGCTCTCCCGCAAGCACATTATCGAGGGCATGAACTTCTCTCTGCAGCGGCTAGCGCTGCCATACGTAGATGTTGTTTACGCACATCGCCCAGACCGCGATACCCCCATGGAAGAGATCGTCCGTGGTTTCAACTACCTCATTGACAACGGCAAGGCTTTCTACTGGGGCACCTCGGAGTGGTCGGCCAGTGAGATTTCAGACGCCTGGCGCATTGCCGACAAACTCGGCCTTGTCGGTCCTGTTGTCGAGCAGCCGCAGTATAACCTCCTCGCGCGTGAGCGTGTAGAGAAGGAGTACCGCTGGCTATATGAGTCACATGGTCTCGGTCTGACGGTATTCTCGCCATTGAAGGGAGGTGTCTTGACGGGCAAGTATAACCATGCTGCTGCTCCTCCCCCTGGGTCACGGCTGGCAGAGTCGAAGGATGTTTATATTCAAGGTCTACGGAAGACCGTTGGGGATGAGACCTGGCAGCGTCAGCTGGATCAGGTTGCGGCGTTGACGCCTATCGCTGAGGAACTTGGTGTTTCGACGGCGCAGTTGGCGCTTGCGTGGATTTTGAAAAATCCCAATATCTCGTCAATGATTACGGGTGCATCCAAGCCGCAGCAGGTCATTGATAATATTCAGGCTCTGGCGGTGGCGGAGAAGTTGACGGATGAGATTATTGAGAAGATTGAGATTGCTGTTGGGAATAAACCTGATGTTGAGTCTCGGCGGTTTTAGTTATTTTCTGTGGAGATAGAGTGTCTGGGAGGCCCGGCTTGTACAGTTAAACAATTCTTTAACCCAAACAGATAGATATTTAACATAGAAAAGAGACATGCCACCGAATTCAACCTGGAAATATTGTTGATTTTCAAGTAGCTAAAGAGATTGTTTGAATTAAATCCGTCTTTGTGCCCATGTGTGTCATTGACCGGGGCATAGACATTGTTTCGTTGTTATATTCAACGAGAGAAATGGATTTGGATCTCCTTGATGAAGAATCCATCGACAGTTGGTTTCGTTTGGAATTGTTCAAGTCTAATTCATGCCTGATGAAGTAGACCGAGACATGAGAGCTCCCTGTCTCAACTTCTTCCTCCATTTACCATCCAACAGTGACCGAGTAGCTGCCATCAGAGTGGCTGTGGGACTCAAATTGAGACTCACCAACGCAGTCACCGTACTCGTAAGGAGCACTCAGGGCTCCAGAGTAGCCCTTGGAGATAGGTTCGCCGAAAATAACAGAGTGCTTGGGCACATCAGAGCACACGTGCTCCTTCTTGTCGTCGTTCCAGCCGTACAACTCCACAAAGCCCATTTGAGAGCTCTGAATACCCTTTGATCCAGCAGGAAGAGTGTAAGAGCCAATCTGAGTGCTGTTTCCCTTGACAACATCAACGAGAGTACCGACCCACTTGGTTCCCTCGGTGTTCTTGATGTGGAGCTGATATTGGTGCTCGAAGGGGCTGACGATTTCAACGGCACAGCTCACGCCGGCACCACCGTCGGCACCGTCGCTGCAGTTAGGGTCGTCAGAGGTGGTGCCCTCATTGAAGCTGGAGAAGACTCCATGGATGACGGGAAGGCCATGGTCGTTTGAACGGGGCTGCAGACCGGTGTAGCCGACATCCTTTTGGTTGACGAAGCCGAATTGCTGGGCAAAGTAGAAACCGCCCTCGTGAGGAGAACCGGAGATGTCCATGGGGAAGTAGATCTCACTCAAACCCTCATCGGGAACATTCTCGACGGACCAGCCGATGCCGACCATGCCACCGCCCTGGGCTACGGCGGATTGAAGGAATGGGAGAGTGAAGAGAAGAGATTGAGAGAACTTCATGTTGATGGCTTGAGGGGATTGCGTTTGTGGAATAACATCGTCAATGGGTTGTTTGACGCACTTTATATAGACTTACGGCATCTACGGAGTGGAGTAGCTTGCACTTTAAGAATTGATCAAGACGAAACACTGAAGCGTTTATTGTAAATGATGATCTGCAAACTTCTTGTCTGCCGGTGCCGCCCGTTCCTGGGGTACTATAAAATGAACGTCTCTGGACGTATCTATCATACGGTGGAGTACAATTTAATATATTAGGCGCTTCTTATTTATCCCCCTTTTCCAGCCTATATTGAGCCCATAACATATCTAGCCACGCCAGGAGTTCACACCCGCATTTCAGATATCAGCCTTCGAGTTCCAAGATGAGTTCCAAGATCTATATCCTTGGAATCGTAAGAGACATTTTTATAAATACAGACACGTCCATACGCTGTAGGGGCTCCAAACCTTTGCAGAATCCACTTAAGAAGTGGGTCTTAATACATAAAAATCCTTGAAGCTTTCCAAGGTTCTTTGAGATCTGATCTACCGCATAAACCTCACCTGTTCAACGTATTACCTCCCGTCCGAACTATATGATGAAGGTACTGCCAACTAAAAGAAAAAGTCAGATCTACATCCCGAGAGTAATTCATATACTCCTTGAATGTGCGGATCGATATATCGAAGCAGAATGGAGTAGATTCGTACCCCTACAATTTATTCCATGTAACAAACAGCATACATATTCCCACACAGTTCCCAAAGAGGAATGTCCCTGACTATCAGTTTCAGTTCGCGCTATAATGAAATTCCGACCCATCTTGTTCCTTCCAAAGTCGGCATGCGATTCGTAGATCCCCACAGTTATGCAATCAAAATGCCAAGCGTTTTTAGATGATCTCTAGCTCGATCTGGTGTGGTTTAGATTAATCCGTTAGATTAAAACATCAAGTTCGACTTTCGACTGATGGAACACTTTTGTGATACCCCCATAGTGACGTGTGCCCGCATGGACCTGTAATTGTTCTGAAGAATACTGATTTTGTCTTTAGTTGGTGTTGTATCGCATATGTTGATGCCTTTGATGACCGATGCAATGAAGGGGCTCTGCGATGTAAGATTTCGTTTCAAGTCACACTGTTTGGTGGAAAATTCAAGTGAAAGGTCAGGGCGCTGCAATGTCACCATTGAATGCTACACTCCATCGCGGTGTGAATGGTCAGGAGCATGCCATGTTACTCTGGTTATTGAGAGCTTGGCCTTGGTCGAAATTGGCTGATACAGTTGCAACACAGTTCAGTAGTCTATTAGCTGCCAGAGCCTCACATCTTACCCTTTGTAATAAGATATAGTAAACATTGCGCAAGCCTCCACCTTTCTTCACCGGCTTGCGATGTTTTTTTTTTTTGCAATGAGTACGACTTCCTCACTCAGTCCTCGATTTCAACTATCGTCATTGACATAATCATGAAACACATCTGCATAAAACATCCGCCCTACATCACGATGACTCCGAATCTTTGTGCGCAATTGCGACTCGCCCCAAGTATCATACTTGCCGCCCAAAAAGGCCGAGTCAATATTCGCACCCTCCGACGCCTCAAGGGCCATCGTTTGCGTCGCAAAATGTTCCCTGAGAGTCTCAAGCGCCTCCCCTTTGGTCAAACTACCCCGAACACCCTGAAAAAAGGGCACACTATATCTCTCCGACGGACCTGACAAAACACGGTGCGTCGTCGCCTTACACACACCATGAGTAACCACCTCGAACGCCTGCCCGATATTCACAACGAATGTATCTTCAATCACTGGAATGTCGATCCATTCACCTGTCTTGTTAAGAGCCTGTAAGCCCTTTACGGTTGGTGGTGATGCTTGAAGAAGAAATGTCCACCATCCAGATGAATCTTTGTGAGGACCCACACCTTGAATGTTGGGGTCTGAACTAGGATCCGAGGCAGGGTAATGGACTAGCTTGAGACGGTGCTGTTCCGAGAGGAATGAAAATAAAGTCTCGGGGTCCAAAGAGAGTGCTTCGGCTACCAGGCGCAAGAACCGCTCACCGAGACTTGTTAGTTCACGGATATATTTCTCAATGACGCTTCGAAGAGAGGGATCGTGTGACGGCCACTGTTGATTATAATTAGCATAGCTTCTTAGCCAGCTGACCGGTGAGATGGTTGGGATAGGGTTTGATGTACCTGGTTCGGCCCCTTCAACCTTTCATACAGAGGAAGACCCGCGCGCCATAAGTCTGGGAGCTCGGTTGCAAACTCAAACTGCTCACGTTTATCTGCGACTCCGGCTGTTGTTTCTGAGCCTACTTGGCTGTATCCCAGAAATTGGGGTGAGTTGTGTAAAGCCACCTCTTCTTTTTCAGTTGCAGTTGGATCGAGGGCGAAGAGTGTGGGGAGGGCATGTTTGAGGTCCGAGATTGTGTCTTGGGGGACATCGTGATTTGTGATATACAGGAATCCAACACAGGTGAGGGCATGGTGGAGCTCTTGGAGAAGCTTGGGGCGGGTCAAAGGCGATTTGGCAAGGGATAGGTCGATGACGGGGATGCATTTGAAGTTGGACGTCATTTTTGGACCAGGCCAGTAGTATTCAGTGGTAGTGGCTTTAATGGAGGTGATTGTTGGCAAATGAAGCCACCGCGCATGAACAATTTACTCTACCCCACGTTTCTGCGGGGTAAATGGAGAGATATTCATTTGACAAGTGTCGGCTCTTATATTTGTCCTATTTAAACACATTTTCCACCATCCACCACCATCTCAGTGCCGTTGATGAAACGAGCCTCGTCACTGGCTAGGTACAGGCACATATTGGCGATATCATCCACGTCGGTGAGGCGGCCCAGTGGGACATTTCCGATGAACTTTTCTCGGTTCTCCGGGGTATCCTCCATACCGGTGAACATGGAGAACAGTCCAGTACCAGACAGAAGAGGAGCGACAGAGTTGAATCGGATATTGTGGGGACCGTACTCCGCAGCGAGACCTTTGGTGGCCTGTATTGATTAATCGTTAGCAATCCATTATACATGGTCTAGATATTCCGAGTGTCAAGACTCACATTACTGACTGCCCCCTTAGTGGCATTATACCAGACTAATCCAGGGCGTGGTCGACTGGCGCCCGTGGAGGAGATGTTGATCACTGAACCACCCTGGCCCTGCTCGATGAAACGCGGCATCAGAGCCTTTGTGGCAAGATAAATACTCTTCACGTTGACCTTGAACACACGTTCCCACTCTTCCTCTGTAACCTCTGCCGTTGGCTAAAAGAAAGTCAGTGATGTCTCTTCATACAACCCTGAAATAAATGAATCCTACCTTGTTGCGATAAGTAGTGCCTGCATTATTCACCAAGATATCCACTCGCCCGAACTTGGAGAATGCTAAGTCCAAGATCATATTCCAGTCCGCTTCTTGTGTAACATCTTGACGCTGGAAGATGAGGTTGGAAGGATTCTGCGCGGCGACTTTCTCGCCGCCCTCGACGTTGATATCGGTCACGATTACTTTAGCACCCTCTTCTCCGAATCGCCGAGCAATAGCTGCACCAAATCCAGCACCTCCTCCTGAGAGAAAGAGGGGTATCAGTATCTATCACGAAGGTCTGGAGTAACAGCCTTACCGGTGACGATGGCAACCTTGCCTTGGAGTCTTGAACCCTGAGACATGGAGTTTAAAGAGAATTATTGAGTGATGGAATAGAAAAACAAAGAGCAAGTCCTTTTAAAGATGTGTCCGAGGGGTATAAAGCTCGGAGTGAAACCCGGTTCCCCGCATGTATAGAGATATCGTAATACTGAATATTCCCACTCCACATACGGGCATTTCCCGGATGATCAACTAACCCCTTACAGTAGGCAATCAACAGCGAGAAATTCCTCGCAAATTTACCTTTGTACTTATGATGCTTTTCCTTCTCTTTGGATTTGTAGCTTTTGCTATTGCAGGTTCCATCGCCAATGCCAGTACAAATACCTGCTATGGCTCCAATGTGATCTCAACACCTTCAGCGGACCACCGCCCTGTGCCATGGGGTACCCCGAGTGTCCATTTTTCGTCAAATGGCACACCAACTACCTGCTGTGACTCCCTCGACGAGATCCGTACCGCGCTCGATGATATCGACAATGAACTACTCAGTCTCCTAAATCGGCGGTTTGTACTCCGTGTTCCATACCCTCTCTGATTTGGCCCAAATGATCCACAAGAAAAAGCGGGCCCCAACAACAATCCCATGACCTCTAGTTATGACATTGGCATTGACGTTTTGACTCCTATAGGGCCGCTTATGTCCGCGAGGCCACTCGGTTCAAGTCCACACGGGCTTCTGTGAATGTTCCCTCGCGCAATGAGGCCGTCCTCAAGCAGGCAGAGCAGCAGGCGGTGGATATTGGGGTGCCAGTGACGATTGCCCGGGCGGCCATGGGGGCCATTTTGAACTCCAGCGTGCCTTTTGAAGAGTGCATTGTAAGTGAGCTTGCCACATCTATCAGATCTGAAGCTGATTCCTCCAAGTTTGATGCCTATGTTGAATAATAAGAGCAATGGTTCACGAACACAAATGGCCCCCACCACCAGGTTGGGAGTCAGTTCCCAAGAAGGAAGCTGGTTGTGATAATTTGTTGGTTTATATTAGGGCTAGAATCAATCCTTCGAGTCGATTCCATAAATTAAGCCTCCTGCCGCTTTCTATCTACCATCTACTTACCTGCAAATCCGAGAAAGGGAAGAGAATATCTTAAAAGAAGACACCTGAACAGAATATCTGGGACTGTAAAAATATGAACACTCAAGATGAATCACAAGGTCGCATACATGGATAAGCATTCTTGCTGTTCAAATAAAAACACAACACTGACATTCCTCCGATAGCAAACTTGAAGAAAGATTCTCTGTACTATGTATGATCAGCCCCAACGCGTGAACCGTTGACGCTAAGGTCGAGCTAAGAGCTTCTAAGCGTCAAAAACTTATGCAGGATGCAAAAATGTTTAGTTTGACTCATATGTTGAGGAAAGATTTAAAATAAGAAGTGACCACACAAGACCATGGATAAGCCATTGGCCAAGAGCAGCTGCGTTTTGCCGTTAGCGCCCCTCCAAATCCATAGTATTGTTGGATTTCTTTGATCACTTCCACCATGATCGGATGACGATGAGCCTTCCAGGTGTCCATGTCTGAAAACCACATGTATTTTATCTCCGAGTCTGGCGCCCGATGGAGATACGCACGGAGGGTGCACCGTTGTCGGACGCTTCCGATACGCAACCCACCGAACCCCGAAAACGAGTCCGTCGATGGCATCATCGAGGATTTACCGGGTGCTCCACCTGTCGCAGCCGCCATGTTCGCTGCGACGAGGCTTCTCCCGCCTGTAACAATTGCGTCCGCCTTGGGCGCGAATGCGATGGCGCTCAAGGGCGGATGACCTTCAAGGTCTACGGACCTTCTCAGACACCGACCGACTCACTGCCGACGAATAGACGGATCAATAATTCAACTTGCAGCCCTGAGTCAAGCGACACTTCTACAGTCCCTCCAGCAGGGGAGACGGAAGATGCTGACAGCAAGCAACTCTGCAAGGTTATGATCGCCCCGACCACGCGGGCGCAAGCAACAACCACGTTCCGCTTCCAGGATCCTGTGACGTCGATCAGTATCGCGAAATCGATCCAGAACGTTGAAGAGCGTTATCTCACACATTTTGTCGATCAGGTATCACCCTTGCTCATCATCTACAACGCCGTCCACAATGCCAATCCGTACCGTACACATTTTCCGGATCTGTCCCGGTCATCTCCAACAATGGCCAACGCAATGCAGGCATTGGGCGCATTACATCTCGCAAACACCTCGGTGGGATCGCAGCGCAATAGGCATTTCCAGCAGGCAATGGCCAAATATGGTGTGGTGGTGAAAGGCTTTCGCGCCCGATACTCAGATCCCAGCGAGCAGCTTGGCTTAACAGATTTCGCGACGTGCCTATTACTTTCCTTATTCGAGGTTTGTTTTCTTGTCTGGCAGACCTGAAACTCATGATCAATCAACTAACATGCTTGCAGATGATGGATTCTCAACACAATAACTGGGTAGTACATCTCAAAGGAGCTCGTGAAATATACAACCTCCTCTTCTATCCGAAACCCGGAGACCCGGCCCGTGAAGTACAACGCGTCGCTGATACAAATCACCCGCTCCGTCCATTCCTCGTCTCCCTACTCTCCTATCTCGATGTGGCGGGTGCATGCGCAACACCCGGTGGGACCGTTGTCGAAGGTGATTACTGGAAGACCATGGGTGGAGAATGGGAATACAATCTTGGGACGCCAAGCCTATTGTCGACCATCCCCGACAACCCACGTCTGAGCGAGCTGCGGCAGGCATGGTCAAGCCTGATGGAAGTGCAAGCATCTATCAGTACGTTTGCATCGGACAAGAAAACGTGGATGACAAACGACCAGTCAGACGCGCGGTATAAAGAAATCTTCAACCAAATCGTTGCATGGCGGACCATGGCCCCACCCTGTCTACAGCTGCTCGGCGATCTGGATGATGAGATCCTTGCTCAGTATCCGTATCCTGACGTTCTCGAGTATGTGGGGTGCATTGAAGCATACGAGAAGGCAACATTCGTTCATCTACTACAGGTTGCTGGAGCTGGGCGTGTCGGCTGGATCACCGATTGGACATATATGGGCATACTGGTCAGTCGGATTCTTCTGCTGATTTTCAAACTGTCCAAAGATGTCGGCCAATTGGCTGTTCTGTGGCCGCTTTTCATTGCCGGGCAGGAGAGTCGGAGTGAGTGTGAGCAAAAATACGTTCGCCAAACAATGCAAGAGTTGCAGCGGTTTGGTTTTAGAGTATGTTGCACAGGAACTCCATCATGCGGATCTGAATGCTAATCTCTCGCAATTTAGAACGTCGATAAAGCACTTGAAAATCTAGAAGGGATCTGGTTCAAGAGACGCTCCTTTCCCGGAGGTTGGATCCAGACCTTGGAGGAAGTTCAAACCAATATTCTTCTTCCCTGATGGGATGACTAGAGTCGATATCTTCAAACTTGAAGGTTCCGAGGACGCCGAGAGGAATCATATCTATGACCAATATGATTGTTATATGAAATAGAAAAAGTCTATACCTAGGTAGTATGGAATTGCTGATTTAGTCTTAGTCCCCGAGCTCCAGGTACGGCCCCTAATCGCCACGGCGCCAGCAGACTTTTGGCCCAGGGCCGATGACGCTGCCACGTGCTGGAAATAAACCCCATCCGAATCCGGACTGCTCGGTGTAACCGAAGCACGTTGGGTTAGATCCGATATAATCGAAGATCATCACCGTACATCTGTAGGCAATACTTGTGATAATGTGGACGGATCATGTATAGGAAGAGTCATGCGGACCAGACAGCTCCGACTATCTTTTCTTGTTTCAATTCGGGCCCCGAGGCTTTGAATTGAATTTTTAATTTATTTTCTACCCTGGAGTAAAGTCTTTAAAAACGAAACCCTTGAAAAAGGAAGATAGAACGACAAATGATTGCTCATAGCTCGTAACTACAGCAAGTCCGATCCAATCCACTTGCACCCAGGTGGGGTCTAATCACAGTGGATCATTTGGGAACGTTTTGACTGCGGGACTAACCTTAGAAAGTCGACTCCTAAAACCTTGTGGAAAAAAATCTGACCGACAATATATCCCAGGGAAAATAGGACATCTAGCTCCCTTCTTCTCTATATGCCAGACCCAGATATGGCCTCCAACGACCCTGGTCCCGCTGACCTCCTCACCAATGAAGGTGGCAATCGAGCTGAGCGCAAGGACCAGGATGATGCCGCTTTGCTGGTAAGTGATGCAATTCAGGTGCGTTCGTGAAAAAAAAAATACTAACACGGATGTTGTAGCGAACAATGGGCTATAAGCCGGTATGTCGAACTGTAGAGATGATGATCTGAGATCACCAACTGACTCAATAGGTTCTGCATCGAACATACAATCTGTTCGAGAATTTTGCGACCACATTCGGTACGGTTCGCGCTGTCCATCACGTTATATTCACATACTGACTTTTTGCTAGCTGCGCTGTACTTTGTTGGTGGTGTTCGCGTGACCTTTAGTACTGGTATTGCCGCCGGTGGAAATCTAGCCTATTGGACTAGTTACCTAGTAACCATGGTGTTCACCTTCATCACTGCTGCGGTCATTGCGGAAGTCTGTTCGGCTTCTCCATCCGCCGGGTCGATCTATCTATGGGCTGCCGAAGCTGGTGGGCCTAGATTTGGCCGGCTCCTTGGCTTTATCGTCGCTTGGTGGAGCACAACGGCTTGGACGACCTTCTGTGCAAGTCCGTTCCATGACATCTACCTCTAAGGCGTGTATGATGTTAATTTTTCTATAGGCAACACCCAGGCTGCGACGAACTATATGCTTTCGGTGTGTCTCTTTTTTTCTTGGTTCTCCGGGGATTTGGTCTAATATATCTCTTCTAGGAAATCACTGTATACAACCTCGACTTCCCCTCAGACACAAGCAGTGTCAAATTTCGCTCAGTCCAGTGGATCTGCACCGAGGTCTTGCTGGCTCTGGCCGCTCTGTTGAACTTTTTGCCTCGTATGTACCAAAGTGTAACTTTGATTCGCCATGTCTGACATCGTTTTAGCTCGATACTTCAGATATGTCTTCTGGTGGTCCTCCGCAGTCGTGATGCTTGACTTTGTCTTGAACCTTATCTGGTTGCCTATTGGTACCGCTCACACCTGGGGATTCCGTACCACCCACGAAGCCTTCATGACTACGTACAATGGCACCGGAGCCCCGGCTGGCTGGAACTGGTGTCTTTCCTATCTTGCTACCGCTGGTATTTTGATTGGATTCGATGCCTCGGGACACGTTGCGGAAGAAACCAAGAATGCCTCTGTCACTGCTGCCCGTGGTATCTTCTGGAGTACCGTTGCCAGTGGATTCGGTGGTTTGGCCACCATCATTCTCTTTTTGTTCTGCGCGGTTCGTCTTTGGTTTCTGTCAATTCCCTATTTCGGCTTACTGACCTAGCTTTCTCTAGCCTGATGCCGAGACACTGATGGGCTTTGGCTCGCCCCAACCCTTTGTGCCCCTTTACGCCGTTGTTCTGGGCAAGCACGCCCATATCTTCATGAACATCGTCTGCGTTTTCGCTTTGTGGCTGGTGAGCTATCATCTGTGCGTGTGCATGAAGTATCCATCGCTAACTTAATTTTCCAGAACACCGCAATTGCCATCATCGCCGCCTCTCGTCTTGTCTTTGCCGTCGCTCGTGATGGTGTGCTCCCATTCTCGGGTTGGGTCTCTCGTGTCAATAATGGCCAGCCACGGAACGCAGTCATCGTTGTCTGGGCTGTCGCCGCCCTGGTTACTTGCACCCTTCTTCCATCCGCCACGGCGTTTACTTCTCTTGTCTCGGCAGCCGGTGTCCCCAGTGCTGCCGCTTATGGTCTGATCTGCCTGGGTCGACTGATATGCACCCCAAAGCGGTTCCCGAAGCCGCAGTGGAGTCTCGGTCGCTGGAGCAAGCCGTTCCAGTTCATTGGTGTCTTCTGGAATGGTTGGGTTGTGGCTGTCCTGTTCTCGCCTTACGTGTTCCCAGTGACTGGCGAGAACTTGAATTGTAAGTTGGTCTTTTTTTTATACGTCTTCGTATAACTAACTTCCTTCATAGATGCCCCCATTATCATGGCTGGAGTCACCATTTTGGCATTGATCTCCTACTTTTTGATGCCCGAGAGTGCCTGGCTTCCTCGTGATCGCATCACTCACTTCATTGATAGTAAGGGCGCCACTGAGACCGTGGAAGAAGTTGGCTTCACCGACCATGGTGAGTCGAGCACTCGATGATGTGGATGACTGAGAAAGTGTAACTAGCTGCCAGTTATCAATTCTGGGTATAGATTGCAGTAGATGGCTTTTGGACTTAGATCATATAATATTACAGCCAATTCTAGTTTGATTTTCCGTCCTATCTATGTTTATAAGGCCGCATAATCTGTTGTACCCCTAAGTTGTGTAATGTGGAGAATCCAGGGCTTATCTTCTCCAACCTCCCCCCGCGTTTATGATTACTGGGGAAGCTATAGGATATTGATTATAAACTAGAAGGACAATACCAACATATGAGCAGTACATACTGTCAATACCTGGAAGGGTTTCATCGCAAGGACAGCCGCTTCCCCTCTTTGCCTGGATGTTCTGCCGAGAATCGGTGCTTTGACTCAACTTCAACTTCCCCTCCTTTCGCTTCTTTCTTTCTGCCTTTATGCCGTGGCTCTTGAGTCTTTTAGAGCTTTTGTTTCTAAATCTCTAGCATTGCGTCTATCTGCCCTTTCAGTCTGGACTGGATGCGGTACCCCAGTACATCTACCCCTTCCTGGGCCCAATAGGCATTCCATGAGACAAAAAAGACCCGACACAACGTGCAGCTTGCAGGTTTATTCGCAATGAGCGCTCCAATATCCTTGCGGTCAGCTCTACGACCGTGTTTTGGGGCGTCCGTTGCTCGCGCGGGGAAATCGTTCCTGCCGGTGACGTCGGGTAATTTTCTCCAAATCGCGGTGTTGGAGGCCGAACTTGAGCCGATTGCTAACTGATTTCCTCTAATTAGTCTCACAAATTCGGCAAGCTACATCTTTCTCATCGCAAAATAAACCTCTCTCTGTTTGCCAGTCGCGATGGCCCTCGATTTCGAAACGAACCGCTACAACCTCGTCTGAGTCACCTCCCTCGGAGCCCGTATCTACCACCCCCTACTCAGCCTTGACTGTTGGGGTCCCTCTGGAAATCTTCCCTGGTGAACGTCGTGTGGCAATTACCCCACAGAATGTCGCCCTTCTGTTGAAAAAGGGAGTTTCCCGCGTCCTCATCGAACACGGTGCAGGCGAGCGTGCTCAGCTACTCGACAATGCCTACGAAAAGGCTGGCGCGACAATGGTCGACCGGGACGCAATCTGGTCTCAGAGTGATATCGTCTTGAAGGTCCGCAGCCCACAGGCAGAGGGGTCATTCAATGAAATCCAGGCTTTACGCAAAGGCTCAACAGTTATATCTTTTATCTATCCCCTCCAGAACAAGCCCCTCGTCGAGGCACTCGCGGCTCGTGGCGTGACCTCTTTCGCGATGGATCGCATTCCACGAATCTCTCGTGCGCAGACTTTTGATGCCCTTAGCTCCATGGCCAATATTGCAGGTTACAAGGCGGTCCTGGAAGCTTCCAACCACTTTGGCCGGTTCTTGACCGGTCAGGTTACTGCAGCTGGAAAGATTCCTCCGAGTAAAGTTCTTGTTATCGGTGCTGGCGTAGCGGGTTTGAGTGCAATTGCCTCTGCCCGCCGCATGGGTGCTATTGTTCGTGGTTTTGATACCCGTCCTGCTGTGCGCGAGCAAGTCCAGTCTTTGGGCGCCGAGTTCGTCGAAGTTGATTTCCAGGAGGATGGTTCTGGTCAGGGTGGTTATGCCAAAGAAATGTCCAAGGAATTCATCGAAGCTGAAATGAAACTGTTTATGGAGCAAGCTAAAGAGGTCGATATCATTATCACCACAGCTCTGATCCCAGGCAGACCTGCACCAAAGCTCATTACTAAGGAAATGATTGCGGCAATGAAGCCTGGTTCTGTTGTTGTTGATCTTGCCGCCGAGGCAGGTGGAAATTGCGAAGCTACAGTTCCCGGGGAATTAAGCACCTACAAGGATGTGACTATCATCGGCTACACGGATCTTCCCTCGCGCCTCCCTACCCAGTCTTCAACGCTTTACTCGAACAACATCACCAAGTACCTTCTCTCCATGGCTCCCCAGGATAAATCTTTTGGGATTGACTTTAAAGATGAAGTTGTGCGCGGTTCCATCGTGACTCTAAATGGTGAAATAGTTCCCCCTGCTGCTCCACCCGCTCCACCTCCAGCCCCAAAGCCAGAGGCCCAAGCTATCGCGGCAAAGGAAGAAGTTGCATTGACACCGTGGCAAAAGACAACACGCGATGTGACAGCGGTCACTGGTGCAATGGGCACGACGCTGGCCCTAGGAAAGGCAGCTGGTCCAATCTTCATGGGCAACATGATGACCTTCGGACTTGCTGGTCTGGTCGGCTATCGTGCTGTGTGGGGTGTAGCACCCGCGCTCCACTCGCCACTCATGAGTGTCACCAACGCCATTTCGGGCATGGTGGGCATTGGTGGACTGTTCATCATGGGTGGAGGCTATGTGCCGGCTACTATCCCAGAATACTTCGGTGCTGCCTCCGTACTTTTGGCTTTCGTGAACATCTCCGGTGGCTTTGTGGTCACAAAGCGCATGCTCGATATGTTCAAGCGTCCAACTGACCCTCCCGAGTACCCATGGCTGTACGCTGTCCCCGCCTTGGTGTTTGGTGGTGGCTTCATCGCGGCTGCCAGCACTGGCATGTCCGGTCTGGTCCAAGCTGGATATCTCGTCAGCACAATGCTGTGCATGGGCTCAATCTCTAGTCTGGCATCGCAGGTGACTGCCCGACGCGGTAACATTTTCGGTATTCTGGGAGTAGTCTCCGGTATTCTGGCCTCACTGGCTGCGGTGGGCTTCTCTCCTGAGACCCTGACGCAGTTCACGGCTGTTGCTGGAGCAGGTGCCTTGATCGGAGGCTTGATCGGCCGTCGCATTACACCAACAGGTCTTCCCCAAACAGTCGCTGCTCTCCACTCGGTGGTAGGATTGGCTGCTGTTCTGACCAGTGCCGGAAGTGTGATGGCTGATATTGGTGACATCACAACCCTACACCTGACGACAGCGTACTTGGGTGTTTTGATCGGTGGTATCACCTTCACAGGTTCGATCGTCGCCTTCTTGAAATTGGCAGGGCGCATGTCTTCCAAGCCGACGATTCTTCCCGGCCGACACCTTATCAATTCGACACTATTGGGCAGTAACATTGCCACCATGGGAGCGTTCATTACAATGGCGCCAGGAAGTCCTGCAATCGCAGCTACCTGTCTGGGAGCAAGCACCATCCTCAGTTTCCTGAAGGGATACACCACGACAGCAGCCATTGGCGGTGCTGACATGCCCGTCGTCATCACAGTGTTGAATGCTTATTCCGGATTCGCCCTCGTGGCGGAAGGCCTGATGCTCGACAACCCACTTCTCACCAGTGTCGGATCTCTGATCGGTGTCAGCGGCTCCATTCTCTCGTACATCATGTGCGTCAACATGAACCGGTCGCTGACAAATGTCCTATTCGGTGGAATTGGGACTCAGGCTGCGCAATCCCAGAAAAAGATTGAGGGCGAGGTCACGCAAACCAGCATCGATGACACCGTGGATGCTTTATCCAGCGCTGAGAATGTCATCATTGTGGTTGGCTATGGCATGGCTGTTGCCAAGGCCCAGTATGCTCTTTCAGAGATTGTTCGCTTGCTGCGTGCCCGTGGTGTCAACGTTCGCTTCGCTATTCACCCTGTTGCTGGTCGGATGCCCGGTCAATGCAACGTGCTGCTTGCGGAAGCATCCGTGCCATATGATAGTAAGTTGTTGATAATCTTAGACTGAAACTCCATTCGCTAACAATCAATGCAGTTGTCTTGGAGATGGAGGAGATCAACGATGACTTCTCTGATACAGATGTCACCCTCGTTATTGGCGCCAATGACACCGTTAACCCCATTGCCATGGAGCCAGACTCGGCCATCTCCGGTATGCCTGTCCTCCATGCATGGAAGAGTAAGGAGGTTATAGTGATGAAGCGGGGGATGTCCAGCGGATATGGTATGATTGTTTCTCCGTCATTACCGATGAATCGGATTCATCTAACATGTTCCCCAGCGGATGTTCCAAACCCCATGTTCTTTATGCCCGGAACTCGGATGCTCTTTGGCGATGCTAAGACATCTTGCGATGGTATGTGTGGCTTGCATGGATATCTAAAAAACGGAAAATGGTGCTAATTCATTTCCAACAGCGATTAAAGCTGCCCTAGAGGCACGGAAGTAGGCTTCGGTTGGCTACATAGCTCTTTGACGACTGCATGTTACGTTTGAATTGCTCCTTGTCTACTGCGAATTATCATGCTAAGTAGGGTGTTTATTGCTTTCTAACAAGCTCAAGCTGGGTGAACTGCTCTTTTATCGATTTGCTCTTTAGTAGATCGAGTTTTTCAATGCACTTGCAATATTTGCTCAGGAAAAAAAGTACGCCCAATCCAGAAAATCTCCAATTGGGCATTCAATGAAGATCGTAGTGGAGTCCCCGGGCAAACCCCTAGCGGAGACTATAACAGTCCGTGACGACGATTGTGGGCTCTAGGCACTCAACCAGCTTCCCGATTGATCAGAGGTGGGTAAGACAAAATTTCCACATTCCATTATATACTACCCTATATTGTTCTATATTTGTGCAGCGAAACGAAATCTACATCCCTCGAGTAGAGGTTGGCAATGTTCGCCCTTGTCGCTGTAGCAAGGAACCTGCAAGCCCAACCCGATTCCAGCCAGTCCAGATCTATGTAGGAACCCATCAAGTATCCCTTGCCAAGTAAGACATGCAATTTTTCTAAAGATATGATATCACCTCCTTCTTTCCTGTTACTGCGATAGGAGAGCAGCATGCCGATCACTAAGTATAGATTTCCGAAGAGGCTCTTGACCCCACGAGTAAGCTTGAATTGAACACGATCACCATGCTCGTGGAGAAATAGATACAAATGTCAAATTGTGTCACACATAGATGTCTCGATAGCTAAGTAATTCAGATCTAATCGCATAACCCTAACCAGAGCAAAACAAATAGTTTTCCCAAAATCAGATACCAGAAGTAGACACTAGCCATCCCGAATGCGACTCGATGCTGCCCCTAGCCGAGCTATGGACCATCATACATTAGCTGCCCAGAAGCAAAGTGACAAGGGGAAGAGATGAAAAAAGAACCCAGTAACGCCCAGTCCCAAACGCCAGAATCAGAACCCGTAAACACAATCCGAGAGATTTCCGCCCAATAAAACATTACTCGGTCAATATATAAGTATCAAGAATAGAAAAAGAAATACACCACCTAAGCCTTACTTAGCATGCGACTTCTTCCCGAGCTTCAACCCCATAAACCCCCTCCCAGGCATAACACTATGATGCCGTAAATGACGACGCTGGCTTGACTTCCGCACGGGATGGGAGTCGGCACTGAGAGGTGGGTTTGGCTGTGTAGCAACGGAGACCTGCGAGGAAGAGGGATCATTGACGTCGACCGCGGAGCGCAGACTGCTCAGCGAATGCACGCTGGACGCGGAGTGTTTCCTTGTCATGCGACGCATCATCAGTGGTGAGCGGCTTGTGAGAATATTCGATACGCTGTAGGATGAGGGCATGCGCTTCGATGAGGTGGATGAGATTGAGGCCGGGCTGCAGACTCTGTTGAGGTCGCCGTAGTTCTTTGTCTTGAAAGCGTTTGGGTCCTCTGTTGAGAAGGGTGTTGGTGGACGAGAGGTGTATGTGTGGACGCTGTTTCCGCTTGTGCTGCGCATTGCGGGGGGTCGGCGGGCATGCAGGTTCAGTGGTGGCGGGGTTGGTTTTTGAGAGCCCTCGCAGCCTGGAGTTCGCGCTCCGGGTCGATACTCTTGGCCTGGGAGTGTGCGTGGTGGTGCTGGGAAATAGAGGTGAGGGATTTCGGAGACGCGGTTGATGGTTGCACTGGTTGCGAACTGTGTGACGTCTTCTAGGGCTGGGGTTTGGGTTGCGGCTGGCTTGGGTGCCTGCTTCATAGTGCTCCTTTTCTCAGATACTCGCGGCGACTTGGTTGCTGGGTTTGACGAGCGTGGCACTGTAAGTCGGTTGTCGGCCTTGACAAGCACCGAGCGGCTGCGGCTGCTTTCCCGGGATCGGGAATGGCTGGGACGAGATTTTGACTTTGATCGTGTCCCCAGAGCGTTGATCAAGATCAGTGTCGGACGAGTTCGGGGCTCCATCATAGTCACTCTCTTTGCAATCTGAATGTCGGCCTCCTCTACTGAAAAGAGCGATGATGGTGAAGTAGAGCGAGACCTCGAGGTGGCCGGCCGGGGTGGTTTGGGCCAAACGTATATCGATGGCTGTAAAAAGGTGCTGGATGCGAGTTGTGGTGGAGAGTCTGACGGTGGCAGTTCAAGAATCATCTGCTCCTCCGGGTCAAATACATACGTATCTTCGTCAAAGGTGGCACTGCTGTTTCTCTTGATAGTAGCCGAAGAGACGGGCCGGGGCCGTTTGACTATTGGCGGAGCGAGAATTTGTTCATCCTGGTCAGACTCAGGGTCCAGAGAGTTATCGTCGGCACTAAGATCTGAATCGAAGATTCCAGCTCGTGAGCCTACGGGCGAGGAAAGTAAATCCTGGGCGCCTGTATCAGATTCAGACACAGCCTCCTCGTCTGACTCGTAGCGATCTTGGAGGCTATGCCTGCTCAAGCGATGAAGGCTCAACGATGGAGTCGGTTCGTACATATTGCCAACAGTCATATGGTTGTAAATCGGTGGTTTAGAACAAAAGGAAGAGTGGGTGGTCCCAAGTATAGGTATTTCCCAGACAAAAGGTGATGGAAACCCTAAAAAGCCAGCCCTCTGATAATCCCAGGGTGCAGAGGGGATCCAAGGGTAAAATAGCTGTTATCCCAGTACAAAGCTGCAAAGGAGATCTGCGAATCCACCAGGGCGACAATACGACTCTTTAAGGAAGTGGAGAGTGGGACGAAGCAGGGCATCAGTCAAGCCAATATATGGAATCGAAGAAAAAGAGGCATCCAGGGACTTTTCCATGCCAGGTCCACACGTGTAGAAAAACAAAAATGGAAAGGTTTAATAAGCCCTGGAAGTACTATTCTTGCTAAGTTTGCTAAATCTGTTCTCAGCGCGTAGTGAACCTTGAGAGTCGTGATTGGTCTCACCCTTGCATGGGAGAACTAGGGCGGGTTGGCAAGCCAGGATCAGTTTCAGCAGGGGGATTAACGCGTTACACTGGTCGTGGGAAGGCTGAATTGAAACATCTCGTCAGAGAAATAAATAGATTTAAATTAAAAAACAAAACAAAAACATATAAGTATTTGGGCCCGATCTGATAGATCACCATGACCTATCGTTGGTCAAAGCCCTGCGCCCTAATACTCCGCGAGATCTGTTTCAGTTGATTGGACACGTATGCATACTGGGCCTGACTTGATGCACTGAGCCAGAAAGAGAGAAATAGAACACAAGATTGCCACAGCCCAAGGGAGACATGTACACATCTCTCCCTAAAAGCATCCCCAATCAAACTCCTAAAAGCATTCCCTATCAAGCTCAGGAAATATGTGAAGCGACGCGCCCATGTCAATCAAAGGATCCCTGGGAAAACAGGAGCCAGGAGAACTCGTATCATATCAATCCTCGTTGCCAAGTTAGCCGCCCGCGATCAGTGGAGTGTATGTTTATAGTTCAAACACGCTAGCACGAACTCCCTCTCTAGCTTCAAACTGGTTTTCCGAGTATTCAGCATCCAGGTACAGAGTACTCCGTATCAAAATATGGGATAGGTCGGTCCTTGCTAATATGTCAGGGGTCCTCAGTGCCAACCTTGACCCAGGGGGAGGCGTGAAGGTATATTCTTTAGGGGCCGCACCCACCTGTGTTTACACTAGGGAGTATGGAATAAAGGATTAGAATGTGGTAATTCTCGCCTGCGGATATCATCATATCATCTATCATATCGGTGATAATACTCTACCCTACACCATTGACAATCACCAGCAAGGATTATTTCCCAACTCTTTTGTGCAAACACTTTCTGCATAGCTCTTGACATTTGCTTCAACTTAATTATGTGGACCACTACTCCGTACCCCGTGGGTCTCAACGCTCGAGCTATTCGGCCATTACTCCGTCTGATCTAATACTTTACAATTCGGAGCCACGGGAAGTCCATGTGTCGATCCTCACTATCAACGACACGGCCACTACTGCAGACCATTGCTTTTGTTTCCGGTCATTTTCTCAAACGGTCTATGCCCCGGCAGCAAAGACGGGCCCTGCATGTCCAGTCTTGATACAGATCATACGCATGACATTCAAGTAAGGCGCCTTTTACGGGGTACGTTCGACGAGCATAGGCAGTGGGCCAATGATTCATTTTCTGGCCTTTAACTTTTCCTCTGGTCTCTATTGAATTGCGCCCAGCCCCATTATATGAATGGCTGGGCTTGGGATCGGGAGACGTGGTGACTGCACCGCTCTTTGAAGAAAGGTGGGAGGCTGGATATAAACTGCCTTGCTCCTCACCTTGCGGGTTCAAGTTACTTTTGAAGGGGGGAGGGCCCGTTGCTTTCTCTGGGAGGTGAACACCCTGCCCATTTCGTCATTCGGCACATTGATGATCGCCAGGTCATAACGTCCGGGGAATATGTGATATGTCGCTTTCGTGGCGTTGCTTGTGCCTTGTCGCACAGATCATGATGCGCACATACATATGCTCCACCTGACGGTTCTTGCATTTTTGACGGCAGGCTCCATTATGATGCTGCACATTTTGCTACAGAGGTCAGTTCACAAGCTTTGCGCTACCATATCAACAAGCTGGGTATTGGTTTGGCTTCCAATTGTTCGGGTGAAATGAATGGGTCTTAGTGATGGAAAGTCTCGAGAGACGGTCTGACTGTGTATTCTCTTATGATACAGACTGTGTGTGCATGAGAGATGCATCCTGGGCCCCGGATGCACGGCGTTGAAGGTGCTGACAGCATAGGCAATCATTCAAACTTCGGAAGCCAACATTCCTTGCTGGCCAGCCGCAAACCAGCCATACAGTATCTGATCTGCCTATACTCCCTTTTACGATCGAACAGACTATCATCTCAGAACGGGCAGAATTACATTCATTTTGATACTATCAACTAACGTCTATCAATGAATACTTTAATAACAATAATAAAAAGGTACAATCCAATGGCCTGCCACCAAACGGAGGGTGAGAAGGGAGCAAACATGAACAGAAGAAGAAAACATTATAAAATACAACCATGACGAGACCGTCGGGGTAATCCAACAGCTATCCCCGAAAGGTTTTTCGACAAAGGTTTCGGCGCATGCATTCCGACAAGTCCGAGGCACATATCCCATGCCCGGGGTAATGGACCTGGCATCATGAGGTGGTCATTCATTAAACAAATATAGGGACGCATCACCCAAGAGCAGCCACTCTGCCCTTCTGCTGTGTTTAGCCAGCATTGGATGAACTTCTAATTCAATGGCTCATCCGAGGATGATTCAACAGTCAAAGCCCGTGGGCAATGAAATTCTTCCAAAGCACACTCGGAAAACATTCAGATGCGAATGTGCTTCAGCTGGTTACCTAGGCCTTGCGAGAGCGGGTCACAGGGCCGTTGGAGCGGCCAGTGGACTTGGCGCCGCCGTTCTGGGTACCGGCAGGGGAAGGAAGTTCGAAGTTCTTCATGTCGATCAACGACTTTTGGCCAGTGTTGCGGCGGGGGCGTCCGGTCTTGGCGGCCTTGTTGTAGGTGGCAATGTAGAAGGAGATGAACAGGACCAGGTAGGAGCTGATGATGCCGATACCAGCCAAAGCAGCGAATTCCTCGCCGGCACACTTGCCCATATTGGGGAGCCACGGGAAGTAGGCAGATGTGAAGTAGGTGTACGAGGCAAAGTAGATGAAGCCTTGAAGAACTGTCAGCATTCCATTTTTTGCAGGTTTCCAGGGGCCTGGACCACTTACCGACGTCAATGACAAACTGGAGGATCTGCAGCATGGTGATGTACTTCTTCCACCAAATGCGAACGCCGCGAGCGCTCTGGAAGTAGTACCAGTACATGACAACATGGACTAGCAAGTTGATGGTGATGGGCACCCACTGCACGGCAGTCACGCCGATAAGCTGAGTGTAGCAGAGGAGGGCGGTGGCACCGTGGTGGTAGGTGTGGAGGAAGGTCAATGGCTTCTTCTTGAGGACCAGGAAGATGGTGTCAATGAACTCGATGTATTTGTTGATGTAGTTGAGCTGTCCGAGGTTGTGTAAGTTTCTCGTCTATTTGTCCAGGCGCTTCACGACTTACGTAGTACAGAACGATCAGTGGGCGAGTCCAGCCACCGTCCTGATCGCAGATAGTGTAGAAGACTCCGTGTCTCCAGAGAGTGGGGAGAAGCTGCTCAATGAACAAGACCAGTAGGATGCCGCTAACGGTGGTCAAAAGGAGGTTGTGGATCATGAACAAGGTGTTAAGCTTGAACGCAGGCAACTTCTTCATGACCTCACGGCCACCGAAAATGATGGTGTAGTAGGTGATAAGCATTATAGTAGTCTCCTTCAAGGTGGACAGAGGGGTCACACCCTCAGTGAAGTTGAATTCGCTGGCGGGATACCCCATAACCTTCTCGTAGGCCTGGTCGAAGAGGGGCCACAAGTGCACACCAAAGGGTCGATCGATGGTCGGGACCGAGACATATTTGAGGATTTCGGATGCCATTGTGACAGGATTGGATTCTTTCAACCAAATTCGAGGTGAAATTGGAAATGGCGATAGCCCTGGGAAGGCAAGCTGTTCTTTTCTTGATGGGCAGTAATGAGGCTGCAGTAAACCGCCAAACACCGGAAAAGCCAAACCGAGTAAAGGAAAGGAACGAAAGGAAGGAGATCTAAAGAAATGAAAGTGAAAAAGGGGGGAGGAAAGAAAGGGAAAAGCTGGAGAAATGAGAGAACAATTACTTTTTGCGTCCGGCGCGTCCGTTGAGGACCCAAAGGGGTTTAGCGTTTTATTAAAAGGGGAAGATCAAGTTCTGATCGCATCTACTCGAGTTATCCCAACGATGAAACACCGGGCTCTTAAAACCATGGGATCTTTGGATCTTTTATGATTCTTTGCTTCTATGATGATATACACATGTCACAATATAAGTTGTGTTATTGAATGCCAGGTTGTGCTCGGCGCGAAGCTATCACATGCTAGTGTAGTCGAATGGCCGTAGCGTATTACACAAAGAAATAATCGATACATAAAATTGCCGAGGACTATTCCAACCCAGTTATACGAAGTATATCATCAGCAATTGACTATCCTTTGCTCTTGATGGCCAATTCATTGGATTTTAGTTCCTTAAGTGTTGGAATGGAAATCTATCGGGTCATTTCCTAGGGTTCCAACTGCAGCCATTGGAGGACGTAATTGGCATAGCTTTGTCAATGTCCATCGCTGCGTACAAAGGTCTGGAAGTTTGTACACTATTTATGCCAGTTTGCGTCAATGCCCACAGTATACACATAGCTATGGATAGGAAGAAACATGCAGGTCAATATGAATCTTCTTCAATGTCAATTTCCCCTATTGGGGTACAAAAGTAACAGTATATCTATCTAACCCAAATTTATTGAGTTCTTGCCAACTATACGTATAACTTTGCCATTACCTCGATTCCAACCCTCGTCCAAGATCCAAGCTCGGAAGCTGCCACTCATATATCGAGTCAATTTCTCTGGTTCATGCTAGCCTTTACACTTATATAGTGATAGGCTTACAACCGTTGGGGCGGCATGGGTCAATTGCTCGAATAATCCTTGGAGCTAGTTGCTTTCGCAGAAATTGGATTCAAAATATATATACTTAGACATCCCACTATCACCATAGTTTCTCTTTTGAATCCCAGGATCACTTCTGAAATGTTTGACCTTATCATATAAAATGGATAGATAGAGACATAGCAAATCCAAGAACAATTTAAATGAACTCAACTGTGATGACCTGAAGACTCGGCCAATGACACGCATCTTGAAATGACAACCCTTCAGCCAATCACCGGCCGCCTTTAGAGATCAAGACAGCTGGAAACGGGGCCAATCGGATGATGACTCAGCACCCGTGTAGCTGCCTCAGGCGTCAACACCACACCACCCGCAAAATCCTAGAGGCACTTCTCACCTCCCCTTCCCGCCTCCATCCACACCTCTCCCCTCACCATTGTTACTGTCCGGTCCACCGTGGTCCCCTTCCGAAAATGTCGTCTCTATCTATCTTCCGCGTGGCGACCCGCGCCGTTCGCCCTACCGGCTTCTTTAGAGCTCCCCAATTGACCCGGTCCCGGATGCAGTCCCCGGTCACTCTGGCTGCCGCCCGCGCCCACAACTTCGGTACCACCTCCATGCTCCGCTCCGGCCACGAGGATGAGACATACGAAGAGTTCTCTGCCAGGTACGCCCCCAATCGCAAGCCATTGAGGCCGAAGAAGTGGAATAAAAGCGCCTTGCATCTCCACGTTAGGCGCTTCCCGGAACGGACATCGGCAATCATCTAGACATGGTAGGGACGTGTTGTACTGACAAGGTATCCCAATGGCAGATTCGAGAAGGAATTTGATGGCGTGCAGGACGTTTTCGAGCTTCAGGTATGACTTATCTCGACTTCACCCGAGGCATATTGATCGCCATGCGATACATGGCATCAGCCACACCCGTCACTCAACATGCGGCTCCTATATCCGCAGCAATTCGACAAATGACTAATGCATATCTTTGCAAACAGCGCAACCTGAACAACTGCTTCGCTTACGATCTCGTTCCCTCCGTCGAGGTCCTCACTGCCGCCCTGAAGGCCGCTCGCCGTGTCAACGACTTCCCTACCGCTGTCCGTGTCTTCGAGGGTATGTCTTCATAACACCCGTCTTGAATCATTAGTATCGTTCGTCGTTGATCCCAAGCTAACGTCACTTTGTGATTAGGTGTCAAGGCCAAGGTCGAGAACGCCGACCAGTACAAGCAATATCTCGAGGCTCTTGAGGGTCTGCGCGTCGAGCTGGGTGTCGCTCTCCGGGAGGAGCTCTACCCCCAGGAGGCGTAAATTACCATCAGCAATTCCACTTTTACGTCAATTTTCTCTTAAACACACAGTACCCCCTCGCACGTTGTTTATCCAGCACTGTTTGACTGGCTGAGGATTAGGTCCGGTAGAAGAGAAAACTGTATACATACTTTAGAGATCTCTTGTGTTGTTAGTGCTGCTGTTGTCTGGAAAAAGGTCCTCTGTGCCTTACTTGGTTGGTGCTTAATCTATCTTGATTCCATCTTGTTCAGTCATCCTGCATTGTTGTATTATCAACCGCTCAAGCCCTCAGTCCTTGATCCTCAAACCTCATTCCTCAATTATCAATCTCCCTACACTTATATTATGGAGAATGTTGAATCCTTATAATGACAGTAGCTTAGGCTGGTATTAGTCTCAATTTTCGTTCTTAAGTCGCCAATATATCACAAAAAATGCCAACAGCGACAAATTGGCCAAGAGGCGCCAGACCATAAACAAACAGAGCCTTCAACAGTGACCATGCGCAATCGATATAAGTACAATGTAGACAAGGCCCCGTAGCTCTCCAAGGGACAGTAACACAGCCGAAAACCTATTTGTAACAAGCAATTAAACAAAGGAGGAAAAAGGGAACACGAAATCATCAATACACACAGGTATGTGTCCGCTCAAACGCCGGGTACCGAGCCACTGATTTCAGTAATATAGTCATAGGGGTATGCAAGGTGATGGAAAGAATCAAGTCATGAAGCATTCGCCAGAATGACAAGAGACGAGAGAACTTATCAAACGGGACACGTGATAACTAGTGTGTTCCAACATACTTGAAGTAAGTAGGTCGGCAATCCTCCTTGGAAAGGAAGTCAGCGCCTTGGTAGAACTGGCCAGCTTTGCAGCCGGAGCATTTGGGAGAATTGGGGCAATTGAGATACGGAATGTGGTTGTACCCGATATCACGGAACCTAATGAAGAGATATGTGAGTGAGGGCTATCTAAAGGAGGGAGAGAGAGAGAGAGTGTGTGTGTGTGTGACCTACCAGTGGACGTTGGCGGCATCGGCAAAAAGACCAATGCCGAGGGAGTGGACAGGAGCATCACCCCAGCGTTCGTAGAAGAATCCACCTGCACGATCCAGGTGCTGGAAGTATGCCTCGTACTTTTCGCCGCGGAAGAAGTCGAGATCTCCAATTTCGAAGTTGGACCAAAAGTGGCAGGTAGAGTATCCATTGGCGCCCTTGGTGTGCTCGGGACGAGCCACGTCATCTGTAATCCATTCCCACATGTTGTTGTCGCTGAGGTACGACGGGTTGGCGGCGAGGAATCGTTGAGTCTCGGGCCAAAGGGACGGAATACTCTGTGGGGCGTCGTAGAGGTTGATGGTGAAGCCATAGGTCTTATTGCCATCCTCCATGTATCGGAACACATCGTAGTCGACGTCGCAGAAGAACTTGACATTGGGCTCGATACGCCAGTAGTAGCGGTAGCCTGCGAGAGCAGGGTGCTTATAGAACATGCCGCTGTTCCAGCGACACATCTGGTGGTAGGAGACCTTGGAGCTGTACTGGATGTCTTGTTCTTCCAACAGCTTTGCGGATTCGTGGAAGAGGTCCATATTGATCCAGCTTGGGACTTCCCAGTGTTCTTTGGGCACAAGCTCTGCCTCCGAAGTTAGCTGTGGTTCCTCTCGTTTTAACCGGACTGCAATCCGTACCGTATTGGCACTTGGCCTTGGTCATTGCCTGAGTCTTCTGCTTGAACTCCTCGGTGAAGGGCACATCGTTGAAAAAGATATATGGATAGTTGAACTTGCTGTTCCACGTTCTCTCTAGGTCACCCATTGTCGAGAGCAGCTGATCCAGTTCCTCGTTGCGAACAAGGGTAATGAGCGCAGCATTCGTGCGGGCCGATTGTTCGCTATTGGGGGAGTAATCGTGTTCGTCGGCTCGCCATAGAGTCCCTGCAGGCTCTCCGGTAGCTAAAAAGCCAGTTAGTTACCATGTCACTTATATTGCGGTGCTTGTACTAAGAGGCGTTACAAGGCACCGAGGTCACGCACGATCTAAAAGAGGATCCTTTTTCATGCCATGAGCCAACTTAGACCCCGGCTCAGAGGAACTCTGGTGTAATTGGAAGACAAGGAACAGACAGAGAAGGATGCATGCTGCACCTAGCATGCGAATCGGTCGCGCAATAGCCATGATGGTGGTATTTGTTTAAAGGGGGGAGATGCTCGGAGAGAGAGAGGCGTGGATTAAGAGTGGCCATCATTCCTTATCCGGACTAGCGTCATCCAAGCAAACATCTGGATCTCTCTTCACTTTATGCTTCGTCACTTGATGACGTCCGGAGACATCTCGATGTGATTTAATTTTGATCCTGGACCCAAACTTATGTCTGAAAATGGCTCTCGCGGCCGATCTAAGTACGCTTGCCGATGCCTTGATCACTTCCGTTGCTAAGATACCACCGGACCAGAAGGTAATATATTGAATTACCATCAGTCTCATATCACTGCGCATGGCGTACTAATATCTATGTAGGGATCTGCGCGTGCTCAAAGTCTGAAGCGTCGCGTACAAGGGGTACTCCGAACTGGCTCTCATACGCGCACCGACCAGTTCGCAGTCGCCAAGCAACTCGAGGGACTACAGGAAAAGTTTCAAATCTTGAATAGAGATGAACTTGCCGAGGCCCTTCGTATACGCGTTGCGGAACTGGAGAGCAATCGGAACTCCTGGCTCCCAGAGACCCTGAGTCTCTTACTGCAACTCTCAGATCGCCCGGCTCTTTTTTCTACTGTCAAAAGTCCAGCGGAAGGGACCAAGGCACCAGAACCAAAAGAGAAATTTTCTTGGTCGGATCTATTCGCGGATGGGACGGCCTTCAGCGACGAAGAAATATGGGAACAGGTAGACTTTGCCGGGGACTCGTCAGATGATGACTTTTCATCCGTCGCCAGTGAGGTATCTATCCCAAAGCATAGGCCCCAATCTGCCACAACGGTGGACGATGGTTACACTATCCCAGAGGAATTTTTTGTCCCAATAGACAATGGGAATCAAGTTGTCTCTCTAGAAAAGGCTCAATTTTGGAGAGCGGAGAATTACCCTTCGTTGCCTGAAGGAGGTGCCTCATCCACCTCGCGACTGATCACAGAAACTCAACTCGCCAGAGAGACTATCTTCATGCTTCAGGGCCTTCCAACGTCCATTTATGTTCATTTAGGCGATGATTTTGGAGTGGATCGAAGATACATGCTGGCACATTCATCTAGGGAATCCCTGGCCTCTCTTTTGCAGTGTTTCAGCGAGATAGGCACCAAACTCAACAATGTGCGGTCTTTCACCAAGCTCCCACAAACGACTCCGTACATGCAAACTTTCTGTCGGGGCCTAGAAGAACGTCTTCTTGCATTTGATAAACTCTTATCTCAAGTCCAGTGCAAATACCTTTCCGCCGGGTCAACTATCAGTCTCATCCAGCTTCTTGTTGACGTTCGTCAACACTCTCATGAACTAGCATTGCTCGCAGAAATGATCGCTAAGCTAGGCAAAAACTCGACCGATCAGCCATTGTGCTGCCTTGATTTGTTATACAATTTAGTATGCATGTTGGAAGCCCTTGGCGACGAAATTTCGTCTCAGTACCTGCCGGAGCTATTCTTTATGTGCTTCAGAACGTATACAAGCTCAATTCGACTCTGGATGGAAACAGGTCAGGTCGATGCTTCTGACAGCACTTTCTTTGTGCGAGCTAACCCTGAGAACGGGGATCTACGAACTCTTTGGCATGACTGGTTTGTGTTGGATACAGGTCACGCGCATCAGCGAATCCCTCAGTTTCTCGAAGCTGGTGTCCAGAAAGTTTTCACGGCGGGGAAAAGCATGGTATTTCTGCGCCATCTGAATGCGCCACCAAACATTGAGGCCATGAAATTTGAGGAATTCTCTTCCCAGGACTCATCAGTATTACTACCCTTCCCCGCGTTAGTAGAGTCTGCTTTTGAAAAGCTTGTGGATGTGGATCATTCACTCAGCGCTAGCCTATTGCGAACGGAACTCGACCAACAATGCGGATTATGGAAATCCCTTGATGCTCTCCACCATGTCTATCTCGCCAAAGACATGAGCGCTGTCAGCATGATTGACGCCAAAATCTTTGAGCTGATCGATCGGGGTCGGTCTTGGGATGACAGGTTCCTGCTCACTGAGATATCAAGGACGGCCTTCAATTCAATATCTGTCATTGACACATCTAGACTGCTCGTGCGATCAGCTAGTACTCCATCGCAGGTTTCTCAAAACAATCATCGAACCGTGGGGATTCTGGAAGCAATCTCAATTGATTATTGCCTGCCGTGGCCTATTGCGAACATAATCACCGAGGAAGCAATACACACTTACCAACGGATCTCGACCTTTCTGATGCAAATCAGGCGCGCTAAATATGCTATTGTGAGACAGCGTATTCGCAACGCCCGCATCACCACACCTGACGACAATGCCACCTTGGTACACACTCTACACCATAATATGCTCTGGGTCCTTGATTTTATCTACGGCCATTTGACTTATCTTGTGATCTCCACATCAATCCAATCTCTACACAAGGATTTATCTGGCGCACAAGATGTCGACGCTATGATAGCTGCCCACCAATCCTATATGTCCTCTTTGGAAGCCCAGTGCCTCCTCTCTGAAGGTTCATCACGCGTTCATGATGCAATAATCAATCTCCTAGATTTGTGTGTTCATTACGCAGATCTACAAGCCGCACACTTGCTCGGCGACGAGGACCAACACCTGGGGAATTCGGAGTTACCACACACAAAGAGAGACTCTAAAGACGAGTTCGACTCTGATGATGATGAGGACTACGATGATCTGAACCACGAAAACACACTCACAGTCTCATTCCGTGACTCGACCTACAAGCAGCAAATGAAAACGGTCAATAATCACTTCAGCCATCTGACCACCGTCGTCACAGATGGACTGAGAACTTTAGCTCAGGCAGATGGCCTTGAAAGTTGGAATATCCTTGCCGACAGGCTGGAATGGAGACGAAATTGGCGTAGGCTGTGATGCATGACACAAATACCCTTGTTTTGGTTCCAGCGGGAGTTGGCGTTACATAGCTTAAACATTGACACTCAGGCAGTGGAAGATGCCATGCCTTTTTTTTTACTGACGACATACGTGAATTTCGGTCCCAAAGTAACGTAGTGCTGAACCTGTGTACTATTCAATTTGGAAACTCGACCCGTTGACCAACCCTTTTTGATCCGTGGCCGTCGACATGCTGATCACCCCTATGGAATTGGAGACTCAGAGCCCGGATAAAAAGGAATATAGAAACATGTCCAGGTGTAGGATGGCACAGTAACATGGGATTGAGTCAGTCATGGGCTGGAAGGGTGATTTAAAGATTCTCTGATGGATCGCTTGTAAATGGCATCTAGACTTATCTGATCTTTCGGTACAGAAGAATTTCAGCGTTTCCCACATATAGCTGCTGATCGACGTTCAAATTATATATTTGTAGCCCTTTCCTGTCCTAAACTTTTCTAGTATTCTGCCATTGCCGGGCAATCAGAAACCGATTAACCAAAGATCAAAAGCCAAACAGGATGCTATAAGGAATGTTCCAAGGTTGATATATGAAACCATACTTACCTCAGTGTCTAGATTCCATTCCAATAATCCTATATAGGCTTCTTTATTCGTTTGTTCAGAGGCTAATGGGTGAATTCAATTCTGGATATACTATAAATTTCCTATATTATAGGGTTTCAGGGGCCCAAAAAACCTCATTGTTGTGGTGATTTTTTTGTACCGAGTATTATGTTGTACCGAGAGGATTCCCCGGGCCGATGTTCCTGTTGACTCAGTTCTCCCCCAGGCCCCACTCTCCGGAGCAAAGCCCTCCATTCAATCCATTCTCCTTTCAGTACTGTCAAATAATATGAGAGATCCTAGGAGTTTCAGTATCAATTGACCAGTTCTCTCAGCAAGATAGATGAAGATAGACGAAGGGATAGATGATTATCTAAGAAAGTGAAACCGAAGAAATTTGTTGTCAAACTTTAAATCTGCTATCGGCACATGATCCAGTAAGATAAGCCGCAATTGGCTTAGGGCGGGGGAAACTCATTTCTCCTACAAAAAAAAGAGCGATAGAGTCATCGGCCTCTTCTAGCGATCTTCTCAAGTCTACTTGAGAGAGGCACTCAAGCCACTCAATTCTCGATACTAGGAGAATCACTTCTCGTCTCCTGTGTCATACTTGACTAATTGGGATAACACCCAATTTGCTTCACGATGACTTCTACCGATACTTATCTGGCCATCCCAGGCTCCGTTGCCTTCTCCCGCTCTCGAGGTCATGCTATCGCTACCAGCATCGGTGTCCAGGACGTCCGGGCCCAGTGGATTCACTATGTGCATACTACCCAACCCCTGGACAACCCCCAGCGTGCGGTCCTCGAGCAATTGCTTCAGTACGGTGATATCACAGACATCCCTCCTACCTTTGAGTCCACCGATGGTCAATTCGATACATTCTACATTTTCCCACGGACCGGAACGGTCTCACCATGGAGCTCCCAGGCAACGGGTATTTCGCACGTCTGTGGCCTGCAGAAGTACGTCAAGCGGATCGAGCGGGGTATGAAGATTTCGTGTCTTCGTAACGGTGCGGAGGACTACAAGCCAGAGTACATGGACATCCTTCATGATCGTATGACTCAGATCATCAGCAAGGATGAGCCCGAGTTGAGCCTCATGTTCTCCGAGCACGCTCCCCAACCCCTCAAGACCATTTCCCTCCAGGGCGGTACCAAGTCCCCCACGGAGATCCTCCAGGAGGCAAATACGGAGCTCGGCTTGGCCCTTGATGATACAGAAATTGATTACCTGGCTGAGGCGTATGGTCCGAATGGCGCAATTGCCCGTGACCCCACTGATGTCGAGCTCTTCATGTTCGCTCAGGTCAACTCGGAGCACTGCCGACACAAGCAGTTCAATGCCTCCTGGGTGATTGATGGCAAGCCCATGCCAAACAGTCTGTTTGCCATGATCCGCAATACACACAAAAAGCACCCTGAGCACACCATTAGTGCCTACAGCGACAATGCTGCCGTGCTGGAGGGCCCCGAGGCCGCTTTCTGGGCCCCCGATCCAACCACCGGACAGTGGATGCACACTAAGGAAGTTGTGCATTTCCTGGCCAAGGTTGAAACCCATAACCACCCGACTGCCGTTTCACCTTACCCTGGTGCGGCTACTGGATCCGGCGGAGAGATCCGTGACGAGGGCGCCGTTGGTCGTGGCTCGCGCCCCAAGGCCGGTCTCTCCGGCTACTGTGTGTCAGACCTTTTGATTCCTGACTTGAGACAGCCATGGGAGCTCGATGTCGGCAAGCCGAACCACATTGCCAGTAGTTTGGATATCATGTTGGAGGCACCCATTGGTAGCGCTGCTTTCAACAACGAGTTTGGCCGTCCCTGCATTGGTGGATACTTCCGCACTCTGCTCACCGAGATTGATGTGGGCAACGGTGAAAAGGAAGTGCGAGGATACCACAAGCCCATCATGATCGCTGGCGGTGTGGGAACCGTTCGCCCCCAACACGCTATCAAGCACCCAGATGTTGTCAAGCCCGGTGCTTTCCTTGTGGTGCTTGGCGGGCCTGCTATGCTGATTGGTCTGGGAGGAGGTGCTGCCTCTAGTATCGCTTCTGGCGAGGGATCCGCTGAGCTCGACTTTGCTAGTGTCCAGAGAGGCAATGCCGAAGTTCAACGGAGAGCCCAAGAGGTTATCAATGCCTGTGTGGCCATGGGAGACAACAACCCCATCAAGTTCATCCACGATGTTGGTGCCGGTGGCTTGTCCAACGCCCTCCCTGAGCTGATTCATGACTCAGGTTTGGGAGCTACGTTTGAGCTTCGTGAAATCGATAACACCGACCGTGGCATGAGCCCCATGCAGATTTGGTGCTGTGAAGCCCAAGAGCGGTACGTCATGGCCGTTGGCGAGGAGAGCATGAACAAATTCACTAGTATCGCTCAGCGTGAGCGCTGTGGCTTCTCCGTTGTCGGTCGTGGCGGCGGTTCGTCTGAGGAGGAAAAGAGACTCATTCTCCTTGACCGAGAGTCGAAGGAGTACCCGGCTCCCATTGACCTTCCTTTGTCTGTGCTTTTCGGAAAGACTCCTCGCATGACCCGAACTGTGGATTCGCGCAAGCTGAAGCTGCCCGCTGTGGATTCTAGCCTCAGCAAGTATCTTCCCTCTCTCACCTCGAAGACTGAGATTGTTGGTGAGGCAGTCAAGAGAGTACTGTCTCTGCCTGCAGTCGGCTCCAAGTCTTTCTTGATCACCATCGGCGACCGCACTGTCGGTGGCCTAACGGCCCGTGACCAGATGGTTGGCAAGTGGCAAACACCCGTCTCCGATGTATCGGTTACTGCCACCTCCTTGGCCCAGGGTATCAAGACCGGTGAAGCCTTCGCGATGGGTGAGAAGCCTACTCTGGCTCTCATCTCCTCGGCCTCGTCTGCTCGTATGGCTGTTGCTGAGTCGCTCATGAATCTGGCTGCTTCCGATCTTGTGGATCGTCTCAGCCACGTGAAGCTGTCTGCCAACTGGATGTCCGCCGGTAGCCACCCTGGCGAGGGCGCTGCCATCTACGAAGCCGTGGAGGCTGTCGGTCTGGACCTATGCCCTAAGCTTGGCATCAGCATTCCCGTCGGCAAGGACTCAATGTCTATGAAAATGAAGTGGAAGGATGAGGCCTCGAATGAGGCCAAGGAGGTTACTGCTCCCATGTCCTGTGTCATCTCTGCCTTTGCACCGGTTGGCGACTTCACCAAGACCTGGACCCCCGCTCTTCACAGATTCGAAGAAGTCGGGGAGACTGTTCTCATGTTTGTTGACCTTTCGTTCGGTCGCAAAACGCTTGGTGGATCGGCCCTTGCCCAGGTCTTCAACGAAGTCGGTTCCGAGTGCCCCGACATTCGCGACGTCGATCTCTTCCGGGACTTCTTCGACGCTACACAACAACTTCAGGAAGCCGGAATTGTTTTGGCTTACCACGATCGCTCTGACGGTGGTCTTCTAACTACTCTTGTTGAAATGATGTTCGCCGGTCGCTGCGGCGTTGAGATCATGCTTGATAACATCTGTTCCTCTTTCAACACCAAGGATGTCATTGAATGCCTCTTCACCGAAGAGCTTGGTGCCGTCTTCCAGGTCCGCAAGGAGCACGAGATCCAATTCCGCTCAGCCTTCGCCACTTGCGGTCCTCCTCCAGGTCTGATCCACAAGATTGGACGTGTCTCTCAACAGCCCAAGCAGGACCTAGCGATTTACCACAAGGCCTCTTTGATTTACCGGAACACTCGTTCCAGCCTCCAGCAGATCTGGGCCAAGACCTCCTACCACATGCAGAAGATCCGTGATAACGCAGACTGCGCGGAGCAGGAGTATGCCAACATCGTTGACGATGCCAACCCCGGTCTCTCCTGGAACCCTACCTTCGACCCCAAAGACAAAGGCTTGCCCATGATGACTAGCCTTTCCCAATACTCCCCCTTCGCCAACAAGCCTCGCGTTGCCATTCTTCGTGAGCAAGGTGTCAACAGTCAAGCTGAGATGGCCTTTGCCTTCAACACCGCCGGTTTCTCCGCCGTCGATGTCCACATGACCGACATTCTTTCCGGGCGTGTGTCTCTCTCCAGCTTCGCCGGTCTCGCCGCCTGCGGTGGTTTCTCGTACGGTGACGTATTGGGTGCCGGTCAGGGCTGGGCCAAGTCCGTTCTGCTGCACGAGAACACCCGCAAGGAGTTCCAGGACTTCTTCGAGCGCCCGGACACCTTCGCCCTGGGAGTCTGCAACGGTTGTCAGTTCCTGTCTCGTATCAAGGATCTGATCCCCGGTGCGGGTTACTGGCCCAGCTTCGAGCGCAACACCAGCGAGCAGTACGAAGGCCGTGTCTGCATGGCCCGCATCTCCGACCCCGACCCATCCCGCCCCAGCGTCTTCTTCCACGGCATGGATGGCACTTCGCTCCCTATTGCCGTTGCTCACGGCGAGGGTCGCGCCTCCTTCGCCGGATCCCAGGGCATTTCGGCTTCCGACTTCGTTCGCGAGGGTCTTGCCCCTGTCCGATTCGTCGACAATGCCACCCTTAAGCCCACCATGAAGTACCCCTTCAATCCTAACGGCAGTCCCGAGGGTATTGCTGGTGTGCGCAGTCCCGACGGCCGTGTTCTTGCCATCATGCCTCATCCTGAGCGTACTGTCATGAACGGTATCGCCAGTTGGTTGCCTCCGAACGCCCAGTCCTGGGGCGATATTGGCCCTTGGGGACGGGTCTTCTACAGTGCTAGACGGTGGGTCGGTTAGAATGTCTAGTTCTTATTTAAGCTTTTTTTAACTCGTTTTCCTTTTTTTTTTTTCCTTCTGGGTTTCTGTCCATATATTTTCTGTTGGAGTTGGAAAAAAAATAACCAGAATGATATTTCAAATCAGTATATATCAAAATGATCAATAATTTTCCCATACCAATCTACAATCTTGTACTTGTATGACTTAGCACGTGAAGATATCCCAAGCTTTCTCTAATATGAAGACCGATGAGTACCCAGTTACCGCTCTGCTCACCCCAATAAGTTTTCAGACACCTTCAGCCACTGTGGTTACAACGCGCAAATTCCGGCCATTGGGTAACGACAGAGAAGTTGAGAAAAATAAATTCACCTCATTTGTTCTTCGCCCTGGATCTAGTGATCTCCTGCAGTATCAAAGCTCCTTATAGTCCATATGAGTACCAGAAGACAAGTTGAGAAAGATCCATTTGTTCCCCAAGTTCCAAGTTATTGCGAGCTAGATGGTGGTCAAGCCAGAACTTGGCTTCTGAATATCTTACCTTCCGCATTTGAGGCTAGCAACATGAAAGGATTGAAGCTATTCCATATTCCATAGTAGAGTGGCGAGTGGCAAGTGGCCAGAAAGGATAGATTGTGGACAAATTAATGTTATTGGTGGACTTCCAAGGAAGGTCTGTCAGGATCTAGAACGAGATAGAAAATGCTGGGGTGAGGTGAACCGCAAAGCTTTAATTTTCGGTTTCCCCAATCAGGAGATCCACTCAAATTGCCTTATTTGGTAATACGGTCCGAACTATAGAAAATGTGGAAACTGGGAAAAAAAAAGGGGGGGAAAAAGAAGGGGGAAAAAAAGAAGGGGAAAAGAGCAGTGTTTGACCCACTGCGGCATAGAAATTGTAGATTGTGTCTGAAATGGATAAATCGTGCTGTAAATATTCCCTAGTCTAGAGTTTGATGCCATATCCGAGGCTCTACGGCAGTAGATACTATTGAACACACACGCCTTTCACATGTGACGTCTAATCTAACCTTCAATGAACAGCACGACTCTCATCATAATTCGGCCTCTAGATACTCTGTGCTGCTTATCTCTTTGATTGAGCTTCTTATGGGTGGTGGTCACAATTAGACCCGCTTCCGAGTGGTGCCAAGAATGCCAAGAATGCCAAGCTGGAAGTCGGGACAGAAGCTTGAACATAGGGAAAAAAAGAGGTCGTTAGGCTACGACGCACTCGGCTGCTCTGAGCCTGACCCGCTTTGCATGATGCCATTCGGGTAATGCATTTGGACAAGGCACAAAAGAAAAAAAAAAAGGTCAGGCTTCGATGTACTCAGCTGCTCTTCAGGGGCTCATCAATGGTATACTTGATCGACATATAAATATTGGTATAAAATCGCGCATTCTCTAGTGTAAAAGTAGTGCTTAAGAGAAATCCGGCCTCAGCAATGTCTCATTAGACCCTCACACCCCTTGGATTCACCGAAAAAAAAAAAAAAACAGTGTGCTCAAAGCTTTCTTCCTGAAAGGAGACACCGAAGATCAAGATGGCGATTAGAGTCAATGCTGTCATCGTAGCATATTGCCTAATTGGGCTAGCGCCACATTTCCATATCAGGCAAGTCATCTGGGGAGTCGATATCAGAAATTCCGCTGGTCGAAATGTATGGATGCGCTTGAACACATGAATGGTTCTCATTCTTTTACATTTTCGCTATGATCCACTCGACGAAAACTCGGCACCAAGATATTTCGGAGCTCAGATATATAAGAACAACTCCACCCCGGGGTTCCATCTATCCTTGTATGATCACATCTTGCCACTACACCTCATACTATAATCACCACATTCTACATCTGTTAATACAACAATCCCTCCTTTTTGTCTGGGTATATTCCCTTTCACTCTGATATCCTTCAAAATGGAGACTCCTCGATCAGATCATACCCACACAAATGCGACAAGCCCGACAGCCTCTACCGGGTCTGACGACCGCAACCATGCACAAGTACAACAAAATGATTACCTTGACCTACCAACCCGCCAGGTCACTGCACAAGTATATCCCGATGACTACCTCGACCTACCAGTCCGCGAAGTCACTGATGGCGCCGATCTACGTGAATACATTGCCGAGACGAGGGAGGGTGAAATCATCAAGCCGGTCAAGTCCAATGTCACTGGTAAAATGGAAGATTGGAAGATGGTGACTTTCACCATCGACGACCCTGAGAATCCCAAGAACTGGTCCAAGGCATATAAGTGGTACTGCACCATGGTTGTCGCCTTCACTTGCTTCGTCGTCGCCTTCTGCAGTAGTGTCATCACAGCCGACATTGAGGGACCCATGGAGGATTTCCATGTCGGTCGTGAAGTCAGCTTGCTTGTTGTCACCGTTTTCGTTATTGGATTCGGTGTTGGACCCATGGTTTTTGCTCCGATGTCAGAGATCTTCGGACGTCGGCCTGTCTACGCTCTGACCCTTGCAATCGCTGTCGTCTTTGTGATCCCATGTGCCGTCTCCAAGAACATTGGAACTCTCATCGTCTGCCGTTTGATTGACGGAATCGCTTTCAGTGCTCCCATGACTTTAGTCGGTGGTACTCTGGCTGATTTGTGGAAGAGCGAGGAGCGAGGAGTTCCAATGGCAGCATTCAGTGCTGCTCCCTTCATTGGTCCCGCCATCGGCCCACTTGCTGGTGGCTTCCTGGCTGACAACTGTGGCTGGCGCTGGCTTTACTGGCTTCAGCTTATTCTGGCCTTTGTCGCCTGGGTTATGATCACCTTCACTGTCCCTGAGACATTCGCACCAATCTTACTGAAGAAGCGAGCCAAGAAACTTCGCAAGTCCCAGGATGACCCGAAGTATACCACCGAGGTCGAGCTCGATTCTCGTCCCATGGGCGAGAAGCTGCGAATTTTCCTCTTCCGCCCCTTCCAGCTTCTGTTCCTCGAGCCCATCGTCTTGTTCATCTCTCTCTACATGTCTGTCATTTATGGCTTGCTGTACATGTTCTTCGTTGCCTACCCGATCGTTTACCAGGGCGGCAAAGGATGGAGCGCGTCTAACACCGGTCTCATGTTCATTCCCCTGGCCATCGGTGTTGTTCTGAGCGCATGCTGTGCTCCTTTCGTCAACAAGCACTACCTCAAGGTCTCTTTGGCATGTGGCGGCAAGCCCCCAGCCGAGAAGCGTCTGATTCCCATGATGTGGGCTTGCTGGTGCATTCCTTCCGGTCTCTTTGTCTTCGCCTGGACTTCCTACCCCCGCATTCACTGGATGGGACCTGCTATGGGAGGCTTCCTTATCGGATTCGGCATTATTCTGCTCTACAACTCTGCCAACAACTACCTTGTTGATACCTACCAGCACCAAGCAGCATCTGCTCTCGCAGCCAAGACCTTCATTCGTTCATTCTGGGGTGCCTCCACCGTCCTTTTCACAGAGCAAATGTACGAACGTTTGGGCGACCAGTGGGCCAGTTCACTTCTTGCATTCATCGGTCTGGCTTGCTGCGCTATTCCCTATGTGTTCTACTTCAAGGGAGAGTCAATTCGTCGTTTCTCGAGATTCGCCTTCCATGACGATGAGGAGAAGCCTCCTGTCAAGGCATAAATTGTTTAAACTTGATCTGGGGAATAAATTTAGAAGAGGGGGATAATTTTCTGGGGTTGTGCAGCATCGTGGAATGATTTGCTGGTATGACTGACGTGGAAAAAAGCTTGGATGACATTTACACGGCGTCTTTGATATCCATTACCTATATATAATTGGTCAGAACATTTTTTGACATAGTTTTTAATACGAAATTTTTTGAACGCTCAAAAAATCAGGGTATATGTATTTCTTAAGGAGATCGAAGCAGTCACCTGGGACGGTTGGATATATTAGAGAGCCCTTGAGGTACGAACAGGTAAGTAATGGAAAGTGGGAAACACCTTGTCTTGATAGATAGCATAACGATTCGCAATAACGGTGAACTTGGTTGATATTCATATTGTATATCCTACTTGCTCAACCCAGTTGCGCTGTATATGAAGAAACCTTGATGCATGTTGGAAGACTAGAAGCGCTGCTGTAATTGGGCCCAAATAGTCATTGATCTATGCTGGAAAGTTTGCTGTTGCCAACATGATCCAGTCCACAGGCGGCAGCGTCAAATGCCTGTAGATAGGAACACCAAATGATTTCTCTCGCTACTCGCTAGAGTAAACAAGACGCTATTCTGGCCATGAACTAACAGAGAATCACCTCGGGACCCGTGACAGCCTACAGGACCTCCAGCCGCCATACAACATGCTGACATAATCCACATGATGCCGCTCATCGGGACCATCGCATCAACGTGAGAGCTTCTTTTGTTTTGCCTTTTTGCTCGAGATCAAGGGTCAACACCAACTGCGAACTCGGTTATTTAAAGATACAATACAATTACTCGGTCTTTTTTGATCCTAATCATGGCCTCCGACGCTGCCTCTCTCTCGCCCGCCGAGCTCTACGACTCTACCATGACCGTCCCCTCCGACTCAGAGAACTACTCCGCAAACCATGAGATGTCCTCCTCAGTCCAGTCAGCCGAAAGCTCACCCATGATGCTTTACAAGCCGCCAAGTGTCTGGGGTCTTGTGCGCGGTGCGGCCATCAACCTCTTCCTCCCCTTCGTCAATGGTCTCATGCTAGGCTTTGGAGAGCTATTCGCACACGAGGCTGCTTTCCGACTTGGATGGTCCAACACTAAGGTATGTAAAACACTATCTGAGCTCATATTGAACCTAATGACTGACTCCCGGCTCTTCATCATCTAGATTTTCCCTAACCACCGCCGCTCACATGCAGTGGGCCCGGGTGTTGAGATGCGGGAGCTCCCTTCGGAGCGGAGACGTCCTGGACTGAGAGACACTGCTTCTCTGGAATAAATAATTGATACTTTCTGTGCTGTTCAATCCATTCGAGAATGGCTGCATTTACGCGGGAAACAAAAACCGAAGCATGTGTGATTTGGGATCGATACCTGGCTTTCTGTGCACACCTGAATTTAGTGGCTGTACATAGACCTGTTGGCTCAGAGGGGCGTTTGGCGAATTAGGATTCACATTTTGCAACCAGATCTGCAATATTAGAACATCCAAGTCTATGACTATTTTCATCTTTCTATCTTCGGGTCCCCGTGCCTGTCCCGTAGCCGTGATCCGGGGATATATTTACCGCCCAGGCAGAAAAAGTCGCGCCGCAAGGCAGAAGAACAACTCTTCCGCATTGGTTATCACCCCATCACTAATAATCTCAAACCACAATGATGGGATCTGTTGGCCTGAAAGGGTCCGGCGCAGCCGCTGCGTTTGCACGCCAGAGAATGACCGCCATGTCCCGGTCCTCTCGATCTGTTTGTTCTCCCGTTGACTCGGACTCGCAGAAACATCGAAATTGACTTGACTTTGCAGATGTCCACCGTGCGGTCCCAAAGCATGCGATTCCCTAGCCAGCGGGGCCAATTGAAGTCAGCACTATCCGGAAGTGCTCCCTGGCGCATGACACCAGCTGTGATCGGCCCGGCCGCAGTCAGATTCAATTCCACCTCCTCCGACACACTCCCCGAATTCGCTTTAGATGGCTCATTGAAGAATGCGGTAAACATTAACGATATTACCACCATTCCGGAGCGCATTGGATACCTTAAGGAGCTTGGGCTGGACTTTGGTTGGGGTTTCACGTCGACGATGCAATGGCTGATCGAGCACACTCACATCTGGACCGGCTTGCCATGGTGGGCTAGTATCGTGACTGTCGGTCTTCTGACTCGTCTAGCTATGCTGAAGCCAGTCATTGGAGCATCCGAGAACGCAGCAAGAATGAACAACGCCAAGCCCAAGAGTGAACCTCTCCGACGAAAAATGATCGCCGCCACGACCGAAGGCAACCAGCAGGAGGCCCAGATTGCCAGGGCTGAGCTCCAGCAGATCAACAATGAGTTCGGCATCAAGACATGGAAGTCATTTATTCCCATGTTGCAAATTCCACTTGGTTTCGGATGTTTCCGAGTCGTGCGAGCAATGACTTCGTTGCCAGTGCCAGCCATGGCCACGGAAACAGCTGGATGGATTAAGGACCTGACTGTTGCTGATCCCACTTACATCTTGCCCATGATCGCTGCAGGCACACTGTGTCTCTCTCTGAGGGTAAGTTGGCCTTACGTGGTCTACTACAACTGCGATACTAACTAGAGATAACAGAAAGGTGGCGAATCCGGCGCAATGCCCATGATGCAAACCGAAGCAGGAAAGTACATCATTTATGGTTTCCCTGTCATGTCCTTTGCCTTCATGGCATTCATGCCTAGCGCCCTGCAACTCTACTTCGTTGCAAGTGGTCTTTTCGGCCTGGGTCAGACATACGTGATCAACTCGGAGTCCTTCCGGAAGTGGATGCATCTGTCGATCGCTAAGAAGCCCTCCACTGGGCCGAAGTACTCCGCGATCACTCAAAACACCGAAAGCAAGGGCCTTCGCAATCTGCTGGAACGTCTTGAAAAGGAAAAAGCCGCAGAGAAAGCACGCCTGCAGCGTGTTGCGTCAACTGCACCGGAAGAAGTGAAAGTCAGCTTCATTGACCGCATGTACAAGAAATTCGGGTCAGCCGGCTCTGGTCTCACTAAATCAGTCTCAGAGACACTCGGCACTCAAACAGTCGAGCAACGTGCCGCCAAGGACCGGAAGCAGCGCGCGGATGAATACGAGCAACAGCGAAAAGACGAGGATGATCTCCTGCGGAGAGAGCGTAACGAGGCCCGCCGCAGGGAGCACATGCAAACCCTCGAGAACGAACGGACCAAGGCGAGCAAGTCCTTGAAGAATAGCCAGACGGCCGCTCGCAAAGCTAATGGGCGGCGCGGCTCTCGTGCTTGATCGGTGTATTTATATACAAACTGTAAATTATGGCGCAGTGGCATTTGCATTGTTTTTTTGCGATTAGAATAGTAGAAATTATTTCGACAATCTCCATTTGGCTATGTATATTTCTGAAATCGAAGCTTGCATCAGTCATATTTCCATTGCATTGGATAAGAACTTCGAGAGCTAGAACAGAGAACCTAAAGACATCAATCATATTTACACATATGGCATGGACCAGCCATGTCAAAACCGCAAGTCCCCTAGTCAACACCACAAAACCCAGGTCATTAACACGATCTATGGTATCAACATGTAACACGTAAAGCAAACGTCAACAAAATCAAGTCGTCTGCATAGGGATTGACACAGCAGGTAAAGGCAACGGCGTCTTCTCATCCTCAACAAAAACAGCTTTCTCCAGTCTCTGGGTCATAGAAGCACAGAATGTATCCACATACGCCGTCCACAGCGCAGCAACGAGATACACAAGTCCAATCCAGACCGGAATACTGATAGCAACGACCCACGGCGGTCGGATAGGCAACCACACGCGCGGGTCATCAGTCGCTGCCTCAGGACCCACCCACGGTTGACCGCTGATGCCATACAACATCCAGCAGAGCACAACGCGCAGCATAGTGCCGTGGATGAGGTAGACGGCGAAACTCTGCTTCCCGAACCAGAGAAGGAGTCTGCTGGAGAGGAAGTCTTTGGCCGAAGGGGAGAGATAGATCGCCAGGATGATCATGTCAATTGCGAGTGCGGTATAGCGTTTGCCAACATTGACGCCTGGTGGGAATAGGTACTGGCTTGCATCGAGCATCGCATTAGACCAACCGGCCCATTCGGGATGTTCGCCGGGGTATGAAGCAAAGAACAATCCGACAGTAGTGAGCGGGATCGAGAGCATTTTCCGGCCTCGAGGGTTGTTTTCTATCCAGTCCCTGAGGGGCGTGTAGTAGGAGAAGTCACTGAGGAGCATGCCGAAGATGGCTTGCATTTGGAAGGTTTCTATACAGTCGGCATTAGCGTTTTGTCCTGAGCAGTAGCTCAAAGCTCGTATGTTGTCCGATCCTCGAGAAAACACTCACCTGTATCCTTGCTAGCATCCTGATGGAAATACAACAACATGCCAATATAGATCATAACCCTATACCGAAATTTGACGAACATAGTGGCAGAAAGCACCAGATAAACCAACATAGAGGACAAAAGCAGCGGCAAAAGTGCCCACTGGTGATCATCGTATGCCATATACCCCGTGGTCCAAGTCGATAAGAAATTCATCGGCAGACGAACAAGTTCCTTCCAAAAGGAATCCTCCAGATCCGGCGCCGCATACCGACACCACTGGCAATCGGATCTATTCGCAACGATAAATCCGCCAAATTGGGCGACGACCCACGAAATCACCAGGGCAATAGTGGCGGGGAAGATCAGTCGCGGCGGTCGACGAAAGGCGCTCTTTGCTATAGTCTCAAATGCGCTTGTTGTATCACCTGCTCGTGATAGCTTAAGCGGTTTGAGCGCACAGACATAGCCGGTTAAGAAGGCGAAAATGGTCACACCCAGACGGCCTTGCCATGGGATGCGGAGGATGGGCCATTGGAGGATTCGGGCACTGGCATCCTCGCTATCGCGGGGTGAGAATAGACCATAGTCCCAGCCTCGGGAGAGATGGGTTAACACTACTAGGAATGAAGCGATTCCTCGAAGGCCCTAGAAGGTGCACATGTTAGATCATATTCACGCCGTGGCTGTTTTTCCAGAACATACATCAATCCATTTGACACTCTTTCTAGGATCTCCTTTCACTGGATTTCCCGAGGACCAAGGTAAGGATGTGGGTAATGTATCTATTAACTGGGTGTATAGACTGGAGGGTTGAAGGTATTGCATTATTGACAAAGATGCAAATCTCTTAATGATCGCCAGACCATATAATATGAAATGATTCCAGCTCTAGGAAAGGTATAAAAGGAAAGCCAAAGGTCTAAGAAAGTAGGATGCTCATCACCCCGGCGATCACATCAACAAACGGCCTGCCAAGGAACACCTGCCAAGAAAAAAGGAGTCGACGGGGCAATGCAAGTTGCCATCTCAGATCCCTGTGGACCTTTCTGTGAACAGTGGATGTATAGTCCCACATTACTTGCAGCTTGAGATCAATGAAAATCGGGCCCTTGCGGTGAATTTCTGCGTCAAATAACATAGCTCATTTCTATTTGTTTTGCCTCTGTACAGAGTACGAAGTAAATGCATAGGGAATCACCATACGATTGCCATCTAGGCCATCTCGACTATTCAGTATATTGTACGACATTGAAGCCCTAATTGCGAGAATCCCATCATACCCAATGAGACCCAGGCAGCAACATGGAAGTTCCGAAAACAGCTGACTTACCATCATTGGCATGTCCGTTACACTATCGATTTGAAAACAGTACAGGCGATTCACTCAGGATCCAGTGGGAGACAGGCAGAGAATGATGCATATCCACCTCCAGACAGACCCTTATGACACTGGTTACAAGCCAATGCGAACCCCGTTTGCCTGCACGGAAGACATCCGTTGTAAATGACAGCATTTTTCACCCCTGCCAAGATCGAGGGCTTCCTGGTAAGATGCATCGGATCTAGTGGAATGTGCGATTGCATACGTCTTGTGTTCTAAATTCAGATTATGTTCCAGATTCGATCTACAAGGATGACGTTGAATGGAAGCGTAACCAAGGCACGAATCTTAGGTCTGCTGATAGTACAGAGTATGTTGCAAAAAGAGAATAATCATGATATCAAAGCGAAACAGACCCAGTCTGCCGAAACAAATCCCCCTACAAACCCCAGATCGCCGACCCTAGTGTATTAGACATGAAAGTAAAAACAAAGCCCGCACGCTGATATGCAATGAGAGACTGTTGGGTTATTATCGGAAAAGCCTTCTCCCACCTACACTTCCAGAGTTCCATGTGAAGGAGCCTCGCACTCCCAGGTTCTCCAGACTTAATCCCGAGTAACCGACTCCACCACCTTCGCCATTACGCTTTGTCCGTCGTACCGCTTCACGCAGATGTGACGGTAGGAGCTGGCCTCGGTGTGGGTTTGGTGGAAGACGGAACTCGCGTCTAGGGCGGAGCATGGTGGAAGTTGGCCGAGGAGAGGATGTTGCCGAATTCGGATGAGTAGGGATAGAGGGCGTGGGCGTACGGTTGGAGTCATGTGGTTCTTTTTTAATTCCGTTGGTGAAAGATGCTGGTGTGGAGCCGGGGACTGGTGTGCCTGCGGGGGTTGGCGTAGAGGGCTTGGAACCTGCACTTACACCCGAGGCTTTCGCCTGGGCTGCGGCTTCGGCGGCGGCTTCTTCGGCCTCAAACGCGTCGCGCGCAGCAAGGTCGTGTGCTTCGGCCCATTGGGCCTGGACTGTTCGCGCCATTTCAATCATTTCACCGGCAAAGACCTTGGTGAAACCATTGACGGTCGTCACCACACTGGCTGGGACGGATTGTGAGAGGGCATGGTTGACGATACGGCGGAGAGTTTCTTTGCGCAATTTCGCTCGCTTGAAGAGATCGTACCTCTCTGATTGCATAGGATTAAAGGCGTCAACAAGAATACTGTCCAAAGCCAATGTTAGCTTCACCCAATATTGCCAGAAGAATGGGGGAAAACGTACGCTAGGTTCTTCTTCTCAGCCTCTGTATCCGTAGCTCCTTCTTGCTGTCCAAATAGCTCTGCCTCGTCGTCCTCATCATAATCGTCCGCATCATCACCTCCACCACCACCTCCACCGCCAGAAGGACCACCTCGAACCGAGCCCTCGTTATCAACTGATCCGAATCGTGTAGAATCTCCCGCCCTGGCGCTCAGAGCATCCTCACGCTCCCGTTCTCGCTCTTTCTCCGCTTTGCTTTTGCGTCCTCTTTTCTTTCCGCGTGCTGCACCAGAGAAGATTCCATCTGCGCTTGCCCCGCCCAAGCTCCCTGTATAACTGCCTGTCACGCTCCCGGCGTCACTAGTACCGCCGAAGCTGCGGTCTCCAATATCGATGCCGGTCGGAAATGAAGTCTGGCGGAGTGGGTGCATGCGCTGCTTCTTGCCAAGTGGCATCGAAGCGGCAGAGGAGATGGAGGGTCGCTTGAGGGGGTTGGATGAGGATTGGTATGGTGGTGGTGACGACATTTTGAGAGGTTGTTGCGGATGAATAGGGGTGGGGTGTGTTGCGTATTCAATGGCTCGACAACTCGTGTTCCAAGTCGGCTACGAGAAGGTTCAATCTACTCGATAGAGTATGAGCGCGAGCTGAAGCTCTGTCGAGGGCCGAGGATTTCGCGCTGCGCCGTTGCGCCGGGCGAGGAAGGTGAAGATCAACCTCGGATTTGGATGAATGTTAATTTCAAGTGATAGTCAGATATCTCTCACGGGAACCTAGATGGCGATATGATTTTGCGGCGAGATCTCGGTGAAAGCATCTGGTTCCAGTCGTTTGGAAGTAATTTGGTGAGATAAGGACGCATCTCACCGCCTTCCATCATCGGTAATTAAAAGGTTACCCTATTTACATTGGACACCATACGTAGGGGAGGTATTTCACACTCTACACCGAAGATGATCTAATGGAGAAGATGACAATAGTGATTCAATATGCTTCGATTGACCCCACAAATGAGTTCTCAAAACCAGGTATGAAGGTGTATTATCCAAGGAGTGACAGAACCTACGACAACCCGAGGGGTATCGAGGCTCGATATACCTATGCTTCAAGATGAATCGAATGAACCACTGCAACGAATACGGAAAGTATGAATCGCTCAGCTTAAACATGCGATGCTGTACCATATGTAAGGAAACGAGATCGAGACTAAGAAATGAACAAAACAAAGAGAACTGTGCAAAAATGGAAAGACAAATTGACAGAAGCCCAAACGGATAGAAAGGTCGCGACCGCGAGAAGGAAACAGTCTATAGCGGATGGCTGAAGAGCCGAAACACCTTAGAATCCCTGCTCTCCAATTCGCGGCGCCCCCCCTTTCCAGTCATTGCGTTCGTAGTAACGGAACACAAGATCATAACCGTTCAGGTCATGGACGATGCGGTCGACACGACGGTAGCCTTCCACGTGCTCCATCTTATTGCTGCGGCGAACAGCCTGGCGCTGAGCATAGGCCACATCCTGCTGTCCGTTCGCCTCATCGAGCTCATCCGACGGCGGCTTAGTCTCGAACAAGGTGATGCTGAAACGGCCAGGCTTGAAGATCGCAACAACCTGCTGGATGATGTCGGCAGTAGCCTTGCCGTTCTGAGAGTGCGGGACGTTGGTCTCAAAAGACGCGTAAGAACAGTGAGGCTCCGGTGTGACATGCACGGTGAAGTAGTGGGTCGGAGCGTTGCCATCAGGAGCCGGCACAACGCCATTGGCAGAGAAACCACATGGAGTGAAGAGGTATGCATCGATGCGAGCATCCGGGAACTTGCTCTTGGCGTACACGTCGGACAGGCCACATGCCTCAGAGACGACCGTGCCCAGTGCATGGCCCTCGGTGGTCAGTTCAGGCGGCAGGATACCATCAGCTTCCTCATCCACGTCGGAGGTGTTACTGAAGACATCGATGTGATCAGTACCATCGTCCTTCTCCGAGCTACGGTGACGTTTCTCGGCCACAGCGGTGGCATTTTCGAGATAGAACTGCTTCGCATTTTCCTCGTCAAGGTCGGTCATCAGAACCTCAAGGGTCTCATCGTGCTCATCACTGTTGGTGCACGGCTTGGAGTCGGGGAAGTTGAGAACCTTAGTTTCGGTCTCGTGGAAGCTAACCTCCTCCTTAGGACTCGCCGGTGGAGTGAGCATGGTACCGGGCTCGGTAAGGTAGAGATACCAATGTTCTCCATTCATCTTCCCAATCATGTAAGCGCTGCCGTTGACGAACAACCTGTCCATGGATCGCACCTCATCGCGCCAGCTGCGGTGAGGGCCACGCTGACGGTCAGGGAACAGGAAGTTCTTCCGGCTGTAGAAGACGCGGTAGGGAGCCGCAGCCACTGCGATGCCTCGGGATGGAGGAGCCGTGGCGCGTGGGAAGCCTGCGAACAAGGCAGCGATCTCCAAGATGCGGGGGAGACCCGAAAGCAAGGTGGTAGTTCCGCACGTCTTGAGAATCAACTTGTGCGGCCAAACAAACATGCTGGACTCCGACAGAAGGTAGGCGTCCATCTCATCAGAGGAGATGACGGAAAGCACCTGGCAATTGACTAGGTCCAACATGTCCTTCCAAATTTCCCCGGGCACTTTCTTAAGGCCTTCGGGGCCGGCGGCGCCTAGCTCGGTGGCAGACGGCGCAAACCATACCTCGAGAAGCTTCTCAGGACCTTCGAAAGCATTGGTGGAGTCGAGATCCTGAGTGGCCTCATAGTTGATTGTCAGAGACGGCGTCCCCGCGAACGAGGATGGCGAAGCCGTATAGTTGGTTGGAATAGTTGGAATACCGACGTAAACCATGATGACGGATGTAGCTTGCGCTGTTGTACTTGTGTTTGTTAAACGAAGCAGAAACAGTGACGTCGGACCGCCCTATGGACTTCGATGAGATAGGCTGTAGAAGCACTGTCTACTTACCCAGACGAACAAGGGGGCGATGCCCGTCTGAGAAGAGAAGGCCCTGAAATAAAACTTTGACTGGTCAGACCAGGCGGGTAGAATCTCCAAACAGACCGAAGGGCTGCTAAGGAGGCCGGAAGGCGAAGGACAAGAAGAAGATCGTAAGAGAAATGGTGACTAGCAGTCGGTACCCTCGTTCTGGAAGATACCGATACCGGTCAAAGTATCGGGTCTAGCAGACGAGAATTCTGCTTTGAAAAAAAAAGGGGGGTTGGAGAACGTGGGAGCTGGTGACGACGGGAGTCGCGTTATCGAGGCCTAGAGTAGTATGATGGTAAGAAACAGTGCTATGAGAGTAGATAGAATGGATAGAATGAAAATTCTGGTGTTTTAAGATTCATGGCATCAAGATATCTCGATCCAATGGCAATGATAGCTTTTGGCAGTTGAGCAGCCCAAAAACAGGAAGGGAACAATCATACTTACTTCGCGGGCTTGGACAAGAATCGCAGAAGATCAGTTGGGCTCATGGAAGGCGAAGACAAGTTCGACTTAGATCAACACGAGGTAGCGGAGGGCCACAATCGTGAACATCGGCGGGGTTTTGTAGGACAGTCTCACTCAGAAGCCCAATAGGTGCCCGAGATCAAAAATTGATTTCTCGGAGGCTAGAGAGAACAAGGAATCTCTAGAACCAAAAAAATATTGGCGATGCAGTTTTGTGGCCTGCTGGTGACCTCGCGAGTGGGGGAAGCGCAAAATGTTTGCTGCCAGTTCGGTTGGTAATAAGTGATTTTCTCTGTGGGCCCGCGATACGGTGGGGCAAAACTGGATCAAAATCTGTCTGACATCAGGGAAGATTTTAGTTGATGTCTCAATTGCAGGGAATATATTGGATTGTAATACGTTACACACAAATTGGGCAAGTAAGAAAAAAAGCTACAGTCATATGCAGACTGTCACAGCTTTCGATCTGTCAAAAAAGAGAGAGAAAAAAAAAAGCACGAAAGCCGGTGAGACTCCCCGTGCAAGAGCGGTGATGCCAGGCAGAATTTAACTTTGTTCCTGGTGTATTACATAATCTCCACATGACTCGTATGGCGGGGAGGCCCAAGCGGGGAGATTTGGACGGATTTATATAGGGCAAGAGAATGTACTATGTATGACATTGATATCTATGATTTGTACTTATATCCATGAACATACGTTGTAGTAATGAATGCAGAAAATATCAGCTAAACTTAATAAGATCAAAAATCTAGCGAAAGTATAAAGAAATTACTGGAACCCACTCAATTGTGGACTACCAAGGCCCGTTGAGTTTTTCATGCATTTGGACTATGTATTCGAGGCAGAGTCATAGCCAAGAAACATCAAGTACAACATCTCAAATAAACAGTTCACAAATTCTTTGATCACTATGTCAAGGCTAAATCTTAGCTCACATATCTCCATGACGCTTGGGAAAAAGCAACCTTTCCACATCAGCTAAGGGTCTGATCAAGAATCCATAGGCCAAGGCTGAGAACTAGACCGAAAAGAAAAGCCAAGACACAAAAAAATGCACTCAATTAGCAGGACGCCCATACGGAGTAGATGAAGCTACCATGTGAAATATACTGATCAATGGCTTTGTTATTGAATTAAAAAAAAACATATCCAGAGACTGAATATGTCGACCTAGGTATCCTTAATCCCCGAACCAACGCCCGAGATAACGCCATGCCGCATGAACAACTCGTTGCGATCTCATTTGCAATAGCACCCAAGAGACATCATGCAGAGAACCCAGAAATCAATTCACGCTTCTAAAATGATTTGTGCTAACTGCACGTCACCAGCCTCCACGATCTTGGCCGCAATAATATCACCGACCTTCTCAACTAATTTGGAGCGAAGATCGTCTGTGGCAGTATGGCCATTGGTCAAAACCGGCTGACTACCACGCAGCGAAGCCAACACAGCCACAAGGGCATTCAGAACACGCTCCGCAGCTGGCCGACGGGCGGCATCGTCCAAGCCATCGCTGAGAAGTTTGGTGTATTCCTGTAGATTGGGAATAACGAGCACTCGGATTACTTCGGAGCCGCCGACAGACTGTAGTCCAATGATGGCACCGTAGTGTGCACCGAATGGTTTCGAAGGGTCGAGGAAGGTCTTGAGACAGGAGCGCACAAGTCGAGGCTTGAGCATGTGAGACGAATGGGAGTACTTTTTGGCGATGTGGCTGAGGAGAGAGGCGGCCATATCGCGCAGAGCAAATGACTCAGCAAAATCCCCAGCTCCACCCAATTGTCGACCGATAAGGCAGGTAAGAATGGATGGCACGAGGGATGCGATCTGATACGGTTAGCGTCTGAACATGATCTTCCAAAATGGCAGGGTCTGCTCACATAAGGGTCCACGTAAAGTGACTGGTTCTGGACCAACGCCTCGGCCATGTGCATCACCTGAGTAAGTACGAAAACATTCTTGAGACTGTGTGTGACCTTCTCGGCAATGAATTGGACAAAATATGGCACCAGTTGGTGCAGACCCGGGTCCTCGCGAAGGCTAGAATATCCGGAGGTACGATAATCCTCGCTTGTTTCATGTAAAAAGGCACTGCAGACCTTTTCGAAGTAAAGCTGTAGTTCCCTTGAAAGCACATGCTTGACCAGTGGCTTGACAGCCACATCGCCTGTGCCACTAATTGCTGCCAATGTGGAGTTGGCGTTCGGACCTTTCGAGACCAGTTCGAGGTTGCGAGAATCGGCAGCGGTTGGATTCTGAGGGATTGACGGCTGCACGCCTTCGACAGCCAGCCAGTGGGCTAAACTAGACGTTAGTGGCTGGACAGCATGTTTGAACAGGGACGGGTATCTACTCACCAGTGAAGGAGACTTCGCGGGGAACCTTTGGCAGAGGCGCATTTATCAGTTTCTCAAAGTCGACCTCCTCATCTTCAACGTAGAACAGCGGTTGCCCAGGGCCCAGAGAGGCTTCGCCGAACTTCAAGGGACGGGTGGAGTCGTAGCCGTACAATGGCTCCACGTCCAGGTTGCGCAAGGCCAACGCAATGTCTTGAGTGGTAAGAACTGTGCGCTTGCAGTGGCGCATACACTTCAGCGCTTCCTCAAGCACCTGCGCAACTCGATATTCAACGTCCCGGGCGAGATTCTCGGTCACATCGTTATTGAGGTTGAGGATACCGACGGATTCGGCGACATCGCGGATGTTGTCGGGGTTCCAGACAGACATGGTGGAAGGATACAATGGGGAATGGAGGTGCGTGAGAGAAGCTCAAGATGAATTCGTGTTGAGACAATAATGGCGCTATCGCGAAAAGTGAGGTGGAGGGACAGTGAAGGAGGTTTATAAGACGAGTCGCATTATTCGAGGCCACCGCCAGCGGATCCACACCTTATACAGCAATAGCCTTTTCTATTGAGTCGGAACTCTGTTCAGAGGATGATTGCAGCGTGGCCAACTCAATGGATAGAGGAAAGTGAACAAGCGCCTCGAAGAAGATGAAAGCTTGTCGATAAGAGTTGCGCGATTGGTTCTAAAGTCAACCGTATGAGCTCCTTGGCCACCTACACGAAGAAGCGTTTGTCTCACAAAAACATGAATGAATATTCACCAGAAACAGATAATAATAAAATTAGATATGGATAAGCATAAGGTAATAACAATACAGTGCACCTTGAAAGAGCACACTAAAGACCTGAAATCAGGTACACAAGAGCGGGGAGTGTCATTCACGGCTCCTCCGGGTATCATAACAGACAGCGCCAGCCAAATATTGATCTACTGGGCTCCATCCTTTGCAGGCTCTTCCTTGAGAGACTCAGATTTGGGGACATCTGCGTTGGTTGGCTCCTTACCAGCCTCTTCCTGTGGTTCCTTGGCAGCCTCCGCCTTGGGTGGTTCTTCTTTCGATGGCGCCTCCTCGATGGGCTCAGCGACAGTAGGCTCCTCGGCAGATTTACCCTTATCCTCGGTCTCCTGTTCCGTCTCCTCGGCCAGCGGGACAGACCTAGCATTTTCCTTCAGCTCTGGGCCCTTGCCACCATAAGCTTTGGGGATTTGTTCAGCAATGGAAGCAGAGAATTCCCGAGCCAGGTTGACGCCGCTAGTGATCGGGTGGAACTTGCGCGTGGTGTTCCGGCTCAGGATAAACTTCATGGCGGTGAACATCCAGCCCATGATAGCAGGGACGTTGACGAAGAACTTCTCACTCAGGAGCTCGGGGTATGCCGTAGCGAACACTTCGATGACCTTCTTTGTTGCGGCACGGACAGACGGATCCATACGGAAGAACTTGACATTCATGTAGTCGTGCACTTGGATCATCTGGTAGGGATCCTCGCCGTCGTACTCGATTACCTCGGTGGCATCCTTCATCTTCAGGTCCTGGACGGCGAGTTCCATAAGGGCGGCACGCCATTGGACGAATCTGCAGCCAGTTAGGACTGATTCTCATTGTAAAGGGCTTTTCATGCTGGGTTCTCACTCATCGGTATTCGCGAATGTCTTACTGATATCCTTCACGGCTCCGTAGATGTTCCAAGTAAACACCAAGGGCCGTCCGTTCTCCTCATAGGTCGTCAAGTATCCCAACCCCTCGAATTTGGCCGCACTGTATCTCGCAGACTCTGCCAAAGCCAGTGGGTTCACGTCTTTGCGCCATTGGAGTGCCTTGCTAAGCTGGGTCTCGGCGGCTTTGGCATTGCCTTCGTTTGCACGTAGGAACTTGATCAACACGTTGACAGTGGGAACATCGTCGCTATCCTTGAGGGGCACTCCCCACATCTCAGTGTGACCAATATTTTCAAGGATGGTTGGTAGGCGATTGAACAACTCGCCTAATGCCGGGTTCTTGCTCAGGTAAGTCGGCTTCTCGGCCTTGGGTTCTTCAGGCTTTGCCACTTCGGACTCTGTAGCGGCAGTGGCAGCTGCATCGCTTGCAGCTACTTTTTCAGCTGCGACACTGGTAGGTTCGTCTTTGGCTACAGTCTCGGTGTCGGCGGTCACGGAAGTTTCCACGGGCTTATCGACCACTTCCACGGTTTCATGCTTCTCGGGCACGACGGGCACGACGGGCGCAAGCGCAACAGGCGCATTCTGATCCGACATGTTTGATAGAGTTGGAGAGGGTGAGTTGAGGTTAGAGGAAATAGGGGGTTTTGAGGTCGGGGGGCAGTTGCCTTGTCAATAGTTGACTTATCAATCCCCCCCACCTGTCAGCGGTCTTCCCTTGTTTCATCGACAGATCACATCCCAGCATATTTTTAATTTGTTGATTTGGATTCTGTTTCAATAATTTATATTCAGGATGAAAGACCTAAATCGACATAACCCATGAGGCTACAGGCTGGGAATTGTTATAGCCCATCGCTATGCACAGCCAGCTCACATAGTTTTCAATAGCCTCGATGATGATCGTATGCATTGGTTTTGGATGGAGTGGAGGTATCACGGTAGATTGTTCTTGTTAATCCATCACTAGCCATGAACTCCTTGTTTTACAGGGGTTTTATCCGATTTTGTGGCCCACATACCACTTGGTAGCACGCCTTTTGCACAACTCGAGGACCAGCGTGAGACTGTCAGCCAATTCTGACTTGATAGACTTTGATCTTCCATGTTCAAAACCAATAAGTTCAAGCTCAAGGTTGCTCACTTCTGTCGTCTTGGAAGTTCTAGTCGAAATGCTTTGGGATTTACCGCAAACGCCTGAGTATGTTTCATGCTAGAATTATCTGCGCAATATATTCTATGAGAATATCTTGAGTTCAACCCCTTGGTTGAGCTCTCAGATTGTAAGGGAAATAAGTGGAAATTTCCAAACAAAGGAGGGATCATTACTCCGTACAGATTTCATACTTTGGGTTGTTGACAAAGAAGAGCTTCAATATGATCGGATGTCCTTTCAAGGAGCACCTAGAATTAAAGAAGGCATTGCGGAGGAAGAGTGTAGTCACAGACAAGTAAACACAGGGGCACCCCTGGAGCTGAGTATCACACGCAAACACTTGACCTTGCACTTGTGTGATCTCCCAGAATTAATGGAGTATATATTCGCGTGCTGTGGAATATCGTACAGGACATGCAGCACTAGTGATAAGGATCATGGCGTTTAATTGCCCCGATATGTCAGTGCTAGTAGCCTGAATGTCTAACAGCAGTTACTGGGCTACTTAACAGGATCATTGACATGGTTTATACTCTATATTGCATTAATCTACATTCCAGATAGCAAATAAAGCGAATCTAACGTTTCAATTTCTATGCAAATCACTCGTGGACGATACTATGTTGTAGCAAGCCTGTAGACTGTAGCAGGGAGCAAACATCAATGTAGTCAGCTTTAGCCAAGCCACCTGTTCATAAACGGATGAAGGCAGATGTGACCAAAGCATGCAATATGCATATGCGGAATTACATTGGCCAAGCAGGGGTAGATATTGACGAGATGCAGATGCCAATAATGTGGCGTCTAGCTACGGGAGTTGTATCTGCTGGTGGCATCTTTCACATCTGTCAGGTCATGTACGGAGTATGGAGTAAATGGATTCTTCTGGAACGCGTTTGCTAAACAAGCTCAATCAACATGCCGAATCTATGCTTTTGTGTTCCCTTGGACATGTAGCAGCTAGGGTTCATCAGTCCCAAAGTCGCTATCATACTCGTCCTTTTGAGGACTAGCCGAATTGAGGTTGATGGCAGCGTTGACGCTAGCCAGCAAGGAGGTGACCGCTATATATCATTAGAATGAGAAACCCCCCCACCAATATATATAACTTACCGAGTACACACTGTAGATCAAGATACCCAAACCTTTCAACAATAAATCCAGCCAATATAGGCCCCACTAGTAGACCAGACATCCAACTCATATTTGTGATTGCAACCGCACGAGAGTACCCTCCATAGGGACCGAATATGCCAGGATGCAAGGTCTCCAACTCATCAACGGTTCCTGCAAAGACCCAATCAGTACTCCAATTCTCAACCATGACATCCCAAGCTTACTGGTGGCCTCCATCGTTCCCAACCCCATGAGCAAGCACGTAAAACACCCAATCATAGTCGTGCAGACGCAATAGATGATCTTCCCTCTGGTCCCCACAGTAGCCCACGGAAAGCGCTCATCACCAGCAACTCCAAGGACCCATAGGAAAGGCGCAATAGAGATAAATCCAATGGTGGTGGGAACCCTCGATCCCACACGATCCTTCAACACCCCAACCAAAGGAGCCAAAATCATCCCCGGTCCCTGAATAGACGCGAACAAAAGCCCAACCGGGAAAACACCCCAACCGAAAGCGTACCGGACATGCATTGCAATAGTAGACTCGAAGCTGGCAATAAAGAGCGCAAAGACAAAATAGCTGGCAATCCCCGCCGTAAAGCGAGGTTGGCGGAAAAGGCAGATATAAAACCGCCAACCGCCAATTTCCTCGGTAGTCGATGATCGATCTCCGTTGAGGAGGGGCTCTGTGTCAGACAAGTGCTCATGTTCTTCGGGACACAGAGATCCATTGCGACTCTGACAGGCTGTATCGCGGCGTTTCTGCGGTTTTTCAATCATGAGCAGACGCATAATTATATCCACGACGAGACATATAGCCGCGCCAGCCCAGGCTGTCCAGTATCCTCCAATTCCAAAGAGAAACCCAGCAATGACAGGACCAGAGCATGTTCCAGCTGAGACTAGGGTCGAGGTCAGACCTGCTATCTTGCCCATGTGTTCTGACCCAATGTTCTCGGCCATTGTAGCCATGCCGACGATGAATAATGCGTTGCTGACGATGCATTGGAAGAACCGACCGATGAAGAGCCACGTCACTGAGGATGATTAGTACAATAGGGGTTACTGCGGTCCACAATGTTTTCAATGCTTACGGGATGTAGTGATTGATAGACATAGTACACTGATCAGCGTCAGAATTAGCAATACTAGGAGTAGAACCTTCTTGGAGCTAGCTCTGTCGGCCAAATTCCCGATAAAAGGACTCGAGGCGATAGATATCAACGCTCCTTCGACTAGAAATATGGAGGTCAATCGCTGGGTGAGGGATGTGTCTAGCCCTAGGCGGTTCTCGAAGATGTGAGGGAGCAGTGGGACCATGAAGGCGAAAAGCATTTCGTCTGAAGAAAGCAATTGTGGTAAGATAAGATCCAATCTCTCCATTGTGATAGTTCAGTGCACGAACCAGTGAATAATGCCATGGACATGCTGCTGAGAATAAATATATCGGACGAGCGCCAGCGACATCCCCATGTCCGCCACGAAACATGTTCTTTTGTATCTGGTAAAGGAAACATTCTGAAAGAATGATTATCAATTGGACAGATGTTATAGATCGGTATTGGAATCAATATAAGCAAAAGAGAAAAGGTAGGGATCGAGTGAAACCTTTCAGACGAAATATACTCAAAACCAGATGGCCTGGGAGGGAGATGGCCTATATTTGCCCAAGATCAAGCAAACAATGAGACACGAGTACTCCGTCACTCATAGCCTGGCTGCAGATCTAATTATGATTGCTTTTCCCTCTTCCGACCAATGTGAACCTCGTCTTCAGCGTGCATTGATACCCAGTGGCTCCAGCGAATACAGGCCGAATGCCAATTAGGATCTGGGCCATTCTTAAAATACAGATATTACTTCGTCGTACTATGTATAAAGACCATAGTGTTGTCTGGTAGCACAAAAAACACACTTTTTCATCTTTATATCCATGTAGGACAAGCACCGGGACGATCTTCAGGTTCCCAGAGCTTATTTGGACAAAAACAAATGAGATTACGATGCTACGATGCTAGAGGTGAAATGCGGTAACGTAAATCATATCAATTTCCCGTGAATTGGCCATAATAGACCTCAATCGGGAACGAAGAGATCATTTACCAGGTGGAAATCCAGACTGGGAAATGAGCAATAATAAAAAGCCACGTAAAGGGAGACAGCGCTGGGGGAATATACACGGAAAAGAACACAGAAGAGGATAACAGGAGAGACTGGTGCAAGGGCAATCTGAGATCAAGTAGAGACACCATAGAGGGAAGAACTAGACCCAAAGATATAAAGTCACAAGAAACTAACGAGAAATAGCACGAAGCAAGCCTAACTCTATTGTCCGTTGTTGCGGAACCGCTCAGGCATGTGAGGCATAGATGGCGCGGGACCAGGCTCCGATCCGTCGTTATCTTCCATTTCCTCATCCAGATCCTCAGGATGGCTAGATATATACGTTAGTCTAACAATTCTTAAAGTAGGGCTGGTTCGGGATCAGCATACGCAAGTAGCTCCTTGATATTCCTCATCTCATAGTGCCTCTTGCGCTGCTGCTCGAAATGAGCGTGCTTCGCCCGGGCCTCTTCAGTCGTCAAGAGCGGATCATCAGCAGGCGTATGGGTACCATTTGCATCATCCACACCGACATGGACATGCTTCTCGCTCTTGTGCGAGTCAGTGCTCATGCTACGGTCACGGAAGACACGAGCGTCGCCCAAAGGAATGTCCTGCAGAGTTTCCTCAGGTTCACCAAGCTCCAGGTCGGGAATTTCATCTTCTGACACAGCCTTTCGGTGTTGAGTGGGTTTGGCCGAGTCTAGCTCATCGACGACAATGCCCTGCGCATCAATTAGGCTGTTCTGTGCGTCCTCAAGCCCCATCAGCTCATCATCTTCGCTGGGGTCGTAGTGGGGGGCGTAGGGAGTCTTGGGTTCGTCGATCTTCATCTTTGCAGTCTTCTCTTGTTCAGTTAGGTACAGATTTGCCTCGTCCCACTTTAGGCGGGGCTCGTTTTCGTCATGGGCGCTCGCTGACGACTGTCGGCGCGAATTAGAGCCCGGTCGAGTAGTGGATGAGGATCGCCGACGGCCTGCATTCTGCAAGGTGTTTTGGATGGTAAGTTCCTTGGTCTCCTCAGGCTCGAAGATGGTTGGAACGGAGAGCGGGGAGGTGGCTGCCATAGGAGCGGAGGCGCCTTGGAAGGAGTTGGAGTTCTTGAGGATGCCTGTTTACATGGCGCAAAAGTGCACTGGTTAGATCTCATCGTTCCTGTTGGTCGCCGCTTGGCGCTGTCGTAGTTTGGACTCACCTCTTGGCCGATGGTGCACATCATCGGAGCTGTGCGCCTTGGCCGGCATGTGTGGTGCGGTAGTCATGGTGGGATGATTGATAGGGGAAGACCGGGTGTCGCCCGATTCACAAGTGGACGATGTAAGAAGAAGTCTGATTTCCAAGGAAGGGACCAGGGAAATGAAAAGGATGTGTGGCCTGTTCTTATTTTTATTATATCACAAGCCTCGAAGTTTGCTCAGCTGTAATCCGTGCGAGAAAAGAGAAAGAGGCTGAGCGCCGCCTGATATGGTTGTTAGGGTGGATGAAACCGGATAAATCAACCGAACATCAGCCTGACTCAGATATCAGCTCACAGTCACGAGTTGAAGCAAAGGAAAGAAGAATATCAGGTCAAGTGGTGGGGTGCAAATGCCTCGATGACGTCGGCCCGATCATCTACCCGAATCCAGCTTAGGTAACGGTTATCAGATTCGACCTGAGGTAGATATCTGGGATGATGTATGTCATTCATGGCTCCTTGTAATGATTCGATACTAGTTGTGAGCTGATCATAACTCAAACTGTTGCATGACGATTTCACCCTCATTCTTAGGAGACAAGATAGTCACAGAACTCTAGTATGGAGGATACAAACATTACTTGTATATGAAATAAGGAAATATATGATTAAACTAGGTCAAGACAGGAAAATGCCCAGTCTTTCAATGTATTCAAGAACGCCAGTCATGTTTCAGAGCCAAGCCTAGACGGAAACCCTAGGCAAGAGTTCCAAAGTCCACGAATGCCCTAAAACACCCAACTAGATCGCCCGAACCGGGGTATATGGATATATATGCAACATGGTAATCACAATATAGAAAATAGACAAGAGCAAGGCAAAGTATGGGAGAAAGAAACAAAAGAACAAAGTAGAGAAAAAAGATCGAGCCAGCGAGGAAAAGAATGAATGAAGAAAAAGAAAACTCAGCGAGACCAGAAAAGCAGAAAGGCCAAGAAGTCTCTCATGCAATGGAGTCAAACTCCTCACGCTCACGAAGTCGATTCCGAGCAAGAGTATCGCCACCACTGGCTGATAGCTGCATCCAGTGCAGCGCCAAGCACATACTCTGCGGGTCCGATTTTGAGTCTTTATCACGACGGTACATCATCTCCGCCTTGAAGGTATCCCGCGGGAGGGTCAGAGGGAGTGTCACGCGTGGGAGAAGTTCTGGGTGAGTCAGATAAAGGATTGCAAGTTCGCGCTGTGCAACTGGGTTGCCCTCTTTAGCAGTGATGATCCACATCCCTGCTGCATCTTGGATAGCATGGCCGGGGCGGGATTTGAAGTCTGAGGCGAAGGGGGCATAACGACGGGAGAGCTCCTGGAAGACGATTCGGTCGGCGATCTCGACCATGCTGTGGCAGATCTCTTCTTTGAGGCTTAGTGCAGCCAGACCGAACTGGAGGAATGCTGTCCCGCGGTCCGTCTTGTTTAGCTGATCTCCTGGGACGAACGCTGAGATAAACTGCAAGTCTCTGAAAAGAGTCTTCGGCTTCACTTCTAAAATAAGATCGCGCAAGGCTGCTACAATTTGTGCTTCCGATGGAGCGGAGTAGTCAGACCGCTGGGAGCCACATGTGACTGAATCGGGAGGAGAAGAAGGCAGTACTGGGCCCATCTGTGGTAGGTTGTTGGGTCGCACCTCTGAGAAACTATGGCGTGGGGCCCGATGGAGTTGAGGACTGCTGCGCGTCTTGTCCCCTTCTCTCAGGGAAGAGCCAGGAGGAGTAGGGGAATTGGCATCTTGGGGCGAAATGAGGGATGCGACCACCAACGAACGCAAGTCCCGCAATGCATTAAGCTTAACAAGTGGATTTCCATGACGCGAGAATACTTCGATCAGCCGGTGGAAGACCGCCTTGTACGAAAAGGCTGACTGCTTGTCCGATTCCGAAGAGGCTTGTGATGGCTGCGACGAGGCCTCCACGCGAGGAGCTTTGAGTTGAGATACACGCAGGTTGCCCAGAGACCTGCTCCGGCGACCTTTCAATGAGCCACGTTGTTGACTTAAATGCTTGGAGCGCTCTTCATAATCGGCGTAAAATTTCTGGACAGCAGCCCGTCGGCGCATCTCCACCTGAATGCGTTTCTGGTCTAGGGCATTGGTGAACCAAGCGTCGGTTTCACTACCACAACTCCACACCGGAGAGCCCAAATCGCTCAAAAGCAGACTCGTCAGTGTTTGTCTCAAGTCATCCATAAATGCTGTCTTCCCCTGCGTCTTGCGTTCGACACGACGGGGTTGGCGGGTTGCCGTCTCACTAAACATGGACGGTGGTCGCGAGTACACGCTCGACGCGCTTGTGGCATACATAGGGTGCCGCTGGGGTCCAGACCAGAAAGTACTGTAGGTGTCACCCGTAGATATCGAAGCAGCACGGCCAGGTGAGCCTCCAAGAGAGGACATGTCAATTGAAGGCAAGTCACGGTGATGCCTCCATTTGTCGGAGATTATGCTTTGGATGGAAGGCTTACGACCCAATGACGGGGTATCTTGAGAAAGACGAGACATGGGATCAGGCATAGGCATATTGGCACCGTAAAAGTTCGAGGCCGAATTGGTGTCCTCGCTTGTAGTTGTTGAAGGCCGAGGAGTACTAGGCATCGACATGCCTGGGAATGTGCGAGAGCCGTAACCCTCAAATCTTGAGCGTTCCCTCTGGAAAAGCTCACTTGCCCATAGCACCGGTGTCTCGGTCATTGTTTCACCCACTAGTTTATTGATGCTCATTCGGACCTCGTAACAGAATCGATGGATTCTTTCTTCACCTTTACAGAAATTGTCGATTCCGTTGTGCGACAGCCATTTCCGAGTCAGCTCGACTTGCTCGTCAGACAACTTATTAGGCCCACCCTGACTACTAGGTGCCTTCATCATGTTCATCACTTGTACTTCAGGTTTCTGGAACAAGGAGCCACCCAAAGACTTTGCTCCGTGACGAGAACGCTGCTCTTCAGGGAACTGGCTGAAGAGTCGGGCTGAGTAGATCATCGTTTTCAAAGCCATAGCCACATGTTTGGCCTCCTCGTATCTGATAGAGTTCTTGACGTCGTTCATGTACCACATCTTGTCTCGGATCTTGCAAAATGTGGCCGTCATATCTTTTACTTGATTTTGGAGTCGCCGGAGACTGTGATCGAGAGACACAAAGTCACTCTCGCAACGCTCAATGACAGCTCGTGATTGGATCAGCGAGCGGCTATAATTCTCATACATCGGGCCCAAGATCCATGAATCATCCGTGGTCCTCGATGAATGAGGCGTTCCTCGTTGGCCGAGCTGCTGCGAAGCATTCCACCAATAATGCGCACCAACAAAATCAGAGTCATGATGGCAACAGAACATCGCTTCGTTAAACCGCTGCTTCAGGGACGGGGCAGCTGTTTGCGTGCTATTCTGTGAAATGAACCCATAATTGTCCGTGTCTTGAATGCGGTTCTCCTTGACAAGTCGAACGATCGCTGTCTGTAATGCTTCGTGATTTTCCTCCAGCCCTAGGGTTGTGGAGTGCGCGTCATCTTCGCTTTCAACTATAGGACCATTGGATATTTCATGTCTGCTATCTGGGAGAAGGCTCCAAGTTAAGCCATATCCGTCTGCTGTAACCGAGAAGATAGCCCAATGCTCGCCTGAGGGGTGCTCTAAGCTCAACCGCTCATTAGGATGATCTAAATCAGTTAGCTCGAATCGGATGCGAGCAGCCTTTTCAGACAGGCTAATTTCCGTTGCTAGGATATCAGAGGTTTCCACTGGGAATATGGAACCATTTTGGGATGTAGGTGTTGGATTTGTGTTATGCTTGAAATGGGTGAATCCAGAATCCAAAAGTGAATCTGGCCGAAGATTGACAGATGGTGGTGGACTGGATGGCCAAGATTGAACTCCTGCAGAGGCTGGCGACGATTGTAAAGACGAGGGGGTTTGTTGAAAGAGAGCGTCTAGGAGTGTGAGGACGTCTAACGCAGACATCATCAGGAAAGTCGAAGGAGACTTTCGTCGATAAGGAAGCGGTGCCTGCGAAGAAGTAGCAGAAGGGTCAACCGATACCTCCGGTTGCATCGTGTTATGGAACCGAGAGAGCATATTTTCGACGCGGCCCTTAATTTTCGGACGGGGAATTGAGAAATGATGCCTTAAAGAGATCAGTGTGAGTGTTGAAATCTGTAGAGAGTTCAAGCTAAGACGTACATTGAACGCAAAACAGCAAAGACTTGAGCATAGGCACGGTGTCCAACCTGGTTCAACAATTTCTCGCGGGCATCTTTTCTGATATGGAAGTCTAAGAGAAGTCCGTGGGTCTATCACAGCAACAGATTAAGTCAGCTTCGCTTGTTCGCCAAAAACCAGAGGCTCATATACCTCAGGATACGTCAATGCGCCATAAAGGAACTTTGAAAAGAACCACTGGAGGAACAAAAACTCCAAGAAGCGACTGCGGGTCTCGGGATTATCCAGTTTCCGCAAAACGGCCTTTGCAAACTGTAGCACGGCTCGAGGAAAGCCGCCATCCGGATCATCAAGTACGCGGAACAGATCATCCACCGCAGAAGCAAAGAATTCCTCTGCAACATCCGTTCGCATGGGGTCGAGGGAATCCATGGCAAAATCCAGCCCGGGTGGTGTGGCTATAGGCTCTAGGAGAAAAGCACCGGTTTGTAAAATGTCCATTAGGTAGAGTTCAAATTTGGGACGGGCTTTCCAAGTGCTGCCGGTAGTCCAGGAAGAGAGGATCTGGCCGATAAGAGGATAGTATCTACTACTTCCGTTGGAGATTAGTTGAGCGCAGACGGACGACCACACATCCATACGCAAGTGGGACTCGGGCGTTTCCGGATCCAAAGGAGCAGCAAAAACGTTAAAAAGAAGTATAGATAGTGGGTCAGTCCTCTCAAAGGCATATGCGTGATCCTTGAAGGCAGCGGACTGAGTCTGGGTCCTATTCAAGAAGGACTGGGCACGAGCCCGAGAGGTAGAAGGGAACGCGGGATCATTGGTATCCAAAACAGTGGCAGGAGAAGTGAAAGCAGCCAATTGGGACGAAGACAGGCTTTGTAACCGGTCGACTAAAAATTGGGGATCAGAGCGGACCAGCCGTAAAATCTCCAAAAAGTCCGTCCGGGACTGAGGGCTCAGCTGGTGAAGGAAATCCGGGAAACGGCCAATGTCAGTTTCCAAAGAGGGCTCCCCATCCACGGGGTCTGTCTGGCCCTCGTTGGGAGCAGGTGAAGAACATGATTCCTGGAGGTCTTGGAGTGTATGGTAGAGAGTGACGAAACTGGCCTTGTCATCATGGCGGAACGCTTCCACAAGACCTCGCTGTGCAGTCAGTCCGACACGAATCATGCGCGCCGAGACGCCAATTGACACTTTGGTAGCGCGCAGCCGTTTCTCCAGTCGTTTCCTTTGGGCTTGTTTGCGCTGGCTCTGGTGATATCGGGTGGCCAAATCCTCGAATGAAATGTGGGCAACATCTTCCAGTGGCATAGGTATAGAAGCTGTCGCAGGCGGATTGTGTCCATTGGAAGTGGGCTCTACCATGGGACTGGCGCGGCCCGAGCCACCTAACTCACCTGGCCCGTTCAACGGATGTTCAAGTGCGGACATGGGCGATCCGGGAGGTGAAGGAGGCAAAGGCACAGATGCGGGATCTCGCGCCCGATGCGATAGGTCACATGGTGTATTAACTTTGGGGAAAACAGGTATTTGCGCGGCTGGAGCTGGTCAGATCGATCAAAAGGGTATACAACACAGCTCGTTGTCCCATATGAAAGACGTGGAAAAGTGAGATATAATGACGTACTGAAAAAAGGCAAACGGTGTTCTATCATCTTGCCATTAGCGACAGACAGTCGCAAACCCCCCCCTAGTCAATGCCTATCGCATTCTGAGCAAAGATCAGAGAGGTGTGGGAAGAAAAGGCGGGGAGAGAGAAAGGGAAGAAAAAAAAAAAACTCAGGAGGGGAGAGAAGATTATAAAAAGTGAATAGAAAACCAAAATGGAATCCTCGAAACGGACAGTTGCAGACCAAAGGGCTAAACAGGGTCGAAAAGACTTCTAAGTGGCTTATTTGTCAAGCAGGTAACAGGTACCAAGTACAACAAAACGATGCGTTGGCAGTGCAGGAATGAGGTGTCCATGCGCCCCCTCAGATCTTAGAGACGTGGGAACATGTATTCTTACGTAGATGATTTGATCAAATCTCGCCACTTAAAGATCGGAATATCTGGCAAATCTCACATGCCCATATTATGGACATCGTTAATTTATGCTAACCCGGGATACCCCAGATTTGTGGAAAAAGCAAGTGGGTGATCACGATTAGTGAGCCGCTCGTCATGGCATTACAAAAGCGTAGGTAGACCCCCCAAAAACTCCGTTCATAGGTACTCGTGTAGGGAAATCCATAGTATCACCGACAAACCCATTTCTTGTCAACTTCTTTTTGCCCGACCCGAGCAGCAACCTGATCAAGGGTGGCTTTGAGTGTATCCTTGGATACCTTGGGGAATCTAGATACATCGAGATTAGTATATGCGCCAATAGCAGACAGCGTGGGAACCAACCGTTTCTTCAAAATCTCGACTAGCCCAATCTTACTAAGATCACTACCTTCAACTGCTTCCTTGAAATCAGCGAGTTGGTCTGGTGGGAATGGCCGTTTCGCTTTCGATGTAGGAGGTAAAGCACTACCCGCCACTGCTGCAGGGACCGCGGGAACAAGGAATCCATCTATGCCTGTCACAGGTCGCGCTTTCGCAGGTACTTGATCCACGGGCTTGGGTTTCTCCCAATATGCAGTCGAGAAGGGGTCGATGGGATACTTGACCGCATCGGATATCGTCTCCATCCGATAGACCTCCATTTCAGGCTCGACTCCATTGGAAGCCCACTGAATTCCAGTAGAGACAGGCTCTAGGTCGCCAACAATGAGACGCCGTTTACCTTCGGCAGGGGCATCGTCTTCGTCATCGAGGAATCCCTCGAGATCATCTTCGCCCTCGTCACTGCCCTCATCTTCTTCTTCAGAGTCCAGCTCTTCACCTTCTTCGGGTTCCTCCCATTCCGCTTCGGAATCATAATCATAATCGGTATCCGGCAGCCCTCGGTAAAATGGATTTCGCGCAAGTCTTCGCGTGCATAACTCGGACACACAACGGGTATAGGTTCCCTGATAGGGAGGGCGGATATCCTCGCCAAACTTGAGAGATTTCATCGTCACCTTGCGTAGAAGTTCTTCTGGTTTATGAGATGGCCTTATGCTCTGGCTCTCAATAGGCTGAGTCGGATCGTTTTCGTCAGATCTTTGCAGCTGCAATAATATGTCCCTGACAGAAGTCGTTGGCTGATGCCCACGATGGAAGGGGATTATCTGGAAGACTTCCGATGGACGGAATGGATGTATTTGGGCGGGGGTTTCGTTGCGCAGACATGTATCGATCGTCTCGCGTACGTGCTTGAGGGCTTCAGGATCACGCTCAAATCGATGAGGAGGTGCCACAGAGGTATGGGATTGTAAAAAGAAAGCAGGAAACTCTCGCGCATAATCTGATTGCACGCTACGAGTTTCGCGAGAGGGCTCGGCTGTAGTAGACGGCTTCTTGGGCGAAGGAGCGGTGATGACCTGCCCTGATGAAGCAGAAGGTGCCGGTGGTTTGGCAAAGAAGGAGTTTAGTTTCAGTTGTGACTGGATCGGTCAGTCCATGGGCATTTTCCCGTGAGAACGATTATAGATACCACTTACTCGAGTCTTCTTCTCCTTCTCCTCGTCCTTTTTACGCTTTTCTTCTTCCTTGGCAGCCTTTTCATCTTCCTTGGCTTTCTTCTTTTCGTCGCGCTGCTTGCGTTCCTCTTCACGTTGAGCATCCTTCTTCCGTTTTTCTTCTTCCCTATGTCGTTTCTCCTCGTCGCGCTCAGCGTCGCGCTTCTTTTTATCTTCTGCCTTCAGGCGCCTCTCTTCTTCTCTCTTAGCTTTTTCCTCCTCTTTCCTCACCTTCTCTTCCTCCTTTCTCGCCTTCTCCTCGGCCTTTTGGCGCTCTTTGGCTTCTTTTTCTTGTTGCTTGGAATCTGTGCCAGCAGAGACTACCTTGCGTTTCTTGGAGGCCGGAGTATCGGGCTCTTGACTAGAGGCAGCATTTGCGCCTGTAGAAGTTAATCCTGGGGCACCAGCGCTATCTTCATCTTGTTTACGTGTCTTTCTCATCACGATTTCGACCGAGGGGGAGGTGGAAGGGTATGCTTGATTTCAACTGGCGGGGAAATAACGTCGTCAGTCTGGGAGGGCGAAATAGAAGGATCGTGATTTTCTTGGTTTTCGCCGGCGAACTCGGTCAGTGGTCGCTTCGCATTTGGCGAGGGTATGTGAGCATCATCAACCTCGTGAATTGAGCGTTTTCGGGGCCCGGATGAAGGCGACGCGGGAAATGATGTGGCCGACTGCATCGGCGAGAGAGATGTGCTGGCTACCATTGGCCCCAGGGCGGTTGGAAAGAGCCAGTAATCTGGAATAAGGGTGTAGGCGAGGGAAGGGGCGATGGAGACAGGCTGTCGTGTGATAGATCGCGACTTGAGTTCATAAGTAGTTTAGGTTGTGTCAACCAAGGGAAAGTGCGACTTGGGGGAACACACAACAGACGTCACTCAGATCGGACAATTGGACTTCAATCCCAGAGTATTGACGTCGCTGTTTAATGAACGTACGGAGTAGAGCAGTGGCAGTTGGGCCAACACTGGGACGCGTTAATCGTTTCGCGGTCGCGATAAGCACGTGTGTGATTATGTAACCACTATGCGTGCCCGACCACGACTATTGCGTGGGGTCTTTTGTTGTGCAATTTATTTATGGCATGACTTAGAACTTTCAGATCAAATGATCATAATGTTTTTCCCGCAATGCTTCTAGCCATCGAAGGCATTTGTCATTTGGATATTGTACTAATATTGAATCCCCTTGCACTACGCAACAACACTAGAACAGAAAGCCATATACCCTTCCATGGGAGCTATCCTAAAGGCAATAGGAATTGAAATAATTATGGGATTGAAATTACTATCTCTAAATTAAGAGAAGCTAGACCAGATAGCCAACGCCGGGATGGCTTCGTATGCAGCCGCAGAAGGACGAAGACAATCAAGAGAACCAGTCTATGGAGACCAGCGGTGCCATCGAGGATATACAGCAAGATAGCGGGCTGGGAGAAAACAAAAGGCGGCGCTTTAAATAAAAAGGGTGGTAAATCGGACAGCAAACGTGCAAAGATATAGACAAAGCAGGATGACACATTGGTCTAAACAGTCAAGATTTGCCGAATCGAATGGGGCTAGGTGTGGAGTTGCAACGTGATAGGTATTATGTGCAGTGCAATTGATGAGCCGGTTCAAGAAATCACGCAGAAGTCATAGAGGATAGAATAAGACGGAATATGAGGAGGAGGAGGAGGGGGAAGAAGAAGAAGAAGAAGAAGGAGGAGGAGGAGGAGGAGGAGGAGGAGGAGGAGGAGGAGGAGGAGGAGGAGGAGGAGGATACAAAGGTTGCCAGGCGCTGCGTGAGAACAAGGACCTCAGTCGCTGTCCGAGTCGGGATTTGCGACGAAGAGTCGCACGTTTGTCATTGAAGTAGTGCGCTCGTCTACACTGCCTCGTCGTCGCAACTCGGCTGCCTTCTGGGCTTTTTCGGCCGCCGAAATGGCGGCGTTCGGAGCCTTCATGTCACCAACGATGTCTTCTTGCTCACTGCTGTGTGTTGTCACGAAATCATCTTTTTGGAGAGATGAGAGTCGACTCTTTTCTTCTTCGTGAATCTCCGCGGGTGTATTTTCGGAAACTTCTGGAAGGTCGGTCTTCTCGTTCGGGGGCGTGCTGTTACTGCCCATTGTTCCCTGTGTCCGAGAGTATCCACTTGGGTAACGGTGCGCACTCCCCAGAGAGCTGCGGCCGCTGCCAGTCCGCCTGTGAATTGCGCCACCATCACTGCTGAGAGCATCGTCATCCCCATCGCCGATCTCGTTTGCACTCAATCGAACGGGGACCTTGGCGCCCACTAGATTTGAAGGCGAGAACTCAGCAGCTCCCTTAGGACCATGTCGGATCTTGCCACTGCCCAAGGTCCCTGCTCGGCCAGCGCCTGAGCCATGAACTTCAAGGTACGCTCTTTTCTTGTCCCGCAAGGCTTGTTCGCGCATTCTAGCGTCTTCGGGTTGTGCCCGATCACACCACACGGTAGCCTTTTGCCGCCGCATGAGGGCCACATATCCAAGCTGAGAATTGGCAGAGCGAGACGATGCGGTTCGCCGGATGTCAGAAACGCCATGTCCCGCATTTGGCGTCGGGTGATTGCCGGTGGACGAAGTCGAGGTAGTGGTGCTAGACATGCGTCGAGAGGGAGGATAATGAGGAAGAGTCGTGGTTTGGGGAATAGGAGGCGGTGGAGGAGCACCATAGTAGTGCTGAGAGCCGCCTGAGTAGGGCAGTACGTTGGAGGATGTGGTTCGAGTCCGACTATGTGTGGTCTGGGGGCTCGCTAGATGGGGCGCAAGTTGCGGCCGTGAGGAATCGTAGGACTGATATCCACCATACCCATGCTGGGCACCAGAGAGGGGCTTCCGAGCAGGAGGTCCTTGGTGGAGGGGCATTCGAAAGTCAGTCATGTTGGATAGAATAGTACGCCGGCCTTAGATCACAACGTGCGGGGCCGCCCTTCTAGGAGTTCGGCTTGCTCGTGAGTGCGCCGGGAGTTATTTCAGGAGGTAGACTCCTGATGAGTGATGACTTGGAAGGCGGCGTTTCCGATGCGCGCGCGGCTGACGGATAGGGAGATAATGCGGCCTCAGCGCCCACTGCAGTATGCAGCCGCCACAATCCGCTTTGGGGGGTCTTAAGCGGAAGGATGAGAGGCCTTAAATATTTCGCAATACCAAGGCGTTGTGGACGTGCAATGGGCTGATTCTCGGGTTGATGCTCGGGCTGATCCTCGGGGTAGTTTTGAGGCGAGGATGACGGGGTAGGAGCGCGCACACGAAGTTCTGCAGCTCAATCGGTAAGCGACCTCGGTGGTTGTAATGAAAAGGAGAGACTACAAAGAAGGAAGCACCAGCCCTGAGTCTGCCAATTAATGTCGAGATGAGAAGTCAGGATGGGCAAGTCTTAAGGGGAGGCAGGACACTTCGGGGGGAAACCTGAGGACTTTGACCGGCCGTTCCTTGGTTCAGTGAATTGATTGGACGATACGGAACACGGCGGAGGATGTACTTTCCCACACAATTTAGCGGGTGGAGTACTTCGCTCAGCCACATCTGAGGCTGGAAACTTACGGTACATACTGACATTTCAGAGTTCAGAAATGTTTCAAATTGTTGTCTCTCTCCAGCTCTCATCTCAAATGGTCTCTTCTTTTGGCTCTGTCAATGCTACATATCTTATGCTACAAATTTGCCTCCTATTGAGCACGTGAATACTTGAAAGTGATATGTCCGTACTTGGCGAACTCTTGTTTTTTTCCCCCTAACCTGAGCATGAACGGCCCTACGAAAGTCTGGTAAAATGGTATACGAGTCGTGGACCTCCAAAGTGTCCTGGCTGCCATATACAACTTACAGATACCACCCAAGGGGCTCCAGTTAACCGGCTCCACCTTCCAGCCGCCCGTAACCCCAATAATGCACTCAGGGACGCTACCCAATCTTGTTTATAGTGCCACGTCTTTACTTCGTCTTTACTAAGTATGCGCCGGGGTCTGCGGTTATATCGTCATCCTTATTATATGCGCTCATTTCTTACGGCTTTCGGATTAGGCTCGAATTGAGGCATGATATGGCAGCTATTGCCCGATAATCTGAGGAACTTCAACTTAATGGTAAGTTGTTATAACTCGTGCGAGAAGTGCATCATGCTGGGGCAGATAGGCTCCAACTAGATGGCCCAATGCGTCGTATATATCGTTGGATTCACATACCGATACGAAGTGCACCTGCCTCGACTCCACATATTATTCAGAGTCAAGACGACGGAACCCCGGCCTGCGTCACCAGGCGTCTAGTACAATGTAGATATTTGTAACCACAGCTGGACCTATTTGGTTGAGGGAATATCTATTTCAAGTCCTATTTGATAGGCAGAGGGGGCGTCTGAGCGGGGACTGCCGCGTAGGCTAAATTGCTCAGCTACTTGCCTAGACACTTAATTGCGTGTAAGCTCCGAAGATAAGGGTAATGTATCTTATTGCGAGAGGTGCTAGTTTATACATGCATGTTCCTAGGCCTCTCAGACCCAAGTATCTGCGATATGATCAGGGCTGGGACGGCTGACAGCGGGCTGATCAGTGGCCTTCATTGATCTGTGCACAATGCGGGGTATAGCTCCCTGCGCGAGGGAACACTGAAAAGGAACTCTTTAACAGGGAATTCGCTTTGAAATAGCCGGAAGTACACGGAAATTCCTCATGCAGTATATGGAATACTCTGTACTCTTTAGTCACTGGTTTTGATTCTCCCGGAGTTGTCCTCGACTAAGTGAATCAGATACCGGGTTAAAAACGGCTCAACTGCTAAAATAATTAGGTTGTATACATAGTTCAATACGATAAAAATTTCAATTGCAAAAGCAGCTGCGCCACACAAGTGGGCTATATTAGCTCATTGGTGGATCTCGGAACCTTGGAAGCTGAATGTAGGATACCTGAAGTCGTGACGTCAAGATGTTTCAGCGTATCCAACTTTATACAAGATCTCTCACAAAGGGAAACACCTGTATCTAATACATTTCAGAAGGCACAATCCGAAGGAAATTTATTGTGGGAATAAAAACGAGTTGTGACAGACGCTAGTATGGACTATTTTATAGACAGCAAATATACTCCGTACATCTGCATGTCACAACTTATAGCCTGAGACAAGTGGATATTAGCGGATATGTCCAGTTCATATCTTGGTTTTGCAAGGTTTTTATTTGCAGTTACAACCTCACATGGCAAGGTCGTATCATCCTTATATGCGTCCGAGCGTAAGGTCCCCGCCGCTCCACTCACCCTAGTCTACATTGGTCTGTATAAAAGCGTCCACCTCGCTAAGCCGTAGCGCATTCGTGACCCGCTCGATTATACCCAATTTGTTATACGAAGATAGAGAGCCCAAAAGACAAGAGGAAGATATATGAAAGGCCAGAAATAGGTAATTGATTTGGCATATATCATTGCATAGCTCAATTCTATCACAAAGGTAATGTATGTGGGATGGAGACCAGATCCAGAGCGATGTGCTAAAATCAAGGGTGTAAGAGTATAGAGAGAATCCGACCAATCGCTAGCAAGGTTAAAGATCTATTCATTGCCTTGCTGTGTTGGCTGAGTCTCTTCTGTTGAAGAGGCGTTGCCCTCATCCGTGGCCTTGCCCCAAGCCTCTTCGAACGCCGAGTCCGCCAAAGGCTCAGGCTCAGGCTCAGTCAAGGCTGGTCCCTCGGGCACGACGCTGCGTGGCTGTGGCTCAATGATATCCTCTTCCTCCTTTATATCAGATTCAACTTCCTTCTCAACTATCACCTGGGAGAAAGACGATGAAGCAGTTTCGCTATCGACTAGATCCGTCTCCTTGGTCGGTACTACGTTGTTCTTGGCACCGAGAAGCTCCAGGTCAAAGTTCGAACTATAAACCACGGCAGAGAAGGCTTCGAGCTCACGCACGTTCTGGTCCATGGCGGTCAGATACTCATTTGGTGGGTGGGCACCATTGCCAATCACGTGTGCCTGGCGAGTCATGACAGCCAGGAGATTGGCAAGCTTGGTCTTGCGCTCGGAGTTGGCAGCCAGGGGTACAACAGTGGCGATTGAATCGAAAGACTGCGGGGCAGTCTCTGGCGCAGAGGTGGGTGCCTTGAAGGCGTCGGCAGCACATCTTTGATCAATGAGCGTTGAGAATCCCTCGTTGTTAAGAAGTGTGAGAACGAGGGAGAAAGAAGGAGAGTCGATCAAATCCGCTGTCTCATCCAGGAGGTGTCGTAGCTTTGACGCGGTCTGGGAAGAGGTCGGGTCAGCTACGCCTTCCACGCCCGACTCGCGTAAGACATGTTCCTCTTCCTCTGCCGGGGGAAGCAAGCAAGAAAGCCATTTCTGAGATCGTCGCTCTTCCTCGGTGCTGCCTTCCACCTTCTTTCGGATTTGTAAGGTCAACTCAGAGAGTTTGGCCAGACTGATATCTTCACGTGGATTCAAAGGTCCAAATACCTCCTCTACGGCAGTTTGCACTCTCCCCATCAGGTCTTTCCATCCGCGGTGAAGGAGCCACCAACTGAAGGCCAGGTAACGTCGGTTGGTCTCGAAGTCATCACCTAATGTTTGAGTGAGTTCATCATCGTGGTCTTCAAGGCTGATTGTCGAGGCGTTGGCAGGTGGTGTAGCAAGAGAGATCACGCTGGACAGGTAGTTCCGACGACCGAGCAAGTTTAGTTGGATGTGAGTGAAGACGGTGAGCAAGGAGAGAGTGTAGACCATGGTAAAAGACCGAGTAACAGCTAAAGAGTGTCAGTTTCCGACAGAGGTGAATTTATGATGAAAACTGCCAAAATAAAGACTCACAGGAAATCTTGACTTCATTCCACAGCTGCGTCTTGTTCCGTTTGGGCCGAGGTTGTCCATCCGAATTCAGGGAAGAGTCCCCGACCTGGCTTGCGTGCACGTATCCCTCGCTCTGGAAACTGGAGAGACTTGGAGATACCGAGCTCAGATCGGACCCAGTTGCCTCACCTGCATTTAGTCGCGCCAATCTCTCTGCTCGCTTCTGTTGCAGCTCCTTGGTCAATTCCTCAACTGGAAGAGCATCAATAATATTCTCGGCGGCGGTCGGCAATAAAGCAAGGACAGTATATGTGCAATCGGTCTGGTTTTGTTCGAATCGTCGGCGTAGACTATTGCCACGGGTCAGTGATTCCGGTTCGGGGTATCTTGCTCGGGTTGCACGCGTAACAAACTCGCGTGATTGCCAGCGAAATGGTTAGGAATCATCATAAACAAGGAAAACAGACTTTTCGCGAGCAATCCGATCGCTACTCATGCGTTCCCGTGCCTCGGAGATCTTGGATAGCACATATTGTCCGGCCAAGTAGCCAGCTCCTATCACCCCAGCCCCGATTGCAAGACCTTTGCGATTGCGCTGGAACCAGCGCCTCGTCGCACCGATCATAATTACGTTTGGTGCTTCTCTGGGAAGATTTCAAGATGACATTTAAATTCAAATCATGATAGATCCAGGAGATGGATGGTTCAGTAGATGGGGAAGACAGGCTTCGGGCGCTGATCGCCAGTTTCAGGCCTCGGCTAGAGCTCACCCTCATGCGGTGAATCTAACCTATAAAGCACCACAGAGGCTTCCAGTACCCAGAACGCCTACATATGTAACTACATGCTCTCAAAATTTGTATAGTTTCTGATCCCTCTAAATCGTCCAATAATTATTGTGTCCCACTAGAGCTTTGCCCCGGATTCTGCGTGGCTATCCCGCAACTAACCGGCTGATCGTTGTCTCCTTCCAAGACTGTCATTTTTGTCTTTGATTTTTGTATTCCGCATACTCCGGACACTCCGTATCTCTTCAACATATCTGTTCTCATTCAAACTGGTTTACCCCCAGTTCGATGATAAGCGATAAGCTTCATTCGGATGCCGATACAGGCCCGCCCCCCTTGCCATATCAGGGAGTCATCACTCCACTTTAGCACCCCTCTATGCGAAGAACTTGCTTACGGACTGTCCCTCCATTCTGTATCTACGATAATACTTTCTATTCCGCAAGAACCGTTTGAGATTGTACTCATACCCAAACCCGCTTGGTTGCGAGCTGCGTCATGGCGGGGATGGAGCCCCGCAAAACCCCTCCGGAGTACTTCCTGGAGATCTTCGCCGATACCATCCATGTGCGAGATGTACTGAAGGGTCAGTCCTGAGCTGAGAATATCATAGCGCATATTCTCAATACTAATGATTTCTGCCAGGTGTCCTGAACCTCATATTCTTCCATCGTTACTTCCCCTCGATCCGACCGGTTACCTTTGACGTGCTCGACTTCACACTCCCCGCTATAAATGATGCAGATCTAGAGACGCTAATTGAATCGCGCATATCAGCTCTGGTCCGGCAACACCTGTCCTCTGCAGCCGGCGGGCAGGACGGTCAAATTGTCGGTGGGGGCGGGGGTGTGCGAGGCCGGATCGCAGTCGAGTTCTACGAAAAGAAACGCCGTCGTTCGGGCCACTGGTTTGGTGGACTGACAGGGAAAGGCGAGGAAGAGGTGTGCTGGGAGATTTGGACACTTGATGTGACAATCGCGACACCGCGTACTGAATCCGGTAGGTACAATCTACGGGTCCCCTTATCCAGCGCTAATTTAGGCACAGAACGAGCCAAAGTGCGCAAGGCAATGGGTAATATGTTGCAAAAAGCAGCTTTAAAAATCTTGAGCGTTGTCAATCGAGACAAGGACCATATCCCGCCCATCACCACTAGCGATTCCAACCCGTTCCCCTATCGAATTGTCGTCAACCCTCGTGCTGACGGCTGGGGAAATCGCATCGGTCTCTATTGAACTATGCGATTTGACTAAGGGCTTGGACGATACACCTCAGAATCCTCAAGTCTGATACGTTTCCATTCCTATGATTGTTCAACCAACTGGACACGTTGCTTCTGTGTCCCTCTGTGGAACATGGCGGCGGGCGATTGACCCCGATATGATTTACGAACTTTGTCAGGTATTATAAAAAAGGCCATTACTATGAGCCTACGAAATTTTTTGGTGCTATGCTTGGCCTTTCAAACGATGGCTGTTTGGAGTTCAGTGTTTAGGTGTTTTTTTATTTTTTTTTTCTGGATTCATGAGAGGGCTGGGCTGGTCCTTTTTACAAGCGGCGTAAGTACATATGAATCTTTGTTATACGCAATCACAAATATCATTACGAATACCCTGCCCCAGGCTATCCACTGAATCCTAACGAAGCATCATAGACTGACAGTGTGTGATATCGGTGTACAACGTCTCTTCAACCAGCGTATCATGAGATTTATCTTGAAGTATTTCTGAAAACATATTCGACGGAAGCTCCGTCCTGCATGGAAGCCTGCATGTCATAAGCAAAATAATATCACTGGGCCAATAAAATTCTATATATTCCTCAACATCCAATATTTAGCCGCAAATACAACTGCCCCTCCATGCAGTGTGCCGACACCCCAATGCAAACCCAAACAAACATCACGTTGCTCCAAGCAGAAGCCGACGATGACAGTGAAAGCTATTTCCGACTTCTGATCAACGGGTCAGTCAGGTATATCACAATTGCTCAAGGCATTTGGAGCACGGGTGATATGTGCTTCGGTCCATCTCTAGCCTCGATTCTCCCCGATATTCCTCCAGGCGATTGGAACGATGGACTAGTGACCAAACACCCAGAAACTGGCAAGCCATACTTTGCACGCGCCACTCGGACCTCGTTTCTTGGAGTTGGGAATACGTGGCACAACACCTTTGTTGATTATTTGGATCTTGGAGAGAGCAGGAGACTTCGAACGGGCATTTACGAAGTCAAATGTTCCCGATTTGAAGAACCTGTCGTCGTCAAGTTTGCTCGATTTGATTGGGAAATCGGATACTTGGAGGGGGAAACTGCTGCCTACCAGTTGATTGAGGGTCATGATATCGGTCCCCGGTTCTTGGGACATGTCACTGAAGATGGCCGTGTTATTGGTCTTTTGATGGAGCGTATCACCAATGCACGGCATGCTGGGCCTCAGGACCTTGCTATTTGTCAGGGGACTCTCACTCGGTTACATGCTTTAGGGATTAAGCATGGTGATGTGAATCGGTTCAATTTTCTGATTCGCGACTCGAAAGCTATTTTGATTGATTTTGATACGGCTCGCAAGTGCGATGATTTTAGGTCACTTGATCAAGAGTTTCGAGGTTTACAAGAAGTGCTGGAATCTTCGTCGAGCAGGGGCGGCGGGGGTCATCTTTGTTAGTACTGGTTAGGCGTCATCAGTGTACCATGTATGATGGGGTCTATGATACTAATTCGGGCCGGGAGGTTGACCGTGTTGTCAATCATGCCGAGGTCCTGGGCTTGATTGAGTTCATGTCACAGTTGCTTCTAAAGGGAGAGACGCTAAATGATGTTTGGTTTGCCGCCAGACGAACTTCTCGTGTTGCAAGTTGCAATTGGGTAGGGCTGTCGTATTTGTCGGATCGTTACTATGTGTGAACAATATCAGAGGAAGTACTTACAGGGAGGGGATGCAGTCATATAGTGCCCAGATGATGCCCTTGATATGACATGTATTGCATATAAGATAAAATCTGCTGCGTGGTTCCAGGAGAAGGTGCAAATTTAAATCTATAGAGTGAACAGCCGACATGGTTAGCAAGCCGCCCTGGTATAATCCTGAAGCTAAAGCTTAGTCCAAGCGTGTTGGCTCGTGTGGCGTCCGTTGATACGCCACTCAATGGCGCACGGCATGGCGCGATACCGCGAAAAATATATATGGAGATGACGTAGATATCGAACATCTGGAAATAACTGCATCCACATTCACAATGTACGAACGAAACTAATTCAGTCGAGTTACAAAATGGCAAAAACCAAGCTAAAACGTTCTCATATTCAACGAATATCCAACCCCGGGCCCGTCGCAACATTTCTCGGGCCCTCTCTATTTCATGTTCCAGTTATTGCATCGCTCCTATTTAATCATAGCAACGAAGCTTTTGAGTCGAACACATCACTTCGTGCTTAATGCCCTGCCGAGCCCAGAGAATCGGATCCGCGACCTGCGCTCAAGCAGGTTCCGCGGAGCTTTATTGTCAATGCGATTCTCGGTAGAGGGGTGAGACTAAACCCCTTTAGGTGGAGTGGGGCTTGCTCGCAGCCTCGGCCTGGGCGCGGAGGTTGGAGGAGGTACCGCTGGAGGAGAAGAAACGGCCAAGCACGGGCTGGAGGAAGGAGTGGAAGACAATTTGGGCACCGCTGTAGAAAAGATCAGCTATGTCTCGACTTGGTCAGAAGATAGGGAGTGACATACCCAGTCTGGGGAAGGGCCATCCACATGATCAGAACGAACTTGAAGATGTAGTAGAAGGCTGCGATCGGTTAGCAAGATAGTAGGACTTTTGGCATCATGTGGGCGCATACGGAACCAGTATGCGGCGTTGATGGCGCTCTCAATGACAGTCAGGAAAGCGAAGACAACCCAGTACTGTCAAGTCATATGTTAGAATCACTGGTCGTGTGCAAGCGGAAAATATGTCACGTGGATTGTGTGATGACCCCGAGTCGGCGGTGATTTCATACTTCCGCACGATTGCGACAACGAGGTGGTAGAATTATGTGAACATACCGTGAGCCACTGTAATGATTACGAAAGAGTGGTCAGCAATTTGCGCAAGGAATGGGATGTTTCCACAAAAAAAATCTTACCTGAGTATCATCCTTGGTGGTTGAGGTGAAAAGCGCCTGAAGGGAGTAGTAGCCGGGGACCAAGAAACCGGCAAAGTTGACGAGGAACTCGCCAGCAATGTTGAAGAATACTAGGAAGAAGTAGACTCCGACAAGGCCGAGGATGGCATAGACCTTGGGGACATTGGTCTGACGCTCAAGGTTGGCAAGGACAGGGTACTTGGATAGCTACAAAATGACGGATGTCAGCTCAAAATCCCAGCGATGGGTAGCATAGTGAAATGCCCAGTTGAATATCCAAGAATGCTATTGCAGTCACTCCTGCTGTGATCGCTGGCGCTTAGGTGCATCGCAGCCACCAGGCGAGGGCGAGACCTGAGGCACCAGCGAAACACACAATGGCTGGAAACGTACCTCCTTGTCGAGCTGAGAGATAGAGTGCTGGGCACGCTCCTGGAAAGAGGCCATTTTTGCTTCTAAAGGGTATCGTTTGTGGGAAAACAAGTCAAAGAACTATTTGGATGACAATGGAGCGAGGGATGATGAGAATGCAACCGGTTGAGCTGGCGGCAAGAAGCCAGAGGCTAGCTTGTGTGTATCACGTGATATACATGACGTATCCGTTGTAGGTGCCATGTGAAGCTGCACCAAGTACTCCGTACATTGTTATTGGTTGATATATGAGGGTATCTATCAGTGACTCTGCATCAGAAGATCTAGCCCCAGAGATGATGCAGATATGGTCTCTTGTATCTCTAAAAATATCTGCTGGAGTGCCTAACTGAGGGGCTAAGGCAAACACATCTTAAAATGTAGGCGAATTTGAAGCTGCAGAATCACTAGCCCTGAAAATGTACTCTGAAACAGTGATCTCACATGGAATATCTCAAGTTGAATGTATTGGAGAGTCACCCAGTCAGTCCGCTTTACTCTCCACAGCCTTGAAAATCTCCCGAGGCAGACAGTGATATATCCTACACATGACGTACGCGGCTTTCCAAAATCGTCGAGACCGGTTCACCTGCCATGTAAATATGTAGATTGTGCCCAGCCTTTTGATGTTTCGATTTTTTTTGTTTGCTTCCATGAAACCGGGGAGAGTTCCTTTTGTGGGCCTCCCCTGCAGCAGTTGGTTCGGGTCTTTGTGATGCATCCTTCTCCCGAGGTCCCATGAACGTTGGCCAATTATGGAATGCATATGGCATCAATTATCTCTTCCACGCCCATGACGTATCAATATGACAACAGAAAGGGAAAAAACACAGTTAAGTATCCTCAAATACCAAGTGGCCTCGGAATTGTGTTTCAGTGTCCCGTACCCCGTGATAGTCACGTGACCCGTGTTCCTAGCAGGAAAAGGTACCGAACAGATTAAAAACCAGAAAAAGGTCCCCGGGTAAAAAAAAAGAAATCAAAGCCGAGAAGCCAAATACTTACAGTGCCTGACCGCCAAAGACAATCTCGGAATATGATGTGATTGGGTCGAAGGGCTAAAAAGACAGAGAGTTCAGGAACCAAGCCCTGACAATTAGGCTAACTCCCGTTATCAGACCTTCTCCCCTTCAAAAATTTCAACGTTTTAATATCTTCACATTACTTTATATGGGTTGATACTCTTCAGTGGATCCTCGAATCTCCATATCCCGTGCACGAAAAGGCGGGCCATGTAACCGCATCCTCCGCGTACCCTTCTAAGCTCTTCCATCCAGGGACCTCGGGAGCTACAGTTTCATTTAACGTGCCTTAGGGGCCAATTTACTATCAATTCTACTCGAGATCGTCATCTATACCACGTGGGACGATCCACAGCCCCATCCTTGAGTTCTCGAGAGCTATTTCGATTTCCCATTCCCGACTAAATACTATCCATACACACTTTTCTCAATGCGGCCACAGTGAGTTTATGAATACTCCTTATTACTCCCATCCAATTCTAATTTGTTCGGTGGTTAGACGCGAATACCACATTGTTGTTCTGGGTGCTGGTAGGAACCTCTCCTGAGATATTTCCATGGGTCACAGGGCTGACCGCAGGCATTCCCCTGCGACGCGATAACAGGAGGTGTTGGAAAAAGTTGTTTAACAGGTCCGTTCCTTGTGTTCTATTCTGCCCCGAGTCCTCAAGCTAATCAACAATCACCATCCAGCCCAATTCGTTCAAAACGTTTGGATCGAAAGCTACGACCCCACGATCGAGGATTCATACCGAAAACAGATTGAGGTAGACGTAAGTTGCTCACGATATGGTACGATATGCTAGAAATTGCTCAGCCGTTAACCACTCTTGACAGGGTCGACAATGCATATTGGAGATGTGAGTAACTCAGTGGTTTGGGTATGGCATGATGCTAAAAATTTGAAGCCTTGACACCGCAGGAACAGAACAGTTCAGTAAGTCTCCCCCAAACCAGCACGTAAACCCGTGAAATCTAAGCTAATAAACACAAGCTGCAATGAGGTGAGTCTAGGCAATTCATACCGTGATCAATGCCGCGGAACGAGTTCGAGAAAAGTACACTGTACTAACAACGCTCTCTACAGAGAGCTCTATATGAAGCAAGGTCAAGGCTTCCTCCTTGTCTTCTCTATCACCAGCACGTCCTCCCTAAACGAACTCTCCGAGCTCCGCGAACAAATCATCCGGATCAAAGATGACGAAAACATCCCAATCGTGATCGTGGGCAACAAATCCGATCTGGAAGAAGACCGCGCCGTACCACGCGCCCGTGCCTTCGCTCTATCCCAGAAATGGGGCAATGCCCCATACTACGAGACGTCTGCTCGCCGCCGCGCAAATGTCAACGAAGTTTTCGTCGATCTGTGCCGCCAGATCATCCGCAAAGACTCCGAGGGTTCAAGCAGCAACAGCGATCCCAACCGCAAGCGCGAGGGCCCGAATCGCCATGACCGCAAGAGAGATAATCGCCGGCCGAAACATCGCCGCGGACCGTGTATCATCCTTTGATTCTCAGTTCGAGGACCCCTTCTCTGACTGGCCCTTGTCTTGTTTCATTTTCATGCGATACGACCCTTCTGCGACCTATGCCCCGCCGACGCTTCTATGCATCTTGACATGTCATTTATGACTGATTTTCTTTCTATATATGTTGCCGATATGCCTACGCCTCTTATCCCTATAGAACTATGCTTCGCTGCTACTGATTTGTATCTTTTCTTTTGGGCTGTACACCATTGGTGTCATCCTTTTTTATATTTGCCATATTTGACATATTTGAGGTTTGGTTGATCTGGACTTTGAAAGTTTTACTTTCGCGAGATGGAGAAAAAGTGCTTTCCTTTCTTTTGGTCCTGTTGCGATTATCGTTCGGTTGATAGGTTTGCGCTAGATCCCTTCAGTGTTGGGCATGCGGTTGAGCCCTTTGCCGTCGACACAAAGAGGCGTGAAATTATAGTACCAGATATCATATGTGATTCTAACACTTTCTTTTTACCATCTCCTTGGATCACGCCATATAGTTCTTGAGGTCTAGTAGTCTTAAGAACGATGGTCTGCAGAGACCGGTATTTTACATAATTTGATACAGGATGACTGTTGAGCGCATTTGCATCTGACTATACCAAAACGTTACATCAAGTCAATGGCACATACAGGCGTTTTCCATTCTATGTTTTCTCAGATTTATCTTGCGTGGAAATTTGCAAACCCCCTTTCAACCCGTTCATGCTTTACATTCGGAACACACCGAATCTGGTTTGCACATCTGGCTCAGCCTTGCCACTGAGCGCAGCTGTTAGACCCAATCCCAGCATTTTCCTCGTTTGAGACGGGGGGGATGATACCATCGTCCCACAAACGAGCCGACGAAAATGTGGCTTCAGATTCACGGTCAATGCGTTCTTTCAAAGCTGGATCAGCGGACCGTCCAACAGCCTCCATAACAGCAGAGAGTTGCTCAGAGCCCATAACGCCGATCTTAGCATTGGGCCACATGAAGAGAAGACGAGGCGAGTAGGCACGACCACTAAAGCAATACCAGTTAGGAAAGAACAAGACACAGCTCAAGGATAAACTTACCACATCCCGTAATTGCCAGCACCAGCACTGGACCCAAATACAACAGTGAACTTGGGAACATCTGCACATGCAACTGCAGTTACAAGCTTAGCACCGTTCTTCGCGATGCCGCCCTTCTCGGCATCGGCGCCGACCATGAAGCCTGAGATATTTTGGAGGAAGATAAGAGGGATCCGCCGCTGCGCACATAGCTCAATGAAATGCGCTCCCTTGAGCGAGGACTCGGAGAATAAGATTCCATTGTTAGCAACGATACCAACACGATGGCCGTGGATACGGGCAAAACCCGTTACCAGGGTTGAGCCGTAGTCACGCTTGAACTCGGCGAACTCGCTCCCATCAACAATTCGTGCGATGACCTCGTGAACAGGGATTTGGCGGCGTAAATTCGTACCAACAATGCCGTTTAACTCATTGGGGTCGTACAACGGTTCCTTCACGACAAGCGAATCTCCATTACTGTTCTCCAGCTGGAGCGGAGTTGTAGTGGTAGGGTAGTTGAGATTCGCGACCGAGCGGCGAGCAAGAACAATAGCATGAGCATCGTCTACGGCCAGGTAGTCTGTTACACCGGAGATACTCGAATGCAACTGACCGCCACCCAGGTCCTCGGCGGATACCTCCTCGCCCGTCGCGGCCTTGACGAGAGGCGGACCTGCCAGGAAGATAGTACCCTGGTTCTCAACGATAATAGTCTCGTCACTCATAGCGGGGACATATGCACCACCTGCTGTGCAGGGACCCATGACAACGGAGAGTTGTGGGATGCCCAGAGAGCTCATGCGGGCCTGGTTGAAGAAGATCCGACCAAAGTGATCACGGTCTGGGAACACATCTGCCTGATGAGGCAGGTTTGCACCACCAGAGTCAACGAGATAAATACATGGCAGGCGGTTCTCTTGCGCAATCGCCTGTGCGCGCAGGTGCTTCTTCACTGTGATGGGGTAGTAGGTGCCGCCCTTGACGGTGCTGTCGTTGGCAACGATCATGCAGTTAACACCCTCAACCATACCAATTCCGGTGATAATCCCACCCGCTGGAACATCCTCGCCTTCATAGACTCCATGTCCTGCGAGTGCTGATAGCTCCAGGAAGGAGGTGCCTGGGTCGACTAGGGCGGAGATCCGATCTCTTGGGAGCATTTTCCCACGGGAAATGTGCTTTTCGCGTGCTTTATCATTTCCACCTCGTGCAATTGTGGTGTGTAAGTTATTCATCCGGTCGAGGAGCTCTTGCATTTGTTCACTGTTTTCCCGGTACTCCTGTGAGGAGGTATCCACTGCCGTGGGAAGGACGGAAAGAGCTGAAGCATGGTGAGGGTGTGTATAGCTTGCTACTGTTCGATAAGTTGGTCGTATAATCTTTGTTGACTGGCAAAATGAATTTGGTAGACATTGGCGTCCGAGTCGTGAGCCCCAGCTCCGAAGGACGAGCGGGGACGCGGCACGCATTGCGGGGAAGAGGGTGGAGTATGTAGACGGTTTTAAGATGATGGCAGAGCACACAGCTCAAGTCAAAATGGAGAGGATTGAGTATAGTATGAGATCTCCAAGGTATTTAAACTTGTATGGAGAGTGGCAGAAGAGAAGCGAGGCACAAAGCTGGGGTAGCCCCAAATATGCGGAGGTGCGACGTTTGCCGCTTCTACCCGAGGTCCATGTACGTCCATGATCCCCATGGCAAGAGACCGAACGGCGTAGCACAATTGTTGAAGCAGAGGGAGCATAGAAGAGACAAATCAATTAGCTTGTAGATCGATTAGAGTATTGGTCGGAAATCCGAAAATATGAAAAGTTGCTTCCAAAGTAAGAAACCCTTAGTGTAACGAGTCCATCCTTGATTGCGCGCTGAGGACTACCGCCCCTCCCTTCACACATATTTAAAGGGTCCACTTCCCCAAAGACAATACCCCCGGATTTTGCATTCTACATCTATTCTCTCCCACAATCATGGCCTCTCTAGCCCTTCCCTCTCTTCTTCGCACGTCAACGCGCGCGGCGCGGAACCGCATCCCCGCACTCACCCCATGTTTCCGCTCCATCTCAACAAAACACCCCACAGGCTTCGCACCTCCTTCCGAGGCAGATCTGCTAGAGCTGCGGGAACGTGTGCAAGATTTCACAAGTACGCTACCCACACTTTTTCCCAAGCTGAATTTCTAACATTGTTGTTACAGGGCGAGAGATCCCAGAGGATGTTGCTGCACGGACCGATGAACAGAATGAGTTCCCGGCGGAAATGTGGAAAAAGATGGGTGATGCTGGGTATGTGTTCTAGTGGTTGATTCTCTGCTGAAAGAGAGGAGTGTGTTACGGTACCCACGCTAACAGATAACGAAGGTTCCTCGGTGTCACAGCCAACGAGGAGTACGGCGGCTTGGGGATGGGCTACCAGGCACACTGTGTGGTGATGGAAGAGATTAGCCGAGCGTCCGGTAGGTCTCTCCGTATAAATGCATTAAAAAAATTGATCTGACCTGGATACTGGTTAAATAGGAAGCATCGGTCTCTCTTATGCTGCCCACTCCCAGCTCTGTGTGAACCAGCTCTCCCTCAATGGCTCGACAGAACAAAAGGAACGCATTCTTCCCGGTCTCCTATCGGGCGAGAAGGTCGGTGCCCTTGCAATGTCGGAGCATTCAGCTGGCTCCGATGTAGTTAGCATGAAGACTACAGCGAAGGAAGTTGATGGAGGCTGGCTCTTGAACGGAACCAAGATGTGGATTACCAATGTAAGTCATTTTGGTGGTATAGATTGAAGTGGAAACTCTGAACGCATTGCTCACACTTTCTTACAGGGCCCCGATGCCGATTACATTGTCGTGTACGCCAAGACAGAGCCTGAACTAGGCTCCAAAGGCATCACAGCGTTCATAGTTGAGAAGACCTTTGAGGGTTTCTCATGTGCACGTAAGCTGGACAAGTTGGGTATGCGTGGCTCTAACACAGGCGAGCTCATCTTCGAGGATGTTTTCGTTCCCCGGGAGAACCTACTAGGTGAGGTGAACCGCGGTGTCCGTGTCTTGATGGAGGGTCTGGATTTGGAGCGACTTGTTCTGAGTGCCGGTCCACTCGGGTGAGCCATCCCATACCACAGTGCATCTTTCACATTCTAACACTCGCCAGAATCATGCAAGCCGCACTTGACCTTGTCCTTCCTTACACACACGTGCGCAAGCAATTCGGTACACCGATCGCCCACAACCAGCTGATCCAGGGCAAGCTTGCGGACATGTACACTAAGCTGGCTGCCTCGCGTGCGTACACTTACGCCACGGCACGGCAGGTAGACAATGCCGCTGTGGAACCTGGCGCGCTGGCCGTCCGCACTCAGGACTGCGCTGGTGCCATCCTCTATGCCGCTGAGCGCGCGACTGAATGCACGCTTGATGCCATCCAGCTCATGGGAGGAAGCGGGTACATCAACGAGATTCCAGCTGGGCGCCTTCTCCGCGACGCAAAGCTGTATGAGATTGGTGCCGGAACAAGTGAGATCCGCAGGATGGTCATCGGCCGCGCATTCAACAAGGAGTACGCTTAAGCAGGAGAACGATAGATAAAATCATTTTACTTGGGAGGATACTATCCCTCTGAGGGGTGTATGCATATTCATTTTAGTTGTTGTACATGTCATAAATGGCCCTATATTACATTATACAACCTATTTCTTCTGCCTAGCCGACCTGCGCACCGGCGGTGCCGCATCACGTTTTGTAGCCTTGTCACCACCGGCTTTGCGAGCACCGGCTTTGCGCAACTCAAGCCTCTTGGGACGAGGCGGAGCTGTGTCCTCGTCCGTGTCATCCTTCTGTTCAACCGCCTTCCGCTTCCGCCCTCTCTTCAACGGAATCACGACCTTTGGGGGCGAAGACAGTTTCAGCGAGCGGAAAGAGTCCGGGTCCGGATCCGGGGTTGTGTTCGAGGCATCCCCAGCATCCCCAGCATCAACGCCCGAGGTATCCGATGAGGCAACATCAGACATCTCGTCCGAGCTATCGAGCTCATCGTCGGTGCCGTCATCAGCGAACATTCCATCGTCAGCCAGCGAGGGGTCGACGGGCTTGGATTCGATCAAGTTTCGCCTTTTCAAGCGTGATCTATCTAGAGCCGGCTGGGAATGTTTGAAGACCTCCCGCCAGTTCTCTAGAAGCGCGACTTTCTCGCCTGTATCCGGCTCATATAAGATGGCGACGTCCTGATCCCGGTCCAGCGCCGGTGTTTTCCACACCACGCCCTGGAAAGAGGTGATATCCGGCACCAGGGGGATTTTGTCGGCGGGACTCTGGCGATCCGGCCCATTGCGCGGGAAGAAGGCTTCGTTCGTCGTGGTGCTGTCGCTGCGATCTCGGTTCTTTTCTTTCTCTCTGCGCTTTGTTCGACGGTTGCGTCATCGTCGTGGTAATCGTCTGAATAATAGTCCCAGTCGCTGAAGTAGTCTTCGACATCAATTCCTGGGTCTTCATATAGGGCGGCTTCGTAGTATGAGGAAGCGGCGAGATCGTCCTGGACAAGCAAAGTTTTAGTGTCTGGATCGGTGCTGTCTTCTCTGCAGAACTAAGACATAATTCGGCCTAGACATAGCCTTAAGGATTTAACTTACGACCATGTCTGGGACTAAGTCCTCATACATGTAATCATCCTCGAATTCATAGTATTCATCGTCGTCGGACATCTTGGGGTGGATCCCGAAAAAAAAGTTGAAAGGGATGAAGCAGCGAGAATGTCGAGGCGTTTTGCTGAATGAATGACCAGACTTGAACGACAGTAAATCAAGTCAAGGTATGTACAGCACAAACCAAGGATGCACGGCTGACGTGATGGAGTGAAGATCGGACTGATCGTGCATTATTGAAGATGGATGGGAATTCTGCTAACATAAGCCTTGGCGTTTCCCGAGGTCAGATCTACATCTCATTCACTATATGGCTTCGTTATTGAACTTCTTCGATAGCGTTGACAGAAAAATCCATGAAATATACAAAAATTATCCTCTGTTCAATTAGCGTCAGGTCATACCTTAGGTATGGATGTAGATTCTGCTATCCTGTTCCGCTCTATGTTATAAACTTCCTTTGGGGTCATTCTGCATGAGATGGCTGTTCGGTCCCCTGATTTGCAGACACTTTTGACTTCGCCCTCCGTTCTGTATACAGCACCGGCTAGCAATTACATCCAGAATGCATGCAATATTAGGACTCGGACATCATAGAACTTTGTCATTTTCGACTTATAGCATTGCAAGTGTTCAGGTGATAATCTTTAAATGTAGTCTGTCAAGTGGGTTCGAAGTATTATACCATGTACAGTATACCCTTTCCTCATTCGAGGTCGGACATCTAAACTATACAACGTTTTCATCTCGTAGAAAACGAGTCAATTACTTGAATAAATGTCGGAGCCTATGAAGGCTTGCGTCATTAGTGAATATATATATCCCTCCCTCCTCTCTCCTTTCTTCTTTTTTTTCTTTCCTACAACCATCCCACACCATGTGCCCCAGACGCCTACCAATGCTTCGTCCCCACTGAGACTCCCACCTGTTGAAGAATATTGAATTTAACAAGCCCACCAGAGTCTTTTGGAAGAAAACACCTGTATGCTTTGAATTCTGAATTTTTTAATCCTCATCACCTCGGTGCTTGGGTAGGGGCGAGGGGCCCTAGCCTTTATTCAAGCGCCGGGAATCCGCGATTTGCCATCTGGATTGGAGGTCTTCAGTAAAGACTGCGGCGCCTGCGGTCTTTGCTGGTGGCTGAAAATTTGGACTCTCATATTCTCTCATTCTTCGCCGGTGTTTGAGGAGAGATCCAGGGCCCGGGTCTGTTTTCAAACACCGAGCATCCATATTCTTGATACCTGGGTTAGATGCACTGAGTGGAGACTGTGGCGCCTGCAGTCTTTATTTGGTGCAGATAATCCAGGCTCTCAAAATCTCCTGTCCACCGATACCTACATCCATAATTTGAGATTTGAATGTCTGAATGAGGATATGTACCCCCGGCTAAAGTAGACATGGTGTGGGATTGGATCACTCGAACTTGTCTGTGGATGTCTCTCTCATCCCCATCCAGACCGGCAGTTTTTCCCACAGGGTTTCCTGCCGACTGGACATTCAACCACTTTGAAAATCCCGTGGTGAACGACTTCACGTTCAAGTGGGAGCTTTTCCCCCGTGGTTTTCTCCCAGTTGAACACTCACCACGGTTCAATTGATACTAAAATGTGATTACGACGATCGATCACTAGAGGCACTCTTTCCGGGTAGAACGCTTTCCCCACGCGGGTTTTGCTTCTGGTCGGTTTTAATGAGGCCTCAATTCGCACCAACTCGAAACCGTGTCTTGGACGGATCAACACTGTCGTGTGGCATGGGAAAGGTCTATTGGGAATCGAATCGAATGAGAAGCAAGCCGGCAGGGCTGCCAGACATGGCAGCCCGTGCCATCTAGGGCACCCGAGTGCTCTTCGAACCGACGAAGAAGAAGAAGAAATCTGACAGGGGCTGCCATACCACTGACAAAACAGACATGGCATGGCAGCCCATGTCAGCTAGGGCACCCGAGTGCTCATCCCGAACCGAAGAAGAAGAAAACCGGCAGGGGCTGTTATGCCACCAACAACATAGGCATGGCAGCCCATGCCATCTAGGGCATCGAAGTGCTCAGCGGACCGACGGAGAAGGATATTGGTAGGGGCTGTCATACCACCAACACATAGGTATGGCAGCCCGTGCCATAAAGAGCACTCACATCCTATTGATCCCACCTCACACCGAAGGAGACAGGGAGTATCTCAGAGAAGAAGAAGAAGAAGAAGAAGAAGAAGAAGAAGAAGAAGAAGAAGAAAAACCACCAATAACAGTACGGAAACCAAAAAGAAAACAAAAGAAAACAAACCCGAAAAAGTTGAACAGCATCAATGTCGATATCAAACAGCAACAAAAAGAAAATCAACAAAATCAACAAAATCAACAAAACAAGAAAAAACAAGAAAAAAAAAGAAAGGAGGAATTTTACGGCAAAACAAAGGGGGACTGAAATCTATGTATGAGGTACTCTTTCCAGCAGGTTGTATTTATCCCATAGGGTTTTCTTCCTGCTGGTTTTAACGAGGCCTCAAATTTATGTAGGAGGAGTTGGCTCCCAAGGCAATTGGGCTTCAGTTTCTGGAAATTGATATGTAAAAGGCGTTGCTAGGCAGTCCGAGGGAGGGCATGGCACCTCTCTTTCGGGATGTCTAGTGACCAACTCGAAGGCTTATATAGTTGTTGCTGGATAGTTCGGGGGAGGGCATGGCACCTCTCTTCTGAATTTTCTAGTGACCCAACAAAATTAAATCAGTTTTAATTATCACTTCAATCATTATGTATTCTTGATATCGCGCTAGGCAGATAATCGTCGTGTAGCCGATCTCTGTCTTCGCGGCTAATGCGAGATGTGTCTTGTTTAGAGATATATCTTCGCAATTCGAGGGCTGTATGCACTCTAATCCATGCTGATAGTTGACTCAATCCTCAGTCAATAAAGTGCTGCAGTAAAGCTCCCAGGTACCTGAGCATCCCAGCCAATCCAAGAACATCTCATTGAGCCCTTGTCGCAAAAGTTCATCCCCCATATAGTACGTCCTCGTCTTATCCCACACAGCGGTTCCAAAAACACTCTGAAGAGGCTTCCCTGCTTGTATCGTTTCGCTGGATTCCAGTAAGTCCATCCAGTAGACACTCCCCGGGTGCCAACGCCGCTCCTCATCCGCGGCTGATGCAAGGCTGTCAAATTCTGGTAGTGATCGGACAGTCTCCCAAATTCTAGGTGCATCGTAGTATGACGGCCGACCATATTTCCTCAAGACTTGCTGGGTGAACTCAGGGTCGACCATTTGTCGAGATGTTCGTCGTAAGTAATCGATCTGCTGATTTATAAGAGCTTGTACTGTCTTTCTTTCTTGTCCGGGATTCCCTCCCTTCTCCGTCTTGTCGAGATAATTAGTAAGTTCATCTCTCAGTTTTCGCAAACGATATTGTGTCCATTCAGGATATAGAGAGCCCGTATCCGCATAAGGGCGGACGTTTGTAATATAGCTAGAGTCATAAACGTTTGGCAAGGTAGAACGGTACGAAGTGATGGTCGATATCCGCTCCTTCACACCTTTCGCCCGGGCAGCTAGATGACAGACTTCACCGCCTTGGAGCATGACAGCATGGCCAATTTGGGGGCCCTCAATCTTAACAGATTTAGATTAGGGAGGGTGTTTTAGTTTTGGTAAAATGGACTCATACACACCTTCTGTACCTCTCCGTCTCCCCTTTTGATATATGTCTCGCCTCCAATCATACCCTCGGTACCGCTTAACATCAATACACACACGTAAGGATACGAGTCGTAGCTTTGGTCCATTTAGTATCGTTGGTGTTACCCACAACTCGATAAGGGCATGAACTTACTGCCACGGAATGATAGCACTGGCATCTTTCAAGGGATTGTAAGTTCGGTCTTCAGAACTCAACTCGACTTTTTCAACCGCCGGCTCAGCTTTAAGATTGCTGGTCATTTCGGCGACGGTAGTGCCTTCAACTTGAATGTTAGTGTGCCCTATTTCCGTTGGCATCACCACCTCCAGAGGTACACCGGCTGCTTCAGACACAATTCTCATTGTTTCGGGGTTTGTCCAAAAGTCATTGACAAACTTTGAATGCTTCACCGCATCGCGAAGGACCAAAGTCCCTGAGAATGGTGAACTGGCACAGTTGTCTAAAACGTCCTTTTGGAACAGGGCGTTTCGATAGGCTTTGACACCTTTAGCTGACAACAATGGAAACGGCACTGTTCCTGCAATGGGCGAAGCATTTGGACTCTGATTGAGAAGCAAGTCTTGCATTGTAAATTTCTTCGAAGGTGGAGTGTAGTTGAGGTGCACCTATTAGATGAGAGTTTAGAGGCGGAGGTTTGTTAGACACTGGAATTTGTCTAGATCCGCATACCTTTGGATCGAATGTCTCTTCACTGGTAGGCTTGTGAGAGGAGCCCTCGATATACTGCTTCAACAAGCTCAAAGGATTCATCATGAGCATGATACCAAGGCAATCAATGGCTGTTGGTTTTACAATTGAAATTAGATATATGACCCAGGAGCAAGAAAGATATAGTTGAAGCCAGAATCCACTGTTTAATAGTCGGTGCAACCAAAGTTATAGTTACAAAGTACTCGGCTTGGGTTGACTCACTTGGGCAGTCCGCTACAGCCCAGATAAGCCATTCCTATCCAGGAAGGCCTGTCCGGGGTATATCGTCGGAGTCTCATATAATAGGAATCTATGCCTACTTTTGAATGCTTGCTGCTCTAATTGAAGTGTAAGCTGCCAATTGTAATCGCCCCTCGTGAGTTGTGAGTTTGCTACCATTCCTCACATAACCTTTGCCAGACAAGAGATAACTTTGCTGTTCGTTGTATCTCCCGAAATGCAACAAAAATCCTACTTATCGCTGTGTTCTTGATTTATCTTATCGAAAATCTGGTGCGATAAGTTGGAAGTCTGACACTGGTCAGTTGGATATCACGAGAGCAGAGATGGAAGATCCAAGTCTAAATTATGAGATAGAATCACCGTATTGGGGCTACTTGTATCTCACCGTTTGTCAATATCGAAGCTTGATGTTGAAGTAAATGAGTTTACATAGATATAGCGGTATGGTGCTGCGTTTCCAATATATATCCAGCGTAGAGATTCATATGGCTACTATTATATGAATAGGTGAGTATACCCACCCCAAGGAATCCAAACCCGAGTCTGAGCGACCATAGTGTATCATTACCTGCAATCACCCGTTCACTGAGCCATCAAGCAAACATCGACTGACCTCGTGACCATTTCCCCGGGGACCAAAGCGGTTGATTATGTCATACTCTCGGCTTTCCCCGCATCTCGCTTTGCGTCGGCTCAAGAGCTACTCCAAACCCTTGAGATTTTCCCATACATTCTTTACTTCATCCCTTTGAATACCCTGATTATGCTTACATTGTGATTCAAGATACACCGTATAAAGACCTCATTGCAGCTGGAAAAGCTGTTCCTTCATCATGACCTTCTCATCCCTTCTCCGCATTACCCCCCGCTTAACCCCGACCGCGGCCCGCAGAACATCGCGAGCGGTATCGTCAGTCACTAACACATCAAATACAACCAAATCACTGGACTCGATTCTCATTGCGAATCGAGGAGAAATTGCTTTGTAAGTGAGGCGCTAGATTAAGTGGAGTTGATGCTCACAACAATCTTCTAGACGAGTTGGCCGCACTGCCGCGGAACGTGGGATCCGGGTAACAACACTCTACACCGACCCGGATAGCCGAGCTCAACATGCCTTAGGCTCCCCCTTCGCCTTCAATCTAGGGTCAGTGTCGGCGTATCTCGATGGTGATAGAATAATTGAAATTGCAAAGAAAGAAGGGTGTCAAGCTATACACCCAGGTTACGGCTTCGTAAGTTGCTTGTACAAATTGAGATCCTAGTTAGGATACTGACTCGTACGTCGATCTACAGCTTAGTGAGAACTCTGCATTTGCACAAAAATGTACCGAGGCTGGACTGGTCTTCATTGGCCCGCCGTACAAGGCCATTGAGGATATGGGCAATAAGAGGTACGTTCCTTGTGCTATTTGCATACTCACTATGCTGACCAAACCTACCCTACCAGTCGTTCCAAAGAGATTATGACAGCTGCCGGTGTGCCATGCGTCCCCGGCTACCACGGAAAAAATCAAGACCCTGCTTTCCTCGAGCAGCAGGCGGACCAGATCACATACCCGGTGCTAATCAAAGCCGTCAAAGGAGGCGGTGGAAAGGGTATGCGCATTGCCGATTCCAAAGAAGTGTTTCAGGCTCAGCTAGAGTCGGCTAAGTCAGAGGCCATGAACTCATTTGGAGATGACAATGTGCTGGTGGAGAAGTATATCACCACACCACGACACATTGAAGTCCAGGTATTTGCAGACAAACATGGTAACTCCGTTGCACTTGGAGAGCGAGACTGCAGTATTCAACGGAGACACCAGAAAGTTCTAGAGGAATCTCCGGCGCCTCATCTCCCTGATGCAACTAGAAAGGACCTCTGGGCAAAGGCACGGGCCGCCGCAGAGGCTGTCGGGTACGAAGGTGCCGGTACAGTGGAGTTCATTTTTGATAATGACTCGGGGGATTTCTATTTTATGGAGATGAACACCCGCCTTCAGGTTGAACATCCCGTGACCGAAATGGTCACAGGACAGGATCTTGTCCACTGGCAGATTCTGGTGGCTGAAGGAGCTAAGCTGCCCCTTACGCAAGAAGAAGTGGAAGAACGTATCGCCCAGTCTGGCCACGGTATCGAGGCTCGAATCTACGCCGAAAACCCAGAACAGGGATTCATCCCCGACTCAGGGCGTCTACTCCATGTGCGAACGCCGGCTACTTCGGAGGACATCCGCATTGACGCAGGCTTTGTGGAAGGAGACGATGTCTCAGCTCACTATGATCCCATGATCTCCAAGCTTATCGTGCGTGGGGCGAATCGTGAGGAGGCCCTCCGTAAGCTGGCTGCTGCTTTGGAGGAGTATGAAGTCGCAGGACCTGTGACCAACATAGAGTTCGTAAAGTCCATCTGCAAGAGCCCCGATTTCATCGCCGGTAAGGTCGAGACCGGTTACATTGAAAAGCACCGTGAAGAGCTTTTCGCGCCGAAGAAGATGGACGATGAGGTGCTAGCGCAGGTTGCATTGGCATGTCTACATGGTGACAGTGTCTCAGGGGCGCGATCCTCAGCAGGAGTTGCGGGCTCCACGGTAGGGTTCACTCCTAGTTACCAAGAGCGACAGTTGTCATTTACCGAGACCGCCGGCCCAGGGTCTAGCGATGGCTCCACGTTCAGTGTGCGGGTACAGCAAACAACAGATGACACATTCAACGTGGAAGTCGGCGGACGTGTGTTTGAGCAAGTGGTGAGCCGCATGGATCCGGCATCGCACACCGTCACATCATTTTTCCCTCACACCCGGTTAGATACAACCGTGGTTCGAGACGAGGACACGATTATCGCATTCCAACGAGGAACCCAGTACCGCCTCACGGTGCCCCGGGCTAAGTGGATGGAGAAGGCCTTAGGACTCAAGGATGTGAAAAACAGTGTCCTGGCTCCGATGCCTTGTAAAGTCCTGCGGGTGGAGGTACAGGCGGGAGATGTAGTGGAGAAAGACCAGCCGTTGGTTGTTATCGAGAGTATGAAGATGGAGACTGTGATTCGCAGCCCACAACAGGGAACCATTGCGCGGGTTGTGCATAAGCAAGGAGTAAGTCACGCGCCTCTGACTTGGTTTCATCGATTTCCTCGAACCCCTTTCACTTTGTTACTGTTTCGTTTGAATATTTGCTTTGAATTTGAAGATTCAAGAGCAACTGACTAACATGTACTCTGCAGGATCAATGCAAAAGCGGAACACCCCTGGTGGAATTTGCCGAGTCCGAATAGAAGGGTGACACACACGTCTAGGTTATGCTCATTCGATCTCGCATTCCCATTACAGTGTGAAAGTCGAAAACATTTTCCTTCGTAAACCGCGTTCTCTGGTTTTTTTCTTTTTTTTTGGGGGCATATCAGATATCACATCTTTCTTCCACAATAGATTGGATTTGATCATCATTTTTGCGTGTGAACATGAAACGCGAGCAATTAAAGAAGTTCCAGTCCTGAAGTGTGATGTGCTGGACAGCTAGATGTTGAGTCCTTGTCCGATATATTGCTTTGGGCCGTGACAACTTCTGAAAATGCCCACTCATCTTTAGATTCTTAATCCGCCCTTCTCCAAAAATTGCTATCATTGTCAGCATCGTAGTCATCGTCGTTGTAGCCTCCGTCAGAGGAGCCCTCTTCAAAATCATCCGACGGTACGTTGGACCCGCGCCAATCCCATCCTTTCCATAGGTTCACCACACCAGTGAGTGTCTACCCCAGACTTGCCATTCTCCCTCTGATATCCAAGCTTGGAGCTTCCTCAGAAAGCTTGACGTTTTCCTGAAGAGATGGAATTTCTCTGAGACAAGCGTCAGCCAGCACAAGGGTGTCGGCACCTACATTGGGGTTGTCAAATGACTTGCGATTGTATTCCATGGTAAATTACTCAAGGCGCTCATCACGATCGTATGAATGCGATGTCGGATCATAGGGGCAAAACAACATATACTCTTGGTATTTCTTCCAATTTCGACTCTGTATACCCAACTTCATGATTTGATCTGAAATACTATCTGAACAGTAAGAAGTAGTAGCAACTTGATAACATTGTGACATTGCAATGACATTGAAAGGGTAAATCGGGGCCCCACATTAGCTTAGGCCATGTCCACTACCCCAGAGATCACTTGGACGTATCAGGGAACTTGATTATTGCCCTGTTGTATGAGCGCTCTCTTTTCAGGTACCTAGCATGTACCTAGCCTGTACCGGCTCGGTGGCAAACGCAGTTGTACCCCAAAGTAACCGGGCAAAGGCTGGCAAAGGCTGGCAAATGCATGTTGCCCCCCGAAATGCAGAAAGTGACTGGTCCATTTCGCAAAACAGAGTCATAGCTCAAAATAGTATGTACCTTTAGTCCAGCTCCAAGGAAAGGATACCTCGAGTAGCGTAATGTACAACTGTGTCTGTGCATATATATATATTACAGTATACAAATTGAATGAAGCCGATCTGACATCACCTTCAAGTCCTGTTTTACAGAAACAAAAGACCTACAGAGGACAGATTAAGCTCAATCGCCCCACGCTGTCCATTTGTCTCACCGTGCATTCCCCAGAAAAAAGGTGTCCGATGACCTTTGAATACCCTGCCCCCTGGATAGACCCTTCCTACCAATTTCCTCTTTCTTCCTGACTTATACACATTGTGTCTCTCTCACTACTCCATATACCTCCACAGCTCCAGTACACCTGAAGCTGTGATCTCCAAAATGTTCAAGCCTGCAGTCGCACGCAATGCCATCAAAGCTCTGAACACCGTCCGACCTAGCTTCGCGGCTGCTCGCCCAGCGACAGGCTTCACCCGACCTCTCTCATACACCGCCTCACTTGGAAAGAAGAAGGGCGATGACCCTGCAAAGGACCCCTTCCTCGCTGCTACAACAAAAGCTCCAGAGGGTGCTGCTGGTGTGGCCGAGGGCCAATTCGCTCGTACCGATGAGAGCGTTCACATCGAATACCCTCCCGACAGCGAGATGCCCCCCCAGCCCGTGGCCCAAGGACGCGGTGGCATGCATTTCAAGCGGACTCTAGCCCAATTCTCACTTGAGAAGAAGGTCAGCGTCGTGACTGGGGGTGCTCGTGGCTTAGGTCTGGTCATGGGCCAAGGGCTCGTCGCTTCCGGCTCAGATTTAGCGATTATAGATCTCAACAGTATGTTCTACAGCCACTACGAACGAGCGGACCGAACGATGCATCCTAACATCTGCCACAGAGGACGAAGCCGAGTCCGCAGCTGCCTCGTTGATCGAGCAGTTCCGCAAGGAGAATCCCGGTCTGGAAGTGTACGTCCATTGCCATACAATTCCAACTCACTGCAGTGGCTAATTCGGACAACAGCATGCCCAATGTCACTGCTCATTACGCGGACGTCGCCAGCCCCGATTCCGTGCAGGATGCCATGGCCGAGGTTCTGGCCAAACACGGCCAAATCGACAACCTCGTCACCTCTGCCGGCTTTACCGAGAACTTCGAGGCCATCAACTACCCATTTGACCGTATGCAGAAACTGTGGGGCGTCAACGTCGACGGCACATACCTCTTCGCCATCAATGTTGCTAAGCACCTGATGGAGCGCAATGCGCCCGGTAGCATTGTCATGATCGGCTCTATGTCCGGTTCCATTGTTAATGTCCCCCAGCCCCAGGCTCCGTACAACGCCGCAAAGGCAGCTGTGCGCCACCTTGCTGCTTCGCTCGCTGTGGAGTGGGCTGGCCATAATATCCGGGTTAACTGCATTAGCCCTGGATACATGCTCACTGCTTTGTAAGTCCTCCTGGCATAGACGATGAGACACATTTGAAAAAAAGGAATACGTGCTAACATTGTCTTCATTCAGAACCCGGAAGATTCTCGATGAAAACCCCCAGCTCCGCGACCAATGGATCTCTCTCATCCCTGCTGGCAAGATGGGTACACCGGAGGACCTGATGGGCGCCGTTACCTTCTTACTCAGCGATGCCTCCAAGTACATCACCGGCGCGGATCTCCGTGTTGACGGTGGCTACACCGTGACCTAAGCACGTTTTCTACGTTCTTTCGGTATTTTTAGTCCGATTTCCCTATTGCATTGTACTAGCTATCTTTTCATGGATGTGAATCCGATATATACCAGTCATATGTTACGGCATGAGTTGCGATATAACTTGGCCATACATCCCGAGTTTTGCATTTCATGAAGCCACGAAATTCCCCTTGTCTCGGACTGGTTCAAAAAGTTCAGTTGATTCTATACATTTTTCATCTTCTTAATTTGAACAATCCAAGTTGAAACCATGAGCCATTCAGTGTCGAGGGAGCTCATAATTATACATACATCCAAAGCTACACGATGGACTAGACCAATTAGCTATCCTAGCACCTTGCAGAATGTAAAATTTCAAGACACATCTGCGCGTAGTATTAATAGGTCCCTGACTCACCTGCATTCCAGGATGCACCTTGCACAACCTGGAATTGGGGATTCCGCCGGGGCATGTTCCGATCTCCCCGTCACGATTCTACATGGCGTAGATGCGCCCCCTAAATTGTGTACCGAGAAAAGTCCATTTCACAAAGGAAGCTGTTTCCCCCTGTCTTTCTTCTGCCATCTACAAGATTTACATCACTGGGCATTTTCGCGACGTCTCATGCTAGACTCGCGAGCCCTGTTGCGCTTGTTGGACCAGATTTCAAACAGCTTTGAAGCAAAGAAAGTAATTTCTTGTCGAGATCTCCAAGGTAGAAAGATGATGGTCGTTCGGAGGAGGGAAACAACCGCAAATATGATCAACTCATCCGGAACACCATTTTCCATACCTCGGTGCAGATTTCCTGTTAAAGCCTCACGATCATAATTTCCCGTCTTGGCTACTTTCGCTCTGTCGATCTCTTTTTTATCTCCGACTCACACTTCCACGCTCTGTGCCGAACCCACTTAGCTCGGCGCTGAAGAAAGTCCCCTTGTAAATAGAAAAGAGCGTAACCCCCCCTCTTTGTCAGTTCAACTCCCATTCCTCTTTCCAATCGCCCACAAGCAACGATGCGTTTCAACTCCACATTGAGCCTGGCCATGCTTGCCAGCGCCACAGCCGCTCAATTGACAACCCAACTATTCAACTTCACCAGCTCAATTAACATTGAAAACAGCGAGCTCCGTCCTAACGGCCATCTCCTGCTCACAACCTTCTACAAAGCCCATCTGTACACAATCAACCCGCTAGCCCAGAAACCCAAAGCCGAGCTAGTCGCCGCGCTTCCCGGCGCTACAGCTCTAACCGGGATTGCGGCCGTTGGTTACGACAAGTATGCCGTCGTAGGCGGAGTACGGGGATCATACCACTACGACAATGAAACCATTTACACCGTCGACTTTAGCAAGAATGCCTCGAACCCCACCATCCAGACAGTCGCTCACATCCCCGACGCGGACATGCTGAATGGTATGGCTTCAATGCCATCTCAGAAGCATATTCTACTTATCGCAGATGCACGCTTGGGATCGATCTTCCGCGTCGACATAACCACCGGTACATCGAAGGTGGTGTTAAAGAACGACGCCCTTGCCGCGCCGGCAAACTCGTCAATGCCCATTGGCATCAATGGCCTGCAGGTTGTTGGGAGTCATGTGTATTTCACCAATAGTGCGCTGAATATCTTTGCCCGGGTACCTGTCAGCGAGGATGGACAGACCTTCGGCCGGATTGAGGTCATTGCGCATCTAGAGCGTGAGGCTGGTGATACTGATTCGGATTGGGATGATTTTGCTATTGATGAGAGGGGAAATGCTTATGTTGCGCAGCCGCTCAATACCATTGCTAAGATCACGCCGGATGGAAAGCAGAGTGTTGTTGCCGGTGGTGGTGATAGATTGACTTTTATTGGACCTACGTCTGTGCAGATTGTGCCGGGCAGGAAATTGGCCTATGTGACTACTCGTGGTGGCGATAAGGGGGGGTGTTTCTTATGGTGGGCAGGTTGTTGCTCTTCAGCTTTGAGAGTAGATGGTGTAAAGTCTGTACGCGCATTTATCTATGGGTAAATATCATTTTATATAGAGATGCTGGCCGTGAATTAGTGTTCCACTATCATCGATACAAGAATATAACGCCAAAAAGGTGAATACATGAAATGTCACAAAAAAGGCAGAACGTATATGGTATGTACCACTCACAGGAAAATTAAAAAGCCTCGCGGAAGCTCTCTTGCCTCTTATTAAAGCCCTTCTCCAACCCCGGACTACCTCGTCTTTTTCTCCCATCCGCCCGATTTACCCACTTGATAGCCGAATATCTATTCTTAAGGAGCGCACAAATGTCCGGCGGGAATGCCGTTTCAACTGCTGTCTTGACTGTCGCCATAATCCACATATCCTCATCATTGACCACATTCGACAGCAACATATCCAACACTTCGGCCAATAGCCTAAAATTGCAAGTCAGTGGATCTACGGTGTGGATATTGTGCAAACGGTTGAAGAATATCTTGCTCGACGAGGCAATGTTGACTGTCTTACCAAGCCTCTCTTGGATCGACCGATTTGTGAACTCGGTATGCGAGGTATCCATGGTTGCGCCAGCTAGCAGAAAATCCCTGAGCACCCGGAGATATAGTGCCTCCTTTGCTAAATCCGACGGTACCTCAAATGCCAAATTGAGGTATGCGGCAAAGGCAGGCCAGCATTCCAAATGACTACTCCAGATCATGATGTTGGGATCGGCGCCTCTTTCAAGGAGTTTAGAGATTATATTGCCCTCGAGCAGATCCCAAAACTGTTCCTCTGCAACCGGGTTTGCGCCGCGAGTCCAGGATGTGATGTGACTGATCAAAGTGGTCCATCCAGACCAACTTCGTCTGGGATCTGTGTTGAATTGCTCGTCATTTGGGTCAATGTCTTGGGTCTCCACAACTAAGCGCAGCATCTCGGTGCCGCAGCTCTGCCATGCTTGACAGAGGGTTGGTTTGCCGTGCGCACCTTCGGGGACTAGTATGCACGGAATGAGCGAAGGACCCAGATTTGAAAGATAGTCTGATTGCTTAGGTAGTTTCCATCCGAGGTACCCTATGTGTTGTCCTTTGATCAGTTGCTCTCGGAAAAATCCGCTCCGTGTTTGTCTACGGCCAAGGCCTTTCAGATGACTGAACTTTGTCAATACAGTGCGGTCGATATCCTCCAAGATCTTGTAAATCATGGTGCTAGGGGTATCGGATTTATCTAATTCGGCGGCGCACGCAAGAGCATTTGTCGTTAGGTATTGCAAGTAACAATTCTTGTACGCCCCAAAATCCTGGCGTACCACCTGCTCTTCAAAGTGGGTTCTCTTGATCATTGAAGTATACACTTTAAGAAGAGAGGAAGCGAGGTTGAACCTAGACGGCGCCTTACCAGCAAGGAAAGTTGACATTTCTTGGGTTCTTAAGAAATCCAGAACAGTTCGGTGCAGAAAGGTAACGGTGCCAGAGTGAGGATTGAGTTCTAGCAGTCCGCGCGAGCGACTGTTCAACCGCCATGCTGTCTCTTCTTTCAGTTCTTGCTCTTCTTTGGGATTGTAGGGTTGGACTGGGATGCCAAAAACGTAATCTTCCTCTTCATATTCTTGATCATGGAAGCCGTAAGCCATCGCATGTAAAGGCTCCTTTGCTGCAATTGCCATTTGAATAGTGGTAGACATTTTGTTGTGGTAAAAGGGTTCAACGGACTCGAGAATTTGTCGGAAGAAGATCTCAAGCTCCTCCGGGAAGCTCTCCAAGCGTCGCCGGATATCCATAAAGCTATCTCTGTTGGTAAGGCCTTCTCGCAGGAGTCTAGTCACAAGGAAGACCCAGAGAAAGACACCACACGCGCGTTTCTCAATATCTTTGATTAACAAGTCGCCCTGAGATGCCTTTGTAGCTAGGGCTGGCCATCGTGGATGCTCATATAGCCGGCATCGAATATATTCGAGAATATCGTTTCGTGTTAGGTCCTGAATGTACAGCTTGTTCCGTGCGTCGTTACCAAAGGCCTCCTCGAACACGTTCCATGGTCGGCTTGAGAGACAGATCTTGATGTTAGGCGATTTGGCGACATCTTTGAGAACCTGGCATAGCTCGTAGTGGTCGCCATCGTACTCATCTAGGCCGTCGACGAAGAAGCAGAGCTGGACGGGGGTTGTTTCCCAGCAAGCAACCTTTCTCAGGGCTGCGTGAAGGTTTGGCAGACTCCACTGCAAAAGATCTTCTTCTTTGTCCATATTTAACCGTATGCTTTCACAAACAGGTTCTATAAGCTCGGAGCATTGTCTGAAAATCCCGTAGAGCAATGTGCGAAGAAGGCCATGCTGGGACTTTTGCATAGTAGTACCTGCGCTCCAAAAGTAGTGACTTGAAATGACAGATCGTTTTGAGCCCGACCATTCTGATAAAAAGTCGAGGGTCATTGGCTCATCGGCGATGAACTTCATAAACGTCGACTTGCCCGAGCCAGGTTTTCCAGAAACCCAGAACACTCCATTTCCTTGCTTTAGCCATGTGGGGAGAAAGGCTGCCGCAGCGGGGGCATTTTCGTCTGGTTCGTAGGCCCATCTGAAGGTCCTCTGATGGGCTTCTGAGATTGAAGTGTGTCGGACTGGTCGGGTGTCGAAGCTCAGGCTTTTCAGGACTTCCTGCTCTTTCTCGACAGTTTTTTGAGAAAGGGATAGCCCAGAGAGGTGCTGCGCAAGGGAATCTATCTCTTGGACTGACGGCGATGACTTTGGGTTTGCATGATGAACCAGTTTTATACATCGCTGAAAATCGTCTAGTGCAGCCGTTATCCGGTCAATCTTGACTGACTGATCGAATTGCAGTCTATTACTCTCAATCTGGAGCTGCATGAGCCGACATGCATTAATCTCTTGAGCGTGGCTATAACGAGCGACCTAAGTCAGTATTCTGGTGGCTTAGACAGGCTTTTGCCAGCAAATGGGCAATGAACACACCTTGCCAGAGCGCAAATATGAAAGGTCATTGTCATCTGGGTCCTCTGTAGCCGACCTTCCAACTCTTCAATATCCTCCTTCTTCCACAATGACTTCAAGGCAGTGCGAAAGCTTTGCCAGCGTCCTCGCGACCCATCTTTTACTTTAAGATCGCGTACGACAAGCAAGAGTTTCTCGCAATCGGATTGGCAAAGAAGTGACAAAGTTCGAAGCGAGGCGGTATTCTTATCAGACTTACTGCCTGGTCCGTTTAGATAACTGCTGGCATTATCGCGCCCAGAAAGGAGCTCAGAATTAAAGTCATTGAGCTCCCCATAGAGCGTGTCAAGCGTCAGGATGCCTTCTGTACACCCAGAAGAAGACCTACGGACTTCCCTGGCCGTCTTGACCAGATCCGACGCGAATTGAACAAACTGCACGACATTACTAGCCAGTCCCAGCGCCGAGAGGGGATCCATATTGGATTTCTCAATGCGATTTTGTGTAACCACTTGGAAATCAGCTTGCGCGAGGAAGAATGTTGGAAGATAGGTTCATCTAATTTTCAAGAGATCGTCAAAGAGGGGACATGAGGCTGAGTTCAAGAGGTAGTTGCGCGTGTCCACGGGCTTTCTCTGACACGTCTTATACACCGCCACGTCGGGCACCGTTAAGACCTGTCTACATCGAGTCATAGCCTGAGGAACACGTTGGGAAATTAGAGACTACCGGGAATGTGAGTCTAGGCCATATAATATACAAACCCGTCGCATTTTTGATAGAGACAAAAGAATTGGCCATGGGGGGACACGGGCTAAGATCTTCTGAACCAGTTAGGTCGGGCTAGGTGAAATTGATTCATTCTGCGAGTGGCTGTGGCTGTGTGCCGGCGCCAAGAGACCGGTATTCTAAGATCTACAAGCTATCCAATTTACGATTATCGTTATCCTACACTACCAAGGGATTAAAGCTACGCGGAGTACTTAAGGCACGTGAACTATAGCGCCTAGAATAATATATCCAACCCATTACTCCAGTAACTTCCTTCTCACTGACACACACGACTCTAACCCATATCAGCCCCCATGAGGCGATCGGATGAAGTCTTTTGTTGAAGACTCGAGCAAACCCGTCCAAATCATCCAGACACATGGCGTCCACGTCTGACTCAATAGACATCTACCTCATACTGATTACCTAGAGGCTCTATTAGGTAGTATTTGTTCCCCGTACCACTAACTTTTGATCTATCTACTTTTCATGGCTTGAACTATCGCACCACCTGAGGTTTTAGTCCTTAGCCTATCTCTATCCCTAGCTAGAGCCTGATTCCGTAAAATCTATGGAGTGTCTACCACTAGCTAGAATAGGAGAAAGAATTTGATGAAAATATTAATCGGTAATTTTATTATCATTGCAAAAATCTAAGAATAAGTATTCACAGATCCACTCACAGAAGGATTGATGTACCTAGTAAAAGGCAACGAGAAGGATAAGGGCTACGGCTAAGGTTCGGAGCCTGGATACGCTATTAGACGGCAAAGGGCTTTTTATATGAGGGCCGAAAACTAGTCAGTCATAATCCCATCACAATACAATACCACACCTTAGCGAGGGGGTAGGGGAAGGGGGCTGAACCATTATTCTTCAAATCATGGGCTTAGCAATCAGTGGCAAGACAAGAGTCGTAGATCTCAGGACAGCGACTGTGCAAGCCACGTGCTAGCCGAGAGGAATTAGAACCAATTTAGTTTGCTAGATCAGTCTAGCAAACTATCCATTGTATCTGAATGAGCGAGGCTGAGATACAAAAAGCAACATATTGAAGGAGACAACTAAGTCTTCGGGGACTCTTTAAGCCTGGCTGTTTTGGGTTAAAGAGGCCCCTCCCATCTGATAACCAGGTGTTGGAATTCAATGACAAGATAAAATTCTATTACTAGTGTCGCGAAGACAGTACCAAGAACATATTTAGGAAGCCAGGTTCATGCCAGAGCAAGCATAAACCAATACTATAGATATCACTGATACACTAGTTAGTGTGTGAGTGTTGTAGAGAAGTGGTCCTAGCTGTGTTCCGAAACGGTGGGTTATGGATATTCAAAGCAGGTTGTGGCTAGGAACGGCTAGTATATGCTTGATATATGCTTATGTATCTGCAGTTCAGGGAAAAGATATTTATGGGTCTTGTAGATCGTTTGCAGTGGATATTCAGTGGAGAAACCTGGAGAAAATAAACCAAACCCAATCACAATCTCCCCCGGGTTTTCTCCACATACTTGAGAACGGCTCATCCATTGGATGTACCGAATTAAGGGGCAAGTGGATGTGAATGTCACCTCGGCATAGCTCCTTGATTTGGGCTGAAGGGTTTTCCCCAGGTCGTATTGGGGGCGTCACATTTAGCAGGTTGACCGCCGATAGGGCTATCGCTGCTACATCCCTGCTTGCAAAAGGACACGCAAGTCGGAATGTAATAAGGCTTTTTTTTCAACGCATCGTTTCTATATGTCAATTTTATTTATAGTAATTGAGTAGAGTACAAATTATTGAGTAGTGTACGAACTTCTTTCCTGTGACATATAGACATTGACGTCTGTAGAGACGGTAAAGCTCAATCCCGAGAGACATGAAGTTGGGAAGTTGACAACCACACAGAGCTATTCAGGGAGGTCTAGGGAGATCTAGGGAGGCTCAGGGAGGTTCAGGCAGAGAGAGATTCAAGATCTATTCGGTCCGGTTTGGAATTGAAAGGGACTTGCTCCCCCACCTTGACCGCTACAGGCAAGGGCGAACCCTCTGGGGTACATTTCTCAAATTCTTTGTTTCTGGACATCGCGACTTTTCTTTTCCTTTTGGAGTGCGTGAAGCTTTTTACCATGATCTTGAGAGCAAACGGCCTACATTTAGAAGCTTGAACTGATGTGGTACCTTAGCTTCGACTTCACCTTTGATATCTCGGAGCTCCAATCGACTCGCCACTTCCAAGTGTTACCAACATCCGAACATCCAACATTACAACATCCAATATTACAGAATCCAGAAGAATAACAACAGAAGTCTTTCCTTCCTCGAAGTTCATCTGTGGGCTTTTTCTCTTTTGTTTACTTTTTCTTTTCTTTTTTTCCTTGCCCAAAGCGTTCTGTTTGTGCTGAACACAAAGGATGATAGGCAAGCCTTGACTTTACATCAGCACGACTGGTCCACGCATCAGCAGTATCACTCGATTCTGCCCCTCCTCGGTATTGCCTCCACTTCATTTATCTTTGTGCAAAGTTAACATCCCGGCGTCATCTCAAGCTCGGCCAAATAAACGTATAACATGGAGCCAAAGCTCCCGCAAGGACTGGTGGTCATGTCAAATGTGTCACCTAGTGAGGTTGTGGAGCAGGAGACATTGAGTAATGGTGTATATAAGAGCCTTTGGCAAGGTAACTCCCCCTACTGATCCCTTGGTGGAGGAGCTGACTGACAACAAACAGCCTACTCGACCTCACACTCGGCCAGCAAAGATGAGACTGAACGTCGCCTAGAACATCTTTTCTGGAGGATATGGGGAGCTAAACGACTCTCGACCCGGATAAATCTCCATACTCTAGACCGTCTTGTTCTACGCATCAAGGCACCAGCAAAATTGCCTGTCAGACAAAGGCTCACCAACTCACCGTTGCCTGGGGACAGCGACAAAGAAGAAAAGGTAAACAAAAGTTTGTTCCACGCTGCACCACATCAGCCTATATTGACGATTCATGCAAGCTCATCAATAAGAATCAACCAGCCCACGCTGCCGGAGCCTGTCCCCCTCACTCAATATTGAAGAAGCCGCAACATTCAGAAGTTGAAACACATACAACAACCCGCTTACTTCTTGACACTCCTCTCGGCACGAAAATAATACTTGAACCTTCCGATTCTCCTTCTTCCATCGCCAACATGGTTGCTGAGCCCGCCCCTACCTCCGATCTGGATAACATGGGCCATCAGCGTCGCAAGAAGCCTTCAGTGGATTCTGATTCTACGCTCCTGTCAGAGAAGGTTGGCAACCATGGTTCCAAGAAGACGTCCATTGCTGCTGAAGCTACCATCATTCCGGAGAATGTGGGTCATCATGGTCCCAAGAAGACCTACCTTACTGCGACACGCAACGGACGAGGCCCACGCCGCCGGCCAGTCTTCAACCGCCGCAAGTCCTCGCAGGCGTCTATCTCGAAAACCGCACCTCCCACGCGCCGTCGCTCTGAGCCATCCACCAAGGCCGATGGCACCAACACCCTCTACGAAGACAGCTATGTAGAGTTGGGCCTATTGCAGCACCTCAGTTTCCGCGATGAAGAAGACCAGATCGCGCGTGATCTAGGGCGTGAGATTGCACCTGAGCCAAAACCCGTCAAGCCATCTGTGCCACTATTTGATGATGAATTTCTCGATGAACCTTCCGCCGTGGAAATTGCGAAAGCAGCTCCAAAGACGTCCCCTGTTCCCTTTCCGCGAGCTTCTTCCCTCCGACACCCAATGTTGAGCCCTGAGGACTTTGGCAAAATCACCCCGTCGTTCGGCGTGATGGAGAGTCACCTCGACTTGCCTGGTGGGCCGGAGCTTGTGGCTCCTGATGATGTCGAAGGGGACTGGACCGATATTGACGCTATTGATTCAACACTTCCCGTCTCACAGCCATTCAAGAACTTGGTCTCGCACCGTGAGATCATTGACCAAGAGCTTTCACCTGTACAGCCCGCCGCCCCAATTATTCAAGAGACTTCACTGCTGTCATCTGCTATCAAAGAGGTGAAGTTGTGATATCGTATCAATGCGAGACAGAGTCTCGACCCGGCAAACTACAATTGCACATCGGTTTCGGCTCCGACTTTGCCGGCTCTCGGCATAATGTACATTACCATGCCTCAGAGCATGATGACCTGAAGATTTCGGAAATACCAGCTGCGTGAGGAGGATATTACTACAACAGATGCGGGTACTATGGGGGACATGGTGGCATTCGTTCTTTGCATCGGAATTCATAGCCTAGTATTCGAATACAAGAAAAATACCAAGTCCTAATACTGAAGTGTCCGCTTAGACCTTCCAAGGTCATCGTGCGTATTCTATTTCAACGATTTCCATAGTCAACGACGAGACCACATTGGTCTCTCCTGGTGAAACTAAAGACATTGAAAGTCACCAAGGTATGTCTCAAAAAGCCATTGACCCTTCGTATTGAGAGAACGCCACGCATAAAAATACCTAGGCAAAAGCACTGCATACCATAACTCCCGAGCCCAAGTACCAGATTCAAAAGGACAAACGAATGCAAATAATATCCACCCCCTTTTCCACCCGATGCCATCAAGACATCTATGCATGATCCCACCCAATAATCCCACTATCAAAGCGGACATACACCTCTTCAAATCCATCTAAATCTGCTCACCTTTCTCAGCATCGAACCCAGCCTCCGAAGCAGCCGACCTGCGGCTCTTCAACCAGCGCACCAAAACCCAAGATGCAGTCATAATCCAGAACACCAAGTTAATAACATCAACCCAAACAGCATGGCGCATACGATTAATCTTCGACGCATCACCAAGCTCAGAAGTAGCAGCATGATCCACCTTCGCACCCGTGCCCTCCACAGGATGCACACCAATGTACATCTTTCCAAAGATTCCAAACAGCGTCAGCCACAGCACTGTAACGATAAACTCCCACGCAAACTGCGGCAGCAGCAGCGCAGGACCAGGGCCGGCGCCGGGCTTGGCCTTCCGCATGACGAATGGCAAGATGAGGTGAATGGCTGCGGTGACAGTTGCCAGGAAGGCAGTGACGAGCGCGTATACCCATTTCGAGTGCCAGACGTGTTTGTCTGAGTGGTCGTGGTGGACGTCTCTTCCGTACAGGCCGATGACTGTCAGGCCGAAGACGAATTGGAGGAAGCGCACCGTTGAGAAGAGCATGAAAGTCAGTTTTTCGCTCTTGGTTTGTTCTTTGGGGGGCGACTCGAAGTGAATTGTTGTGCCGGGCGTTGCGCCGGCTGGATAGCCGCTCATTGGGTGTTGCTCCGGTTGATAATTTGGTGAGTAGACGCCGGCGTTTTGGTATTTTTGGAGATCTTTCTTGGCTTTGTATTTTTTGGCTTGGGATAAGCCGAGTTTAAAGAGAGGGACGGCCAAGAAAGACATTTGAGTTGTCGGTGCGGTGATGTCGGTGGTTTTTTTTTTGGAAGGAAAGGTGCAGATGGGAGCAATGTAGTTGCTTTTGTAGATATGGCGCACAGCGCGGTGATTATGTTGAGATGTAGAGATATGTAGATTCGAATTCGAATGAGAGAAGACAAGTGTCCCAAGATTCGGCAGACCAGATGCCAAATAAGAGGAATGAAGCTATTGTCGAGATTGTATAGCTGGATATGGGAACAAAGAGAACGTTGCCCAGCGTATTCAAAACGATATAATATGAATAGAAGAGAACAAAGGAAACATAAATGAGAATAGAATGAAAGGCGAGTCTGAACTCATCAATGGCACAGCCCATGGCGGTTCTTTATAGACCAGCTCTATTCTCGTTCCCCGGGCATATTCGTCAGGCCTGTAAGACAACAAAGTCCAATATTGCTATTTTCTGGCATCGGCAGCCCAGTATGAAACGAACCTCCTTCTTTCAGCGCGCGGTTCGCCCTGACGTTGCTCCACTATGTACACATCGTGGCCTTTCATCCAAAGACACTCAGTCGGGGACGAGCAGATGAAACGGATAGATCAAAATAGAATGCCGAACACCCGTGGAAACAAAAGCTAACACGGGCCTTACATCAAGCTAACACCAAATTAGGTCTTGCAGAACTTAGTGGGGGTAGCTTCTGTTCGCGCGCGCCAACTCGAGTCTGATGTGGTTTCAAGTGCAGTTGCTCGAGGTCCAATCAGAGTATCTGATCTATTTTTAGGAGCTTACTATGTACTCAGCAAATGAGGTTGAGATAATCTACTGTTGAAGAGAAAATACATGCTACAATGGACATTGGATCATTTCACATCTCATTCAGAACATACATATCATGGACATTACAATTACAAAGACAGGGTCCAACAACTTTGTCCGATCAGTTACTCGCCATACCAATATGCTTGAGAGGGGATTTCCTTCCATGTAAAATCCCAGAACGCCACTCTCAAAAGACACCCAATCACCCAGTCAACTCCTCCCTTTAAGAAAACAAATGCAATGATGGAAATTTAACTGCAGGGCCGCGATAGGTCGACTATGCTGGTCGACTTGCTCCGGAATCCGCAGAATCCTTGATGCCGGGAACAGACGCCGCGATCTTGGGATGATTTCCAGTTGGTAGTGGAGGCTTGAGGTCGGTAGGGGACGCAGGAGCAGAAGGTGGAACCGGGGAATTTTCATCATCATCATACTCATGTCCTTGGTATTCATCATCGGGAAGACCCGACCCACCGGCGGAGGAGTGGTCCACCGAAGCGCGATCATATCCCTGTTGGTAAGACTGTGAGCCATTCTTGGATGCGTTCTTTGTCGCCTTCTTGGTCTTGCGACCCTTCATCTTGGCCTTTTCCAAAAGTCGCTTCTTCTCCGCCAGTCGCTTGCGCTCTTTGCGATCTTTCATCTCATACTGTCGGATCAGAGCTTCGGGCGGAGTCCCAAAGATGCTCTCATATTCACAGAATTCACAGATCCAGATGTCCTGGAGACTCGGGGGGTGGTGAAGGTTGGTGTACTGTTGCTGGATCTTTCGCTGACGTGCAGACAGTGCGTATATGCTGCTTGGAGACCGTTTTTTCTTAGGGCCCACGGAAGTTGGCTCGCCACCTTGAGCGGGTGCTTGTGTACTCGGTGGGGCCTGGGGGCTTATGGGGCCGGTTTGTGTCCCTTGTGTGGGGAGACCCTTCTGTTTTTGACTTGCGGGTCCGAGGGGCGAAGTGGGAGATCGATAGGGGATCGAATAATTTCGCTGCATAGCCATGCCCTTGGACGAGTCGGACTCACACGTAAAGGTAAATTGTGTCTTGGTCGGAGTGGTATTTTCTTTTTCCTTTTCCAGGAGGCTGACGTTGCTGGGACCTCGAGGCGGGGAGGAGTGTGTTGCGGCATTGGCGATCGCAGTGGAGATAATTCCCTGGTCAGAAGAAGATTCACCTGGTGCGCAGGTTAGAACACTGTAATGAAGATATGAAGGAGAAATATACTTACCAGAAGGGCCAGGGGAGGACATCAACCCATCCCGACGATTGGGCGTCCGGGCATTCATCCATCCGTTCTGTGCATTGGGCGATAACGGGTTTCTGCTGCTGCTACGAACAGTAGGACGTCCCAACCGACCTCTCCCTGAGCCAGATATGCCATTCCCCAAAGGAGACGCAGGATTCCCACTCCCATAATATGTGCCAGTGGCATCAGTCGGGGTAGGAACGCGCGCGGGGGTTGAGTTTGCTAGCCCCATGCTGGCGAACTCCGGAGACAGCGCAGAATGGTGTCCTCCCAAGTTTCCCGGTGTAGGTATCTTTCTTTTTTTCTTGTTATTTGTATTCTCAAACGCGTCGTAACCGTCCCCGGTTGAAGATTTTGTCTGCGGTGTGTCGTGGGGGAAACTGTGTGAATTGCCAGACGCGGAGGGTGACATGGACGATCTCCGAACAACACCGGTCCTCCTGACAACCATCGGACCGTTTTCATCACCGCTCTCCAGCTCTACCGAAGTCTCAAATTCATGAGCGTCAACCTCTGGTGACAATTCACTTTCCACGGTCTGCTGTACATAAACTTTGGATTCGTTCACCGCCTCTTCAGAATCCGCAGAGACACCATAAAATATTTGAGATGCCGGCGGCGTAGGAGGATAGAATAGGGTGTCGGCAGCATCCGAAGAAAGGCGTGAACGGAGGGTCCGTCTTGGTAGAGGACGGATCAGACGGTCAGGGTAAATGGTAGAGGGCGTGTCAGGGGACGAATTGAACACCCCGTCTACATGGCATTGTCAGTATTCAGTCAACTAGTTGATCGTCATCCTAAATTGGAGAATTCCTGATCATCCGGACCAGACGTCCCTGAGCAGACATACTCAATGTAGCTGTCATCATGCAAGATGTCGACGCTCGCCATCAACCGCCGGCGGTGCTATAGGGATGATATTCCAGCCCTTTGGCTCTATCCTTTTATCCCCCGCCACCGTATTTGCTTCGGAAGGGGCCAGTAATCCAAAAGTCGGGCCGTGTGATCGAATTGGGGGGTAATGTCTGGGATGTCTGTGGTCCACGGTCATGAGCCTTCCATTCAATAACAACATCCCCAGAATTGTACAGGCGGTGGGAGCAACATGTAAATGGGAATCAATCCAATCCCCGCGTTCCTCTGCTGTCCACAATCTCGGGGACATGAATATCGACCTACCCACAAAATGGCGCTATTACTCAGCACCTTATAGATTCAAGATCGGTATGGGATTGAAAATCGCAAGTGAAGCAAGCCCGAACCTTGATTCAGTGCTAGGGCCAAAGCAAGGAAATCACTAGAACAACTACTAAGAGGGGTTGAGGGATATGAAGAGAAAGAGACAAGTCACGGGAGTTTAGAAAGCACGCTAATCCACTTTGGGTAATGCTCCCAATGACTTCGGCGAAAACTGGCATTTTTTCAAGTACATGACTGTGAAGGACTTCTCCGCAGGTCAGACATCAGGGAAGCACATTCTTGGGCTATCTTATATATACGATGGTGGACTGCATACTTGATTATCAGTCTACATAGAACTATTGCACTAACGAGTTTTGCTTGGGATAAAGAGTTCCCGCTCTTGATCATCTTCAGATACGTCCTCACAGGGTACCTGAATTCACAGGGAAGTCAGCATCCAAGAGCCGCTGTGAGAGATTGATTGTACGTTGGCAGTGGATTTGCTAATAACACCTTGGAACAACACCTAGCCCTAACTTATGCAACGAACCTCGATCAGGTGCGATGGGACCTGTTGTACCCCTCCGGAAGTCTTTTCGCACATCCTCATTTCGTCTATCTTACCACCAGCACATCTCGGAGCACGTTTCGGAAGAAGAACTACATAATTTAGATGTTTGGGAAAGATCGATCTCATGAGTTTCAACTCGCAGCTAGACCAAAATTGTCTTGCCGGTGCCGAAACCGGGTTCGGCTCGGTATGGGAGGCACATTCGGTACACAAGGTGGTCCAGATATACAAAACTCGGGACGAAAGGAATCATCAGATTGTTCCTATGTTCCTATAACTCGAGGTCAAACTCGAGTTTTGCGGCTTGGGCCTTCCAAGGCCATTTAACCGCAGTAGACCTTTTTAGCCTCTATCTAAAGTGCCGCTTGCGTTATTTCCACTATCCGACATATAGCATCGGGTTTGAGGAGCATTACCGCAGACCTATACAGTATCGCATGATGTGCCTTGTTCCTCTACCAGCTTTATCTGGCTGGCAAGCCCTCTGGTCGATTGACCCTGTGGTAAAAGAAAAAAAAAACAATTTCTACTAGTGGGCCACAAAGTCCTTGTATACTGTAAATATTTGGTTGAAGAACGGCAAATATAGATAGAATGACGGAATTCAACTCCCCCAAAGGCATTGGGAGAAAAAAGAAGTGAAACACGAACAGTATGAGTGGTAAAAGATTCGCGCGTCGAAGAGGCGTCGAGAGCGGGGAAACCGGCGATTGGATCTTTTGGAGTCCCATTCCGGCACTTTTCTCCTTCACTTCTTCCTCCCCGCCATAACAAGGAATCATTTCTCAGACTATGTAGTCATCGGGCTCTTCATCGAGCCTTGTGACGACTTTATACAGACCTGCGATTCCCAATTGTCCTGCTCCTTTTAACTTAATTCTTCACCCCCCCAAAGAGCTCTCAATCGCGCGCGAGAGCTTCCTCGCAAACGGTTTTTCTCGAGTGTTGGAACCACACCACCAAGGTCTCGAAAATCCGTGGATTCTGCCTAATCTGACATTCAGAGCTATTTTATATTCTCTCACAATCCTCAGCCTTCCACCACCATGACTCCCCGTCGTTCCTCTCGGGCTCGCACCTCCCAGCCCTCTCCTGCCCTTCTACAACACACCAACTCTTCGTCCAGCTCCTCAAACTCTCTAACTCGAGAGAGAAGCACTCGATCGAATCATAAAAACCCTTCTCCTCACGAATCGACCGGCCACCGCTCTCAGTCCATCGATGATGCCGAGGGTGGTTCGAAAGACCCTCCACATACGCGGCAGCGCCAGCGCGCTCACGACGACGACGATCCACCCCGTGAAGAAGACGAGGAAGACCTTGATGATGATGAGGAGGAAGTAACTAGATGTCTCTGCGGTCAGCAAGAATATCCGGGATTGCCTCCTTCTCGTCGCGAGGCCCTCGGTCGCGGCACCATCAAGCTGGAGTCAGGACAAGTTCCCACTGACCCATCTGATCCCTTGTCAGATGAGATCGGGAGCATGTTTATCCAGTGTGACTTGTGTAAAGTCTGGCAACATGGTGGTTGTGTTGGAATCATGGACGAGGCAACTAGTCCCGACGAATATTTCTGCGAGGAGTGCCGGAAGGATTTGCATAAGATCCAAGACGAACCTCATGGGTGAGTTCAATCCTGTTATTATTTGAATTTACTCGGCCCTACATGCTCCTAGCATTTGCTTCAACCTATATCTCTGTGGTTGGGCTTTGCTCGTGCTGCTTGGAGGGGCTGTTTTTCCGAAGCAGTCTTGCGCACAATCGCTCCCCAGGCAGGCATAGCATCCAAGCGGCTACTCTATGTTGCTATCGGGACTGTTTCGAATAAGTGTACTGACAATCCCGCAGACAATACTCCTCTACCTACCTACCTGTTGCACCAGAGCCAGTGCCGCCACCACCAGCTCCAGCTCCAGCCTCAGCTCCAGCCCCAACCCCAGCGCCTGCAGTGCCTGAGGTACCTGATATACCTGGATCGCCAGTTGTGCCAGCTGTCCCAGTTGTTCCGGTGGTAGCACCGTCCCCGGGCCCGTCCTCTCGTGCCTCGTCGAGAGATGTCTCCCGGCGTTCCAAGGATCCCAAGTCACGGAGTAGCGAGAGCGCTGCCGCACACGCCAAGCGGCGATCGACAATGAACAGCAGGGACGCTGCCTACGACGAAGAAGAATTGATTCGACGTGCAATTGAAGAGAGCAAGGCCGAGACCAAAAGCAATGCGGATGAAACGGACACACATCTAGGCAAGCGAAGTCGAAGTGACAGTGTGACGTGCGTATTCCCAGACTGAGCGGTATTGACTCGGATGATGTGGCTGATCAGTTACCCAGGAACAGAGAACGAGCCAAACGTCCGCGTACCACTTCACCTTCACCTAGCGCTGTCTCGAAACATAGCAATAAAGCATCTCACCCGCCATCTGATGATGAGACGAAACCAGGACCCGTTGTGAATGGGCTCCGCAGGCAGCGAGCTACGTCTCGAGGTCAGATCGAGAAAGAGACTGGGAATGACGTCGATGAGGGGGAGAAAGAGGCTCCTGAAACAGCGAATCGTCGAAAAGAACGATCAACCCGACGCAAAGGAGATGGTAAGAGACACGGTCCCAAGAGTGCACAGTTGCCATTTGCTGATGCGGTCTCAACAGAATCGGAGCACGAAATCGGTTCGCCAACCAAGACAGCGCCGCCAGAGCCTGAGCCGTCCCAAGCAAGCCCCAACACCCCCACTCCGCAAGAGCCCACACCTGTTCGTCCATCAACCCGCAAGTCCGGCCGACCTCCCGCTCGCCGCGGTCGTGTTGGACGAAACCAATATACGAAAGACCGGGACACCAACGGAAATGGAGACGCCGGGTATATAGCAAACTCGCCGCGCCGCGGTCAGTCTCATGAAATTGGCGGGGACTCTCCTCGAGTCGGCTACGGCGGTCTTAATGGAGCCCACATGAATGGAGGGGAGTCAGGACGGCCCAGCAAGCCGCGCCACATGCACCCACAGCGAACAACGATGAACGAGATGAAGCGCCGAGTAGCAGCCATCCTGGAGTTCATCTCGCGCATGCAAGTCGAGATGGCCGCTGCTGGTGAAAATTCCACGCCTACGGGCAACGGCGATCGGGCCCAGGGCCTTCTCTTGAAGAGCATGGTCGATCAGATCGACAGCGCCATGCCATCCACGCGCAGCGACGGCGGCGATTCCGGCCCCGCAACCACAGACGGCAGCTACGGGGAGTCATCGACGAACCATGAAAAGGATTTCAAGGAGCTTAGTAGCGTTGAGATGATGGATGTGCTCACTCGCCATCTGCTCAAGTGGCAGCAGGAGTACGGCAAATTTGGAGAACGGTAGCCTCTGCCACTACCATCAAGCTGGCTTCACTCTTCCTCTCACTCCATCTCATCTTTTGAGCTAATCCGCTGCTTCGCACCACGATACCCATCTTAATTTGCTTTTCTCGTCTCATCGATGTACACTAACTAGACCTCATCTCAGTTGCTCTTTCCTTACTCTTCTCTTTTGTCTTCTCTATTTTATTCCATATTTCTGGTCCAGGATCGCGATCATACTGGAAAACAAGGATTATATGTACCCAGTGGCGACTCATTGTCTTGCTTGGTCCCAAACTTTCATCACCCGTGTTATTTTTCTATCTCTTCATTCGCGACTCATGCTTTGCTATGGCTATCACGTCTCGCTGTTTGGTGTGGTCATTCTTCTAAGAAGTCCTTTTGTCTGTGTCTTTCCTTGTTTTGGTGCCCGGGTCTGGTTTTCGGTGTTCTGGGAAAAAGTCAGGGCCTATATATGGCTATTTGTCTGTCTGTAAGAAATCCTTCCTCTCTCTAGTGGGAATAGTATCACTACTCTTTTCTTCGTCACGCATATTCAAGGTGTCAGGGACAGAACGATGTGTCTTACCAAGTATGGAGTATATTGTACATAGATACCGTGCCTTTGGGAGAAGACACTGGTTCATAGCTGGAGAACAGAGACTACTCAACGCATTAGCAAATCCAATGGCTCTCCCACGGTCTCATTCGTGGGCGATTTGTTTCCCCTGTTGATAGGCAGTGCTAAAGAGCGTTGCCGAACTGCCGACTATATTTAGAGTCAAATGCAGCTCGGTTACCCTCCCACTACCTTTGCATATTACACTATCGGCTCGAAATTGGGTATCAAGTACGTACTGTATGGGTATATTTCGGTCTTCGTAATTGATGAACGGCGTGTTTGTTGACACCTGGTCTAGGATGTCTCGAGTTGTCCAAAACCATGTCAACCCAAAGCCACCTAGCCACGGGCTAGACGAATTGGGCAGGCATCTTCAGCCTCGCAGGACCTCAAGCCTTTCAAAATGACGGTTTATTGTCTATGAGCTACGCTTTTATAGTCGCGTTTGTGCTCGTCGCTTCTTCCAAGTGTGACCGCACGAAACTTGCTCAATAGTTGTCTGGGTATGTTCGAAGACAGCCTCATAGTTCATGTCTGTAAATCAAGAATGCAGAAGACAGACCCTCGTTAAGAGAGCTTAGAAGTGAATTTGTCTGAACGAAAGGTGTATCCACGCATTGCGAGAGTAATCATTTGACAATCCAGTCTACCAGTTTGAGATGTCCTTTCAAGCTTTTGCGAGCAGCCAAAAGACTCTAATGATAGCAGAGACAGACAGAACATGTGACAGTGTCCTTGTCGGCGCGAAACCGATGACATATGAAGGATAGAAAACGAAGACTTTCAGCAACACATGAAGACCTAAGAGATTCAATATTTGCTGGTTGGAAGGGTCCAGGACTTGAGCCAGACATGCGCCAGTCGCAAATAATGGGAAAATTTCCATCAGCGAATGATGGGCCGACATGAGACGCAGGGGGAGGCCATCCATATTCACGCGATGCTTCCGAGGGTGATCGTTGTCGAGACCATGTGATCTAGACATAGCTTGCCCGGCGATGGACAAAGAGCCGCTACCTGCAAAAGTCCAAAATGCATATAGGACAGCGAGCGCAGGGATTGCACGACTAGACGCTACATCGCTCCCAACTGTATAGTCGACAACGGTCTCAATGAGCTTTTGGACTGTGCTTTCGGGCTTTGTGATCGCGGCTGTTACTGATGCAAATGCCTTTTCTCGTTAATATCTGACAAATTCCAATCACCTAACACACTCACTATATATATAACGGCCCAGTTGCGGCGAAAAGGATGCCGGAGGGGTTGTTTCTTGATGCCCACAACCAGGATCTGCGTTAGCACATACACTTTCTTGCTGACGGGGTGGAATGTCAAGACTCACATGCCGTTTGACATGATGCCGCGAAGAATGATATAGAGCACGTGGTGATCTCAGATGGATGAATCAAACGAAGCCTGTCATTGAAGGTGGTTGTGGTCTTATATCAACTTGTTCCAGAGTTACTATAAGTAGCCGAGGTATCATAGCATATGTCTGATGCGGGGTCCATGGATCAAGCTTGAAGTTGGAGTTTTCTATTCCGACTACAACATCATCTAAGCTGTTTCTACTACCTACAATATACACCATGGAGATGACGGAGAGCATCGCCTCTGGGTACGTTTGTGAACTAGTCAGATACATCATTTGATCGGACAATATCTATCCAAAAATATGAAGGTAGCATACGTGGAGTAGAGATACAGGTTGCAATATTGATATCCCGGAGCCATTCCGGTGACTCGGAAAGGTCCCGGGGGTTCGGTGTCATGTCCACTGCAACTTCTCAGAAGACTGGCAAAAACCTGTGCATGTCTATGCATCGAGCCCAATAAAGCAGAGCCTGCCTCGCTTGTTTCCTAGTATTGTCCATCGGATCCTAGCACTTGCAAATCAGATGGCCACCCTAGCGCGCGCTACATGAATACTGGATATATATCGAGGTCCTCTTGCATATCGTAGCTTGACGATATACATTTTGCACACTTCAGTGGTGTAACATCGGATTCAAGTAATCCCAAAGCTATCCGATCTCGCGGAGAAAAGAGAATGTAGCAGTTTATCTTCCAGTTTGGAGAAAACTCTCAAAAGTATATCCCATCAAGGAAGGAAAGCTTCTACAGCCACTCCCCGATATGTCCCAGGAACGAGGCAAATGCGTCTAATTGCTGAAGGCCTTTTCAATCAATTCGCGTTTCGTTACTGCCAGGGATAGGTCATTGCATGGTGGTAAACCAGCTGTCGTGGTATACCAATAACCTTCGAAACCTTGGATATTTGAATATCGAGCAAGTTGCGAGATATTCAAATATCTGCCGCGTAAGTAGATTATCAAGGTTTCTATTGTAGTTAAACAAGCAGTATTTCAATATTTGGTACAGCCCTGTGGGCAGTAGACACGAAATGAAGTTCCTCCTAGTCGTGCTCACAATCAGTTGCAATCTGTTACTCTGTGATTATTTTACTTTCAAAAAACTATATGAGTAGAGTGACTACTTGAATTCTGATCTATCTAAACTTCTAGCTACCAATAGACACCATTTGATCCTAAAATCATCCACTAGGTATGTACAACATAAATGTAAGCTCAATTGGCCCCATAAAGAGTGGTGATCTTATAATCTCCGTAGGCACCTGAAGGAGCTCCAATGACATAATAGGAAATAGGATAGTTAAACTGTGCAACCAATCCCGAAGCGCGTGGAACAATTGGAGATACCAGCATGTTAAACGGAATTGCATTCACTACTGAAAAAACCTATTCCGTACTCCGCACTGCATACTCCGTAGAGGTTACTTGTATTATCGTTGTAGTGTAGTAATTGAAAAGTCTTAGGTTCTATCAATGTGTGTTGTACTCCGTACTCCGTACGGAGAACTCTGTAGATCCTCTGAAGGATGTGAAGTATGGCTGGAGTAAGTCCACTTGTGTTCCACGGGTTCAGCAATTGGTCCCGCCCCCATGGGAAAGTATTGTGATCCGTACCATGGTACTCGGTACTCCATATGTTCCAAGTACGGAGAACCCCGTGAAACGGGGCCACATATCAACATGGGAAGATCACTCCATTGGACGAGATTCAATGGCAATCTGACTGGAATCAAGACACGCGTCTGGTAACGCTCTTCAGATGTTTCATCACGATAGACGAGAAAACAAAAGTACGAAACTTACCGATATTTGAGACACATTTCCCAGCCTCTTGTGCGGTAAGAGGGTCTGGACATGAGCTGCATGCGCTGGCTGGCGCCTCACAATGGTTGGGCTGAGGCTGGGGACCCAAAAGAGGGTCTGAGGAGCTTGATAAATCACTCTCCAGTGGAGAGTGATTTGAGCGGTATTGGTACTCCGTAATCCGTATCGAGTATTGGTATTAATGTCCTGTATGATGTGACATGCTGTGTTGTCAATTGTGTCAGATATTGGCCAATGGCTGCCTAGCAGATGCCCAGGGCCAGAATGGAAAGCAAAAAAATCTCATTTCTTAAGCCGAGGGAGTCACCATGCCTCCGCAACCCCAATGCAATTGTGCCGATGTGATGTGATGGAGCCAAACGCGATCGGCGCCAAGAGGATCCAGATGTCCGATTCGACCCGGAGGTTGTCATGGTGATATAGTCGGTGGCGCAGTGACAATACGCGCAGGCTGGCCAGCCCCCCATGTGAAAGGGCCCGATGTGTATTGCAGTTCGGGGTATCCATCCATATGGAAATATGCCTCTCTAGAGGGATAAGATTGATTGACTAAAGGTAGAAAGAAGAGAATTCAATTGTCAGACATATTGTACAGCTCTGATAGGCCAATTCATATACCATATAGAGACAGTAAGGAGGAGTGTGAGCCTCGGTGATCAGCGGAGAACCCAAACCGGCAAGGCGGCGTAAACAAAAGGTCTGGCATAAATAAACGTGATACTCGCCAACTGCGCTGCCCTCTTTCTTCTTCTTCTTCCATTCCTACGATCTAACATTCTTCATCTCTTAAGCTTATCTTCCCCCCTCCATTCCAATCATCTATCTCGTGCAGGAAAAAGGATCTTCTCTTTTTCTCCTCCACCCCCACCTCGAGAAAGACTTCCCTTTCAAGTCTTTTCTTGTTTAGTCTTTCGAGTTGTTTAACGACAGTTCGAAAGGCATTCGAGAAGAGACGCTCAGAAGTCCGTCAATCTGGACTTTGACGCCCGTGTTCCAATCCCCTTCAGTGTCTTCCCGTCGTCGTACCGGAGTGACGCTGTCTCTGAAACTACTCAGACTAGAGTAGAGGGAGAAGTCAATTTCGATCGTACTTCGCGCGCCGAACGGGAAGATACTCGAAGTTCTGCTCCCCTTCCCGCTCCTGCTCACGGAAAGCAAGAAGTCGAGTTTCGCGTCCAAAACGAGCGTACTCGCATCGAAGAAGAGCACCCTCAGTACACGCAGCAGCCGCAGCAGTACTCGAAGTCGCACTCGCACCAGCACCAGTCCTTCCACCAGGATCAGCCCTCGCACAGCTACGCCCCAGAGGTAGAGCTCACTCGTGAACGGTATGTAATTGTTTTTCCTCGTATTAAGTTTCTGTTTTGTTTTGTCACTTTACCCCCCAGCCTCCAGAGATCCACTTCTGAAAGTGGAGACCTGCAGCTGAACTAGCATTATTTGTTGTGAGATCTCCTATCTTGGTTTAGATTGGTTACGGATTTGGTCGGGGACTAAAATTACGTGTCATCAAAACCTGATCCACTTCAATTAGCGGTGACCTGGCTTGTTTTGTTTATATGTTTACGGTACCCGTGCATGTGGGCTGACCTTTCTTAGCTACCCCAGCTACCAACAACCTTCTGTCGACTACGAGGACCGTACTCAAGTCTACGATAAAGTCGTCGAGAACCAACTCGACCTTACTGAAAGAGACTACCGTCAGCGTACCTCTCCCTCCTACGACCTCGACGTCTCTTACGACCGTCGTTATCGTCAGCCCGTAGACTCCGCCTACGGTTACCAATCAGAGTCCGTCGACGTCTCGTACGACCGGATCTCCCAGCCCCAGACCAGCTCTTACAAGGAAGACGACGTCTACCTTCGTGAGGTTCAGCCCCGTGCTCGTTACTCCACACCGTCTCAAGTAAACGTCTCTCAGTCCACTACCCGCGACACCGCCCCCACTCGCAAAATGGGTTACTACGACGACGATGGAGAGTACCACTCTTTCCGCCGTGGCGTTGGTCGTGCTGCCGACCGTGTCCTGCACCCCTTCTCTCACTCTGAGCATGAGGAGTCTCACGCCGGTGAGGTCGCTGCTCCCCGTGAGAACGTCCGCATCGTCGAGCCCCGCAACCGTGGCTCCGCTGGCGAGACCGTGCCCATTCCCTGCCACTTCATCCGCGTCGGCGATATCCTGATCCTTCAGGGCCGCCCTTGCCAGGTGATCCGCATCTCAGTCTCCCCCAGACTGGCCAGCACCGTTACCTCGGTGTCGACCTCTTCACCCGCAAGCTTCAGGAGGAGTCCAGCTTTGTCGCCAACCCTTCTCCCTCCGTGGTTGTCCAGACCATGCTCGGCCCTGTCTTCAAGACCTACCGCATCCTGGACCTCCGTGATGATAACCGCCTCGTCGCCATGACTGAGAGCGGTGATGTCAAGCAGGGTATCTCTGTCATCACCCAGGGCAACCTCTTCAAGCGCATCGGCGATGCCTTCGCCGATGGCCGTGGCTCCGTCCGTGCCCTTGTTATCAACGATGGTGGCCGTGAGCTCGTCGTCGACTACAAGGTCATCCACGGCTCCCGTCTGTAAATTTTTTTTTCTGGGTTTCTCCTAGAGGGGGTCTGGATACGCTTGTCCCTCATCCATGGTGTGATGAATAGTTATTGTTTTCTTTTCCTTTTGCTTGTGTGATTTAATTTTCTTTTGTATGACGATCTCATGTATGCAACTATTTGTGTGCTGGTGAAAACTTGAATGGATTTATCTGTACCCAATTAGCCTTGACTTCCTTGTAACTAGCTCATAATACAAAAATCGGGGCCAGGTCCGCAGTAATCTACTCCACTTTTTCACTTTTCTATCTCATATTGACGTTGGGCAGAACCACGTCTTGCATAAATTATTGGCTTGGCGAAGAATGAGTTTTGCCGTATTCCACCTATACTGTATGATGTTTCTTGAGCCAAATGCAAATATGTCCAAACATCTGCCATTCTTTTTTACCGACGTTGTTGAAATAAGTCAAGATACAGTTATCACAGATCTTGGGTCACATACTTCACAACCATGGTAGGACTGTGATGTCTCCACGCCAAACTCTGGCACGTACGGCCATTTCCAAGGTTATTTTACCTTCTACCTATACCTAGGTAGATCAATACCATGTTTAAAATGGGGACTGGAAGCAAGAAGTGGCTACCAGAATTGAGTGCACATGAGAATTATCATCCTCATGAGCTAGGAACTGAATCCATATGACCTTCCTTTAGTCGTATAATGGGATCATAACTAGGCTACGAAGTGTACAAAATAGATGCCGATCCTGAAGTCAAGCGGACAAACACTCGTCTTGATATTATGTGTATTCTTTCTGAGTGCATTTACACCTTCGTAGAATCCTGGGGCTCAACCCCGGGACTCTGTCTCCTTTTCTGTTGTATGTGATCTCGGGCATAAAATCTGAACGATTGATCTATGACGATTTATTTACCAAGATACTGTTGCACTGGGATCTAAGAGCAGAGAGCGGGTCAACATTTGGCCCCAGAAAATAAGGAGGCCTAGATTTTGATCTTCATCTTGTCTGTTCAATGCTTGTTTTGTCCACAAGGGCTTATTGGTATATCAGCTTCCCCTCAAACGTCAAGCATTCTTCTGATCCGAAGAGGGTCACTGTCAGACCTGTACAGCCCATGGCTCTTTTGCTTCGCTTGACCAGGATACTAAAATCCGTGCCTCCTCAGGGAGATTCAATTGTAGTCGGCGGGAGGCCTCTTGCATACAATTGGCAAATGATCATATAACTGCGTATGAGTGCATTGGATACCCCAAGCTAAGAGAACAGTACTATTGGCTTCTCACTGCGATGCGTGTGCTTACCAACAAGCCGAGTTCTGTTTTCGAGCTAGTCATGACTTCTGATTGTCTTCCGACTAGGACAAGTTGTATGAGCTTCGACCAGCCTCCTGTGAGGTGTACAGCAATATTGCCATAGCCTCAAAAAGGCCGGGCCTTGACCGTCTTCAAATTACAATATTCATGAGTGTCGGAGGGGTTAAAGAAAACCTCGAGCCATGCTGGCGGTCTCTCCTGAATGGACAGCTGCACCGTGCACTCGGCGTGGCAAAAGACATGAAGGATTCCAAGTTTTGAAAGATAGCCATTAACAATTCTAATTAAGATAAGAACAACTACGATATACCCGAGCCATTACATCTCCTGATTCCACTATAGAACGTGTTTACGGAGAATTGACCGGAGCTACGCCACTTCGAACTGTCCCGCTTCCAAGGCCGTCTCACAGTATGGTGTCATCTTTCCTCTCGCCGCACTACTAAAATTCACTCGGTCCGTTAAGCTTAGCACGGTCTATTCTTTTTCTCATCAATGAAGGAGGTTACCAAGATCTACTGGGTGACATGTGCAAAATGATACGTGAGAACGCGTTTAGGGGAGACTGAGATGCCGCCTATCAGGCCAAAGGTTAGGGCTAGATTGTTGCACATGAGCCGTGAGATTGCACGGGGCTAGTGGCTTGAAAAGGAGGTGTATGTTTTCATCTACGGTGAGGGGAATAATCCTTCCATGATGGTCTGTCGTGATATCTAGTATAGAATTAGTGCATTCCTGCTAATTTTCAACGCCTCAGTCAGGAATGGGTCAATATAATCAAGAGGGGCATTGCCAAGGACACCTAATAAGCGCTACGGAGTACTCCGTACAAAATAAGTGATTAGTCTTCAGGTCCTTGATGCCGCTCGATAACACTTTCCAGAGACAATAAGCGCAACCCCTCCCCATGACCCCCGCAACTCCCGGCTGTTATCACTTGGCACTGTAACCTCAGCCTTCATATTGAGAGGTACCGTCGGGGCTCCGCCTGTATAAGACTAGCCGGCCCTATAAAACTGCTTCCCCTCCGCCAAGCGTAGCAAGCCAGCCTCTTGGCATGCCCCTTGGGGTCCTGCCAATCATGCAGCAATGTCTATGATCCATCGCGTGATCCATACGGTCCCCGGCATGTCCGAAGAACAGGTATAAAAACGACCTGCCCTTGACTGAGAATGGTATCGATTCGCGCATTCTTAACGATGAAGTGGTTTTTGTTAATTACACACCTGTCCGTGGCTTTGGCTGGGGCTGGTCGGAGGAAGCACCTGGTTTCACCGGTATGTACGCATAGTATATCTTGTGTTTTATTCTTAGGTAGTCTGACTTGTTAGGATGATTTCCCCTCTGATATTCGACTGAAAGACCTCCTGAAGGGGGCCCAGCATCTTGAGGATCTCGCTTATGCGCATCCTGACCGCAACCGTGTCTTTGGCAGTGCGGCACACAATGCTACAGTTGACTATCTCTATCGCGAGTTGAAGAAGACGGGTTACTATAATGTGTATAAGCAGCCACAGGTGCACACATGGACTACTGCAAAGACCACGGTGACGCTCGATGGCGAGGCTATCGATGCAAAGGCCATGACATACAGTCCCAGCGTTGATGTTACCGCGGAGCTGGCAGTGGTCTCCAACCTCGGATGCAGCGCATCGGACTACCCGGCAGATGCTGCTGGTAAAATCGCCCTCGTGAAACGTGGGGAATGTACTTTTGCAGACAAGTCGGTGGTTGGTGCAGCAGCCAAGGCAGCAGCAGTTCTTATCTACAATAACGAAGCAGGTTCTCTCTCTGGAACTCTGGGTGGAGTCACCAGTGAGCTTGGCCCTTATGCTGCCATTGCGGGAATCACGGATGTGGACGGCAAGGCCCTGATCGATGCGGCAGCAAAGGGCGCCGTGACTTTGGCTTATAAACTCGACAGCAGAGCCGAAAACCGCACTACATTCAATGTGATTGCAGAGACAAAGGGCGGTGATCACAACAACGTCGTGTCGTTGGGAGGTCACACCGACTCAGTCGACGCCGGTCCGGGAATCAACGATGATGGCTCTGGTATTATCAGCAACCTCGTGGTTGCAAAAGCGTTGACAAAATACACTGTCAAGAACGCCGTCAGATTCTGCTTCTGGACAGGAGAGGAGTTCGGCCTCTTGGGGAGCGAGTACTACACCTCACACCTTGACGAAAAGGAACTCGCAAAAATCAGACTTTATCTCAACTTCGATATGATTGCCTCTCCCAACTACGCCCTCATGATCTACGATGGTGATGGAAACGCCTTCAACGAGACTGGACCTTCGGGTTCCGCCGAGATTGAGCACATGTTTGAGAAATATTTCAAATCCAAGAAGCTACCGTTTATTCCCACCGAGTTCGATGGCCGATCTGACTACGACGGTTTCATCTCTCGTGGAATTCCCGCCGGTGGGCTCTTCACTGGTGCTGAGGGCATCATGACCGAAGCAGAAGCAAAACTATTCGGAGGTAAAGCAAATGTAGCCTACGATGTGAATTACCATGCCGCTGGGGATGACATGAAGAACCTCAACCACAAGGCATTCCTTATCAACTCCAAGGCTACGGCTTACGCTGTCGCAAAATACGCCAACAGCCTCCACGGGTTCCCCAAACGTGTGGCACCCACTGAGGTGAAGAAAAGAGCACCCCGAGCGCATGCTCACTCAAAGAAGGCCGGATGTTTCCACTCTCAGGTCGAGATCTAATAGGTGTTTTTGCCTATTACTGATTAACATTGTTGATATAAGCAATCATTCAATTCAATGTATCTTTCTCTGACCAATTCAAATTGTTGTCTACCAGCCATCGCATACCCTGTCAAATCTTTGGGTTTAAGTACCCAACAGTAGAGATCTCTAGAGATATGTGGTGAATACAAGATTCAGGCCACGGCTAGATAGATAGCTTGCTCTATTTGAGTATCATCATTTTCTTCAAAGTGATTCTGCGCGGAGACATACATACAAGCCCCTTATATTGAAGGTACGCCATCAAAGATGCTCGGGTTTGTTGGTAAGGTCGAGGCCATCTTTGTAGGCAGGGTTATAGTGAGCAATCTTGTAGCAAATGCGATGAAAGCTTGACAAATACAAAAAAGGGTCCAAATTAAGATATTTTATTCTCAGCGTACCCCGGATAGGTATCCGATTCTGACAGATTGGTTCAATATCAGATACAACCTTGTCCACTGCTTCTGTCAACACTCTCTTAGTCTTTGTTCTGTCTATCAAATTGAGTCGATCCGAGATGATATCTCGGATTGCCTCCGGCCGCCCAGTTCTAGGTAGATAGCGGAAGGGTTTCCCGACTGTCACTTTGGCTAACTGTAACTACACGTAGTCACGTCCGTGATACATGATCGCTCACTGGACCTCCGCCTCTTAGCACACTAAAGAGCTAATTCTCACGGTTTGAGACACCTGGAACCTATGATACTCTATGAAATATGAATATAATGGCTTACTTGTTCCGGTTCGCGAAGTGGAGAAGGAAAAATCGCATCAGAAGCTTCAATTTTGTGTAGCCCTGTTATCACTCCCTACATAGAAATTGCACCAGGAACAAGCCAAAAGAAGAAATATAAGAGCAATGAGTTAAAAGAGTCAAAATCCATCCCCTGAGTTCCCTCATCTAAATTTATCAACTGTGAGGCATTACTGAGCTTCATATTGTGTTGATGATAGGTTTTCTATCAATCCGATACCTTTCCGACGAGGTTTCTTTTTGGGCTGGTCGGCCCTAAATCAAAACTAATTAACATATGAGGACCCAAGTACAATGATTTGACGATTGTTACTGCCGAATATTCAAATTTATCAAGCCAAGAATCATGAATTACCATCTAAGAAGTACCATTTAAAGAAAGTCGGTCCTCAAGATGGTCATTGCAGTCAGACAGTATCATCTTCTCCCATAAAGATAGGACAGGGTAGGGCGAACCATAGTAGAATCAAAACTACTATGCCTATTCTAGCAATTCTTATTGTAGGAACCATGGAGCCTCATCCGGCCCGGGCCCGGTATCGCGTGCCTAAGGTCTAGAATATATTTGTGGATGTCTACCGCTAGAGCTGAAGTCGTATTCCTAGGTAGGAGTAAGCGGCAGGCAGTAAGAGCGATAGTCCGTTAAAAAAATCAACAAAAAAAACCAAACTAAAACACTAAGCTGGATTTACATATCATTCAACTAGGGTTTTCTGAGATATTCCTAGATGTTGTAGAACCAAAAATAGAGGGTTGGGTATTTTCCGCAACTATATAGAGCTCGGTTAATAGTGGTATGTCTAGGCGCAGAATGGTAAAGCCAATGATGTGGCCCTGCTGTGCATTTGCCTCCCAGGTGGAGGTGCAACACCCAGGATCGAGCGCCAAATTGATGACACCAGCCTTTCATTGAGGGGGACAACGGTTAAGAGTGCTGGGTGAACGACAGCATTTGTGTAGGACTAGCGTGGTGCATTTTATAGAGGTGCTGACTTAGCTGCTCTCCCACTTTGCTCTGGCTGGTCAGGTGACGCCCAGTGAGCGAGCTTCAATACTATATGTCTCACCTCCGAAGACACATCTCTGTCGAACAAGTTCGCTGGTATCGCAGATGGCCCCGTGCCTGCGGAGATCACCAAGGCAAAGTGCGAGGCCATTCCCATCGGCCGCCTTGTTGAGCCGCTGATGTTGCGAACGTCGCTTTCTTCTTGGCGGAGCCAGCAAGCTCAATTATTAGTGGAGTTGAGATTCTCGTTGACAGCGCACGCTGTGTATAAGAGAGAAATTGTCTGTCGGCATCAGGAGTGGAAACCTATTCTGATAGGCACATAGCTCTCTAACTTTTCTCTTTTCTCCTTGCCCCAATATCATAGAAATCATGCCCTGTTTTTCTCTATAGAGCTCCACGGTGTAGTCATTCTAGAGGTGATGAGCCTTTTGATCTGCTGGGCCACAATGTACTCTATCCTCGGACTTTATACGCACTTTCGATCCCCGGATAATGTACTAAGTTGACCGATATGAATGAGTCCATCTCAAAGGTATCGATTTTGTCACTAGTCAGGCATCACCGGAGCCGCGGTAGATGCCCTCGCTCGTCAGGGAATGAACTGGCCCGAAGAGGTCGCGCAAGGTACGAATACATCATGTGCATTTTGATTCCCTTATGTCAAGTAGGCAAAACTGATAGAAAATCGCATTCATAGTACGGTCGAGCTGTACATATGTGACGAAAATGGCATCTATGACCATGAGCCAAATGCAACATAACCAGTTCTTTCAGATCACGTATTCCAATTTCCATCATGAATCTCTCATATCAATCCAATACTTTCTTCCACTGTTCCAAATGGCAAATGCAAGAAACATAATTCTCCAACGACATCACTTATCATGATTTAGTCGCGCAGACCTCTGATCAGATCCAGAATTGCCTGTGCCACCTCCTCTGGGCTTTCCTGGGGCGTCCAATGCCCAACCCCATCCACGAGCCGAATAATACGCAGGTCAGCGCAGGAAACCCCGTTCTTCATCTTCTCGATGGCACCAGGCTCTTGATAGTTACCCCAATCTAGCTTACCAGAAACAAAAGCACAAGGCGGCTCGAGCTTCTTCCCAGCAAAGACATCAAAATCCTTAGTATGCCGGCCTCCAGCAGCGGTGCGAACACGATACCAATTCAATCCACCCTGGAAGCCCGTGCGGCCATACTCACCCGCATAAACAGCAAGCTCCTCATCCGGCAGCCACGAGTGCGAGGCCAGACTGTCAGACGACTCATGTGCCATATCGCGCGCTACCGTCGCAGGCATCGTCTCCTTCAACGGCATGATGTAATACCCAGGCAATTGGAGCAAGTTAGCCGCAGACCAATTCTCAAGCGGATGTGGCCGATTTCCCGGCCACGAACCACTCTTCAGATGAAAGTATCCCCGCAAAAAGCGATGCATTTCCTCGGGCTCGAGGTTTGACATCTCAGGCCCAGCCTGCTTAGTCGAGTAATACCACTTATAATGTTTGTGTCCGAGCTCCGCAAGCGCCTCATGGATCCCCGCCGCAGCAGCCGACCCCTCGGCACCGCCCGCACCGCCTGCCGCTGCCGCCGTATTAGACCCACCCGCGGCGGCATCCGCGTTCGCCGTATCGAACGGTAGGTCCGGGGCCCCGTTGAACGGATGGCTCATGAGTGCCACACTCTGGAAGAAATCAGGGCGCATTAGGGCGCACATGGCGGCCGATACAGCACCGCAGTCGTGGCCGGCGACGCAGCGGACGGAGCGGTAGCCTAGCGCGTGTACGAGGAGCACAATATCACGAACCAAGCTGGACAGTGAGAAGGTTGAAAGGTCGACATCCTCATAGCTGCTCGTGTCCCAGCCTGTGGTGCGGCCAAAGCCGCGTTGATCTGGGGCTACGACGTAGAAGCCTGCTGCCGCTAATTTAGGGAGCACGCGACGCCATGAGTAGGCGATTTCTGGAAAGCCATGCAGGAGGATGATCAGTGGTTTTTCCTTTGCTGTAGTTTGGCCAGCTTCTAGGATGTGGATGTTTAGATCGCTGGTTTGGATGTTGCGGCTTGTTATGCCTGCGGGGAGGGGGAGGGGTGGGAGGGTCATTGTCGGGATTGGGGTCTCGATGTGATATGTAGAATGTCAAACGTAAGATAGTACAGTAAATCCTTCTATTTATAATGAGCCCGTATATAACGAACACCTGGTTTATACAATCGGAAATCAGTGCTTTATTTAATTCATTATATAATAACGAAACTCTCCTACGAAGGTCGTTGGTTCATTTTATTTCCTGCTATATCCGTTATCTCCAGGCTTAGTCAGTACCTATGACTGTCCAGGGCAATCAAAATGTCGTGCTGGTCGATCCCTACCTGTGTTGTACTTTGTAGAAGCTCGGTCCTCGCAGGAGGCCGCTCCCTTGGAGTGAATCCTTCTCTCGAGGTAAAAGTCTGTCAATTATAAACCTGTAGTAGAGGTATAGAAGCTATGATCACCGTAAGTAGAGGAGTATCACCGAGTAGAGAGTCTTTTGACATATCATTCTGTGCAAGCCACATATGTATATATATTCCAAGATAGATGGGAACTGGACTTCGCGCAAATCTCGCTTTAACTAACCATAGGCCGTGTCTCAATTGATTCGTTTTCATAAGAGTTGCCTGCATATGGAATATACGGAATCTATGGGAAAATATTTAGCCCAAATATGTACCGAGGTGATACGTGTGAAGACAACATAAACAATGGGTAAAAAAACCCAAGGCGGTAAACCACCTTGGATGCCTGAATCAAAAGTCATGACGTCCATCTCGATCTCGGATCTGCCTGGATCTGTCTAGCCCTGCTTTGATCTTTTTTTTTTTTAACCTTTCTCCCTGTTTTTTGAATGCTCTATCTCATTACTCTCGTATCTCCTTGTTTCTGAATCTTGACTTGGTCGATTCCTCCCGAGTTGTTCCCCCTCGGCTTCTCAGCTTCTCAGTTCCCACGTCTTCCTATAGCTACCCATCGCATCATCAGGAGATCCACATTCCCTTCATCCACTTCGATCTCGGATCCCGGCGCTGCACCAAGCAGTGTCCGGCCATCCCATCTTTGGCCCGCTCTATCCTCTAAAAGGCCCGAGACTCTGAACAATGGTCTTCAATCGTCGCAAGAGAAGTGCCTCTGTCCATCACCAGGTGTGTTCTACGCGTCAAATACCAAGGATAGCAGATTCTCTACCTGCAAATGGGTCCTGCAGGGTTCGATGCAATCCGACGGGTACCTGCGACCCATGCATGAATATGAAACTAATACTTCCCTTCCTACTAGCCACTCTCTTCACCCGCCGCGCAGTCTGCGCAGTCCGCCGCCAGCCATGCTTTCCTAAAATCCCAACCCTCCTCAGCCAGCTTGTCTTCCGCAGCAGCGGCAGCAGCGCTCCGAAACTCCACGCCTACCCCAACCCCCATCGAAAATGTCCAGACAAAACGCATGGTCCAGCGACGTAGCTCCACCCAATCGCAGGTTAACCCTGTTGGCGCTCGGCGCTCAGCCAGCGTGGGTGGAACGCTACGCCGCTCCAGTAGCAATGGTTCAATGAGCGCACGCACCTTTCGCGACCAGTCCCCTCATCGCCCAGCTACCAGCTCCGGACCGGTTGGACCCCTCCCTGTTCCCGTCGATGTGCCACCCTTACCTGCTGTCCCGACTCAGTATACACCGCGGAAACTGCCAACTCGGCGTGCACTGAGTATGGAGCCGTCGATTCGTTCGCCTCCATCGTCTCCTCCGCGCGCTGGGCCGAGGGGCGTGGATCGGGAACATGGGCGAGGGTCTCCGATTCAGCTAGCTACGCATCAACGTGTAACCGGTCTTGGGGCTGTTCCAGAATTGGAACGATCAGCCAGTCGAAATTCGGTGAATTTCTCGTACCCCCTAGGCTCGCGACCTACATCGCCGATTGCGATACCTGAGAATAATCCGATGAGCCTCCACGATGCTATCCAAGAATCGATTGCTGACGTATCTGACAAACATCCAATGGGGAAGCCTAGGGCACAGGCCTCAAGCCGTCTACAGGGAAGCCCTATTGTAAACAAATCCGGTCCTTTAGCGGGCACCGCAGTTGTTGGAGCCCAAGCGGCTGGCGTGCCAAAGGGCAGCTCCAGTGCGGATGTTCGGGCTGGAAAGGTGCAGAATTCGCTTATAGAGGCCGATCCTCTAGAGCAATACACCGGTAACGCAGTGCCTGCTGTGGCCAGCGTGGAACGTGAACACCCCTCCTCCCGACCTCTTCCTGCGCGGTTGCCATCTACTGTCCAAGAAGAAGAAGAGCCCCGTGATAGGGACACAAACGTCAAAGATATCAGCTTGCGACAAGGGAGCGACCGGGTAACGAGTGCATCACCAACTGCTGATCACGTAGAGGCAGTGCCGGTGCCCTCATCACCCTCGACGGAACTGCAAATAGGGCAGCAGCCACATCGTCAGTCGAGCAGCCCAGGTCGAACTGCTCGATTTTCCAGGTTGCTCTCCGTGGCTGGAGCCGGCGATCAAGTACACCAGCCTCCGCCTAGATCAGTGTCTCCTGTCAAATCAGCCTTGAAACACCCAAGAGGAACCTCTTTATCGCCTAATAGGACGGTTGAGGCCACCGGTCGAGTTCTGCAGTCGAGCGAGTTATCAGATGGTACCTCAGTGGCATCAGACGAAGGATCTCGGGTAGATACCAAGAAGAAGTCTGCCAAGGTCAGTTTCGATGATGAGGCCGAAATTGTCAATCCAGCAGCCAGTCCTCCTACCTCGCCGGAAGATTATATGCCTGATTCACCATCCGGTGGTAAAGCAAAGTCTCGTATGAGTTGGCTTGGTGTTGGCAAGAAGAAGTCGCCCACGGAATTCGCGAGCGACGATGACTGGGATGTAGTCATGAAGCCTCGACAAGTTCTTCCATCTTTTGGTAGCATTAGAGGTAGCCGGGGGGGCGGTCTTGAGAGATCGCCAATCCCAGATTTCAGTGACAATGAGTCCAGCTCTTCGACTGAATCTGATATGGCGTCAAGGTCGGGTATATCGCCTTCAAATAGCCACCCTGTCAACAGTTTACCACCTAAGACACAACAAGATGAATACCTCCACAGACGCGACTTGAGCGCTCTGGAGCAACTATCTGTCAACGGCACTTCGCATAAACTGCATTCCGATAGCAGCCTAGGAGCCAAACGAGCCGCCAGATCCACAGATGACATCGCTGAGAAAGATCCGAATTCCAGCGCGGGCTCAGGACTATGTGTGCCTGCTATTGCTGTCGAACCTGCTACGCCCCCAGCAGACGAAACCAAAGAAAGTTTCGACATGAAAAGATCTAGCTTAGACCAGTACAGGATTCCGGGCGAATTTCCGCCCTCTACCTCCGACCGCAGTCTCGATTCGACTGCGAAGAAGGCTAACACCCAAGCCGTGGCGAGCGCCGTGCCAAAGCTGGACGACTTGGATGCAGAGGAGTCATCTGGTGATAGCATCTACAGCGATGCCGCGGAAGATATTGACGGTGATGGGTTTGGATCCATCAATGCTATCGTCGATAGTCGGTCAGCCCCTAGGTCAGCACCAATTGAAGGGAATGCGAGCGAATCTCGGGATGCAACGCCGAGGCCTATCGACAGAGCCGCCATCGTGGATAGTAAGTCACAAGGTGTGACAGATCAACCACTTGAGGATGCCCGCTGCATGACTCCGACCCAAGACTCGGTCAACCGCCTAGTAGAGGAATCCCCTGCCTCTTCGGTTGGCTATGGACTTGGTTATGCACACCCGCCGATGCCAGCCGATTTGCAAACTCGCATTGCGACAGCTCAAAATGGTAGCGTCCAAGCACAACCCACTACACGCACCCGCCCTATGTCGGTGGATGTGAATGGCACGTCTCGTATGCAGGATCCTCGGTGGTCGAGCAATGATAATTCCCCACAATTTGGCAAAGCCAAACAGCGCCCACTCTCTCTTGGTCCAAATTTCCACAATCCAGGAGATCAATCTGGTATTCCTGGCGCTCTTCGCCGGAAAATGTCGAATGGAAGTGATTCTTCAAGCAGCTTCAAACGCTCTTCTCCGCGTGGAGATCCCCATTCCTTGCGCCGGACAATGAGAGCCGGTGGTGCTGGTGCTGACGTCCGAACGCAAGCCGCAGCAGAACGCAACGAATCTCCCCTTGAACATCGCCCTCTTTCATCTGGCTCCTCGAATGGCACAATGCGTAAGACTCTCCGAGGACCAGCCGGAGGTGAGCGATATTCGTTTTTCTCAACGAACAAGAAGGCACCAACGAGAGCGAAATTCACCAAGGCGCCCCCTAAGTCGGCGCGCACAACTCGGTTTACAAATTCAGATGGTGAGGACGAAGCCCGACCCCAGGTCTTCAGAAGTCGATTCGCAGATTCCAGTGATGAAGAGCCCGGAAGTAATAAGTTGCGCCCTGTCCGCGGTATCCCCCGTCGCCAAGGTGCCGACGACGGCGACTCGACAGAGTTAGAAGATAGTTCGGAAGAGAGCGCCCGGTACCAAGCACAACCGGTGCTTGCATCCCAGCCAATGGCCTCTTCACCCAGAGCTCACAGGAAAAATGCACCAAATATGTCTGGAATGGCCGCTGTGGCCAAACAACGCGGCATGTCGCAGAGAGACTTGGAGGAGTTCATCATGGCGCCTCCCCGTGGTCGGAAGGCAGGACTTCTCACCCGGCTTGGCATCAAGAAACCCAAGAACTCGGATAATCGAGCTCGCGAAGCTGACGTCGAAAGCCCCTCGCGAAGAGACATTCCCTTAGAGCCATCACCTCTGGAACGCGATCAATTACGCAGCGAGGGCCTGGTGAATGAAAATCGCGGCATCACCACAACCACAGTTTCTGCCGGGAACCCTGAGCCGACTCGCCCATCCAGGCTGGTGAAGAGAAACTCTAAACGCCAGTCGACAGGAGCAAACCCTTGGCCGCTCCATTCCGGTGCCAAGGGAGAAGACCCTCTACAGCCAGTCGCGGAACAGCCAGACAACGCTTCGTCGTCTCTTTTCCAAGCGCAGGAGTCCGCGCCGCCAGCAGAGGGTGCAGGCGCAGCACACAGTCGTGGCGCCCTTGTCAATGGGAATGGCGCTCACAGTACATCCCCGATTACGAAGGAGCCCGAAGTACCCCGCGACGGACCAGATCCGAACGATGACAGCACTTCTGAGTTCACAAACCCCGATGACCATGGTTCTTCTGCGCGCGACGTCGTGATAGCTGGCTCTGGACGAAAGAAACGATTCCCTCTTCTTCGGAAGGCATTCGGTTTGCGCGCTTGATCATGTCGCGGATCTAAGCAGGCGTCTTGTGACCATTATTTTGAGTAAAACGATTGGACAGATACCTATGTTTCACGTTCCAGTTCAACTCCTTTTTAACTCCCTTCTTCAGTTACCATTCTTTCTGCCCCTTTTCTTCCTCCTTCTCTGTGGGAAAAGTTGGGGCCTCAGATGGCTACTGTTGTTCTTTCCTTCGAAAATCGATTCCATCTTCGCCAATATCTAATCTCTAATGACTGATATACGCCCTTTGGTTTGCTTCTTCTGGCTCGCATTCTCTTTCTTTCTCCTCTTTTGTTGGCTGTGGCCTATATTCACTTTTCTCGCTCTCTTTGGGAAGAATTTCGACCTGTAGCTGAGTGCTACGCTTTCCCTTTCCTTCTTGCTTTCTATTTTCTCTTATCTTCCGGTGTGGCCCATTGGAGATGTTTGCTTCCATGATACCCTCGTTCTTCCTTCCCACCTTGTATTAATGTCGTTCTTTTGTATCCCAACCCCTATCCCTAATAAGGGTTGGGTGAATTCTAAAACAATATAGTGCGTCAATTTGGCTGTCTGCAGGCTGATCTTTCCCCATACATTTGGTCACCAAAAAGTCACAATATAATATGCCCTACTCCTTTTACTATATTCTATGATTAAAGTCCGTGCATGCTGCGCTATGAAAAAGAAGCTCATTGTGCTTGTCTTACTAGAGGTTGCAATATTTCCTCTGCTGGATGTCATATCATGGGGTGATTCTGGTTCGATTTAATCGACTATATTTGTATCCACCACTTCTTCGTATACCCATCTAAAATCCCCATGATAATCATGTATGCTTTTTGTATTTGACGATATTGATAAAATAGACTCCCGAATTAAACATATTGCTGCCTACCATTTATAAGGATATTCCCACTCTTCCTGTATCGAACAAGTCTTCATTATCACGAGATGCCGAACATTCCCGTAGTTCATACTGGCTCTGCAATAATGCATCTCGAATAGCACGTTCGTGCTTTCTGAATTGAACAGTGCCCGTCTCCATACCTGCTAACACATCGAAGTGGAACTGGCGGTGTTCATATTTCATCTGTTCAGCAAATGACAGCTGTTTCAGGGCGGGTACATATTCGTAAAGATAGGAGATTTGGCATGCCAAGTGAAGCAGCAGCATAGCGTCATCACTAGGACAGTCTAACCAGCTCTCAATCAGTGCATCAAGGAATCCTGGCAGTGGTGGGAATGACAAATTTTCGGGTAATGACTCCGCTGCCAACGATACATCGTCCGAACAGGAGTCGGGTATCAGAGGATATTTCCAATCTTGAGCCGGGAGAAGGACAGTTATTGTCTGACTGGTGGGTGAAATAAGGCGCTTTTGGGGGAGTTCCACCTTCGCATTCCCTATTTTACGTGGTTCTTGCGAATCAAGAGCCCCTCCAGCCTTGACGAGTAATTCAGCCGCCTTTTCAATGTCCGCGACAAGTAGATAGAGATTGAACTTGAGCGTAGGAACACCGTAGTGGTGAAGGGCATCTTCGAACCAGATGACGTGGGGGAATCGGTGGTTTGATAACACTTGACATGGCTTATACCTTCTCTCGGTGCTGGACTCCTGATGAGACATGGCACATATGAGGCTCACAGCTGTGATGTATACGTGCTGATTTAGATGACTTGTTTTTCAATATAGGTATCTGATGTTGTAGAGTGACCCCAAGAAGCGATGTCGTCAGGGATTCAAGGAAGGAAGCTTGGGTCTTGCAACGGAGAGTACAGATAAAGTACGCCACGTGACTTGAGGCATCAGTGTTCGAAGATGAAATGTTTGAACGTTAATTTTATGCGCTAATTATAATCTGTTTTTGATGATGAGTTTGTCCTGGCACTGTGAGTTAAGCAGAGTAGAAGCCATCACAAGGGTGGTATTCTGATGCCGGATATTTGAGATATTCCGGCTCAGGTCTATACAATACATCGTAAAGTGATAAGCTCGGCATGAGTACATGTTCGTCATTCCGTTTCTTAGTGTTATCTCTATAGCTAAAACGGAATCCAAGGCATAATCAAGAAGAGACATATTGCAAGAGGGAAAGCTGAGAGGGGAAGAATCACGTTCACTCTGCTAGTTCAAGGCTTTTATTATCAAGGGACAGGAACTGGCGTGTTGGAGAGCCTCAGGGCTCTAACTTTTGATAAAACAGCCTATGGGTTTTTAGTATGAATGCCGGAATTTCAAGTCCGAATCGGAACAACAAACCATTCTGCAGGTCATAGCCAGCTCTAACCCAAGAATCCTGGCCACTGTATTTTCGGATGAATGCTTCAACGAAGACTTTGCCGGCATTTGGAACCTCAGAAGCTCTTGGAAGCTGATCAAGGTGTTCAGCGCAGTAGCCAAGAAGGAAAATGATATCTTGAGCATCACTTCTCTTCTTAGCTTCACTGGCCCGACTGAGTATAGACCCGCATTTTGCATTCAAAAGCAATGCCGGCTTTAGAACCTTTATGTTCTTAACTGTGATCACTTCGGTCGTTTCATCAAATTTTTCCCGGAATAAAGAAGGTGGCGCGAGGATCTCGATCTCCACAGGTTCAGCAGCCCTGTACCACGTGTGATATGTCCTTGCTTCGACCTCAAAGTCAGGGGAGTCTCGCAGCAACTTTCTCACGGCAGGGGTCTGACCCCGGGGAACGACGAAGTCGATATCTGTGGTTGCTCGCTCAGAACCTAGAGCCGTACAAGCACTACCACCGACAAGGGCGTACTTTTGGTCATGTAGTGCATTTGCAAGAGCAGTGAGAGCTTCACGGAGTGCTTCTGGGGCGTGCGGATTGGAAGACATATCACACAGAGTCATGAAATACAATTTGAGATGACAAATGTTGTAGATGGATGGATTGGGTGGTCATTTGGAGTCATCTGACACCTGCATGTCCCTATCCACGGGTCGGTGAAGCATATTAGGCAGTAGTTGAAACATACAATGACATCAAGATCTCCTACTCTCCTACATAGTAGCGCAAGAGTGATGGGAGGAATCTGAAATCAATCTCATGGTTAGCTAGAACAATAAGAGGTCGGTATCAGAGAACTGTCAGGAATGGAAATAATATCGGGAAGAAAGTACGGAGTACGGAGACATGCCAGGCTTTTTATCACCCTACATGTACGATATAGGTACAACGGTAGAATACCGGCAAAGGATAAGATATATAGAGCTTGACGTGTATACTCGAAGGTAATATATTAGCCTTGAGAGCTCGCGCAATCTCGGAAAGATTATGGACAGCATCTCACCCTTGTTCCGCTACAGTCGCGCAACTGTAAGGCGGCCCCCGGTCACTTCTTACCCAGAGAACATCCCTGATGACTGGGCGCGTATCAACGAAGCCCTAGCCGGCCCATTGCAATTTACTTTCTGCACCTTTGGTACCAAAACAGCGGCTTACTTCAGGATGAGAGCAAATGAGAGAAGGCTGATACGCCACGCACAGCTAACGTGAGACGAAGGATGGAAAACACGACGCCAGTATCAGTGCCAGTGGTTAAGACAATTCAAGAGTGTCAAAGCAAAGACGTTCTGCCTCCTACCCACGGCATTACCATTAAGTGTATACATAAAGTATTGATGGTAATTGGTTGCTAGAGATACCTAGCCTTCCGCCAATGAGACATGACCTTGGAATTATACGTGACTTACTAAGCAGTAGACATGCATAGTGAAATGCGTTATGAATGTGTTTTAAGTCCATCTGGCCAATAGATCTCGCTTTGGTATGATCTGCTTGATGCCTAGAGAGGCTGCAGCAGTTGTCTTTGCGATTAATATTTATTTGAGCTACTGACTGGTGATATAACAGACAAATGTGGATCCATGAAGATGAACGGCCGCTTGGCCTAATGGTTAGGGCATCCGACTCCTATTTAATAGTGACATCGGGAGATTGTGAGTTCGAATCTCATAGTGGTCGATTTTTTGCCAGTGAAAACACAAAACAGACACATTGTGTAATCAGTTATGAATTTTTTTTTATAGAGAATTAAATAAGACAGTCATAAGGGGGCCTGGAAGAAAAGAAATTATCAATTATCGAATATCAAGTACCTTCCAACTTAAGAGAGTTCCAACCCTCGGTTGGTATATGCGTGGGTTCTAGTCGGAAAACTCCAGATAGCGATCTAGACGGCCATCATAAGGGTTCTTCGTATGGTGCAACACATGTCTCAGGTTCAAACAATTCAAGCACAATCCAAGGATATAAGAATATCATCCATGCTCCCAATACACCCGAGGTAAGGTAGGCCTTGGCGACAACCGCGTACAAGAAGCGCAAGCGCCATGGCCGAGGCGAGCAAGTTGAACGAGGAAGAAAGAAATGCTTTTAGCGCTCTTTCTCACTCTTTGCTATGTCATTATTGAATACCATACAATACCTCAGGGCTTTAAAGGACATTTGCTCCATAGTCCATGAAATGTAGATCATAAAGTCTGATGTTTGAAAAGGTAGGTATAGATTATTGATTGGAGGGCATATTGGCCGCATTCTTCATGTCTTGTCAATTGCCTGCCCTTCTGACCATGTCTTCTAAGTCAAGTCTCCTTTGATATCCAAATTAATCTCATGCCTTGTATATCGGCGGCTGATCTTCTTGAACAGGATCCAATGGGTGTGCCTAGCAATCACTCACCAGCCCCAATAAAGCCGCATTCCTGATTTGATGGTAAGAACTCCCGTCAAGCTTGAAGACCTCCTGAATGTGGGCCTTTTGTTTGAGTTCGAGTTCGAAGCCTCGAGCCTTCTCACAACAGGAACATTCCACTGTGCAATGACCAATTGAAAGGTTTGGCCGATTAAAACAGCATCCACAGTCCCGTACATAGCAACCTCCCGTTCCAGCACAATTTGCGCAAAGCACCGACAAACTCGATTTTCTCAAGCTAGGGCTGCGTCAAGTGGGTTGTTTTTCGATGAGCATACCGTTGTATGAGTCAATTTCGGGAGAGTGACGAGGTCAGGTCAGGTCATTTTCTTATCCTGAAAAGGAATTGGTACCAGTGCAAAACTCCAATTAATACAACCTTGGTATCGGCATCTGACTGAGCAATAAGACACATGGATCCATCGGCTTGATGTTAAAGTTAGTATGATAACTGGGCATAAATCCATTACAACATAGCCATGCTAAGACCTAAACCTACTCCATAAGATCGTCAACAAATTGAACAGGTATATTCGTTCAGCAGAGCTATAGAACCAAAGCCCAAACACCAGTAAACGCCAGGAAGAAGCAAAAATTCAATTATATCGTCCATTTCGGAAAGACATAGACATGCAATATCATCAGCACTGATTTTGAAGCGTCATCGATTATCGAAAACCAGGGGTATGGCGCAAAGGAAAGACAAAAACAAGGCGCGCGCAAATGCAATCAAGAAAGTCCGACATATATCTACATGTACACGCCAAGCGCGACAGCCAGCAACAGCGGAACAAGAGCTGCAGCCGACAGGCTCGGCTGTAACATGGCCGCCCCCGAACCAATGGAACTGGTGGTGTACATGTATTCGAATTTGATATCCGACGAATTGAAGCAATTGTCGCGATTGACTGTCTCCACGGACGCATCGCCATCTTCTGCGAACTCAATATCCACACACTAGAGACATGTCAGTATATTGATTGTTGGGTCGCATACAAGGGGGCTGGAACTTACATTGTATAGCGCAGCGCCATGCTTAGCGGTCTCGACCACCTGGATTGTGGCATAGTCGCCCGGGCGGACGGTGATATTGGCCGGCAGGGGAACCTGGGGCAGACACACGGTGCCAGGGTAAGGGTTGTTGGTCGGGCCGACGATCTGGAAGGGCGGGACGACTGGGTGGCTCATGTTGAGGGGGATTTCGCCGAAGCCGAGATTGATATAGATTAGGGCGGTGGCGTGACCTGGGAACCAACCAGGCTGGAAGGCGACAGCACCACCGCTGACGGGCCACTTGGTTCGATTGGTCGACCTGGGCATGCCACCACCTTGGAAGAACGAGTCAGTAATTGAGATCTAGGGACGAGCATAACGATTTTGCTCACAAGGATAAATCCACTCCATGCCATATGGGTAGATGTATGAGCCATTTTTCACATCGTAGGCGACACCGAGCCCATCAGCTTGTTCAACGGTGCCGTTGGTGTGGAGGTTGTTTCCTCGATAACCGGGGTAAGTGATAACCGTGTGAGCATGTGCCAACCCTAAGCATAGGAGTACGAGGACAGAAGCCCAACGGGATATGGATTGTGTGAAGCTCATAGTGGGATGCGACAGCGATGCCAATTTTCAAGAGCTGAATAGGAAGATGTTTTTCCTGTCGCCGAGTGAAATTCCGACTCAAGTTCTCCGATCGCAGGATAAACAGAGCAGGTAGGAGAGGGAGCACAATGTTAATGGCAAATTGAAAACCAAAATCATGGAACCTCCAAGACCAAGACTAAGCCATGATTTTCAAGGGCTGGATGGTCCTTTTGAGGGGTACCGGCCACACACCTGGGCGGACGAGTCAGAACCCAAGAAGGCAGATGTGACCAAGACTGCAGGCGGAGGCATCTGTGACTGGCTCCAGGTGGTGATGAAGAGCAGGGGTAGCCTAGGATCATCACAGCCCGCTGCAAGTGCCATCACCTAAAGGGTGATACTGCATGATGATTTGCTGAGCGGCCAGCGGTGGAAGCGCCGAGGGGGACGCTAACGTGGGAAAGAACTTGGGCGCTTACAGATGTGCTGAGGATCAAGTTCTGAATTGTTGGAACATTTTTCTCCTGCAAACCATTGCACAAAACCCCACTCCAATATGTACCTCTATCTCACCTAGTGTTATATCTAGGTAGTCGATAGAGTACCCTAGGTAGTACTCTCCAAGACAGGGCTGTACTCCCCGGTCTTACCTAAGCCCATTAGACTCCCGTCCTGCCAAGCATTCCCCCCGCATCTCCAAAAAAAAAAGCTTCACCAATATAAATCCAAGATATCCTATACATCAAAAATCCCATATATTATTATAACTATACATATATAAATTATGCCCCATACCTCCAGGTCCTCCCGTCCAAATCGACAAATTCAAAAACGGACCCAAGTGACAGACGACGATGGCTGGACCCATGTCGCAAGCGCCGGCAACGTGCGGCGCGTAATGCGCACTCGCCCGCGAGGCACAACTGCAACCAAGGAGTCCGAAGCTGGGATATCCTCTGATCACCCAGAACCCACATTGAGGCCTGCAGAGGCACCGGGCCGACTCACCCTATCCGAGCTGCAGACGCAATTCCAGACTCACCGTGAGAGGTGGGAAGGCTCGGAGAGTTGGACTAAGTTGACGGGCGTTTTGGACCAACGGCTGAAGAAGGCGCAAGAACAAGCTTTTTCTGATGCGTCTGCCGCCAATCAATCCGCTGACGCCAATTCTTCTGTCCCGGCCCGCTGCCCTGTCGATGCCATTGTCTGTATTGGGCTTGGGAGCCCGAGTGGATTCTTGCGTGATGGCTGGGTGGATCGGCGCGCTGTGTCGCTTTATCAGCTTGCTGCACTTGCGAGTATCCAGGAACAAGTTGCTCGTTCGTTTCCCGATCTCCTTGGATTTAGTTCTCGTGCTTTGGTCTCGTTTTTGGTTATTTTGTTTTTTTGGTCATGTCTTGGATCTTCTTTTGATTTTTTTGACTCAAACTATCGCCATCGAATACTCGGTATACCTTATCCCGCGCTAACAACACACCCGCACCACAGGCACAACCTCCTCCGACCTGAAAGTCTACGCCCAAGACCCTGTTTTCAACACACTAGACGAATCCCTTCTCGCAAGCCTGAATATAACAGTCATTAAGCACCCAGAGGCCTTTTCGCATATCACGGCGGACACCATGCTCTTCTGTCCCGGTGCAGAACGCAAACACCTTGAACTGTTGTTGCCGTCGAAGCCGTGGCTGTTGTTCGGTGGTCCGCTTGAGCACGCAGATTCTGGTGGCGTACTGCAAGGCTATGTGGATCGTGCTGGGTCGTATTGCTTGCCGGTGTTTGAACCACTTGAACATGCTTTTTGGAATATGAGACTCTATTGGGCTGAGGAAGCTTCTGACGAAGAGTGATATCTATATAAAAGTTTGTTGGAGTTTTGGGCATTTTGGTTCATTAGAGATGCATGGGGTATAGATCATAGATTGGGTATGCATGGGATTGGAGTTGGTATAAGACTTGAAATTAGTCAATTTTCATGATGTTTTCATAAATGGATCTTCAAATTCCCAACTCATTGGAGTACCTTCCCTTTTGGGGCCACCCGTCACCTAGTTAGTTCTTCCATCGCCTTCAGCCACTGGCAAGATATAGATATTCACCTTCTTCCTTTCTTCTTCCTTTGGATTGGAGCCTCGGTTCTGTATAATGGCACGAAGCATATCGGGGGGAAGAGCAGTATCCAAACCTGTGGGCAGTGCCTCTGCGACCTCCGTGGAGACAGACTTCATTTTCCTGGACTCTCCATCGACCATTAGGAGCTGAACACCGTGCTCTCTGAGCCAATATCTTGTTCTTACCACAGGAATAGCTCTCTAATGTCCTCACAACATCCTTCGGACACTTTTCCCCCTTGAAGTTCCTCTTTATCCTTCCGTTCCCAGTGCCGTCTTCTTCCTATATTTTGTACTATGAAACCGAAGGGCTCGCTTGAGGGTAAAAATGATAACGATTGGAGAAAGAAGCACGTGGAGATGATGTATCGATATTCTGAAAATTGATAAATTGACCTATTATGTACATGGAGGCCGAGCATAGTTAGTATAGCTATGGAAGGCAAAACACAAAAATGATCCCTGTGAATATCCCATGTAGACGAAATTTCCACCGCAGGAACAGACATTCAAGACCCTAAATACAGCCAAGGAATGAGATCAAAGATATGCAAGTAAAAGTCAAGCATGGCCCGAAAACGGGCAGCAATGGATAGAGACTGCAAGGGTCAAAAAAATGAGAGGAAAGATGATGAACCGCCAGGCAGGGAACCCTCCGAGATATTGAAACGAAATGGAAGAGGTGTAAATCCGAGGAAAGGTGTGAGGATGAGAGGTGAAAGCTTCGGGGGTTCCGGTATCAGAAAGACAAACGCCAGTGCAGAACAGAAAGCAAACAGGACTAAGAACACAATATGTATGCACATTAAAGAAATTTTCATGATCATGATGCCATAAAAGAGTCGCGGCCGGATCTGATAACATATTAAGAGGCGGTCTTGCCGCCGCAGTCTGGGATCTTGAGACCCTTCTTGAGCTTGCGCCCGGAGTCCATCAGACCCCATTTATCCTCCCATTCCTCTTTGCCGGGCAAGTTGAACTGGATTTTCCATGGTTCGTCAAAGGCCTCGAACCTGTAAATAGTGTTAATAGCCGGAGTAGACCGAGGTATTGCTAAATAGAAGACATACCAGAAGTAATCAGTTCCATTCTCCAACGCCGGACAGATCCAGTCAGCCATGAAAGTGTTCATGTTCTCGATACTGGCGATAGCACCGGGCGTGTCGTCGTCACAGACCTTGCTATCACCACAGTCTTTGCCACCCCCACTGGGCCATCCGACCTCTGAGATGACCTGCTTCTTGTCCGTACCCTCGGTTAAAATGACGTCGTGGGTCTCCCAGAAGTTCAATGTCCAAGCAACAGCTTTGTTGACATTGACACCGGCGAAGAAGGGATGAACATTAGACATGACAACATCGACTTCATCCACTAAATCCGCATTCCAGTTATCACCGAGGTCGGAGGTAGCAATCAATAGATCATTAAGCTTGCGCTTCTTGACCTCGCTAGTGACATCCTTGATGTACGAGATTAAGGTTTCCTGTGCAGATGCCTTGCTATCGCCAGCACGGTAGAGGGCTTCGTTGCCAACAATGACACCTTTGTAGATGGATGTGTCCGTGTCATCCAGGATTTTGTAGAGCTGTTTGATCTGACGGTTTGTAGAGGTGGTGTTGGAGTCAATCCATACGCCGAGCCAAAGTTTCATATCCTTCAACTCGAGACGGTCGATCGCATGAAGAACCATCTCAGTCTGATTACAGTCGGTACCGTAAAGCCGCACTGTATTGGTCAATTGCGACAGAACAGCCATGTCACGAGTGACATTGTTCTGGGACGGCGGCCACTTGACACAATCGGGGTACTGCACGCCCCACGGCGTATAGTCCATTCCGGGGAAGACCTTGTGAAGATCCTCGTTGCCCATCAGGGCCTTGATTTCGGCCGAATTCTTATCGAGGTCACCATTGGTCTTGGAATCACCCGTGGCAGTTTCTTCTCCGCCGGCAGTCTTAGACTTGTCCTCCTTGTGCCGACTTCCAATCGTACCACCCACCGCACCACCGACGATCGCACCCACAATCACAAACGCAAGAACAAGACCGACAATCCAGCCCATCTTCTTGCGCCCCTCCATCCCATTACCTGCGGATCTCACCGACGCCCCATCACCACCGCCCTCCAGCCCACCACCGGGAACCGAGTTATACGCGACATCAGCGTTCTTCTCGCGACCCAGGAATCCTTTCAGGATACCTCCACCAGCGGCGCCAGCAGCCGCGCCCGCCACGGCAGGCGCAGCTCGATTGTGCCGAGGACCGAAATCCTCATCCCCGTCATCGGCGATGTCCTCGGGGTTAATATTCGACATTTCGCCATTGCTGTACGCCGTCGAGTGTCGCTGATACGGCCCATCGGTGATGCCGGAATATGGGGCGGGGTATTGGTATGTGCTGTGTGCAGGATCGCTCAGATGCACCGAGGATTGACTAGGAGTCTGCATGCCTGGCGAGGCGACCAAGTTGCCTCTCGCCATATTCAAAGCGTGGGCGTATTCGGGACGAAATGAGTCGCCGCTGGTATAGCCTGCTGAAGGGATGTAGGGTGTATCTGAGCCTGTTGTGTTGTAATCGCGCTCAGCGGGTCCGGTGTATCCGTCGTTTATGCCTCGAGATGCGTCGATGCCGCTTTGGCGACTGTGTGTATTGGCGATTCCTAGTGCGATTCCGCTGATTCCACCGCCCGGTGAGCCAGGGCCTAGGTTGTCGACGCCTGGTGTGATGGTCTGATTCTCGCGGGCTCCGTGGACGTAACGATGGTCTGGGGGTGCGGTGTTCATTTCTATGTCGTTTGACATTTGGGGGAGTTTGAGGATGTCCGGTGCCAAGTGGACCGGACTTTGAAGAATAAAAGTCGAAGAAAGTTGGACCCGCGAACGGAGAAAAATGCAAGGTGTCAAGGCAGAAAACTGAATGCAGGTCTTTTGGAACTGAGACAAAGGAATTCCTCGAATCCTTTGGGGGCACTAACAATAAACAAGGTAAAACAGAACCGAGCACATCAGCGGATAAATATGGCGTGGCCGGGACAACGGGAACTGGAGATCATGTCTAATAAGCTGATCTGCCTAATATAACAGCCATAATAGAAACTTGACTTGGAAAATCATTCTATTATTGGACTTTGAACGTGGTTATACAACATTCCAGGGTCCTTTTCCAGGGTTTCCAGGGTAGAGCTTCAGTATGGTCCACAGTGGTCCCCTCTACTATTTTTATCCAGTCAACTTTGCATTTTCTATACTCCGTACATGATCATATATTTCATTTCAACATTTAAATCAAAGTCGTGGTATCATAGGCCATATCCTAGATCATATCGTATCCCCCTACAAATTCCTTCTGTTTTTGGAATTTTTGTTTTTCATCCGCAAACCGTCAACGCCCTCGCATACCTCGACCGCAAACGACATGAACCCCAAAACACTAAAAACTCAAGTGAATATCCAATAAAAAAAAAAAGAAAAAAAATAAGCAAAATCTAAGCGTCCAACCTGGTATCAACCTTCGACCTCATCCGCGCTCCGCCGAGCGGCATTATCAGTACCAGACTCCAGACGGCGCCCGCGTTCTAGGAAACGTCGCTTGCCACGACGAGTATCAAAATGATCAGGGATATCAATTGCATCCTGACCTGCAGCGAGCATACTGCTTCGCATTTTATCGCGATAGGCATCCACTATTCGAAACCGGTTAGTGGGGGTCTCTCATTATGTCTCAGCCGCGGTCAGATCATGCATGGGCACGTGTCGATGGGTTCGGGAACAAAGCAGATCAACCCAAAACGGGTTACATAAAATGAAAAAGAAAACACTTACACGATCGCTGTAAAAACAACATCCGTCCTGCAAACACGCGGCTCTGACTCCAGCTCATACGATAGCCGAGGTCATTAAGCATCAACTCCTTACGGTGCTTTCTGCGAGAGAGCTTGGGCACCTCGATTTCAGCATCGGCGTCGAGTGACGGTGCAGGCACAGTTGTGCGGCCGATAGTCGATGCTTCGGGATCGTCCTGTTCGGTGTCGTCACGGAAGAAGCGCTTAGCGGGGACGACGCGGTTCTCGTCGCGCATCTGAATGGGAAAGTAGGTGCGCGGATAGACGGCATTAGACTCGCGGTAGGAGTCTGGGATCTCGTCCATGTTCACCTTGTCGAGGACTACCTTGACGCGGACGCGGCAGCCGCGCTGCGGGTCGTCGACTAGGATGAATTTGCGGCGTTTTCCGTCCGGGAGGTGACTGAAAAGGTCCTCGTTTGTTGGCCCCTGCTCTTCGATCTCATGGTCGGCTGAGTCCATGCGGGCGGAAGTTGCGATTGTATGACGGCTTAGTGAGGTGAGGCTGTTGCCGCGGAGGAGGGGGGGCATGGAGGGGCCACTGGTGCTGCCACCCGGGGTTAGGGTTGTTGGGGCGTCATGAAAGATGTGAGCGGGACGAAGGTCGGGGATTGAGGGTTGTGGAAGGCGTGTTTCCATGCTCCGGTGGCCTGGATAGTCTGCGCCTATCGGGAGGGGGACAAGAATTAGCCTACGCTGTACAACTGCATGTTTGACATGTCGGGGAAAAAAGGTTCAGTTCCAAGGAAAGAAGAGCCAAAGCACAAGAAGCGCGGTATCGATGGTAAAAAGGCGACAGAACAGTGAGGCTGAACAGGGTATGAAATAGAACAGAAGAGAAGAACAGGACCAGGATACAAGAGTACACATCTCATACAACCGTTGGCACATCCACATACACACACAGGAACCGGACCGGACAAGACACAAAACTCCCACATATACACATACAATATACACACAAGACATAGGTCCGGTTCAACAAAATAAGGACCCAAGGAGAAGTTACATGAGTGATTCCGCCTCTCTCCAAAAAAAAAAGAGGAAGAAAAAGAAAAGAAAAGCATTGACAGAACAAAGCACAAAGCACTTCACATGTGGTGAAACATACCGCTAGCTTCCTCATTAGGACTACCATCAGGTTGATGATGATGATGCATCTGCGGCGGACCCATCGACATGGGACCCAAATTTGGGCGGGGAGCAGGAGCTTGCATAGCACTCATGCCTGGAGCAGGCGGCCCACCTGGACCAATAGGGCCTTGCTGCGCCATATGAGCAGACTGAGCGGGGACCGACTGTCTTCGGTTAATCTTAGCCATACGACGAACACGTCTGCTGCGCAGTCTCGGGTCCTGATTGCTGTTACGCCAACTATCGACCGCACGCTGAATCAATCCACGCTTGCCCCTCAGAGCAGGATTCAACTCAGCAAGCGCCCAACCGACGGCATTGCACTCTGTTTCGTAGACCAGCCGGTTCCCGCGATATTGGTCCTTACTGCAACAGGCGCGCGGGTACACGCAGTTTTCCGTTTTGAATTCTTGCGTCAGCGTGTCCACGATAACGGATTCCACATCACACCGGATGGTGTATTCCATCTTCACCCGGTCTCGGGAATATTCGAATGCAATCCACTGCACACCATTGCTGTCTTGTCGCACGACTAGCGGGGTGGTGGCTGGGATGGGGCCTGGTGCCGCGCTGGAGGTGGTGCCACCCAGAGGTGGGCTTGCATGAGGGTTACTGGCAGACATTGCGTGGCTGTTGGTTGCCGGAAGAGGGGGGTTCAACATTGTTTGCTGTGGAGTAGTGGGATGCTGCGAGGAATCGAGTTTCATTATGGGGCTGCTAGACATGCCGGATGTGGGGAGATGGGGAGATTGGTGTGGTGGCACCTGAGATGGAGCTTTCTGAGGGGGCATCATCAATGGCTGTGTTGTGAGAGGATGCTGATGGGGAGACTGATGAGCTCCATATGGCGACGGCTGAACTGGGTTCATGGGTGAGTACGGAGGATAGCCAAACATCTGCGGGGGCATCTGTGGTGACTGCGAGTACATGTTGCGGCCATGTTGCTCGTGCGGTTGAGAAGCTACCGAGGCTGGTGAGCTTGATTGTGGGGTGTGATAAATAGAGGGATAAGGTCTCTGCATTTGAGCGGTAGATGCCATGAGGTCAGGCGGCCCTAGTAATTGAGCGTTAGTTGCTGTCCTCGATAAGCTGAACGAAACGGACGATCAAAAGCGTCAATAAAGCCAAACATCGGTGCATTGCTTCTCAACACCAACGACTTCCCATCAACTGCTTAACAAAAAGGAATGGAGCTTACCACTAGAAGGGTAATGTGTCGACGCTGGGGTTGTTGAATATGAAGAATGGGTAGCGTAGTAGGGTGATTCTTGAGGTGGCGGTCCGTAGGGATTATGATGGTGCAAGGCTCCGTTTCCTAAAGGATGGGATGGAGGGTATGTGGTAGGAGTAATAGAAAGAGAGGGCTGCACAGGCGAGGCAGGGCCTTGCTTCTGTGTTAGATTTGATCGAGACTGTAATGTCTGAGAGTGTTGAGAGCCGGGACGAGTAGAATTGCCGTGTCGAAGCTGTAACAGAAACACACATCAGTGACTGGGACTTGGAAATCCAGCCCCGAAAGGTTGCCAGAAAGATACGATAAGCAAGATTCGAGTCGGAAAATGGACGGTGCTACAAGCCGAGAACGTGGACATAGGAAAGAGAAAGAAAAAAAGAAACTTGTAAACACAGCCAGAAGTGTCTGGGGTGCCATCAGCGTCTGACCCCTCCGGTCTAGCGTGGGGATTTGAATCTTGCAGAATCTCATCATAGAGGCGAGGGGTTGGATTGGGCCACATATGGTAATCCTCGAACAGGGATGGTCTTTGGGTGCGTAACAAATGAACCAGGTTATAACCGGGATCGTCCGTCCAGGACTAAAGAATACCATGGATCTGTGTAGCGTTGGTGTGTCCTTGATATCGCGAGTGGGGTGGTTGATTTTTCTTTTCTTCCGAAGAGACCAAAGACCTCAAATCTGTAGAGAGCAACTCCAAGCCGCTACACGGACTCTGGGCATTGGTTCCTGTCCTCGATTGGAATCATTTTCCTTGTATGACCGAGGTGAGGCTCTAGTCGGAGCAGGGCTTTGGTGGGTCCAGAAGAGATGCATACAAATTGGGATGAGCTCCAGACGTCACTCGCCAATTCGATCGAGTTCAATCGGCATGGTTTGGTTGCCCTTTCAGATATTGACTTTGCTCATCCAGCACCAATCTTGAGGTTGACGAAAGAGAAGTCGAGAGAAGGTGGGATCCAAAGGCGTGATAAATCAAGTGTCGAGCAGAGGCCAGGACATAAGAGCTTCTCAACAACCACAAATAGAAACCAAGAAAGATAGGAATGATATTGAAGTAGGAAACATCTCACAGAATCTATGGGGGTAGACGGAAACTCGAAAGGAAAAAGATCAGGTACGCAATGTGAAATGATACTCACGGGATCACCAATAGAATCTTCCTTGTACTTCGTCGCTGGAGGACCAAGGTCTGGCTGTACCATTCCGGTCATGAACGACCTTTCTCACGGCCCAGGACAAAATCTTGGAGTACTTGGGAAAGAGTACAAAATTGAGAAAGAAAGAACTGGGATGGGGTTCCTTTTGGGAGAGGGAAGGTAAAAAAAAAAAAAAAAAAAAAAAAAAAGAGGCAAGATGAAACCACGAGGGCGATCCCGAACTGAGGCTAAACAGGAGCTGCGCGACACACTAGATGACTGGGGTTCAGGGGGCCGTGTCAATGTGAAGGCAAGTGGAGGGTCCAGGGTCGTTTATTTAGCTGCACCGTCCATTCTTATTTTATTCTCGGAGGCAACTCTCGAGGGCTAGATTAAATGGATTGAAAAATACCAAAAAATATACAGAAAATGTAGAGAAAATATAAAGAATAAA